ACATTACATTACAATACGATACAACACAACCATCATTTGTTGATAATATATCTTGTAATACTTACTTATCTTTATACAATGTACGTCTGACGAAATGGATCTCCGTAGGAAGGAAGGAAAGTGGGTGGAGGATGGGTGGGTGGGTGGGTGGTAGATGGAAATATGAAATGGTTTGTCTGGTCGACCTAACATAAATCAATACCATGGAATTAAAGATTTATTAATGGAAATGTAACAAGAGAAAAAGGAAAGATAATACATAGATATCAAGGAAGGAATAAAACAAGGCGGATGATTATGATTGTTTTCTAGTAATAATCATATCCCAATTCCTTCTTCTCCCCCTTCTCACACTCAAGCCACAACAAACAACTAACTCCACGTTCGCTTTTCTGATGAAATATGGCGTGCGCAATCATTCTTTTCCCCGGCTTTCCCCTTCCCCCCTTCCTTCTTTCCTTTCCTTATTCCATTACTATCAACTTCAATCTCCTCGGTCAGAAAGGAATCTTATTAAGCTTCAAAGACAAATTCCACAATCTAATATTATTTGAGTAATAAATTCCATTTTTCGAGACACATACACAAGAAAAAAGGCTGTATATGTGTGTGCGTGTGTTTCTATGTTCCTCCCTCCCTCCCCACCACCCCGGCAACTTTTCATGTAAGATGAATAAAGATTATGTCGTCTTCCTCGAATGTATAACTACTGACTACCTACTCGGCCCCATAGTCGCAGTATCAGTCTGTTAGTTAGTCAGGCAGGCAGGCAAATAATAATAATTAAGGCAAGTAAGACTTAGAATTGATGCATAAAAGATAAAAAAACAAAATGGTATGATCAACAAACATAACATTCGAATCATGGCATGGTATGGTCTGAGAAAAAGGCGAGACATCATCCATCCATCGATCGACTTGTTACGGAGTAAAATTCTCCATATTCTCCTTCTCCACCGGCACTTACATATTTACTTGCTTGCTTTGCTTGCTGGTGATGTTCACTGCTTGGAAAATCTCTGAACTGATATTATGTGATGTGATGTGAGGGATGATCAACATAACGGATGCAACACACACGCAAAAAGCTAGAACACCCATCTTCCGAGAACTAGAAGCATTCTGTGTTCTGATGGTTGGTTTTTCCGCAGGCAGGTACATGTTTGTTTGTTATGTAAATCAATGGGTGACCATTAATGCATATAACTCCGTATGAATTTGGCTTGCTTATCCTACTAGCCTATCTATCCTATTTATAAACTTATCGCCTGAAAAAAAAAAGGAAAATATATATATCATCATACCTAGATATCTATATTTAACACACCCCTCCCCTCCAACAAATTCTCACACAAGCTGGCTTTTGTTTGTTAGCTGAATCATATTATAGGGATTATTGAATACTACCTACAGCATGATTACAATAGGAATAGGAATCAATGGATAAGATGAGACGAGAGGAAGAGTTTGTAATAATCGACCGGTGCAGTAAGTGCAGTCCTCCGTAATCTTTCGTATATATCACCACAAATAGTTTTCGAAAAGCTTCATCCATCCATCGGGGGTTTTCGTCTGACTCCGTTTTTTCTTTTCCTTGCTGTGGCACAGGTGATATACGCAGGCTGCGTAATGGGCGATGAGGTGATGAGATGTACAGGGAGTGAGTGGTGTTTGGTAGGATGTTGCTATGGAGGGTGGGAGAGTTAATGCGGGATGTGGGGAAGATTGTTGGTGGTATATATATATGTATGAGTATTGTGTTTGTGTGTGTATATATACTCCTATTCTATAGATAAAATTTCAAGGCTATATTATACTACTGAAAGGAAACCCCAGAGATGATATTTTAATAATAAACTATACCTTATTCATATCTACCTCTTATCTGCCCGGAATTTTCCTTGTAATCTTATATATTACACTGAATTTATATGATTTCATTTCATTCAATCCCAAACCAAACTCCTCAACAATCTTACAAATCCATAATATAATATAACAATATCTCTCCTCTAACACATACATATACACATACCTACTCAAAATCCCCTATCCATCCAAAAAGATAACTAAATCCTAGGTACCAGGTACTAGGTACCAAACAAACAAACAAACAAACAAATACCTACCTAATCCAAGTCCCAGTACCCAATCGACACACCAAACCAAGCCTCCAACTACATCACGCCTCCGCCTTATATCCCTGCTGAAAGGAAAAAAAGCATCATATATACAGCCAGCATGATTAATATCTATCCAATCTGTGTATACCGTTGAGGAATGGAGATTATTGGGTTTTTTTGGGTACAGTCAGATTTTTTGGTAGGATGGGGTGATGGATGTGGATAGTAAGATAGATATGATTAAACATTGATGAGATGAGTGTGTTTGTTTTAGCTAGGTATTCGTTAGTTATTTTATAAAAAATAGAGGGGGATTGAGTGGGGAGATATAAAATCTTCCTGGAAATTATAAATTAATTTTCTCCTAAGAAAATTTTTAAAAATATATATTTTATATATATTGACATTTGTTCTATTCAAATATCAACAATAATTTACACTACCTAACATTCATTCATTCTCTATGTAATAAGTCATAACCAAGCACGCCCTCCAGTCTCCAACCTTTAATCTATATATATAACCTCCCGACCACTGACCAATTTTCCAAACAGCTCCAGGGTTACTCTACTCTGTGTGACGCCTCACACCTCCGGGTCACGTGGCATGCCCCGTTTGTATTTAATCATAGGAAAACTCTCTACTCTTGTTTTCCTTCTTCTTTTCTCCTTAGCTTAGTATTTTCTAATACAAGATACTCTACCCAGTATTCTTGAGTGTGACACTCTGTACTCCGTAGATAGAAATCTGGAGAATAATATAGGGGAGGGAGGGCTGAAGGAAGCGCGGTAGAAACACGGGAATACTTAATCCCTTTGATACATATTTTTCGACGATGATGAGTTCAGAGAATCAGAATCCTTTAGTGGGGGTTTTATTACCCTTACCTCTGTAATTCTTAAAAGCTCGTTTTGTATAATTATCATTTTGTGAGTCGCGATTGAATGCATATATGAACGGCATAGAAAGAATGAGATGAGATGATATTTGTGTTTTTTTTATATCATGTTTATAGAGTATGTATTTACTATATCGATATATAAGTTCTGTTGAAATTAAAACGTGTGAGGTTTATTGGTGTAAATACGTTCATATTTACAAGTACTAGTATACACTCATTTTAACATTTTGTTTCTATACTTACAAAGAATAAAGATCTCTCAGTCTTATTTTCTATTCCTAGGCTTGGATATTCTTGGAATGTCTACAACTTAGTCGTCTTTTTAAAATTCTTATTTAACTTTTATAATCGATGGTTTTAATTAATTATTATTAGTGTTGTTATTTACGGACTAGATTATACTAATTACAGCAAACTACACTCACTCCCCTATTTTTGTACATCCGCTTTTACCTGGCAACATATTCACTTTTCCATACCAAAATTGGGGATGGGATTTTGGGGGTCCAAGGATGACCTACCGAAGATCCTGAAGGATTTTTATTATTTTATTCTCTTTTGTATTTCATGCTTCATGCTTCGTGCTTTCTTACTACTTCAGGATCGACAGAGGAGATGTGAGGCGGATGCTGCGGTTTGAAGATCATGATCCCTTATTCTTTGCATGGAAACCTGGGGTATGTATGTATGTACGTACGTACAGTTTATCATTCTCCAATTTCATTTTTGTTCCCCTCCTTTTCTCTCCTACCTCACTTCTATCTTTCTCTCTTCCTCAATATTCATTCGTTCCTCGTCCGCTGAATCCCCTATACATTAAACTCTTTAATTTCCCATTCTTCGTATCTGTAACTGCTGGCCGCATGCATAGTCGCGCAAGAAGAAAAAATACACAAAAAAACATAGGATGTTTTTCCGGCCCCCAAATGAACGGGTCCAGCAGTTACAAGACAAGCCACCATGATGGGGATTGGCGATGGGGTATGAGGACTTTGGAAATTGTTCCAAGACAAATCAGAGAAGGCCGAATGCGTTTCGCATTTCGAGGGACCCGCAAGACCGTCTGTTTTGCGTTAGTCTGAGCCTCCGCAGATTTCATCTCCATAAGCATAGCATGGCTGGCGTATTTCCTCCCTGTGACACAGGGGCCATGCAGTGTGGTGAGGCTGTTGATGCTGTGTTGTGTCTGTGTTGTGTTGTTGAACATCAACGAAGTCCCCTGAACACGTGCATAACATCTAACAATGTCATGTCATCATTCGTCTTTTAGGACGTAAAAGCACCAGCCACGATTCAGATGGTCCCGTATCCACTCATCCACTCACTCCTCCAGCATCCAAGCGAAACCCACGAAATTTCTCCGGAAGCTAGTGACAGTGTTGGAGGAATTCCCCACTATCTGATAAGCAATATGAGCATGATGAGTTAAGCAATACACGCCGGTGGCGATCCACTCCAGGTTTTTTTTTCTTCGTCTGCCCTAGTGTCGTCTAGTTTTCATTATTGACAAGGCTTGGTTTAGCTCGCCATCCTCTGGGGCTTCTTCTTGGGATTATTGGCATATGAAATCTCTTCGAAGAGATTTCAGAAAAGGAAGAAAGCGAGGGAGCCCCGAATCAACATGACAGGACTATCCGTTCATCTCCAGTTTCGCGGTAAAGCCGTGCAAGAGAAATTCATGTTTCAAACTACCGTGCGCGAACTGACTCGTAACGAGAAAATGATTCATAAGGAGGGCTCGGTATTACCCCGTGTTTATCAAATAAGATGCGAGGTCTCACACTTCTCCTGTAAGTGTTCATGACGACGAAACTCATAGGAGAGATGGAGTCAGGGGAGGAGGGGGTCAAAATAATAAAGTCCATCAGCCATCCCCTAAGCAAATAGCACTACTGTACCAACTCCTGAGAAGATAGATAATTAAAAAACGTCCTATCTGTTGTACCTGCACAAGTTCGCAAACATCATGCCCTTGAAGACTTTCGACTCCCAATCGGACATACCGTCTCCATACATTCCCTTCATCATGATTCACCATTTCCATAAAACCAAATCTCCTTCCCCTTCCAAAATCTTCTCACGACACAACAGGCCCTTCTTCGGACCCCTTTCGGCCAATAAACAACAGCAAGTAAATCCCCAACCAAAAATTAAATTTGCATTGCAACAGAAACGTCAGGAATAGTGGAGAGCAAAAGTGGACTTTCTCCAGAATCTACTCTAAACGCCCCGAGACACATATGAAATGTCGTGACTGCGTCCTACTACGTAGGGACTAGGACCCCACGCCTGTGAAAGGCATGATCTCGGGGAAATAAGATCCACTTTATGTGTGATCTTTTCCTCTCTGCGGATATAGGAGTTTGGGGATTTGGGGAAAAAGGCATGATGGGAATTAATGGATGGATAAATGGAATAAGTGGAAGAAACACCCCTCTTGCTAATCCTGGGAATAGCTTCACCTTTTCTCCTTCAGATATTATGCTTTTGCGCAGCGGATCTGTGGTTATTTGAACTTCCATATGGGTGGATACTAGGAGCTTGGGCGGATATGGCCGGCACGAGCGGATTTAACATCGTGTGGAGTAAGGATTGGTGGGGTCTCCATCTCCAAACGCCGAAATTTCGAGCGAAGGAGTAACCCAAGTAGATTTCGGCCTTTTCATCAGTAAGTAAGTACTAACGACTCCTTGCAGTGAGGTTACATGTGGGCTGGTATATAATAATGATGCTGATATTGATATTGATATTGATGCTGACGATGACGATGAGGCTTTCGATATGTTTTCAAAAGATTGCTTGCATAGTCTAGTTGTGTCCTTTTCATCCAAGTACGAAATCTCGCCGTAGTTCTGAACTACCCTGATAATTAGTGATGTTCATTTTATTTCTATTTTAGTCTTTCTGCGGGTGACGATCCTTCATCCTCGTTGCCAAGTTCGCTTCAGCCTTCGGATACTAAGCCCTTCGAAAAAGCTTCTGGAAAAAGAATTCATAGGCTCGGCTAATCTGTTGTCAGTGTCCAAATTCGATTGGTGGACTTTCAGTTTTGCCGACGTTACGGAAAGCTGGAGGGATAAATGAGTCTGGGGCACAGTTTGTGAAGGCAAACCTTCTTTCGGGGTTGGAGTGCGGGTTGTTGTTGAGATGGGGATGGTGTTATCTCTGACTTTGCTCTCTTATCTCCTTTCTGCGATACCTACGAGCTTTTGAGAATAGCTTTATCTTTCCCGTGTTTTGCTAAGAACATAACATGACCAACACGGGAACAAAAAACCAACGAAAATCCCATCAGCCCAGCTGGCAGCTAGGTCATTCGGTGCCTGACTCGTATTCACATCCGTATGTACCCCAGCGACTCCAGATTATGAACATCGTTACCTCTGTGTTACATGTACAGTGCCAATATTCATAAGATCGGTGAGTCGGAGCCAGCCAGACGTTATCAGCACGACATCTACTTTCGGGTATGTGAGAATATACGATATGGTAGAACAAAATGAGGCGCAGTCCATTTTTGTACACGTAAGCATATATAATCAGTGCGCCATGAACCTATCATCCTTGATGCGATACGGCGGGTTTTCTGACAGTGTTACAGCTGATGCTTACTGCAGGGTTTTTCAGTAGTTCAGTGACGCCTTCACGAAAACACAAGATTGGTCTTTCGTGGGGGTTGAACGGATGATAGAGCTGAGGGTTTGAGAACTGGGGTAATGAAGATCCTTGCTGTGGGGTCTGTAAAGGCATTCTTTTGGTCTCGTTCCCGTCCAGTGACTTTACTTATCTTTCTTCCTTTCACAGGAAGATACTAGATAGGGTCTGAACGTTGACAACTCATCATCAAATATGACCCCGAGATATACGGTTGATTACATGAAACAATCCTTCTACGAATAATCATAGATGTCAAGTCTCGATTATGTTTCCAGTAGATTTGGGCGCTTGGTATTGCATCAAATGCACTGGAGATCAATGCAACGGGGAACAGTAATTGCTTGTCCGAGATCAAGGGTTGGAACATAACCTACCTCTCATACGAATCTTACGATTAAATTTCAGAGACCCTAATTTCGAGGGTTTCATTCGGCTTTTCGGATACGGAGTGCATATTGATACCATCCGGGAGTGTAAAAAGGGGGGATGGATAAAAGAACGGCCGTTTGGTCATCTAATTGAGCCTCCGGGATAATATAAATACATCCAGCATCCACGGAGTAACCCTACTGGATACGGATTTCTAGGGGACTTTTGATCCTAGTAAATGATTATCATATCAAATTTGAGGATTGTTCGATTTCGGTGAGTGAAAGATGGCAAATTGCACGATAATAATCTCGAATGGCGCTTTGAAGGATCGATGCTAGCAGGAAGGGGAAGGCAAAAGTTGAGGAGTGCGGGGCCGGTCATACCCCAGGGGACTAATTTGTGGAGGGAAAACGAAAACCCGCACTGTCGGATGATTCTAAATGGTAATGCGATTTTTAATAGTAAGGCACGGCCCCCCTATTTAGGGGTTGTACTGTAACTTACGGAGTAGACCATCAACGTGAAGATGAGAGGAAGGATAGGATACGAGTAGGGTGTCTGCAGAGCGAAGAGGGAACGGGAATGAGAGATTGCCGTGTAGTATCGTACGGAGGAGAAGTTCCGACAGTTAGATATGCTGATCTCCAAGACCACCAGAACAGATTCATGTCACATTATTGAAATGGGAAATCAGGATTTAGTGTACATTCTTTCGAGATGATGACATGAAGGAAACCAGGTATAAGTAGTGGAAGATCAATGCATGAGGTTGTGCTCAAATATATCTATCGAATGCACTACAGAATACAATCAATAACTTGAAATAGTCGATCTATTGGATCAATAGCCTACAGCCTCATCTAAAAATTGTTATTGACTAGGTGTTGAAGCCTTGAAGGACGTTCACGCACATTTCCACCATCTCCGAGACTCCCATCTGCCGTAACTCATACCGAACTTTACGAGCTCCCTGTCTTCTCCAAACACGTGCGTGTGTGTGCGCACACAATACATTTTCATTTTCATCTAGAGACACGTGATATCGTAAAATCATCCCACCAGCGCATATCTGATGGACGGCTTTATTGTGGATCTTGATCCTCAAATACTCCATACTTTCACATTAACAAAGTGGACTCCGACATCTCCCGGTCCTTTTATCCTCGTTCTTTTGCGTCAAATATCGGTCTATCCCGAGGTACTCCGTACAGAATATCCATTGCGGCCTTTTCTATCGTGGGGCACCTCTGTTGAATTTCATGGGGAAAAGGTCATGGTGATTACGTCCTTAGAGTCGTGGACGTCGTGAGGCTAAATGAAATGAGTCGGTTGGGAAGAGGAATATTCCGTTGTGCTAATTTCTCCGTGTCTAGTTTGTGAATTCATATGTGTGTTCTGCGGCTGATATTGGCTGTAGACAGATATCATTAACGCTGACGAGAACCTCCCAAGCTCCCAAGCTCCCAAGCTACCAAGCGGACCAGCAAATTGTGCGTCCCGTTTGTGGTCGTGCAAATCGAATGAACGGCTAGGTACCGCTTTCAGCTCCGAGCTGAGAAAGATGATGCTATCGCGAGTATGTGTCCATTTTGTCCGAAAACCGCAAATTAATTCTCCATATCTTTTCAGGGCGATGCGATAAGCTTTTTTGCTAGTGGAGTACTAGGTCTTAGCATCGATACAGCGCCGCAGCTTGCATTCATCCAGATCAAATACTTGGGATCCTAAACCCGACATGTGAAAGTAGATGGGTGATATTCTCTTGTTGTGTATAATTTCTTTCCGATCCACTCACTATCCATTTCGGGTAGGAGGTGAGAATGATGGCTATACCCCATTTTGCCAAAGATACACTTTCATATAAATTTAATGGGGACCCCAGACCTAACAGGCACTACTGCTTCTTAGAGGCAACTAGGCTAAGTTCCAAGCCTTGCCAACTTGAAGACACCAAAGTATCGGGTTAAGCTAGGGAAAAAGTTTTCTCCTTCGTCAAGATCAACAGGAGTGACGAGTCCTCGATATCACAACTATCTATATGAGTTCTTGGTATCGATACTTGTGGATGCCATCTATCACATCTCAGAAACTCTATTCGTAGATCTTGGTCTTCCAATTAGCTGTGTTACATCACTTCTAGCTAGATTCCCCAGAATCATGCATAGGCTCTCTTTAAACTTTTTTCTTATCATCGCCAATTTGCTCATGAAGACGTGCTCTAGACATTAAAGATGGCAAGATATGGACCCTTCCTCTCTAGATCCAATTTCCCCATCCGTCCACCAAGAATTACAGCATCGCATCTCTTAATTTACTCAACTCTAAATATCTAATTTGAATGGGCAGTTAGTTCATGTCCCCGCAAGAATTGTGTACTAATCTAACTTTAATCTTCTCAGAGTTTATGACGGTGAAAATGGTTAAATGACTGGCCTTTAGATATGCCATTCAATCAAAATCGCACTCACCGCATGCCAAACATCCCGTCGATTTATAGTACCATGGACATTCTCCCCTCACCTCGCTCCCAGCCCCTCCATCACAATCCCATCCATATCAAATGAACTTTGCCATGGTCCTTATCCTGTATACTCTATTTATCCGCAAATAGTCACGGCCCCAGATAAATTCCTGCTTATCATGAACAAAATGCATCATCTCCAACCCAACACAATATGTACCAGCATCCTTCAAGTGGAGCCAATATTGACACAATTCCATGCCAATACCCCTCCAGGCTCCAAGGTTTCCAAAATTCCAACATTTATTGCCTGGCATTAACAACCCCACAATCTGACCGATTACCGAGGCCCGCTTGACCTATCCGTCACCATTTCCTCATCTCCACTTTATTAAGAGAAGAAGCACCCTTTTGGGACTTAAAGAAGGCTCGCACAGTTTTAAGTCCTATGCCATTTTGTATTTTGCGGAGGATAATCCACTTTGGGAAGTGGCACGGTAGTAATTTCACAAAATTTCAACAAATCCTTTTAAAACGGCCCTTCAAAAGGCAAGCAAAGCCCGTAGCGACCTCAGACCGAGAGCAAGCGCGGAGGAATGTGCAAAACAAGTTGCTATGCGGAAGGAAAATACGCCACATGGACCTTTCTCACATGTCACGTCAAAACACCCATTTCCCACCCGTCCACCGGACGGACATACTATTTCTACTTCCATCCCGTAACATAATGAAAAAACCCATACCGTAACCTTCGCCTCGCTTATCCTCAAATCTCCAAAATACTGTATCTCAGATTTCCCATTCCAGCTTTTCCAGTGCGCCAAGATCGTAGAAAAAAATTCTTCAGATATAAAACATCATAAACCCCATAGAACCCATAAAACAACACACTAATGTCAGGGCCACCAAGCACAGCACCCCGCTGTTCCAACTTCAGGGCGCTGATTTATGCTAGAAAGGCTTGTAGTCATGCTGGAGTGTTGGAGACTGGTGGGCTATTGGGACGAGCTGCAGACTTGTGGGTGGAAGTTCATCACAGTGATCATGTCATGGGATTCCCGAGGCTATTCCGGTGGCGCATGGATGGGAGAGAGAAGACGGATTTGCGCTTATGACTCGCATTTCGGCCGTGGTTAAGGTAGGAGAGGGAATGTGGGATTTGGAGGACACAGAGTGGCAAGCGAGGCGGGGAGGAGGAGAGAAGCAGAAGAGCGTGCAAAGTGTAGACGTTGATCAGGACCCCCAACTGAAAGTGCGAGTACGAGCAAATGAAGGATATTTGCTCACGTGTATTAGACTTCCAATTACCGAAGTCTTTCCGCGGAGTTGGACATATATCTGAAAATCGATAGTCATGTGGTCAGATATTCTCTTCCCGAGAGTGTGGTCATCTGTCACGAGGTGACGAGAGTAGAAGGGATCATCTGCGAATGACTTTACATACGGGCATCTAAAATACCATTTTCCCCTTCAGCTTTTTATCTTTTTTCTATTTTTCTTGTTGCCTAACATTGAAAGCGCCGTGAGTGATTAACCCGAAGTCGGGCGAAGTCGGAAAATTCACTGTGAATCACACAATGAAATATTTGAGGCAGGAGCGCTCATGGATTTATTTTCCTTCTTTCCTTCTTTCCTCGTGGCATGCCCATGTGGTTAATCGTCGAGAAGTTCGGCGTCAAATATTACTTGCCATGCAATATTAAGCACATTATACATATATTCTCATTCAGCTCGAGTGAGTTGTTCTTTTGATCATGCGAGCACATTATCAAGATGATCCAGTAGACGATATTCATTCACAAGTGGGATTATATCATGACCATTAGATTTTCGAGTGCCGGGTGCTGGTGTTGGGGACCCCGGAAACTTTTACCGTATTATGGGGCAGGATCTTCAAGGAGATGGGGCGCTTTGCTCATCGTAGGGTGTCGGTGATGTGCGGTCGTCACCGCTTGCATGAAAATCTCTTTCGTTTTTTGGGTCTATGATCTTCTGATTGCAGGAACGGCACTTGTACTTTTGTTGGGTTGCGTGCTGAGTGTGGTAATGAGCTGCGAGTGGAGCATTTTGATCTGGATAACGGCAATCTAGCGGGAAAGATGGTAATGAGCAATCCTTTGATTTTCGTTTGTATGTGTTGCTGTTAGTATTGTTCTGGCACGATTACCAAGTTGGTCAGTTATTCTAATAAGTGATTGTTTATTAGGGTAGGTGGATCTGCATAATTTTGGAATGACGTAATGGTTTGACTTGAACGTCATCTAAAATTACACGATATGAAGGTGAAAAGGTCCATGAGAACTGCTTTTCAAAAGATATGTTTGAGAATGTAGGTTTTTCCGGGACATAAATATCCCATAAGGGTCCATTCCAAAGTCAGGAACCAGCTACAAATAGATATAACATGTATTAGTGTATTGAAGACAAAACGTCGAGTTCACCGGCATGACGGGCCGGCTAATCCACATCTCCGGGGAGGGGCAAAACTCTAATGCAAAATGCTTTGAAAGTCGTGATCAGTGGCAATGTATGGAGTCTGAAGACAAATTATATAAGTGCAGAAGCTAGGAATGCTATCACTTCGTTGGGTGACCAAGTGAGGCAATTCGCTCCTTCCCCCTGAGTTGCTCATCTGGACGAAGATTGTGCGCATGTTGCATCGATGCTTTTTCTGTGGACTGAGAAGTTCTTATCAATGATGCTCGATGCCAATTATCTTGTAATGACCATACCTAGGGGCAGTGGTGAGTGCAGGTTACCTTTTTCTACAGTATCTAAGAACAAACTTATTGTTGAATACATTTTTTTCATGCGAAACAGACTGATTTCTTGTGCTGCTCACCCTTTACTGATATCACATTCCATACTTGATTCCTAGAGGTTTGAGGTTGTACAAATGCTTTATTACGGATACCAATTTTAATGATGCGGTATTCGTTTATAATGGCGTCCTGTTGGAGCAGCATGGTGAAGTTTAATGGTTTGGCAAGTAAGAACAGAGTGGTCGATCAATCAGTCAGTCAGCGATCAGCGAATTTATCATTTCTAGCTGACTGATTGAAAATATACCATTATTGTTGACCTCCTGGGATCTTGGCAGCATATGCATATATATTGTATGATGCATATAAGGAGCAAACAAAACTCAACTTTTAATTCATTCTTTCCTTTTTGATATACTGTTTGTTTGCTTTCAATATTTTGATTTCAAAGCACTTTAATTCCGAAGGCTGAATACCTAACCTTATTCCTTCATTTTTTGAATATATACTCGCAGCTTAACTGCTTAGCTAGAGAATCAATCAATTCAATCTGATGCTCTTTCTGGTCTCAAGAAACCCAATATAAATTCATTAAAAAATAAGATATACTTTTTTTTTAAAGGGTAAAAGAATAAAAGTGTGATTTTTATGGAAAATTAGATTTATAGAAAGAATGGAATCTATAGGAAAGGTGGAATCTATAGAGACAATAGAGTTATGTTGAAGGGTTAGGAAGGGGATGGGAAGGGAAAGAGGATAGAGAGAGGAGTAGGGAAAAAGATAAACGAAAGAGAAAAGTGTAAAAGGAAAATGATTGGAAAGGGGAAAGGGGAAAGGGTAAAGGCGAAAATGAAAGGAAGTAGAAAAGAAAGTATGAAAATGATATTCTTAATTCACTTTTTTAAACGATTTTTTTCGGGAAAATGTCTCAATTCTTAGGTTTTCATATTCCAAAAGCATTCTCTTTTTGAAGAAGACCGATTGTTCCAATTGATCAGCTAGCTGTCAGCTAGGATCTGATCTTGCTGATTGATTGATGATATTTACCAAAATCTAGCTTACTGGCTTAGGTTGTTAGCTGTCAGCCAGCGTTGTCAGCTCGGTGACTGATTGACCACTCTGAGTAAGAAAGCAGGCGTTAAATTTTCGAATCATTTGCGTTGATATGGCTTTCTATCTCCGATCAACTGTGGATAATGACACAACCAGCTATTCAACAACGTCTCCGTAATGAATCCTCCAGGCCAGCATCTAGCCGTCATATCTACCGCCGTACTGGGTGGCACCCAATTTCAAGAATCTTCCGTTTTCTTCAACTGCTTAGACTTCCTCACTATCTATCAACTATCAGCATGACAACCTCAACTTCCGTAATAATATCAAGCACATCCCGATCAATACAATTTCCTTGAATACCAAAAATGATAGGTCTTACATGCATCATCTTACCTTCTTCCACCACATGCTTTTAGATCTTCCTCGCGTATGCAACTTCACCCCTGAAATTTGACCACCTGCAGGTGCCCGTTCCCTATTACTGGGCTTCACTTTCTTTGTGCTCCTAGAAATCCACTCTAGCTTGCATTTCCTCATGATTTGTTTCTCTCGAAGTTCATAAGTTACCTCTCCAAATTCCCCGCGATCTTCCCTACTTTAGGACTTCGTCTTCAACGCTTGTTTCAAGCACTCATCCAGGACCTAAGTATCCCAGCATCTTTCTTACAGGAACTCTAATATCGTCCTTCAAAATTTCAAAGTTGTGTTTCAAACCAGTCCAAACCCTAACCGTACCGCATTCCAGGAATTTGACGAAGTTTTCAACATAGACGCTCATAAGTGTGAACGGTAAGTATAGCGCATGGAGGCAAGGGAAATCTCATTGTCATCAATAGTCGGCCCCTCCGAAGCAAATCACATAGACGATTCCCCTTAAAAAAGCAAAAAGTATTTACATGAAATACTTTACTTAAATATTGATCTTCATAGAAGGAAAAATGGATCTAAATATAATCAAAAAATTCAGAATAGTACTTCTTGTAAGTATTTTAAATATATTTCGATTTTATAAATTTAAAGTCCTTCCTTAAAGATCAATTTGAATTTAAGTTTTTAATTCTAAACCAAAGTTATTAATTTTGAATTAAGTTATTAGTTTTGAACTAAAATTGACAATTCTAAACTTAAATCTTTTGAAAACTATATATTTGAAATAATTAAATTTATTATATAACTAAAATATTCTTGTGATATAATAATAAAGTGAATGATCTTTGAAGAAAACAAATTATTTATTAAATAAATGAATTAAAGATTAAAAATGCTTAATGATTCAAGGTGATTAATAATCGAAGTGAAGGCCTCACTTTTGCTGAATTAGAAGTAAGATTATATATGTATTTTCTATACAGATTATACTTTAATATTTGAGAATCTCATATTTGAATGGCTATATATATGTAAAGCAAATATATATTTCTTTGAAGTATTAAAATATCCTTCTAGGAAGTAGATTTTGCTTTCTTAGGGTCCTCCCATTTGTTTTCTTCATCTTCATGGTCAATTTGTTCAACTTCCTTACCGATCATTCTTCTCGGTAGGTCTCGATTCGTATAAATCTCTTGATCTGCTAACAGCATATGCTAAGCCATCTCGTCTTAGTCCTAACCTAGAACTTCGCCCTTTCTAATGGCCTCTAGAGCTTTCACTGCGTGTCCAAACATCACTTTAGGGATGTGTCTGTGAGACTCCTCCAAATTGACTCTGTGATTAGCATGTCTTCCCTGTGTCGGTCAGAACTTTTCTTTATATATTTTGATTTCCTTTTTTCATTCCTTCAATCAAGTCTTTCAATTCTATGTTGTAGTATTTCAATATATTCTTTGTATCTCGATGATTAACTTTGATGGTTTCTTTCCTAAGCACAAGTATATCATCCTTCAACTTAGAATAGTCGCTGCACCATATACATGACTTTACTCCAGAGTGTGTCTCAAACCTTTCCGTCTCCGCAAATTTTAAGACCTGTTGGTGTCAGAGCTATCTCCTTAAACTCCACCAAAGGCAGAAAGTGATGGTTCTTTTTTCGTGCAAACTTACTGTTCGCCACAAATTTCCTAGTATTTAATTCCTGCTGGTACGGAATTGATGTAGGCTGTGTTCGGATATTTTCTCCCAAGGCGCTCTCCTAAATATTTCTTAGTGCAGTATTCTGTATAAACCTCGCCAACCTCGCCTGCATGCTCAACGCGTTCTTTTTCTATGTTATTTCCTTGAGATCCTACTTTACCTCATTTAAATGATTCCCGATGCCTCTCTAGATGACGCTGTAAAGACTGATCTTTTCGGTTTCTTGATGACCCATACTTAGCCTCCTCATTTATCAATAACTTGAGAGAGTTGATACTACTAACCAAACTTTCTTCCATGTTTCCGCGTTAGATAGTATTAATTCGTATTTATGACTTTTGATTTTGCCGTCTCTGCGCATCCAAAGACCTGTATGGCGCTAATTACCAAGTTTGGATAGGCTTTCTATGACGGTACTAATAATTTGTGACTCGCGAATTGCGCGAGTCCCCCTCTGTCATAATACACTTTCGATAGCGTTTGTGTTACGCCGAGTAACAGGAAACTCTCACATGCAATCAATATCATGTGATTGGCTCAGTGAGGATCAGTGAGCTCAGTACTGAGCAGCATTGATCTTATTGAGTAGTTATCGGCATAAAGGTCTATATAATCTAGATGGATTTCCTTTATAAAGAGCTTTATGCTCAAGATCAATTATTTAGTATACTCTATTATTAGTTACGAATTATATTATTGTTATTACTTTAAATCCCTATTTGATGTTTAGTTATAAATCATCTCGAGAGCCTAGAGCACTTCCACATGATCTAGACGGCAACCCTCGTAACAGTTTGGTCATTCCCCGCGTATACTTGTCGTCAGCCACTCCCAGTTGCGGACTGTTGATACCGTTCTCAAGGCACGTGATAGAAATCATATATTTATTGCTAGCGCCTCGGGCATGCTCAATGATGATGTCCAGTTGTTTTATTACAGACTTTAAGTAATCATTAAATACTTTTTATATATATATAAATTTTTTCTAAAAAAGTATTTTAGTTTATAACGTAACTTATGGTGAACCGGGTCATATGGGGAACCGGGTCACATTTAGCCCATCACTGACTTCAAACCCCAACAAATTTTGCTATGCATACCGAATCACCTCTTACGCCTTCTCAAATTGAAGAGAAGATACAGAATGCTATTATTGCACTTCAATTGAAGGACTTTAAATCAATTAGAAAGGCTGCAGAGTATTTTGAAGTTCCTAAGTCAACTCTCATAGTTAGGGTCGCTGGAAGGAAATCACGTACTCAATCCCACGAAATGGCTCAAATTCTTTCAAACGCAGAAGAAAATACTCTTGTACGATGGATTTCACAACTTACCATCATTGGATTCCTTGCTACACCTATATTGGTGAAGGAAATGGCCGACGAAATTCGTCTTCGACGTGTTCAGGTCGCATCATCTCGAATTCCTACCTCGACAGAAATTCCACCTATAGGCCACGAATGGATCTATAGATTCCAAAAACGATATCTAGAACTTAAAACATGCTATTCACATCAATTAGAGTCTAATCGGGCTAAAGTGGCAACTCCGGAGAATATTCAGGCTTGGTTTGATGCGTTTCGTACATGTCTCATTGAACGAAAGTATGAATTAGATGATATATATAATATGGACGAAACCGGATTTGGAGTTGGAAATACTCAAAGTATATGTATTATAGTCGATTCTACTCAGAAATCGAATTGGAAAGTTATAGCTGGCAAGCAAGAATGGATAACTGCATTTGAATGTGTCAATACAGCTGGAAAGGCTCTATCACCTATGATCATTTTCAAGGCTCAGAATACGAATTCTGCATGGATTCCAAAGGACACGCCTCAAAGCTGGCAGTTTTCTACGAGTACGAATGGATGGACCTCAAATAGTCATGGATTAGAATGGCTAAAAAGGGTTTTCGAACCAGAATCCAAGAAAGTGTCAGGTGACCGACCTCGACTTTTGATCATGGATGGCCATTCAAGTCATATTACAGGCAGCTTTATTGCTTTCTGTATAGAGAAGGAAATCGATTTACTTATATTACCTCCTTATTGCTCTCACTTGCTTCAACCACTTGATATTGCGGTGTATGGGCCAATGAAACGATATCATGCTTTAGAGGTCGATCGATATTCTCGAGCTGGTGTAAAGCGAATTCAAAGAGCTGAATGGGTAGAACTCTTTCAAAATATTAGAAAAAAAGCACTGAATTCTTCTAATATTAAAGCTGGTTGAAGAGGAGTTGGTTTAGTACCTTTTGCCCCACGAAAAGTACTCGATATATTACCATTTAACTCCTCCCAATAATCTTCTACTCCACAAATGAGAATGTCCAATCAAGATCTAGACTTATCTATACTCAGGAACTCTCCTCCAGATGGGACAGAGCTAAGGCAAGCAAATCAAACCTTTAATAAAGCTCTAGCAGATAATGATTCTCTTGCATCACCAACTCGTCGATATGCCAAGAGAATGACTAGGCTTGTAGAATCTCAAAATGCTGAGATAGCCCTACTTCGGAAACAGCTCGCTGATGCTCAGGAAGTAATTGAGACTCGAAAGAAGAGAACTAAAGGCAAAAGAGTCAAATTACAAGGTCAATTTGTCTTTAGTAGTGAGGAAGTACTGAAAATGGTACGTGAGGCGGAGGAAAAACCGAAGGAGAAAAAGCCACAAGGGCGACCACGTAAACGTCCAATTGAAGAATTAGAAGAGGAGACTGAAGAAGAAGAGCCAGAGAGTAGTTCAAGTGATTTAGAGTTGGAATTGGATGAATGTGTAGCTCGTAGAACAAGATCACATAGAGAGAATTGAATTTTGTGACCCGGTTCCCCATATGACCCGGTTCACCATAAGTTACGTTATATAAAGTATAATATTGTTATGAGATTTGCCGTCTAGATCATATGGAAGTGCTCTAGGCTTTCGAGGTAATTTATAACTAAACGTCAAACAAGGACTTAAAATAATGACAATAATGCAATTCGTAATTAATAATAGAGTATATTAAATGATTGATCTTGAACACGAAGCTCTATACAAAGGAAATCCATCTTGATTATATTGTCACACTCAAGAATACTGGGTAAAGTATCTTGTATTAGAAAATACTAAGCTAAGGAGAAAAAGAAGAAGGAAAACAAGAGTAGAGATTGATTGATTGATTGTGTTTATCGTCATAGGCCGTAGGCCCACACACCTTGGCGCATGATAACCTTAGCCATCTATTCCAGTTTTGGACAAATGACGCTCAGAGGAGAAGCCTCTGAGTGGTTTACTAGCTAGCTAGGGGGAGTATTTTTATACAATTTAAAGGGGGCTAGGGCAGGGTTTACATGATTGCCTTCGCAAAGGGGGTTTGGGCCGGTAGACCTTTTGGGGTTGTAATTGTGGTCATCCTTGTCCACTAGATCACTACCTCTTGATCTCTCTCCCTGTCTTCTCGTACTTGTTTTGGTTGTTCGTATGCATGCTTGTTTTTTTTTTTTTTTTTTTTTAATGAAAGAAAAGGGAAAGATGAAAGAGAGGAGAGAAGAGGAAGGAAAAGCAGCCTTAGAGACCTATTAACTCTGTTTGAATCCAATGAAAGAAAGAAAGTTTTTTTTTTTTTTTTTTTTTATCTTGCACCTGTGTGCCACAGGCAGATTTTTGTGTAGAACTTGGTGTATTCTAGCTATTCGGCTAGTTTGGCTATATTGGTGGGATTTCTTAGAAGCTAGGGGATAGTTTCGGAAGAGGGGCTCTTTGTGAGTATTTTGAAGGCTTTTCCTTTTTTGTAAAAGAAAAAGTGTAATAAAGTTTTCTTTTTATTGTATAAGTAATAGATATAGGTTGTAATATGATTGAAGTGTTTATGATATATTGCGAAGTTATTATATTATGATCTGATAGCAAGAATATAGTGGAATATAGCTTTTTTTAGAGAGAGGGTGTTTATATTAAAAGTGTAATTGAATTAGAGATCTTTGTAGTATTATAGATTGATTATATTTTATAATTGTTTATTTGCTTTATTGATCTTTGTTTTAATTATTCTTTTTAGAGATATTAGTATATAAATCGGATTAAGGGGAAAAAGAAGTTTTGTTCCTTTTTTAACAACTTTGTCAGTTATTTTGTTGTTAGGGATATCCAGGTGCTCTGGGATCTATCGGACGCGGATTTTCCTAGAGGAGGTGTATAGAAGCCTTAATCTAATAACCCAAGTTTGTATAAGCTTCAGAAAGTCTTCAAAAACTCTTTATAAGGAATTATTGAAGTGGGATCCTAATTGGAGAGCAACCTCGTAATTGTTTAAGAAGATCTAGAGATCTGTGGCCAATTTGATTGATATTAGAATAAGGGCTTTTGCTACCTTTATTATTGCGGCTATAGTTTTTGTATTGAATACTTTTATATTTGTATTTAATAAAAAAGAATAATATATTATTTGAATATTGAATTATGAGATTACAAATCCGCCCCTAATTGCATTATCCTTACTTTCACTTTTTGAGTCATCCGAGAAGATTTGTATATCGCTTCTTGGGATCTTGGTATAGAAGGCTTTGAAGTCTTCGATTGCTTATACCTTTATTCTGTTTATCGGATCATTAATACAGGCCTTGGCCTTTGCCCTCAATTCTCTGATTTCCTAGAATGGGAAGGCTAAGGGGTTTATATATTTAGTCTCTAGTAATATTATAATGAATTTTGTGAATTTTGTATTTAGGGTATAATTATATTCTTTAACTTTGATTATATTCTTTGCTTTGATCCTGAAAGAATAGTAAAGATCTAATCTAGTAATTTGTGCTATATATAATTGTGAAATCAGGTTTAGCTCGATCTCGGATGGTCTGAGTTTAGCTTTCTTGTAGAGTGTTATTATATTTGTGGTTTTGTATATTGGGAGGATTGCCTTTATATAGATGATTATTACTTTGTTAAATAAGCTTAAATAATTATCTATTATATTTAAGATCGAGATTGGATTATTTAAGATATTCTTCTTTATTCTAATTCAATTTGACCATTATATTTCCAAGGCGAAATAGTACTTTTTGAGTATATAAACTTCAATCATTTTCTTGATGAGATATAAGAGTATTTTTTAGTATGTATTGTTAAGGGATCTTAATATATTAGCTTTCTTAAGGGTTTTAATTGTAAAGATCTGGATATATGATTTGAAGTATAGTTTCCTATTGAAGTGGACTCCAAGCTATTTGAGTAGGCTAGATTTGATCTCTATATTTATAGATCTAATATATATTATAGAGGTATCTATTAATATTCGATATTCTTTATAGAAGTATATAAACTCAGATTTCTTGAGATCAAAAATGATATCTTCAGTTTTTCTTTATTTGAGAGTTTCTTGTATATTCATTTTTAGAGAATCGTAGTTTGTTTGTAATGAGTTTGATGTTGCTAGTATCACAATATCGTCTATATATCCGAATCTGCTTTGTGATTTGTCTATCTAGAAGAGAGATATAATATAGAGTATGAACAGGATCAGGGAGATCGATGAACCTTGAGGAAGACTGTATTCTAACTTTGTTTCTGGGCTAATCTCGTTATTTAGTCGGATCTTGATAAATCGATTAGTAGCGAAGGACTAAACCCATCTAATTAGATTGTTTGATTATCCTTGTTCTCGAAGGTAATTCATTAGTCTTTTTGGTAATATTATATCAAAAGCATCTTTTATATTCATTATAAATAAGGTGATCTTTAACCTTTGTTTTAAGGATGTTTCAATATTATATATAACACAAGTGATGAGGTCTATTGAGGATCGCAAAAGTAGAGCTCCGAATTGTTGGTTTGCTAGGACTTGGTAGTTTAGAGTAAGCTATGATACCTTCTTCGCAATGAGTCTTTTGAGGCTTTTGTCTAGAATTGAGAGCAAGGCAATTGATTGGTATGATCTTGGATTAATATAATCTGATTTGTTAGGTTTAGGGATGATTACGATAATAGCTAATTGGAAGCATTTTGGATAATATCCTAAATATAGATAACCTTTGAAAAGGAATAGGGTTATTTTTTTTATTTGTAGTTATACGATTTGTAGGATTTTTGTTGGGATTTCGTTTATATTAGATACTGTGTTCCTTGTTTTTAAAATGATTAACTCTATATCTTGTATAGCTATATTAAAGAAGATAATAGATTTACTTGAGATTATAAAGGTATCGAATAGGATATCGTTAATCTTGGCTAGATTTGTCAATAGATTATTGATGAAGGTTTCCCTTTTCTCTTCGATAATATTTACAATAATTTGTTTTGATAAATCTATTAAAGGAAGGGTATAATATATTCCTGTAGATTGATATTATTTAGTTATTCAATATATATTGTTTGTATCTTTTACTTTATTCATTTTTGTAATATAGAAGATGTGTTTTGCTTTTTGGATTGTTTTCTGAAGAGAATGTTTGGATATAGATATATTGATGATTCTATATTTATATATAATCTTTATATAATTTTTATTCTATTAAAATTATTGAAGAAGTTTGTTTATAGATCTTCTTATAGATTCTATATAGGCTTTTGTAAGGGCTTGTATAAGGGATAATATAGCTTGATTTAGGTCTTTTAGAAAGGATGTTTTGGGGATAATTATAATATTAATGAGATTAGTTTCTAATAGATCTTTAAAGAGTGTTTTATTCAATATATTTAGCTTGAATTTCTTTGTAGACTTTTGGCTTTGGTAATTCTAGTGAAGGTAGGTTTTTAGGGTGTTGTGATTTGAGGTGTATTTTAGTTGTTCAGTGAAGACAATATATATTGTATAGGGCTTTAAGAGGAAGGTAAGGTCTAAGATATTTCCCTTTGAATGAGTAGGAGTTCCGATTGGGGAGATAAGGTATAGATTCTGGGAGTTTGATTATTTTACAAAGGATTCGGTTAGTATTGAAGGAGATAGATAAAGAGGATTCCAATTGGGATAGTAAAGGTTGAAATCGCTTAATAGAATAATGTTGTTTGGGAAGTTTTGGAGTTCAAAGAGTATTTTGATGATTTGATTGTTATTTGTATATTGTATTAGAGTATTGTAAATATTTATAATAATAAATATTGTATTATTTGTAGATATTAATTATATAAATATTAAATCTTTGGAGATTATCGATTTGATTTAATTGATTTGAATTCCTATTTCTTTTCTGATATAGATAAGGATATAAGGGTTTTCTTTTTAATCGTTTAATAAAATGAAGATTTTATAGGAAGAGTAAGTTTTGATGATTTTTCTTGAAGTATCTTTGTATATATATAGCTTTTGGATTGTAATAATATCAATTTGATCTATATTTGTTAGATTGAGGATAAGATTATATAAGATCCCTTTTTTATCTATATTGATTTGGATTATTATAAATAGTTTATAATTCATTAAATAAGATAAAGGTTGGGTTAACAATTGTTATAAATCGATTAGTGGAGTGGGTGTTGAAGAGGGTTGTAGAGTGAGTAGAGCCGAATAGGCAGATGAAGGTTCTTGGTCTAAGTTGGTCCGAGGGGAAGAGAGGGGTAGAGGAGTCGGCTATTTGTATATCGGATGATAGTTTTGAGCATCCAGCCTTTACACAAACAGAGTTTTTGTTTTCGAGGTATATCTTCCGGATTATCTGGTATTTTGATTTTGATTTCCTTTCTTTTCTTTGTGGACGAAGAGGGCATTTGGGGTCATCTATGAGGTGGGGGTTATTGTAGTAAAGGTATTTGGGTAGGTATATATATTCAATACTATAATTAGTAGTATGATTGCTCTTTGTATACTTTTCTGAATTATATAGATAATAGATTTGTAATTTGAGGTATATTCTTATATTGTATTATTGAAAGCAATAATTGTATTGAGTGATCTTTGGTTTTTGTATTAGAAGGGATATATTGATATTGATCTTTAAAATCTTTAGGTTCTTTTTGAATGATTTTGCTCTTATTTTGAAGCTTATTATCTATATTGAGTAATACTTATTAAATGAGGGGTTTGTTTGGGATTGGATAATATAAGTAAGTATCTGATTAGAGTATTCCTTTATAATATTGAAGATTGTATCTTTTGTAATTAAAATGAAATCTATTTTGAATTGATCATTGAAGATGATGACTTTCTTGGGGATGTAGTTTAGATAATAAGTGGTCTATTTCTTTTGGGTCTTAATTTTGTAGTCTCCGATTGCAGATGATATAATAATTTTCTGTTTTTCAAGGGCTAATAGATTGGCTGTTGAGTTAGTGTAAAGAGTGAAGCTTATTTTGATCTCTTGGACCTCTCTTAAAAGGGAGGTGTTTAGTCCGAGGACTTTCTTTAAAGCTGTGAGGATTGCAAAAGATCTAGTGTTTCGGATTGGGTGTATTTGGTTGATTTATATGAATAAGCGATTATCAAAAGGAATCTTGTTTGTGAAAACAATAATTGGAGTAAAGACTTTCTGAATATAGGAGGGCTTAAGGCCTATAGATATTGTGAGTATATTTGTATGAATGATGATCGGGGAGAAAGGAAAAGAAAAGGGGGTAACAAGCGGAGTAGTAGCTCCTCTAGAGGGGGGATGATTAGTAACAAAGGTGTCGAAGTGCTATTCGATGATTGCCTTAAATTCAAGGCAAAGGGAGGTGAGGAGTTTTCGTGAACTCGGTGGGAGAGCGTGGACTTCCTTAGAGCTTAGATAGGTATCTAGGAGTTGGGTAATTGGGTTGAAGATGGATTGAGCATCGTTGACCTTATTGAGAAGGTTGTTGGCCTTGTCGGAAAGTGTTTTAGAGAGGTTTGGGGGGCTTGGGGTAGCCATCGTTTTGGAACAAGAGTAGAGAGTTTTCCTGTGATTAAATACAAACGGGGCATGCCACGTGACCCGAAGGTGTGAGGCGTCACATTCAATTCATTGATTATTGAACAATTAATAATCAAAATCATTATTTTTGATATAAAAGAGTAGTCTATATTAGGGGTGGCCCAAAAGTAGAGTACTAGACTTACTATTATATTCCAACCCACTGAGATCCTAACTTGCTGTAATGTAATTAATGGGTGTCTGTGATTAGAGGTAGGATCATTATCATCAAGGGTGATATTCATCAACTCCCTCAGTTGTAGATGCACTTGTATAATCTTAGGTTCTTTATGATTTTGATAAATAACCCTAATTCCAAACAATATTCAGGAATTTCAGTATCGCAATATAACCATTAATCTCTGTAATAAAAATCCAAATATCCCTCAACAAGAACGAAGCGAAAGCAAGCAAAGCCGGCAAAATATTCATAGTGAGCTTTATATTATCCGTAACCTACTTATGTGCGAGAAATATAGTATTTCTAATATCTACCTATCTTAAAATCCCAATATGCACTACAAACCCGGAATCTTCTCCTAGTCCACACTCTTGAATACCTCCTTCTTGTACTCTCCATACTCTGAAATGTTTGCTGAATTCTTTGAGCCAGGATTCAAAGACATCTGGGGAACGGAGTTGCTGGGCTATGATGCAGAGGGTTGGGTTGGGTGGATTTCCTCTTTCTGAAGATGAGGAGGAGGGTGAGGGACGAAGACGACAGAGATCAACGCAAGTTTGGACAAAGGGTGGGATTAAGGCGTCATTATAGATACAATCACAGGCTATGATTGTGTCGAAACTTGTAGTGGTTTCTGAACAGGTGAGGGAAGACGATACGATGTCGGTTTCCCAGTCTAGGGTTAGGGGGATGATTTTGTTGGTTGAGGGTGGTTGGGATGTTGACGCGGATGCTGAAGGAGAGTTTTTTGACTTGCGGGTCTTAGATTTTGAATTTGTGGTATTTGATTGTGGGGAGGAGTTGGAAGTGAGATTCTGAGATAGGAGTTTCAGAATATATGGTTGATCAGTAAGGATATAGGTCTGGATAAGAGGTGACAGAGTGAGGGCTATAAGACCGGATATCCCACAGCCTAATTCGAGAACGACTGACTCGGGGGTAATGACCTCATGTTGAATAAGTGGATTGGAAGGTGAGGATATCCATTTTGAAAAAAGAGGAGTGATTTTCCATATCACTGATGCCATCATTAGTGATGAATTACATGAAGTGTTCATACACCAGGAAAAGGTAATTTACCTGCTCCCGTAGTTCCACCATCTCGATTCGATGATAGAATTGTAGGGGATTGGTAAATTGTTAGATCTCTACCATTAATTATCAAATCTATTTCTGTGGCTTTCGAGTCGACAAATCCGAGATTTTGAGACGGTATAGTTTGAGAGAATAACAGAAACGCCTCTATAGTTACTTTTTAGCTTATGATCTTGGCTAAATATGGAGGGATTTAGGATATTTATGAATCCACATGATTCTTTAGTACTCTTGGAAATATGATAGGAAGTTGTGTTCATGATATAAAAGTTGATCACACAGGAACTTGTCAACAATCATCTCGATAATTTCAAAAGTTTTCCCCTTTCTCGTCAAGCATTTTGCGCCACAGTCAGCTGCTGTGTGACCAAGGCTCTCACACTGCCTCGTTCCAAGCAATTGGAAGACCACTTGGCTATATTGAAGACTATTTGAAAAATGAAATAGATAGAAAATAATGCCCTTTGCCTACCTTCTTCGGGATCCTCAACCTCTGGGCCAAGGGAGTTCAGGAATAATTGCACGCCATTCATGATTGATAGCTGTAGTTGGGTGGAGAAAGCCGTCCAATAGACCTAATTATGTTTATTAGGAAAATAGGGCTTAATGTTGAGGCAGTTTACTGGCCTATCATATCCTACTTGGTGAGACCTGCGGATTTGTTAATGGTTGGCATCGATCCAACGTAATGGTAAATACCGAGCGAGTGAAGAAGTTATTTTCTTTTGTTGTTGGCTTGACCCCACATATGATTCAGAAGGGTTGCTTACGGAAGTACAGAGTACGTACGACGGTCCATGCAATGTCAATCAAGCTCGAGTGTCAGAAGCTTAAGCAAATGTAGAGGAACAGAAGTAGCTATCTAGTGTGTAGGGAGGGTAGTATCAACAACATATGTTGCATGAGACACTAACTATATTCCCCTAATTCCTCCATACCCTGGTGATCGAATAAAGGTAGGTAGACAGGTAGGTGGTGAATTGTCATGATAAATGGTAAATGAAAGAAAGATGTTATAATGTTGTGATGTGTGACATGAAGAAGTACCGTATAACATCAACATCCTCAACCAACATTCAAGCAGGTACTGTTCTACTAGGTAAGATCTTACTCTGTATGTTTAAGTTTCGCGGTTTCCGGTGAATCTAGATTTCCGAATCTGAGATGTTGCTAGCAGGGGCCAATGAAATGGTTGAAGCTTGTGTTGACCAATTCTATTCTTTGGTGTGAGTAACCGTGCATTAAATGACACCTTGGTTGCTTTTTAAGCTCAGAAGGGATCTTGGTTCAAAAGAAGAAAGCAAGGCAGCGTCATACATATGCCTAGGTACCTAGTATTTACCCAAGTACCTACCTAGCAGGAGTCAACAGTCAACTAATCAATTAATTCCCTAGTATTTTAAAGTTGTCCCTTTTCCCTCACAGCCTCCTCATATATTTTGAATCTTCATCTTTTTCTTGTTCTGAGAAAAAAAAAAAGGAAAATAATTACATCGTCTCTACAAAGCAAAATAATTTCAAGGACCACGCGAATCTTTTGTCTAAAGTAACACGAAGTCACATCAACAAAGAACCGAGCTGCGCTTCAACTGCATCTTCAACCTACTCATCAAAACACATCAATTCTCAACATCTGAGCTTCATTGCCACCACCATAACACAATGTCGTCCTCGGCTTCGCTCAAGAATGCCACGGTTCAACCCAAATTTTATCACTCGCCACCTTTCAGTACGGATGCTCCGGGCTACAAACCCGTACAAGGGGAGACTATTCCAAGAAGACATCCTTTGACAGCCAACAAGCTTGCGACTCGTCCTTCCGAAGATGTTTCAACTGTTTTCGATATAATCAAACGAAGCTCCGAGAAGTATGGCAATGCCAAAGCTGTCGGGAGTCGAACATTGATCAAGACTCACCAAGAAGTGAAGAAGGTGAAGAAAATGGTCGATGGTGAACAACAAGAAATCGATAAGAAGTGGACATACTTTGAACTCAGCGAGTACAAATACTTGAGTTTCGCAGAATATGAGAGATTAATCTTACAAATTGGGGCTGGTTACAGAAAGCTTGGGTTGAAGAAAGAGGATCGAGTGCATATTTTTGCTGCAACAAGTGCTCATTGGTTAGCATGTGCCCATGGCGCCGTTTCTCAATCAATGCCGATTGTCACCGCATATGATACCTTGGGAGAGGAAGGCCTCAAACATTCTCTGGTTGCAACCAGAGCGAAAGCTATCTTTTTGGACCCTCATCTACTACCAACCTTGATCAATCCCCTCAAAGAAGCTAAAGACATTCAATACGTTATCTGGAACAGTCAGAATGAGGTCAAGCAAGAGAACATCGATAACCTCAAGAAGGCACATGAGAAGCTGAAGATTTTGAGCTTTGAAGAGTTACGAAAGCTTGGTGAAGAAAACCCCGTCGACGCAGTAGCTCCCGCTCCGGAAGATTTGTGCTGCATCATGTATACCTCGGGTTCTACCGGACCACCAAAGGGTGTGCCAATTAAGCACAAGGCAGTTGTTGCAGCTGGTAAGTTCATTCTGTTGAATGTAAGATACGTACTTGTACTGACTAGCGCTTGCGCTTCTTATAGTCGCTGGTGTTAACGTAATTGTCGAGCCATATCTTGGTCCTGGTGACGGCCTTTTGACGTATCTTCCTTTAGCTCATATTCTCGAATTTGTTTTCGAAAATGCTTGTTTATACTGGGGCGGAACTATGGGTTACGGAAACCCTAAGACTTTGTCGGATACATCAGTCAGAAATTGCAAGGGAGACATTCGAGAGTTTAAGCCGACTGTATTAGTGGGTGTTCCCGCTGTGTGGGAGTCGGTCAAAAAGGGTATCGTTGCCAAAGTCAACGGTGGAAGTCCAATCGTCAAAAATCTGTTCTGGGGTGCACTTTGGGCCAAGAACAACCTTTTACGTTATGGTCTTCCGGGTGCTGAGGTTTTGGATGCTCTGGTGTTTAAGAAGGTCAAGGATGCTACTGGTGGAAGACTAAGAATTTGCTTGAATGGTGGTGGACCAATCGCCAAAGATACTCAGCGATTCATTTCCATGGCCATTACACCAATGATTAACGGATATGGATTAACGGAGACCACGGCTATGGGTGCTTTGATGGATCCTATGGAATGGACTGATGAAGCATTAGGTGATATTCCTGGTTGTATTGAAATCAAGCTTGTTGATTTCCCAGATGCTGGATATTATGCAACCAACAAGCCAAACCCTCAAGGAGAAATTTGGATTAGAGGAGATACTGTCATGGAAGGCTACTATGAGAACCCTGAAGAAACAGCAGAAGCTTTGACTGCAGATGGATGGTTCAAGACTGGTGATATTGGAGAGTGGGACAAGAACGGCCATCTCAATATCATTGACCGAAAGAAGAACTTGGTCAAGACTCAAAATGGAGAATATATCGCACTCGAGAAACTCGAATCTATTTACCGCTCAGCTACCGTGGTAGCGAATATCTGCGTTTATGCCGATTCACAGAAAACCAAGCCTGTGGCTTTAATCGTTCCAGCTGAGCCTGCATTGAAGAAACTGGCTGAAAAGGTTGGTGTTCAAGGAGCTAGTTTGGAGGAATTGATACACGAGAAGAAAATCCAAGATGCTGTTCTGAAAGAATTACAAGCAGCTGGTAAGGCTGGTGGATTATCGGGAATTGAAATCATTGAAGGTGTTGTCTTGTCCGATGAAGAATGGACTCCTCAAAGTGTCAGTATTTCCCCTTTCCTTTCAATGATTACATGCTAACCAACATTAATAGGGATTGGTAACTTCGGCACAGAAACTGCAGCGAAAGAAGATTTTGGAGAAGTACAAGAAGGAAGTCGATGCTGCATATGCTAGAAATAACTAGGCGCTTTTGACTAATTTGGCAATGGTTTACGAGGGATACAAGAAAATCCGTGGTCATGGTGTGTTTCGTTATGGTGGTTTGCAATTGTATAATAGCCTGGTATATGGGTAATATAGGCAGGCTTTGCTTATTCTATTCTATTTTAGATTTCTCTATGAAAGCGCGATATATCTAATTCTATACACTGATTATTTTGATTTGTGAAGATCTCCCATTGAGGTTATGTGAGAAAATAGGCAGCTTTGGAAACTGGTACCTTTATAGAGTGGAGCTAGCTAGCACACTCAAAACTAAAAGCCTTATCGGTAAAGTCACGGGATCACAAGTGGAAGTCGCGAGGAAAACAAAAAGGTTATCGCGACTTCCCCACTACATCAAACCAACGCGAGCCAAATGTTTGCGACAACCCAAAACTCAGTTGAATGATCTGACAAGAGTCGAGGCAGTTTATATACTTTAGGACCCTTCCATTTCTGTTGATTCTATCAATGCTGTTACTTGTAAGAATGCACTGATTTGCGACCGCTTACCGTGTTTCTGTCTACGAGTTGCGCCTCTTGTTGATCTCACTGTTCAACATCCTTCCCCCCCAGACCCTATCCAACTATCAGCTCCGCATATGCCATTAAACATTCCCTTCAATAATTTCTTTACCAACTTCTATAATATGGCAACCAATACTCGACTTAATGGTTTCATCGATCGCCAATCTGATTCGCCTCCGCCCCAGCCGCCATCACCATCGCCGCCTCGACCTCAACCTCAACGCACAGATCGTCAAGCGATGGCGAAGAATTTGAGAATAGGATCCAAGAAACAAAAAGACTCATCTGCAAACACGAATAAAGCTCACAATTCGGAGCCTGCTTATGACCAGCCGGCTGGGTTTCCGCAAAGAAACACAGTTCATGGAGGAGACCAAATGTACCCAGATTACGCACAGCAAGACAACCGCGATAAATTCGATGATTCTACAGTCGCCGAGGACTTTGATGAAACTGTGAGCCAAGGGAACTTTCCGAATGGGCAAAACATGGCAGTGGTTGGTGTCGATGGTTTTGATAATAGATATGTCAGAGAACATCAGATTCAAATAGAACAAGATAATTTCCAGGATGCCCAAGACAATCGCTATAATGTGCGTTCTCCGGATGAGTCCGATTTTGGTCACAATCACATCGATGCACCGGTACCCCATCAACCACATAAGATTTTTCATCAATATAATGGCCAAGGTCCACACACACAAGCTCTTGGAGAATCACTTTACAAACAAAGTCAGACACCAAAAATTACATTCCAGCCACACCTATCACCGCTGCCACAAATCAACAGTCCAACAAAACAAAAGATCTCTGGTCGCTTCAATCAGTCCAGACACTTAGATACTCTTACAAATCGTCAAAAGAATGGAATGCAAGCAGTCGAAAATTCTCGAAAGCGAGCTTCAGACGAGGGGGTCTTTTCGCCGTTGCCGAAAGCCGGGAAGTCTCAAGTAGTTGCAGATTTGGAAAATGCCATACCTCGTGAAATTCCGCCCTACAATATTCCACCACCACGTTCCGAAAACATGCAATCACCTCAAGTCGATGGGTCTTCTGATGAGGAAGAATACTCTGAAGATAGCAGCCGTATAAAAGAGCAACCGGCACTTCAATCTCGACCAGTCGAACGGCTTCTAACAGCTAACCCACAACAAAGTGGTACTTTTAACCTTGCTAGCATCCAGCTTGATTACGATGATGCCACTTTGAAAAACATGGACTATAGCCTGCTTAGAGACGAATCTTTTGAAGCCCCTTCAGCGGCTAGTGAGCAACCCAGCGAACCAGACTTGTCGCTCTCAGATCGTACTCTTAACGAGCGCGTTAGCTATCATGTAGAACAATACCGAACAGCAGATCCAAAAGAGTTGGATAAGCAGCGCGTCGCCATGGCTGAATTCTTTGGTAATTTATCCAAGGATGAATGGGAGGAAGCAGGAGATTGGTTCTTGGAAAGATTTGCGGATACCTTGAAATCATTGAAGGACGCTAGAAAAGAGAAGAGAGATGTGGTTGCCAAGTTCGAAAGGGAGATAGAGAGGAGGGAAGGGGAGGTGAAAGGAAGTCTACAAGCTTACAACGAAGATATGGAACGCATGAAGAAGGGCGCCAAGGGAGTTATTGAGGGAAAGATGATATAGACACGGCGGATTGTCGCATTGCTGCTAACGTGGCTGATGATGTACGCAACAAATTCGGGATTTTTGAGCTTTTACTATCTGAAGCCTTGACTTTCAATAGTAGATATATTAGCTTATATATAGCTATCAGGTTATGTAAATATGTGAGGATTATTCGGCATAGGTATAGGTATGGGCATTCAAGCGCTGGGTTTTGGAATCTAGAACGGTGCGGAACGACGATTTGAGTATTACATTTTGCATTTGGCAGGGAGTTCTATTTTAGCTAGTACGAGATACCCATTTGCTTTTTGATTTGATTAGATTGTAATATACAATGTTTTGCACGGATATTAGCATCCTGATATTTGACTTTAATTGGGTTATACTTCTTGTTTAAAAATGTCCTGTCAAGCAAGAGTGCTAAAGCGTGATGTTAAGATTGAAATAGCTACTGAGCAGAGGTTTGGAGGTTCCTAGTACCTATCCAAACCTACATACTTGTATACTTTCATCTAAACATACTAGGTATCTATCAGATGAGATGGTCTTGAAAATTTATCTCATGAAGGCACATATTATTATTAAGTCTATATGCACAGCAGTGCTATGACGTAATAGAGTAGAATTTGGCAGCTATGATTAAGGTTATGATTAGATAGGTAGGTGGGTGGGTAGGTAGGTAGATAGGTATGGTCTCAATAATTCTCATGTCACACCCCTTCACATCTCACATCTACTTCACCAATTCTAATCAAGCGATCTCAAGCCCAGAACCTACCTCGAGCGAGCCCTAATACACATGTGTATATCAATCGTCTCATGATCAAATCGTCTCTACATCCACCACCCTCCTATCCTTCCCCACCACCAATCTCAACTGTTTCCCCTCCCATTCCTTTTCCCCTTCCTCTTCTCCTTCCAGTTCCCCTTCCACTCCTCTCCCTTTAAAAATCCCCCCTCGCACTACATCGAGAAATAGCTCATAAGCGGGATAATAGGCATCCACGAATTCTTTCACCTGTTCATCAGTCATCCCTGACCCTTTTTTCCGTCGTAAAGCTTCTTCTTGCTCTTGCCGCCATTCGTATACGTATTGCGTGTCTTGGGCGTCGAGGTGGATGAATATGTTGAAGGTGTTTGTGAGGGTGTCGTAGGCTTGGAGTTTTTGGTTGATGAAGTGGAGGGATGATAAGGGGTGGTCGCGGAGGGTGGTGTAGATTTTGGAGTTTGCGGGGAGAGATAGACTTTGTTGGTGTTTTTCGGAGATGGTTGTGGGTGGGAGTGAGCGGAAGCCTACGCACCAGCCTTCGAAGATGATTATTTGGATGGGTTTTTGGTTTTGTGCTGTGTTGTTTACGGTGTGGTAGTTTGGGCTGCGGTCGCCGAGGCCAGAGTGCAGGGATTTGTCGTAGATGGGGATGTGGGTTGTTTTTGGGGGAGATTGGAGGAGGGAGGTGAAGAGCGCGTTGGCTAGGGGGATGTCGTGGGTGCCTGGTTCGGGTTGAGGGTTAGCTTTGCTTAGCTTGTTTGGGGAGGGTAGGTTGGGGTGTTATTGTCATTGTTATTGTAGTTGTAAATAGAAGAGCTATGATGAGATAAATTAAAGTAAACATATATATATACACATACCCGGTTCCCCTCTAAACCTCACCAATTTATTTTCCTTATTCTCCCTCGCCAATTTCTCCTGATCCTCCCTCGTCAAATACAAATCATCAATACTCAATACCAGCGTCTCCAATCCATGATCTCGAGTAAGAATTTCATAAAGCGTATTTACGAGTGTAGTTTTTCCCGCTCCTTGGATTCCATTGAGTCCGATGACGAAGGGTCTTGTCGCGTGGGCTTTTTGGTGGATGGATAGATGATGTAGGATAAATGGGAGAATGTGCGCGGTTTTGTCGTCGATTATTTGGGGTTTGGTGGCTTTGGTGGTAGTCATTGTGAGGATATTCTATACTCTGTAGAGTGAGCGTGAGGGAGGACTACTGAGGAGGGGTGGAATGTAGGAGGGGAGTGCTTTGCATCATGGTTTGGCTTGGTTTGGTGGGGTGTGGGGATCCACTGTTCCGGTGGGTGGGTGGATGATGTCTGGCGGAATGCTGGATGGTTGTTCCGGGTTGGTGATTACTGATGATGGGTTAAATATATATCCGAGACTTTAGGTCTCCATGTTGATGGGAAGACTGCGTTGCGGTTTAATGGATCGGGATGTTAGATAGCTATCTACATTGATCTTAGGAGATAGGCGCACGTTATACAAAAATGATAAAGATCAAAATTGCCCAACCCCTTCCTACCCGCAAATCGAGGAGAGGGTCAGACTATGTGAGCGAGCTGTTATTGCTCCATCGGATCAAATCTTTCTTAACGTGCCTACCTAGTGTGTTTCTTGGGGTTCCGTCGCTCCTACATTTATTTTCTACTCTGCAAAGATAGAAGGACAGAGTTATAGGCTGGGAAGTATTGATATGTAGCTACAATGTATGTGTCAGCTTGGGGAATATGAGTACTTTCTTCGGTTTTATACAGACGAGAGTACTAGGTAGTATCATAAATCGTGACTCATGTTATCATTTCAAGTCTGTTATTACCTAGTAGGAGTGTATTATAGTGTAGAATTAAGGGTCTATATGTTCCCCTGATCAATAGTTTTATATTAAATTGAATTTTATAATAGATTGTTTAAAGAGTGAAGAAAGTATAAAATAACTACCTACGCTATAGGACTGTCAAATGGAGACTCGGGTATATTTCGCAGGAGGCTGAATGTCGAGGGCTTTTTTGAGTACACTCCGCAATAATCATTCATAAGGGTAAATCATACTCCAGAGTCCACCAGTCTATACAAAAGATTCGCATGTGAAAAAGGAATCCATCGTCACACCGCTTGCAACTGCCATTGTACCCCAGAAATGTGGAGTCATGGGAACGGAGCTTCAAGCATAAGCGTGTGCCGAGGCATGAAAGTTCCAAGTTCCCCTGCAACAAAGCAGCCGAGCCATTTCTACATCAACCCAACATACTTTACCTACCTGCCTACCTTTGACTTCTTCATCTTGTTTTCTTCATCAATCTTATTCATCCATCCTCTCCTCACTCCTATCTCTATCATCAATCCTTCTAATATACCATCAATCAATTGAGGAATCGCAGCACATACATACAAACAACCATGTCGGAGCTACGTTATGATGGTCAAGTCGTCGTTGTGACGGGAGCCGGCGGTGGCTTGGGGAGGGCATATGCTCTCTTTTTTGGTTCAAGGGGTGCAAGTGTGGTTGTAAATGATCTTGGGGGATCTTTCAAGGGCGAGGGTACTTCCACAAAGGTATATTCCTTCCAACCATCAATCAACCATTTCACATTCCCTGCCATCTACTAACATCATCTCAAGGCCGCAGATGTCGTAGTCGATGAAATCAAAGCCGCAGGCGGAAAGGCTGTAGCCAACTACGATAGTGTCACAGAGGGAGAAAAGATCATCGAAACCGCCATCAAAACTTATGGCCGCATCGATATTTTACTCAACAACGCTGGAATCCTTCGCGATATTTCATTTAAGAACATGCAAGACAAAGATTGGGATCTGATCATTGATGTTCACGTAAATGGATCATATAAATGTGCAAAGGCCGCCTGGCCACATTTCAGAAAACAAAAGTATGGAAGAGTGATCAATACTGCTAGTGCGGCTGGTTTGTTTGGAAGCTTTGGTCAAACAAATTACTCTGCGGCTAAATTAGCCATGGTTGGATTTACGGAAACTTTGGCAAAGGAGGGTGCCAAATACAACATCCACGCAAATGTTATTGCTCCTATAGGTATATTTTCCATTCCCCTTTGGGACTACGTTCGGTCACTAATGAATAATAGCTGCTAGCCGCATGACTCAAACTGTCATGCCACCCGAGATTCTCGAAAACTTAAAACCAGATTGGGTAGTTCCTCTTGTAGCAGTTTTGGTACACAAGGATGCCCAAGAGAATGGTGCAATCTTTGAAGTTGGTGGCGGACACGTTGCCAAACTTCGATGGGAACGTTCAAGTGGTTTGTTGCTTAAGGCAGATGATTCATATACTCCAGGAGCTATCCTGAAAAAGTGGGATCAAATCAATAACTTCAAAAATGCCGAACATCCTGATGGTCCTGCGGATTTCATGGGCCTTCTCGAGAAATCAATGAAGATGGGACCAAATGACCAAGGAGAGACCCTTGATTTCAAGGGAAAGGTTGCTTTAGTGACCGGTGGAGGCGCTGGGTAAGTAAATATAATCTGTTCTCAAAGGGTTAGGCTAATTTTCTTAGTATTGGACGATGCTATTGCTTGGCGTTCGCCAAATACGGTGCTTCAGTCGTTGTTAATGATTTGATGAATCCAGATGATGTTGTCCAAGAAATCCAGAAGCTTGGTGGTAAAGCTGTTGGTGTAAAGGCATCCGCTGAGGATGGAGATGCTGTTGTCAAAGCTGCAATCGATGCTTACGGACGTATTGATATTATTATCAACAACGCTGGTATCCTCCGTGATAAAGCTTTCACCAATATGGATGATAAGATGTGGAATCAAGTTTTGTCCGTCCATCTCAGAGGTACATACAAAGTTACCAAGGCTGCATGGCCATACTTCTTAAAGCAAAAGTATGGTCGTGTAGTTAATACTACCTCTACCAGTGGTATTTATGGCAACTTTGGACAGGCCAACTATGCTGCTGCTGTAAGTTCAACCCCTTAACGACTTGAAGACCTTTGCTGACCTTTGAAGAAATGTGGTATTCTCGGTTTCTCTCGTGCCCTCGCTCGTGAAGGTGCCAAATACAATATCTATGTTAACACGATTGCACCAAACGCTGGTACTGCAATGACTAGAACCATTATGCCAGAAGAGATGGTTCAAGCATTCAAGCCAGACTACATAGCGCCATTAGTAGTTGCTCTTTGTAGCGATAAAGTTCCACCCCCACCAACTGGTGGTCTTTTCGAAGTCGGTAGTGGATGGGTTGGACGAACAAGATGGCAACGAACAGGTGGACATGGTTTCCCCGTCGATGTTAAGTTTACACCAGAAGAAGTTGCGAAGCATTGGGCAAAAATCACCAACTTTGATGATGGACGATCGGATCATCCTGAAGATAGTCAAGATGGTTTGAAGAGTATTATGGCGAACATGCAAAATAAGCAGGGTGCGAGCAAGGTATGAGAGTTTTTATTCATATATAGGCAGGGTGTCATGTATATTAGCGCAAAATAAAGATATTTGTTAACTTATTTTCCTGTTACAGAAAGTTGAGAAAAAGGTTGAAGTGAATCAAGAAATCCTTGATAAAATTGCTGCGGCAAAAAAAGCTAAAGCACGTGGAAGCGAGTTCAAATTTGAAGAACGTGATGTTATGCTATACAACCTTGGAGTAGGTGCAAAGAAGTCGGAATTGTCTTTAGTTTTGTAAGATGCTCGTTTCTTTCATACAAAACTCGACTAATTGAAGTATAGTGAGGGTGATGAGAATTTCCAACCTCTTCCAACTTTCGGTGTTATCCCACCATTTAACGCCGAAGCCCCTTTCACTTTTGACGAAATTGTCCCAAATTTCTCCCCTATGATGCTTCTCCATGGCGAACAATATCTCGAAATCGCCTCCTACCCTATTCCCACCTCTGGCACTCTTATCTCATCACCAAAGCTCATCGAAGTTGTCGATAAAGGTAGTGCCGCCGTTGTGAAAGTGGGAACTACAACCGTAGAAAAAGAAACAGGAAGAACAGTTTTCTATAATGAACAAACTGTTTTCTTGAGAGGATGCGGTGGGTTTGGTGGTGAGAGAAAGGGGGCGGATAGGGGAAATAGCACGAGGGCTAATAAAGTTCCTGAAAGAACACCTGACGCGGTGGTGGAAGAGAAGACGACAGATGAACAGGCTGTACTTTATAGATTGAGTGGTGACGTTAGTTTATGTTCTATTGCAGGAGTATGAAGGTACTAACGGAAATAGTATAATCCTCTTCACGTCGACCCAGCATTCGCAGCTGTAGGTGGATTCAAAGCTCCTATTCTCCACGGTCTTTGTTTTATGGGTATTGCCGGTAAAGCTGTATATCAAAAGTTAGTATCCTTCCTTCTTTTCTCCTCCCTTCCTTCCCCTATTACCTTCCTATGCTCTTCAATATCCCATCTCTATCTTATCCCAACCCATTCTAACGAACATAGATTCGGAGCCTACAAAAACATCAAAGTCCGCTTCGTCGGCACAGTTGTCCCAGGCCAAACTTTAGTCACGGAAATGTGGAAGGAGGGTGATAATAGAGTGGTTTTCCAGACAAAGGTTAAGGAGACGGGGAAATTGTGTATTGCGGGTGCTGGAGTGGAGTTGTTGGGCGAAGAGAAGGGGAAATTGTAGATGAGGGTGAGGGTGAGGGGAGAATGATAGGAAGACTCGAGGGAATTTTGGATTTGTGAGACTTGAGTGGATGGGATGTAATTGGAAGCACTGGCATGGACTGGCATGGAATGAATTAGTATCTGCTCCTTGTCTTGGGTTCCCTTTGAAGATTGTTATGTATATGTATATGGATATTGTATGGTATGGTAAGGCATAGAATGAAATGGAATGAAACAAGTAGAATGAATTTGATTTTATTATTTACTCTTGATAAACCAGTTGCTTTGTTATTTATTTATTTTATTAAAAAATAACTTTTTTTTATTGTATTTATTATAGTTTTTATAACTCAGGCCTTAAAGAAAGGATTTAAATCTTTTTGATTAATTAATATTCTTTTTGAGAATATTGTTATTTCGGTTAACGTGGTTTATCAGTGGGTCGGACATATCAGTGGGTCGGACACTTTTTCCTCGATTTATCACTTTAAAACTATATTATTCAATAACAATTGGATGAATCGATTGAAACTATTAAGAATCTAATAAACTAGCATCTATTGTATTATTTTGACAGGTTCTTGAATTATGACCAGTCTTTCCACACTTACTACAGCATCGACTAGTAGATGATTCCCTATTAGAATTTCCTCCATTTTGACGCTCGTCGCGTTGAATCTGATTATCAATCTCTTGTTGTGATAATATATCTTCAGCTTCTTGTCCAGTAAGTACTCCTCTATTACGTAGTTGAATTTTTTTAGTGTATCGACGTTTACTTAACGCTTCATTTGCTTTTCGAAGTATACGATTCTCAACACTCAAAAGTGTAACTTCATATGCCAATCTCTCTGTACCTTTAGCTAAAGCTTGTACAGTCTCAAATATAGGTGTAGGAGAGCTTGATTGATGACGAGCTATTCGAGCTTTTATTAGAGTTGATTGTAAAAGAGCCTCAGTTGGATTGTGAGGGGTTTGAGAGATCCAGAAATTGGTAAGTTCCAAGGAGGTAGATGGAGGGATAGAAGTACGAATCCTAATATCTAGTTTTGAGAGTATAGATTGAGGATCAAATGATATTAGACCTGCTCCTCGAAAACCAGCTTTTATATTCTGAATAGTAATCGATTGTTGATATGCAGCTTTGAAAGCTATAAAGAATTCAACCTTAGAAATATGATTGATATGAGCCTTGATAAATCCTTCAATTTGACAACTATATGAACGTTTGAGTACGCTAAAATATCCAATATCAAGTGATTGAGTTAAGTGACTTGAATACGATGGTAACTTTATGCATATAATATCGTTTGACTTGCAATATGACTAGAAAGGTATCGATTCGTGACTTTCATGCCCATCCAATATTAGCATTCGATATTTGCCCTTTCTCCGTTGACTAGTATACTTATCGAAATACTTTAATCATTCTAAACCTATCTCATTATTCGTCCATTTATTAGAAGTAGGTTTAATAGCCCAATCTGCAGGAAAATCACTCTTTGTATACCAATTAGAAAAATGATATTATTTTTGTACCACTAAAAATGGTGGTATAGTTTTACCCTCTCCATTACCACATATAATCGCTATAGCCCACTCTCGATTGCCTGATTATATTGCCTTGCTTCTGCCACTTCGTTCAACACTAGTTACAACCATTCCGGGGTATATTATACCCATCATAAAGCCTGTTTCGTCGAAGTTGTAGAAATCGCAATCCTGAATCCCATATTTCGCCTGCATATTCGATACCAATCGAAATCACTCTTCAATAAGCTCTGGATCTTCGCAAAGAGCTCTTTGAAAGTCATAGATACAATTAAAACATATCTTTAATTCTGAACATCGTTTTACAAAGCGATGAGCCCAGAGCTTTCCAACCTTTTTCGCACCCTGTGTTTCGAGCATATAATTCGCCATATCTTCCACACTATTTAATTTAGGGGCAAATCCTCTATCATCCATATCAATAATATATTGAATAAGCACCTCCTCTTCTAATTCAGTCAAATTATGACTTTTTGGTCGACTTTCAGCTATATTACTACGACTTTGAATTCTGTCGAATAATGTAGATCGAGGCACACTATAATAATTAGCAGCCTTTCGAATCGTCAATCTTTTGTTCAATTCGATAGCCTCAATGGCCAGGACTATTCGTGCTTCTTTTGAATGAATTTCCATTAATAACTATTGAATAAACGCGTATTGAAGTGAGAGAGTAAAGGATATTGAAAAAGTGTCCGACCCACTGATATGTCCGACCCACTGATAAACCACGTTATTATTTTAAAAAAGATAGTTTTAATATATAACGTGGTTTATGGAGAACTCGGACACTTTTAGCCCATCACTAATTTGAAACTGTAATAACTTTTATTATGCATTCTCAATCACTCTTTACACCTGCTCAAATTGAAGAGAAGATTAAAAAGGCTACATTTGCACTTCAATTGAAGGAATTTAAATCAATTAGAAAAGCTGCAGAGCACTTTGAAGTCCCTAAGTCTACTCTAACTGATAGGTTGGCTGGGAAGAAAACATGTTCCCAAAGCCACGAAATAGCTCAAATCCTTTCAAGCGCAGAAGAGAATACTCTTGTACGATGGATTTCACAACTTACTATTACTGTGTGAACGAAGTGAATGACTTCAATTTAAATTACTACTGTAATAAAGAACTAAGCGAACGCGAAAGAGACTAGCTCTTTTAGTAAGTCTATATAAGACTTACTACTTTCAATATGTAGCTAGCTCTTTAGACAGAATACAATTAGACATACAGGACCTACGTAATCCGTGGGTGCTACGTCTTCCGTATCCTTCTCGTACCAACAATTTCGTTGACTTTGTTCCTTGTATTTAGTAGTGTAAAAGAGTGTAGTTGATAAATAAAGAATTTGATAAGGATTAATTGTTTACTTAGGGTTTCTTCCTTTTGTTCTATAGTTTTCTGTTTTGTGGGTTTTCTCTTTGTAATTAGATTCCATTCTTCTGAGGTTTTGGTGATAGTGGCATAGCTAGCTTTGGTTTCAGGGGCGTTTATTGTAGGGGGGATCATATGATTAAGAAGATTTGAAAGATAATTGGCTTGCTTTTCAATCTGTTTAATGGTATTTTCTAAATAGGAGATTTGTGATATAATAATATTTGAGGCTTTTGTAAATTTTCCTTTTTCAAGATATTTACAAAATATTTCGATTAAGTCTAGGACTTTCGATTGTTCTTCGATATCCTCTTCCAGGGAGGCAGCTAGAATGAGTAGACTTCTAGCTTTTTGAATAGTTTCTTTTGATGAATTAATATAGAGTTCTAAATGATTGGATTATCGTCTTTGTTTATTATTGAATTGGAGTATTGGGCGATTGATTGATGATTTGAATGGATCATCAGAGCTTAAGGTATTGTATTGGGTTTGAAAGTTGAAGGGTTGGGAGAGAATAGAATTGGAAAGGATGAATAACGGGCTATTGTCTCTTTTATAGGTTTGTTCAATGTGGTTCATTTGATATGGAGTGCCTAAGATCACTTCTGGGAAGTTCGATTGGGTGGTCCCCGTCATTGAATTCTCTTCCCTCGTAATGGAGGGATGAAAGGGGTGAAAATTTCACGCGTTTTAGCGTGGTTTCACATGTTTTGGACGTCGACAATAGTATCACAACAATTACTGGTTCAATTTCTTTGGGGACAATTGCATTCGATTGATGCTGATTTGTTTAGTGCAAATGAGATATAAAAATGGTGTATTTCGAAAAATAATTTTTCTTCAAAATTTGTTGTGATGATGAATCTAATGATTATCAGGCCATCTAATCAGTAAATAACTGATTCACTGCTCCTGTATACTCAATAATGTGTCTCAAGAGCCATGTAATCATTTAAAAGATCAGTACAGAAAGTACGTGTAGCTACCTTTGTTCTAAGTTTACAAAATGCTTGTTGTTGTAACGATGCTGTACTGGAGGCAGCGACTGCCTGAGGTTTCGTCTGGTTGGTAGTTATGGGTTAAGGCTTTATCACTGGTATTCACTTGGAAGTGAAGTCGTTATGTTACGACGGATCTCACATACCTAACATCACGTGATTAGCATCATGTGATATGAGGATCCCAGTAGGCTCAGCTGTCCCAGTACAACTGGGACAACTGGGAGCACTGGGACGCATGCCACGATGGTCTATATAATCAAGATGGATTTCCTTTGTATAGAGCTTCGTGCTCAAGATCAATCATTTAGTATACTCTACTATTAGTTACGAATTGCATTATTGTCATTACTTTAAGTCCCTGCTTGACGCCTAGTAATAAACCACCTCGAGAGCCTAGAGCACTTCCACGTGATCTAGACGGCAAACCTCGTAACACGTTACTAGATCAAGTAGAATGTAGGTAAACTAATTGATAACTAAATTGAGCACGAAGCTCCTAAACAATAAAACTATTCTAACTATATACTCATCGTTTCCCTGGATGCTAGCTATGCTAGCTGGCTAACATAGCTAGCATTCCTATCGATGCTAGCTCTGCTAGCTGGCTAGCAGAGCTAGCACATTACGTGATCTCCTATTGGCCTCAGGACACTAATCCTGGGACAATTCGTCTCCTGGAATAATATAGCTTCTAGGATAATTGTCCTGGGACAAATATTATCCTGGGACGTTTATCCTAGAACGAATAATGCCCTAGGACGCTTGTCCTAAGTCATCACGGTTGCCTAATTGGTTTGTCCTAGGATTCCTTATCGATAAGAACCCCTCAGGAAACAGCGGCCTAAACCTCCGTACTTGCTTTTATTGTGTTATAATTATCGTGATTTGTGACAAACATCCGGATATCGGCATCTAGGCGATTGTAATATTTCGTGGGGTGAGGCCCTTTCTTCGATTGTCTGAAATTCGTGAATTATGATAGATGAGGCTGTATTTTAGCTGGCGGTGAGAAAATAACCGAAATTGGGGGGAGAGAAGGCGGGGTCGTAGTGTTGTATTTGATATCTGGAGTGGCATGAGTCAGGACAAGGTTGGAAGGATTTGATAGACGTGGGGTTCAATAATTACAGAATGGCAATACTGTGTAGATTTATCACAGTAGCCGCCGACGCCAACGATTAAGTTTTCACTAGTATCCATTTGAAGAGGCTGTTTAAACAGTAATGGAGAGATTGCATATTTTGGATTTGGATTTTTTCCTAGTACCAGAAGATTAGACAAATGACTATCTCGTTCCACAAGTTTCATTCCATACAAGCCATCCTAACAATTGGTAAAGAAATATTTAGCTTATCAATGGAATCGAAAATTGTTATTAGGTCAAATTCTTTTGATTATGAGACATGAAAATTTTTCCCGCATAATCCAAGAAACTAATGTTAAATGAAAGGAGAAAAATCTTAGCATATTTGATAACCTAACCTTCGTACATGAACTCAGGTTACCTAAACAGTCTAATCTTTTAATTTTGTTATATGCGTGTTTGCATGCTTCTGGACTAGTGGCATAAAACGCAACTGACAGAATCTGGAGTACATTGCATTAGCCGAAACAATCGAATCCATAGTAACTTGACATCACTTACGTATACCGAGAAATGGAAAGGATGTCGTTGATCTTCTGAGATCCAGGGGTTTGTTCGAGCTTAAGGAAAGCCACAGCCACTCAAGGCTTGCTTAATCTTCTTTGTGAATCTTCAAGATGTCCGGGGTGCCACGTTTTGCTGGGATAAGTGGTTTGCAGCCATTAAGTCAATTGATTGATTGAGCAATTTATGATCCTCGACCGTCAAAGTTTTTTGGTGTTCCCAACTGGTAATTTACCGTACATATGACTTTCGCAATGTGGCGAAGGTCTTGCTAGTAAGCTGACATCACGCAATACCGCTACCAACCAAGGACACAATATTCTCAGATAATGCCACAAAAAAGCTCCTTTAGCGATCAAGCCGACATTCATTACAGCGAACGATGCTACCATTCCGTTTCGCTTTGCCCTGTATCCTCGACGTTATCATTCTTGGTAGAATGAAATTATTGCACTCTTTAAGTGAAAATTCCTTGGTGATGCTTGCCGTTAGTGTCTTGCAGCACCTCGTATTAAATCGTTATTAAAGAAACGCATGTGATTCGTCATTACAACGAAGAGTCATCCACAAACCATGCAAGAGATAAATACACATTGCAAAGACTCTTCCCGCTATTCGTCATCTCAGGGCGGGTTTTGTAGAAATTCGCATTTTGCTTCTCAGCCTCAGACCCGACAAACTGGACACCCCGGATCAGTTTAATTTCCCATGTGCCGACGTGTCCAAAATCCTGAGCTTGTGTGGGCTTATTGCCAGCCTGTTAGATCTTTTCGCGGGCATTACGATGTGCAATCTGTTGAAGATCCATGTCCTGGTTCTACACAGTGAGACGATTTTGTTATGTCAACGCAAAAAAGCTTTGAAATAGAAGCGAGGAAGCATGCTGCTAAGCTGTTAGGTAGCGGAACCACACCCTGGTTTCTCCTAATATTCTAGGGCAATTAAATTAACACCTGCTCTTTGATTGCTAGACCACTTTTTGCTATGCGTTATCTCAAATTTCGGAGCAATAATACCAATTTTAGTAACGAATTCTCATAAAACTTTCATCGCGGGACGGACCGTTGAGATTGCCATTGCGAAAGATTGTCCAATTATTATAGAGGTGCAGCATTTATTTCTTCTACCATGTTGATTACACACTTTTCGGTAATGTCTTACTGTGATGTACTTTGAGATGATTGCTAGCGGGCTTTTTCCCCTTTCCCAAGCAGGCATCTCGTTTGCAAGACTTCTGCTTTGAAAATGCTTGAATATTTCGATGTAGCCCATTTGACTTGACATGGGTACCTTGCCAACACTAGACGGCTTGGACCATGCTGAAGATGCAAATTATTGCCACTCAGGCTTAACAAAACTATCAAACATCAACTAGACGGTCCATGTTCTGAAGTTGTGAGCATTAGATCCTAGAAGACATCCCGGGTGAGCTGCGTGCATGCACACTCGTGCATAATTCCACATTTCTATCCGCCGATTCCCCGTAAATGATAAGGACTAAGCCAAGGGGTCAATCTGTAGACATGGGCACTTGAGTTTGATAGAATAGCTCGATCATGGAATTGAGGTTGTGAGTCTCATTCATTGATGCGCATGCTTGATCCCGAAAAGAGAACCGCGCATATGCATCTGACAACGAACTCCTACCTAAGTTTTGGCTGAAGGAATCACTCAGTCAAAAATTGTTACCGACTAACCTTAATCATGGCTTCCAAGACGAGTTACGTACGAAAACTATGAAGAGGAAAAAAGTCGGTCTGATCTTTTCTGCAACAAGGTGTGTGTTTATGAGTGCTTGGCTATTAAACTTTATCACGTGAGGAATTCACATCTGATCACTAAGAGTGCGCTAAATAAATATCAATATTCACACACGACTCTTTCAATGTACATGTGCTATGGTCAGTTTCAATGACGTGCGCCTCAAATTCACACTAGAAACCCTAAATTATCTACTTATTTGCATTACAGTTAAACCGTCCTCTCTGCTTCATGTAATGTTGTGTCAAAAGCTGCCTCGCGAAGTCGCGAAAAGGCCTCTTGTATGTGCTTGATGTATGATGACTTGGAATCGTGCAGTATCAGAAGAGTGATTGCAGGACTCTCGGCATAATCGACACGTGTTGAAATTTCCCAAGTTGGTATTGACAATCTAATGTTAGCAAACATAACCCACGCGTTCTTCATTCATTCAAAAGCATGAGATGATTCTGCAGCGCAAGCCAAGTGTAGCACTCGGCAATCTTGCGCACAATGCATACTGTACCATGGTACAAGAAAGGTCCGGTCCGGTTGGACAAAAGCCTGCCGACCGAACGGGTTGATCAACCTGGGAAACATACCGAGTTGTTCAGTAGTTTGATAGGGCGATAGTGCCAATATATGCTTGATGCGAGCATACATGGCTGATATGGCAGGCACTACTCGGTAAAGGCTCTCGCCTGAAATCCCGATTGATCTTGTGATGCTTTCTTTTTGGTCAGATTTCAAGTGGAGTTTCGATCTCGTTGCCATACGCCAATGGGCAAATGCAGGTTCTTTCGAGTCGCGCTACACACAGATTGGTTATCTCGATCGGCGTTTTGTGAAGGATGAAAACAATTCATTTTTATTAAATCCTATCATGCAGTACAACGCCCCGCCGGCTAGTTAACGTTTCAGGAACCATATATCCGGAATATCTTTTGCAGTAACGATATTTTATGATACTGCACCGCACGAAAATGGACATTAGCTCATATCGGCAAAAGTTGACAAGAACCAGACTCTTATCTCCTAGCACGCCGACGTTCCCGTCTTGGACAGACCTGAAAGGAGTGTTATCCACATTTTTATCATGTTTTTACTTCGCTTGTTGCGTAAGATTATTTGTCTCGGGCGTCGAATGTATACTGATGAACGTGCGTGTGTTGAAAACGGTTTAGTTCAAAGATCCTCATCAGGAAAATAAACTTCATCGGTATCTCCATTATTATGCTCGAAACTGTGCTTAATACTTCTCCCTCACCCCGCAAGAAAAATTTATGTCCTAGACTAATGCAGGTTCCCTTTAGTAATAAATTGAACCTGAATCTAGCAGATTACCCCCCCGGAGTTCCTCGTAAAAGCCACGGCTTCTCTAGGACACCATGTCATCCTGGATCCATTCTTCTTAGGGCGCGATCGATGGCATGGCTCTAATTACACTTCATATTTAGATAATTTTCTCCACTCCGATTGATTTGTTATTTTCTTTTGATTAAATATCAGGATGCATTTTGCGCCCTCGGTGAGATCAACTAGGAGACGAAAAGAAGCTGAAGCTTTCTAGGACACTTTTTCCATATCAAACCCGCAAATCAAGGAATGGCACAGATACCTGATCCTTGAACTCTTTGTATCGTAATTAGACCAGTATTGACAGATATGTGTGAATAATGCATGAGAATCTATGATCTACAGAATCTTACTTTTTGAATGGTGTGCATCTATACTTACCAGTACGTACTACTCGCATGCATCGATATTTGTTTACAATCCTATTATCTTTCAAGCCAGTGCATACATGTTCCCTGCATGATTCGTGCATAATAATTTGCAGGCTTGAAAAAATGGTTTTTGCGCAGCAGGACCAAATTCATGGTTAATAAATAACCTAATGGACGCCCATTTTGAGTTAAGGCAAAAGAGGCGAAGCTTCTTCGGTATGGAATGCTTCTATGCGGTAGATTCTGGTATGTGGTACACCTTTGGTGGTACTTGTAAGAACAAAAACAGTCTACACTAGGGTCTAACGGGACAAAACAATTGACAGCGTCTAGTCACCGGGAAAATTGCGCAAAATACAGCTAGGATGACGCACGCTGAATTCAGGTACTAGTTGTATCACTGCTGAAACCTAGTAGTAATATGATTAGTTTCGCAATTCAATCTGTGTGACAAAATAAAAATTTTCTCTCATTGATGTCATGTCCAAAAGATTCGGCTACCATGCTCGCAATTAAAGAAAGATTGAAGACGCTAGTGGGCATTGATAAATTACTACTACATCAAGGACTTTACTCCGCTAGTGACAGCCCGAAAATGCTAAATATAGTTATCAGGAATATGTTGGACCTCAAGTTTGGATTCTCTTTCCTATTTCGTATCTGGGGTTAGACGCGTACAAGCATTATCTACTACCCTAGAAGCCGATAATTCTAAGCTAAGCCTAACAAGTAGTCCCAGAAATTCCCAAAGAAGATCCAAGTCCGATTCATCTGATCCCGATCAGCCATTCCTGATAACCATTGTACGTGGTACAGGGCCACCAGGCTTGCCATTAAGTCGGATTTTAAATCACACCATATTATCTTTAGACAAGGGATAGTAAAATGGCCAATTGTGGGTTCAAGCTTTTCTGATAATTCTTACTACTGCTTCTTCGATCGTGAGAAAATATTTTTTCTTGCATGGATATCTTTTTTAAGGCTAAACGATTGCCGCTGTCGGCGCTGTTGGCGCTGCCTTTTGAATCAAAATTAATCTATCCCAAGAGAGGCGAGCCCGGCTTCCAAATTGCCAGCGCATTCATTGCTCATACCTTTAACACTTTTCCTAATTACTGATAATAGCTATCAACGTTTGTAAAAGATTTTATTCACCTAAAGACGTCACTACGCCTTGTGGAAAGCCTGGAGAAAGTCGCATTGCATTTCCAGAGTGGCAGGGATTGCTCTTTTGCCCTGCAGGGGGATGGATTGCAGAGGCAGGGGGATGGATTGCAGAGGCAGGAGGGAAGCATCAAACGATTTGACTCATCCTTTCTGCAGAAAATGAAAATATCTGTATCGATCCATGAAAACTTCATTTTCCCGATTATTGCTATACCTTAGTTCTTAGATTGAAGACAGGAAGATTTTCCGATCAGTCCCTGGAAACTCGAGTTTACCTTACAAAGGGGTATACTGTCCCTAGGTTATTTATAGTTTATGGAGTCACCTCGACAACCATTCTTTTTTATTACTGGTGTGAGGAGAAAAATTGAAGAAATCAAGATGAAGGGAAATTGGCATGCAGATTAGCTGTCGTTAGAAACCTTTAATCTACTCGTGCATTTGCATGTTCAAGCCATGGATATCTAGGTTTACTACGCATACAACCTTCTCGTATAATAAATCTTCATATAGGGGGAAATTCTTTGGTTGTATTAGCTGCATTCTTTCCCTGTGACCTGCTGGTCGCCTGCAGTAAAATGTCCAAGGAGTTGATCAACGCCCTTCCAAGATGCGGTTACCGAACGGGGAGGGAGCGGTTCCAAAAGGCCATCCACCGGTTCGCAAATGTTTCGCAAAATGTCTGACGCCTAAAGGCCACCCGGTGGGCTACAGAGGTAGAGAATAAATATATATAGGAGTCATTCCTCATACACATCCATATCTATTCGCACCACACTTTGCTTCACTTCTTCATAAGTCAAATAGTCAAATACATTTCTAGGTCATCAACTTCGACATTTACATACTCCACATTCCATTCTATGCTAGATATATTTCTAGTCTCGTTCTATCATTCAAAATACTAGATCTTCGATCTTTGCCCTTGTACACATCTGTTATTCACAATCTGCATACAACACACAACGTCAATAGCCCTCTTTCCTTTCGAAACCGTTAGCCTCTAACACACAATCCGCACTTTTATATACCTTCAAGTTCCTTCACCTATTTCACCACTCTTCATCATGGGCAAGCATATCAAAAATCGAGGACAATCTGCTAGCAAGCCAAAGCAGCAGAGGGCAAAGTAGCACTTCCTTCCGAACTCATGCGTGAAGCAATCTCTGACGATCGTAGGCCTCACGATAACAGAGCCTCTCAGGAACTTACTGCACAGTCGAACAGATCCGATGACCAAACACACCAGCACAACATTATCACACAGCCAGGAACAAGATCCATTTCCCAGGAGCAATGCGTTGAAGACGTTGAAGATGTCCAGGCCGAGTCAACAATGATTGAGGGCAGATACATCGAAGCCGACAATGAATCAATCTCCACAAAATGGGATTCCGCGGACGACAGTACTCTATTCGAAGCAATGGAAGAGGTTTCCCAGGATACAGCTAACCGCTCGTTATCCACAAATAGCTCCACAGATCCTCTCGCATTTCATCACATGGGTGCTTGTTTCCCTATGTCTAGCTACACCGAGACCAACTCCACAGGACACACTGAACAACAATTTTACCGTGAGAATCCTATCGCTACCCCTCAGACTGCCACATATTCTACCTTCCCATCATACAACGTCCCGTTTGCTAGGATTCCTTATCAAACCACCTATACATTCCCAATCACGACTATACATAGTCAACCAGCTACCACACTCGAAGACGAACCGGTCACAAATCAATTCCAGCTTTTGCAATGGATGCATGAACATTGTGTCGAGGAAATGACTGTAAGATTTCTTGCTGCCAAACTTCTGCCGTAAAGACTAACAATCTATCAGCTTGCCGAACGTATGGTAAGGTACAACTATGATCTTTAGACCAAAGTCGTTTAGTAACTAGGTATATACGCCATTGATGAGATGTAAGTAAATATCAAACTACTATTCCCAGTCTCATCTAACTTCAGTTTAGAATTACTGAATGGCAGTGGGTCATGTCAGAATCACGAAGCGATGATAAAGCCTTTTGTAGCACCATCACACCACGTTAAAAACAATTCCGAAGTCGAATATCATCGTCCTCGATAACCACATAATATATCATCAAATTTCTCCCAAGCACTCAATGCAATCATCTTCGAGAACAGGTACTCTCTGTGGAAAGCTACAATGGAATGTGGAAGACACATCAGAAATTTATACAATGGACCTCACGAATATCATTTGCAACTTTTCATTTATTTTCTTTCAAAGCATCGCGGCACTCAACAACATGCATCCCAACAATGGCCGTCAAAAATTCCATATTTCTAGAGAAATTCACAAATCAACAACAACCAGTTGCAAGCTCACTTTGCATCTGGCATCATGGCGAACATGATGATTTATTTTTCCAACCATCTATCAATTCTTTCATATACTACCAATCAGCAACAAAACATGTCACACCTGCTGGAACTTGCGACACTGTATTCATTTATTCCTGGAACATTCCAGACACGGATTACCTGCTACACTTGATCACAACCTTCTTCATTTATCTCGCATAACAAATGGTGCCTCCATCATACAAGAACACGCCTATATCTGAAGGTGCCTGGGTCAAATATTTGCGGGATGATGCGTCTTTTTTTACATTCGCAAAATGGACATAGGGTGAAGAGTTAGTGAGGAGGTAGCCTGATCGGTGGTCGTGTCCAAAGTCTTTACTGTGTATTAATTAATTCCTAATTTCGCTTTTCATGATATCATCTTCTATTTAATTAGTCTTCAGCAAATTATTTCTTCACGCACAAAATAAGATGGCAGTGCGTCGGAAGAACCGCAAGGCGCTTCTTCACCGTGAACCGATGATATAAAGCTATATTCTTTCATTGATGCTACTATATGTAAGGTACGTGTTCGCATGACGCACACTGTACCACCAGTGAACAACGGAAAACTTCGCCCTTCTTGCGCAATTGAGAACGTTACTCAAATTATAAAGATACTGTATAATATTCAGCTGTTCAGTGATTTTCCCAAGGCCTCAACATCACCCTACCAATTATTTGCATCAATACATCTAAAAAGATTGTGTAACTTCGGACGCGGGAACCTAGGATCCTGGATATCGATCAGCAGATGATGTAAAAGGTACGTACCCCAGTATGCAGCCCTACGGCACGGAAATCTTCAGTCCCAACAATATAAGCGAGAGGTTCAACAAAACAATACAATAGTTAAACCTCGTATTATGAAACGCATGTACAGAAACGCGTCGAAAGAAAATACCCAAGCGGATGAAGTTGATGAAAGAGAGTCGAAATTAAGTGTTAAATATCTTGCTGCTCTTGACAGGTCTCGCTTAAATCACCCCCTGAATTAATTGAGACCCCGTTTTGTCCCACTAGATGATATGATAGACTAGCTGATTAGCTTCTTCCAATTTCATCGAACAAATAAATAAACATTTTACCCCAGAGCGGACAATAGCGGAATACTCCGCACAACGGGATCTACATATCTAGTAAGACGAACCATATCAAAATATCGTTAAACCAGGGCGCACTAACCTTAAAAAGTAGCTAAGCGAAATAATATATTTAAGCCCTAACCACACACCGAACTTAGGCTGCACTTATTCCGAGTCGCCCTGCATGGTAGTGACGCTATCCCCGCAATTAATTAATTCTATCAAGCTCAGGGATTTTGTTATCTAGTTGAGATCCCAGTAATTAACGCGGCCTTGTGTTCGCAACTTCGCATCTAAAAATCAAATTTCAGCAAGGCCAAGAATACGCGTAGGACGAAAATCGCATTATTATCAGTTATAGAACAATTTTAGCGGAATATACTTCATTGTGTAATATGTATAAGGGGGCTGGGGAGACAGTTTTATCGAGGCATCTATCATGTGTAACTTGTAAAATGAGGCTGTGACTTTGATTTAGTCTTATCGAGATAATCTGTCGTGAATTTCAAACTCTATCAATTTTGAGCTGGGAGCCTTTGGCGGATTAAAAATTAGTGAAGCATCCTTTCTCTAGTCGGATAAAGTCGCCCGTTAATAGTTCATGCTCCGATTGGATCATCAAAATGGATGGTGAATTGACAGGGATGTGACCCGTCTACCCTGAAGTAAATGATCGGCATTCTTGATTTCGAACGATCTAGACCGTTAGCAATCCTTCGACCAGCTGTTTCAATGTTCACGCCAATTGTACAGATGTTTGTCGGAAATATCAATCAGTTATTGAGAGGAGGTCTAGAACCTCCATGAAAAATAGTTTATATCGGCAATTGATATTTCCAGGGTCGCGACAGTCTCAAACAATCAATTAGATCGCCAATCACATGCGGTGGTAAACAAGATATGGATTTTCTGTTCTTTAGAAATTGCGCCAAGACACGAACAGGATGTAGATGATTGAAATCCCGCAGCAAGATTCCATTCATTTTTATACATGCAGCTGAAATACAATTTTTGATCAGGCAGTTGATAAACTTGCCAGCTGAAAGATTTATACACGCTCCCTTGTTCTTCTCTGCGATAGCTTGGAAGACAGCGAGAATTGCTACGGAATTAGCGGCACAAAGCGTAGCTCCATATGGTAGAAGCCAGAGTAACTGGCTCTAGTGTGCTGGGCTGTTTTGCGATTGATCCCGGAAGTCGGCAACATGCTAGCAAGTATACTCTCCAAGGCAGTTCTATGCTTCGTACAGTTCGTCAATGATCCCGAGATATTTTCACTCAGCGCAAGGTTTTGTAAGCGATGGATCGCTCTAGGTGAAGCTGTACTCAGACCGTTTACATACAATGTATCCCTCAGAGCAATGAGACGCCAGTTGAATTCATACTATTCGGAGATTCGCATGCGATCACCTGCATCTTTTAGAGCAGTGTGATACCTAACAGGTCAGATTTCAATCCCGGCACATATACTTTATTACTCTGCTGTTGAAGGCCCTCTCAAGTACAGTGCAGAGACGGGATACATGCGTTCTGTATCACATCTAACGAACCACCCGTTGGCGTTCTATGTGCCGGCGCACATGCATCAAGCTGGATAATCGGCGCGGGGTTAAAAGCTCGCATTAGTTATCAGCTGGTCTGGACTACGCGAAAGGGCTGGATGACCAAAAGCCCACCGATTGTGGTTATGGTTTATTGATTGCGAAGCGAGGCTGACTAGTACATGCTGATATCAGAGTGATGCGAGTTGAACAATGACAAATGCGAACGGGAAAGTTCAGAGCAAAGGGCGAGGCGCTTCCATAGATACAAACCCATGAACTTTCTTAGTCGTATCTAGCACCTCGATTTGATATTGCTTAGTAAAACCATGGTTGCATGGTAATAAGGGACCCAGACGTAGTGCTGTACAAAATAAGCAACGTCTAACGCCGAACAGAAGGTCTGGGGTGTTGCGGTTCTCTCGTTTCGTGGGCTGAAAAATGGTTCGCCAACCGTTTGTTTGCCTCGCTTGCAATCACTACACTATACCGAGCCTCAAGCCAAGATCGAGTACTCCAACATAAATAAAATCAAGTCCCATGAGGTGGCAATGAGAGAAAATCGTGCAGCTCAAGTCCATTTGAGAGAAATCGCAAGACATAACGCTTCAGATACAGAAAGCTCCTTCGACTTTACCTCGTAATTAATCGTTTTGAGCTTTGCTAATTCTCTGGGCTGTGAGCATCATTTCCTCCGCCGATACGTAACTAAACTTGGAACTATCAAAACATTAGCCCGAGTGACAGCCACTACTACCTAAATTTGTGGTAATTCTTTGCGAGTCCTGAAAGTCCTCGAAAGCGACGCAGGTATAACTTCGAAAGTGCCCCACGCTCTTAACCAACAACGCGGTACCATCATGTCTACTATCTTCAATGATAATGATTCACACGAGGGAAATCAATCAATGATCGCTCTAAACGATTATACCGAAGACGAACGATGTATCAATGATATCCGTTCCTACCCCAGCCTTTTCAATGATGTTTCCATAGGCAGCTTTCCGCAACAAGAGTGGCATAGCGATTTTGATGGCCAAATATCATATAAAGATAACCAAAAGTCTAGCAAAAGAAGTGTTGACACAATCCTCTGCCACACTGGGACCCATTTCGACACCTCCGGCCAAGTCCCCGACCACCCTCTTTATCCAACCATCATCCCAGATGCACGTGATCTGTACAATCCCGAGTCTCCTAGTTTAGTGGTTGCCTCGCCCTCGAGCGACCACAGTGATAATCTCCATCTCACCATATCCTATACCGACATGGTACAAGACCAACATGTGGCGGACAAGTATAGAAGCGGTATTCTCGATATAGCCTCACATGAGATTGTATCCTCCCGCTCGGTGGAATCACTTCAACCAATCAGTTTGGGGATCTCACCAGAATACTACTTCCACATTGCGCCTGACGCAATCGGCGATAACAAGGCGTCCATTGCCGCTACGCCATCACCTTTAGGCAATAGCTCTAGTCCCTGTAAGGGACAAAGCACTTTCTATGCCCCAGGCGGAAATTCTTACAAACTGCAATGCCCAACTCCAGGCCACTCCACCTCACCATATGATTATTCCGGAAGTCAGACCTTGTTTTTGTGCACCACAACCTCGACCATGCACACCACCATTACCGGACAATCCTTGCCAACCATGAGCATCCATACACCACCTGAAATTTCGCTGTCCAATTCTCCGCACATCCATTACACATCCGATCAAACTCAACTTGATCGCTGGATATACGAAACATCTGATGATATGCCCGTAAGTCCGTTCTAACATGAAAAAGTAGCCGTAGTTGTCAACAATTACGGACTAGACGCTAATCGGTATGTTTCTGCAGCTAGCGGAGCGATTCGAAAAGTCCAAATGGGAATGTTAAATTTTTTATAAAAGGGGAAGGCGGCTGGGTTTTAGTGCAACATCAGTCTATGAAGATTGCGGTAAAGTCTAGTATAAGACCTCGCTAGGAGCCCTTATTTGCAATAGATTGATCGCAAATCAACCGTAACACGAATGCGACACTCGTCGCCCTCCAAGACACCAAAAATACCAAAATACAATAACCGAGAATAACATACGACAGTGGGGATTCGCTGGTGGTCACCCACCCAACTACTAATCCACCGATCTGAAGCTTGTGTATGGCAGAGCGGACGGGATGCCCAATTCTCTTCAGTCTATGGTCGTATGTGGAAGAATTGGGATGGTTAAAGGTTATATTGTTGAGGAGAAGAGCTGGATGAAGGGGCGCGATAATGATGCATGCAACATAATGGAGCGGTAAACTTGAAGAGGCATCGTGATAGATGAGGGATGTTTAAGAGCTTGGGAGATCCCTTTGATGTTAGGATTGCCGGGAGGCCTAAGAAAAAGTTGGATAACGGATGCAGAACTGTTGGAAGAGGAGATAGAAAAAAGTCAACAAAACACTGCTAATTGTTTAAATGTTCATACCCATATTTTCAACTCGACTGGAGCGATGTCCATTGTGGTAGATGAGAGGGTTGAATCAAAGATGCAATATTGACTCGATTTTTGTGCGTGGGGAGCCGGCGTAGCACGTGACTAGGCCACTCCATCAAATACCGGTACTTTCAGTCATCCAACAGATTTGGTGGTTGGATTTGTGGCTCCCTTCGTCCAGAATATGATCTAACATGACAAAGATACCTCTACTCGTTCGATAACTTTTTGGGGACATCTGCCACACGCCTGCTAGGCCACACTCAAAAGACTAATAGGATGAAACAATGCTTACATGGATTAGTAGACATTCACATTTACTTGCCCAAATATCATCTGCATCTTACTTACCTAGTTAACCATCAATTTTCTGAGAAGACACCAGTATATCTCAACTTTGTCGAAAAGATTCAACGAGGAGATATTTTAGCATAGGCCTCTTGACGGATAGCAATGAATCAATCTTTCTTGATTTACGAAATCCAAGATCGTCCAAGATTCTATGAACTGTGACCCGTATCATTCTAGAACTCATATTTGGAAATGATTAATATCTATTCGATCTCTTGTCTAAACTGTACTTTGAGTACTGGAGCTAGCCGTCCTGTCCGCCTTATTACCACTCCTTACTTTCTTGAAGCAAGAAAATTCACCCTTACTCGCCTCCCTTAACTTCTTTAAATCACCCCTCATTCCTGGAAGTATTTTTTGTAACCTTGCTCTCGCCTCTCCATCTGTTCCCTTATCCAACTCCTGATAAATCTGACTTGAAGTCTCGGTTGCTCGTTCTGTTGTATACTGATTCATGGTCTGTGCCACGAACTCGATATCGAGAGTAGCTTGAATAAGGGAATTGAGCGGAAAGCGTTGGCGTTGTTTGAAGGCCTCCAAGAATTCCAAAGACACTTGCTCTAAGAGATAAGAGAGTACTTGACCAGTGAGGGAAGAGGCAGTTGTGGATACTTGGGTATGGACGATTACAAGACACAATAGAGCCTCATATACGTAAGGACGAACTTCTTTTGGCTGTTCTGTTGGCGCCCAGTCCGGTGCTAGAATTCCACAACGCACGATGCTGCGGAGAGTCTCAACAGTAGGTTTAGTATAAGATTGGAACAGACGAGCATCAATTTGGCCGAGGACATCTCTTATTGTCTTAGCTTCCTCTGTAAGCTTGACAGAAAATGCATTCTCAAACTGCGTTGTAAGGTTTGGAACAACATCGACACGAAGGGCCTGCAGATTGCTCAGAGTCAAAAGCATCCGAACATTCTAGAGAAGTTAATTCGGTTCTGAAAGGGAGAGACTTAACTTACGCGGTCACTAGCATCGACAATTCCAGCATCCATGCTTGTAGCAACAACCATAGCCACAGGAGTTGCCAAACCATCAGTATCAGTAGTCCAATCATCTTCTGCCTTTTTAATAGACCTTTCTGCATTCTCTACCATCCCACTCAGTGCTTTATATAGGGTCGTTACAAACTGACTACGAACCATTTGCAAGAGCTTTGCCGGTGGAGGGAGAACAATGTCGGCCGAGCCTGGCTTGATTGATGCGTCAGAGATGTAAAGGATCTTTTGCATGCCTATGAGGATTGCACTTTCGAAGGCACTAAAATTGGCTGGCATCCTGGTCAAATCTCGTTTGTCTGGTGAACGCCTCCAATCTTCCAAGACTTTGATGTTTTCAGCATCTTTATTCCATGCTGCGAGTATTGCAGTTACGCATCTCTCGCGCATTCCTCCAACAAGAGCCTTCAATCGTTCTAAAACTGAACCATCTCCGTTAATCACCGGGTATAATCCCGACATCTCGCTTGCGCCAGAACCTACGAGTGTCAAGAATTTGGCTAGATAATGGACGCCACTGGCCGAGTTTGACCATGGCGGCCAGAATGCAAATTTTTCCCAAGCCTCCCCTCGTTTCGGAGATGGAGGTGGTAGGTTGTTGGGATCAAATGCGAATCGAGAACCTCGAAGGGCAGAGGGAGTCAATGAATCAGCCGTTCTTGGTGTCCGTGGCGTAGGTGGTAGAGGTGAAAACAATGCTGATATATCCTCAATTGGAGGAAGGACGAACAATTCATATATACTTTCCCGAAGCATATCAACTAGCTGAACTGTTCCTTGTTGCAATTCGATAATGTTCTCATCAGAAAGCCTATGGTGCTCTCGAGACTTTCCATTTATTCCTACAGGTAAAGCTTTCTGTGTCCTACCATCGATGAAACCTTGAACAGTCTGCCAATATTCTGTCACTTCGCCAAGAACACCTTGCGCGGAGATCATGCTATGGAGGAAAGAGTCCATTTTCTCCCACAACTCGATGATGTCTGGAGAATCCACTGAAACCTGTTTGTTGTCTACAATTTGGCGTCCAAGCGACCGCAGGTGAGTGGCTATGATTTGAGATGCAGGCTTTTCAGCACTAGCTAATCTCCGTCGTAGAATTTCGATCTCTACTCTCGCGCGGTCCGAAGTCGTTTGGATTTTGACCTTAAGGTGATCATAACGACTCAGTAACCAAACCCAAATAGGATTATCCGTGACCCCTAACTCAAGTAATATGCTAATAAGTTCCATATGTTGATCCTGCTGAGCGCCCATGAATCCATCCATTTTGCTAGAGCCTTGTGCTAATGATAACTTCTTCCACATGTCGCGTTTAAAGTCCTCGATCTGCGATTCGACATCATGCCATACGCGGGCAGCCAGAAGGATTTGGTGTATCTGAGGATCAGTCGGCGGTGTATTTCCTAAGGTTTCAGTGAGTTTCTTTGCATCATCTGCGAACCGTCTTGCTTTTGTATATTCTTCGACAATACTTTCATAATCTTTCCGCTTGATACTATCGGTAATGGCAGCGTTGACCTCGTAGTATTCTTTGTATCGATCAACGGTTCCAACCAGTACTTTCAGACTGTCCTCCTTCTCTCTTCCATCTAATGCCGGGCCCCAAACCTCTTCTGCCTTTGCTGAGACATCTAGAAGGGGTGTTTTGATTCCAAGCACACCATACTCGCTTTCTTTCATCAATGCGTTCTTCTTTCTAACATCCAAAGGCGCTGGAGTTGTCATTCCAATCTGATTACCACTGCTCGCTCGAAAACTACTTCTGCTGGCATGGCGGGAATGAGGTCTAGGGCGGGAAGCTGTAGGTGGTTCTGCCCCTCGATACTTCATCTCCGTATAAACATTGTCTATTGTGGCTTTAGCACGCACGAAGCGTTCAAAGTTCGATTCGACGAGGACCTTCAGGGAAGCGGATTTCTGGTCAATGGACCTAGAGAGAAGATCTAGTCCTCGTAAAAGGTCTTGCGTAGAGGCGGTAGAATGAACTTGCGATAAAAATAAGGCCGGCGAGAACGTTGTTGAGGACAAGAGAAACCTATTACCTGGTACCGTCAGTGGAAGTATGAAAGAAGGGGTAGAGATTCTAACGCAGTGCTATGTCGTCCTGCACAGGTAGACCTTGCTGCCGGAGAACTCTGACAACGCTATCTGTACTTCCCAAAGGGTCTGGCTCGTCCCTCTGAACCAAGTTCTCTACTCCGTCGCCTGACTTTTGTGAATTGGGAATAAGACTTTTGCGATCACTAGCTTTCTCGAGAGCGAAGTATTTCGACTTTCTGCGCGCAACAGCTGCTGCCTTTGAACCATTCTGCTTTGACTTGGGAGCTTCGTCATCCTCATCCGAGGCATCACTTGTATCCTTATCTGCCGGCCATTCTGTGGGATATGGAGATGAAAGTTGGTAATGATCCAAAATGGTTCGTTCCATGTCCGTCATATTGAATCGTGGTTAATTCGAGGTTGTCGCAACAATACCTCGAGTATTTGCTCATAAATTCCAACACTGCATCAAACAATTCACGGCTCCAAAGTCAAACATTGGTGGTTCAAAATTTATGGAATGTATTGTAGTATGTCGAAGTTCAGTGTCGCTACATTCAATGTTTTAGGTGAATATCAATCCCAAGGATCACAAGTCGGGAATTACCGATATCAGGCGCCGACAGCCCGGGGCAAAACGGCTGAAAGTGGGAACGCGGAATCCAAGGAAGCAACTTCTTACTTGAGGAAAAAAGCAACTTTCCGCAAGTTAGCCGACTTTAAATCTTCTATCTCTAAACATATTTTGACCAACTCACACTCTCTACTCCTATTCTTCCAATAAATTCTTGCGAAATTTTGGCGAGAATAATTTGGCAGACAGTATGTTAGCAATTAGATCATTTGGCGCTCCCGCGCGCAGACAGTGCATTCAAGTATCTTCACGTGCTTGGAAACCAGCCGCTGTCCAGGTAAGAATATACTTAGTTCCCGCTGCAATGCAACTATTGCATATTCAAACTTCTTTGCACATGCTCACTATTTATCACTACAGGCGCGCCGCCAGTATGCCACCGAGAAAGCCAAGATTGCCCAGTTCCACGGCCAGAAGGGTTCAGATGTAAGACATCCCAAGCCAATGAGAATAGTTCCAACGCTGCACATCCTATAATAAAACGAAAAGGAAAACAATTGAATACGGGGATAGCTTCTGGGAATATAGCCACTGACGTTCTCCAAGGGACTCTACACAGTTAGTTTGATTGAAGGTGACGGTATTGGACCCGAGATTTCGCAATCTGTGAAGGACATTTTTTCGGCCGCTAAGGTAAGGAGAATATTCGAACGATCTCGAGTCAACTCTGACACTGGATTAAGGCACCTATCAAGTGGGAGCCAGTTGATGTTACCCCGCAACTCCGAGACGGAAAGACCACCATTCCCGCAGAGACTATCGAGAGTATCAACAGAAACAAGGTGGCTTTGAAAGGTCCTTTGGCTGTATGTGTAGCCCATCTGTTATTCTCTAGCCCGGTACTAATCTACACTAGACCCCTATCGGTAAAGGACATGTATCTTTGAACCTTACTCTTCGCCGAACTTTCAACCTCTTCGCCAACGTTCGGCCATGTCGCTCAATCGCAGGATACAAGACACCTTACGACAACGTCGACACCGTTCTTATCCGAGAGAACACTGAGGGAGAATACTCCGGTATCGAGCACGTTGTGGTAGATGGAGTAGTACAAAGCATCAAGCTCATTACAAGAGAGGCTAGTGAGCGTGTTCTACGATTTGCTTTCCAATACGCCCAGGACATCAACAAGTTGAAGGTCCGAGCTGTCCACAAGGCCACGATCATGAAGATGAGTGATGGTCTTTTCTTGAGTACCGCAAACAGAGTTTCCAAGGATTTTCCAGCCGTCGAGTTTGACTCTGAATTACTCGACAATACCTGCCTGAAGATTGTTACAGACCCAACTCCATACAACGACAAAGTTTTGGTTATGCCTAACCTTTACGGAGATATTTTATCGGATATGTGCGCTGGTCTCATTGGTGGTCTTGGTCTTACTCCTTCCGGCAACATTGGAGATGAATGCTCTATCTTCGAAGCTGTTCACGGATCTGCACCAGATATTGCTGGCAAGGCTCTTGCCAATCCTACTGCTCTTCTCCTCAGTTCCATCATGATGTTGAGACACATGGGATTGAACGAACACGCACAGAGAATAGAGACTGCAATTTTTGATACCTTGGCGGAAGGAAAGACCTTGACTGGTGATTTGGGTGGCAAATCTAAGACCCATGAGTATGCTGGAGCAATTATCAGCCGTTTGTAGATACAATAGATACCCAGTTTAAGGGAGTATAGACTGTACCATCATGTGCATAAATTCCCGCACTGTTCATAAAATACTAAATCGCACACAATCAGTCGGGAAATTTTGCTTTTATACGTTGAAACATATTGTTGAACTATTGAGGCTGTTGTCTGTTAGTTACTACTAGTACTATTCCGTATTCCTTTACAACATGTCGAATTTTGGATGCACGAAACCAGAATCCAATTTCTCCTCCAGTTCCTGCAGAATAAACCCGAGCTTGGAATGTTTTTCACCCGCTTGTGGTGAATCACGTGGCAACATAAATTACACGAGGCCGTTCGTTTCGCAGAAGCTTGGACTCAGTCAACAATGAACATGCAGTTCAACTTCAACATCCTTGGGGATCACCGCACGTGGTGAAACGCATCAACGACATTTGCCAGTCACATTTTGATCTGAACCTCAAGATACGAAACTCTAAAGAGAAAATTTCTTTAGTACCAGCTCCAAAATCATACCACGAAATAGCTGCAGGTATCGGATCGCTAATGCCAACATCAGCTCTCCTAGTTAAGTAACATCTTGTCGAATGGGACCTTCCAATTTGAGCGTGTAAATTTCTTATTCAGTGCGGGTGGAAAAGAAGAGCCACAAGGATGAAGCGTTCATTAAAGCGTGCTGCGGTGCGGCAGATTATGACTAGCTCCCATGGAAGTCATAAATATGAGCCTTTACCCTCTGAAGAATCAGATCTAGTTACTAGCACAGATTCAGACGATATTGTCCAGACTTTAGAGCAGCATTTGAGGAAGTTCCGGAAAAGATCAAGGAGAAAAGTGTTCACTATGGGTATTGCCGCAATTGTTGTGTTGGGACTTGTCTATTTTGGAGCGGTGTATGTTTGATCGTGAAGCTTTTGCTCAGTGCTCATATTCATTGCTAACCAGTGCTATAGAGGCTATGGGCTACCAGCCAACTCGTCGTGCGATAGTATCAATGCTGGATACTATTGTCAACCCGAGATCTCACATTTCTGGGGTCAATACTCGCCTTATTTTTCAGTTCCCTCAGAGATTAGTGCTTCTGTCCCTGATCAATGTGAAATATCATTTGCTCAGATCTTGTCCCGCCACGGAGCACGGGATCCTACAGCTGGCAAGACAGTAAAATATATGGCTCTCATAGACAAGATCCATAACACCACGACTTCCTATGCAGTCGATTATACTTTCATAAAAAACTACGAGTATTCTTTAGGATCTGATCAGCTTAGCGTATTTGGACAACAGGAATTGATCAACTCTGGTATCAAGTACTATAATCGGTACAAGTCCCTAGCATCATCAATTACTCCATTTGTTCGTTCTTCGGGACAAGACCGCGTTGTCGAGTCTGCCCAAAACTGGACCCAAGGGTTCCACTCTGCTCGTTTGTTGGACTCATCATCTACGGCCAATGCTAGCTACCCATTCAACATCGTCATTATTAGTGAAGATAAAGGAAGCAACAACACTCTTGACCATGGTCTCTGTACCACCTTTGAGGACGGCCCTGACTCCACCATTGGAAACTCTGCCCAAGCTACATGGGCGTCAATCTTCACCCCAAACATCACCTCTCGTCTAAACTCTAACCTCCCTGGCGCCAACCTCACCATGGCTGACACCATCGAATTTATGGATCTTTGTCCCTTCAATACTGTCGCCTCTCCCACCGGCATTATCTCTCCATTTTGCAATATCTTCAGCGCTGCCGAATGGAAAGCTTACGACTACTACCAATCCCTTGGTAAATACTATGGATTTTCTTGGGGTAATCCATTAGGTCCTACACAAGGTGTAGGTTTTACCAACGAGCTCATTGCACGCCTCACAAACAGTCCCGTCCAAGACCATACCTCCACAAACCACACCTTGGATGACAATCCGGCCACGTTCCCAGTTGACAGGCCCATCAAACTATATGCAGATTTCAGCCACGACAATGACATGACTGCTATATTCTCCGCTCTTGGTCTGTATAACTCCACAAGCGCATTATCCAAAACCAGAAGAGAAGATGCGTTGCAAACGAGTGGCTATTCAGCCAGTTGGTCGGTACCATTTGCAGCGAGGATGTATGTGGAGAAGATGACCTGTGCGGGTGAGAGTGAGGAGTTGGTTAGAGTTATTGTTAATGACCGCGTGCTACAATTAAAGACATGTGGTGGTGATGAATTGGGCAGATGTGGATTGTCAAAGTTTGTAGAGAGTTTGAGCTTTGCTAGTGAAGGGGGTGACTGGGGAAGCTGCTTTACTTCCTGAGCTGGATAATAACACGAACCAATTAAATGATTGTGCATAATAGAAACTGGCGACGGATGGAAATCGCAAATCCCTCCTATAGGGTTTGTTTGGAACTTTTAGAAAGAGATACTTGACACAATCTACATATGATCAACAAGTTGCCCACATCAGGGTCAACCCAGCATGAAAAGATAAAAGCCTGCGACGCATGAATTGATTCTTTGCTCCATGTGACATTTCTAGCATTGAATAGAAGAAAAAGTGAAATTCTAACGATTACAATCCGCGCAATAGAAAGATTTCAACGCCCTTGCTTGAGTACTGATGTAACATTACAACCTGCCAAGAAACACTTGTATCCCTGAAAATGGAACCCCTCAAAAACTCCCTGTGCCTGGTTTACAGGCCGCATTGGTATATATATGCCTCGCCTCGTAATTCAATCCCTCAAATATACAAACATTCAAAAACTCAGTCTACCGTGCAACCTCCAAGTGCTTATAATAGATACGCCGCGCCTCCAAAAATGGTCATTCCTACTCCAGCCCACCAGAGAAGGTCGAGATCGATGCGGTGAATGAGTGAAGGTTGCTCAATGCCGCGACTGATATGCTTGGCATTCTTGTTGAGAGGGAGGAGGTAGCCTTCTGAGGTTGTAGGCTCTTCGGGTTCATCAGCACCACCCAACCATCGCTTCATTTTAGAGCTCGAAGTTGACTTTGCCGAAGACGTTGGGTTGAGGGTTTCAGTAGGAAGCATAAGTGCAGGACTGTAGGCTAAGAACATCGGGTTGACGGGTGTCCCGTCGAATTGGTAAAGATCAAGTCGAGTTAATTTCGTATAAGGATCGGTGTAGACTTGGTATTTCTACAGATTAGGCAGCCAGCGATCAGCTTTGTTCATAATCCTAATGTTGATAAATAGGATAACAAGGAAAAGCACAAACAAACCTGCAATGTCTCGCTCTGATTGTATCGTGTGTACGTTGCAGTATCGGCAGTACATGGAGCAGATTCTAATTGACGACCATCCACACTGAACGGGTTCAAACTAAGGGAGCCATCGTCGTTCAAGACGAATTTACCGTGCTGCCATTGCATTATCGAAGACACACAACTAGGTTTTGCAGCTAAAATATCATTAATTATGCTCCTCTTGTACTGTTTAATGTAATTCGAGCGTCGTGGAACAATACGTACGATTTGAGATCGCCCTGTAGTATGCCTCTTCATAGTAGCCATCTGCGGTGAAAGAGTATGAAATTCCGGTATGAGTAGGTTCCAGTAATGAATCGTTAACTGGATTGTAAAAACCCTAATCCTCAACATCAGTGCGTGCCCATCAATAACTTAAGAGTCGTTTCTTTGATCCAAGGGAAAAAACGTACAGGACCAGTCAACACTGCGGCGGACTTTGTAGACCATGTTCCAACAAGCTCATCTACGTTTGGAGCAGCAGACACAGTTGACAGTAAATATGCGCTCGCGATTAATACTGTAGGCAAAACGATTGGTGCCATAGTGTGAATTGTAGTTGTCGATGCTAAGGATTTGTATTTCAAGCATGAACTTCCATATAGGGATTGGAATTCGTAACACCCGCTAATTAATTCAGCCACACTTAAGGTTGGCGCCACCGCAAGCAGCCACGAAATAAGTTAAAAATAGCACATGCTAGTTATTACCGCTGCTTGTTATTTTTTTCATTACCAGGTTGATTAATAAGCTGTGGTAAGTTAGTTTAATACCCTTCTGAAGTTATGTTTCAGGCTTGCATTAAGGAAAGTTGGTCAGTGATTGGTCAAAAAGCAGTTTCCGTACCTTATCGAACATGGCTTCATCGCCAGCATTGAAGTCAAGCAAAAAAGAGCTTCGTTCATCGATGAAAAAGCTTCTATCAACAGTTACAAATGATTCTGTGCAAACTCAAAGTAAGTATTCTAGGTCGCGTTCGGATATCACTTCCACATTTATATACTACCAGTTCATTAATGTCCTTAGGTGCGGCTGTCTTTCACAAACTCATCAATTTTAAACCATATCAACAGGCCAAACGAATAGCGGTATATCTTGCTATGCCAACTGGGGAATTACAAACTGATGCAATTGTACGTCACGCCTTGGAATCGGGCAAACAGGTCTTTGTACCTTATCTTCATAAATCTACGTCCCCGTCACCTGATACACCCCGTTCCGTAATGGATATGGTGGACCTTCGTAGCCTTGCAGATTTTGAAGCCCTGGAAAGAGATAGTTGGGGGATACCCACAATCCCTGCAGAGACTGTGGGTGAAAGAGAAAGTATATTGGAGACTGTTTCGAGCAAAGGTGGCTTGGAGATGATACTCTTGCCTGGGGTAGCCTTTGACATTGATCCTAAAACCAACTTTATAAGGCGCCTTGGTCATGGAAAAGGGTTCTACGACTACTTCTTGCATCGATACAGGCAGCATTCAGGTTCACAAATTTCCGATCCAGCGAATCCAGGAACAAATGTATTACTCTATGGTTTGGCTCTTCAGGAGCAATTCTTGAAGCCTGGAACAGAAAAATCAGTGCCAGTAGGAGAGCATGATAGCCTCCTCCACGGACTTTTCTTGGGAGATGGTGAGATTAAAGATGGTCTTGTTTCCAGAGAATAGATCCACCTCAAAATAAACAACTCAATATGAAGCCAGATGACCGAGAACTCCCCTTGAACTCATCTTGCAGGCCTTGCAGTACTTTTTATTCTCATAATAACCCATTCTGAATGTACGCCTTCCCTTGGTCTCTTATCCACTCGCGCTCTGGATCAACGACACGTTATCACCCTTCAATAGAATTTGTCCTGGACCTTGTTAGTAACCTATTTTTAAGGGTCAAATAAACCAAAAACTGACCCAACGCCCTACGACTCTCCGCTTTGTCCTTTGTAGCTTGCTTAACCTCCACTGCATCATCAAGCACCAAATTCATGAATTCGTCGAAGCCCTGGAAGCGCATCGATTAGTAAAATATCATGAGCAAGTAGGAGAATTTTGTGCGCGCACTCTGATCTTCCCCTCAATTCTGATTCCCAATTGCTCGTACAACCAAATTGATACTGGCGTATGCTGTTGAAGAAGCTTGAAGATGAAGTTGATTGGGGGAAGAAGGACCTTTCGTCCACCTCCACCACCTCGATTCATGATGAATTTAATTGAGCTTCGTCGAAATAAACGCTCTTAAACACAGCCCTTGAGGACAAAACCGATTTCTCGATAGATTGAGTGAGTGGCGAGAGAGTTGGGTTTGAATCCTTTAAACTCCTGGTCAAATCTTTAAAATTCTCGACGCGGTTGGTTGACGTGCACCTTACCTTAAGCTTCTTTCACAAGGCTGCCGCTCGAAACGGCACTAAAACTTTATTTCGCTGCAGCAACCAACTTTAAACGGGCAGACAAGTTCACCCTGTTCATTACTTATTACAACAAAAGAACATTCTGATTCTTTCCAAGAAAAAACCACAACCACCAAAATTTCATAACCTCTTGTTGATACCCTTAATTCCTCTTTTCTAGATACTTTCATACTCGGCATCTTTTTCTACGATAAACTTACGAAGGGTACATGACTACATCACGCATTTAATCTGTTATTGTCTCTAAGGCCTTGCCCCTCCATCAAGATGGTCACTGTTTCTACGAACGGGACTGGCCCCCAGAGTGCCTTCGCTCCTGTTATTGCGGCTCTGAATACCATGCGCGATGGCCAGCGGGGACAAAAGGAGGCCGCACATAGTTTTCTAGAGAGTTTCCAGAAGTCGGTAGGTTATTTTTTCGACACCTTTGCGCCAAACCCATTTGTCGTTGACGCAGGCTCACTTTTCCTGTAGGGAGAGGCATGGCAGATTACGATTGGCATCTTATCGTCAGATGCAGAGCCCGATGCGAAGCTCTTTGCGGCTACTACTTTGAGAGGAAAGGTATATGATCACGAACCCCACCTCTCTGGATTCAAATCTAATCTTATAGATCACCTATGACATTCAACAAATACCAAGCGACTCCTTACCAGCGCTACGAAATCAACTTCTAGAGTTATTGAAAGTATTTGCGACAGGGCCACGGCCGATTCGAATCCAACTATGCGTTTGCTTGGCCATTTTAGCTATCCAGATGACAACTTGGAAGGATGTAGTGCCAATGGTTGTATCAACATTGGGGAGCTCCGCAGAAAGTCTCGCCTGTGTCCTAGATTTCTTGAAAGTTCTTCCAGAAGAAGTCACCGAGGGACGAAAAATTACTTTGACTGTATGTGGGCCGAAACACACCATTCCCGGAGCAGGTGAACCGACTTGGGGTGGTCGAAATGTTATTGGGAATATTCAAGTCTAATGCGTCAATTAGGAAGATGAGCTTCAACAGAGAACTCAGGAACTTTTGGGAGACAATACCGCTCAAGTTGTACAGTTGTTGATTGCATATGCACAATCGTCTGGTACGTATTAATCCACTTGAAATATAATGCCAAAAGGCTAAGAAGCATCACACAGAATCGGCCGCTACAAATCCACAACTACTTGAAGTCATCACATCTTGGCTACGCGAAGTACCTGTTGCGGATATAGTTAATTCACCTCTTCTGCCGGTAATCCTCAATGCCTTGAACAACGATCGCTCTTTCGAAGCTGCAACAGAATGTCTGTGTTCTATATTTAAGGAGACTCGTGAGGTTGACGAGTATATGCCTACCATAGAGATACTTTTGCCTCGTGTATTAGCGCTTCAGCCTCGTATTGCGCAAGCTGCCCAAGACGAAGATTCGGAGTCATTTAAAGGCTTTACTCGCATTTTTGCCGAAGCTGGTGAAGCGTGGGTTGTCCTGATTGCCCGTGAGCCTAAGGTATTCCGACCTTTGGTCGAAGCTATTCTGGAATGTACTCACAGAGATTTTGATAAAGATGCGATTTCCCTTACTTTCATCTTCTGGTACGAGCTCAAACTTTATCTCATCCTCGAGAAGTACATCGAAGCTCGTATGCAATACGTGGATGTATACTCTAGCCTTGTGGACATTATGATGAAGCATCTGGAATTTCCTACAGCGGATGGCGCGGATGAAACGGACTTGTTCGATGGCGATAGGGATGCAGAGGAAAAATTTCGGGAATTCCGCCACCATATGGGGGATGTCCTCAAAGATTGTTGTGAGATTATGGGCGTCACGCCGTGTCTCACAAAAGTTTACGATGCTATTAAGTCCTGGATGGGTTCTTACGCTAGTCATGCGACTGAAGCCTCTGTTCCACATTGGCAACAACTTGAAGCACCTCTCTTTGGAATGCGTGCGATGGGAAGATTGGTTGACAAGGACGAGGAGATCATACTTCCTCAAATCATACCCCTCTTGGTTCAAATTCCTCATCACGAAAAACTTCGATTTGCAACTATTATGGTATTAGGTCGTTATACGGAGTGGACTTCTAACCATCCCGAATTTCTTGAGTCTCAATTTCAATATATTGTATCTTCGTTCTCAACTGACTCGAAGGAAATTGTCCGAGCAGCTGCCATGGCGATGAAATTCTTTTGCAGTGATTGTAAACACTTGCTCGGTGGCCAAATTATACAACTGCAGCAGTTCTACGACCAGACTCTCGACAAGTTACCAGGAGTTAGTCAGGAAGAACTCACGGAAGGTGTTGCGTCTGTTGTTGCTGTTCAACCACCAACACAAACGTATCAACTCCTTAAATTATATTGTGATCCATTGATGGCTAGGTTAATGGGCCTTGCAAATCAAGCCAACGATGACGAATCAAAGCTTAAAGTTGCTGGTCAGTATCATCTCCGACAAAGCTCCCGGTAATTTACTGACAAGAATCTAGATCATATGCAACTGATTACATTATTTATACAGATTGTTAGTCCTTGGATTGAGCCAAATCAGGACAATCCAGCTGTAAAATACTGCCAAGAGATCTTTCCCATTTTATCGACTATCCTAGATTCATTTATGACTTTCACTCCAATTTGTGAAAGGGTTTGCCGTACATGGAGATACATGATCATATCATATCGAACATCGATGGCTCCTCTCCTTCCCCAGATGGCCAACAAACTCGCAGAAGGCTTCGCAGCGTCCCGACAGGGCTGTTTCTTGTGGGTTACGAGTGCTATCTTGCGTGAGTTCTCCGAGGATCGAGAGCACGTCGACGAACAAACGACTGAATCAATCTACACCTTCTTTGAAGCCCAATCGACAGCGATGCTGAAGGCAATGGCTGATCTTCCACCTCAAGATCTCCCCGATGTTATCGAGGATTTTTACCGTCTCTTACTTGACGCCTTACTATACTACCCTCATAAAATGATTCGATCGCAGCTATTCACGCCAATTTTCAGGGCGGCCATTGCTGCTTTAGATCTCGAGCAACGTGAACCTCTCTCTGCAGTTCTGCACTATCTGCGTGATGTCATCAGCTACGGTGGTGACAATCCTTCAAGTTCAGCATCTAACATAAATCCGCCCGAGATTCAACAATTGGTCCGGCAGCTTATTCTTGCCAACGGCAATGAGTTAGTGAAAGGAATTATGAAAGGCATGATGATTAGTTTCCCGGGAGACTGCTTTACTGATGGCAGTGGCGTTCTACTTGGGTTGTTTGAAATCCTACCACAAGAAACTACTAGTTGGGTCGATGGCATTCTACGAATGCTGCCAGCTGGAACCGTCGGCGAAGCCGACATCGATCGACTGATGAACAGCATTCGAGAAAAGCTTAGCATCGGTCATGATGGTGTCCGAAAAGTTCGCAGCTTATTGCAAGACTTTACAAACACTTATCGGAGACGTTATGTTGCTCCTAGGGATGGCTTAGGCCGACTTGAAGCCACTAGGTTTCAATATAGCGGTTAGATATTTTCTCTTTGACAAAAAATAATACACTCAAGGAGAGTCTTTATATCCGACTTTCATTTTCAGTTGTTGCAATGGCATAGCGATTAGGCCGGCGGACGGTGGAGATTTTCCTTCCTTGCCAGAAGGTAGTCATAGCGTGGTGAAAAAGCTCGAACGAAAAAGCCGAGTGGTCATCTTCGGACCGGAGTTGGGATAGTATGGGTGAGTATATTTTAGGGCTTTTTATGTGGTCATATGAACTAGTTAGTGAAGGGATGGGCAATTTTCAGAGGGATGATGTTACATAGCTTTTCTCACTGTGGTTATGGGTTGTAGATGATTGTATGATGTGATTTGTGATGGCATAGAGAAATGATGAAGATGATCCATGAAATGAAAAAGGCGCAAGATATTTTTGGGCTGGAATTAGAAGCGTGGAATTCATGTTATTTTTGATGACAATATGAGATATGGATTTATTATTGATGTATCTAAATTTATGTGATGAATGAACTAATTGTGCTTGATGTATTGTTTTGGTGCCAAGACTCAAGAGGCTTGATTTGATATAGATATTAGGCAGATAGGTATTCCAATTTTCGGAAACTGGTGAATGAATCAGGTTTGTGTATCTTTCTTCTACTTCTACTTCTACTTCTACTTCTACTTCTACTTCTAGTCCTCTTGATATACAATTCTACTTGTAGGAAATTCTCAAAGTTCAAATATAAATGGGAATAGATAGGGGTGGAATATATATGTATGATTGGGGAAGATAAATCAATGTTTTCATGCTCGCTCGCTCACTCGAATATATATATGATGTTTTTTGAGATGATTTCTTTTTTTGGTGTTTGGAATTTCGGGGGATAGGGGGTTGGGGGAAGGGGAGGGAAGAGATGGGTCAAATAAAGATGATGTGAACTCTTCTTGGGTTTAATTCAGGTTAGTATCTTATCTACTTAGTTTTATAACTGTATTTGAGTATGTAAGTAAATACATCTATGTATATCTGTACATCTATTAGAGGTATTATCTGCATGATGCCCGATATATATATTATACAAGATCTTAAAATGGAATCGAGTACGCTTGGAGTACCGGGAAGAAGCAAAGATTTTGGGTTTGACTACCTGTGTACACATAACATATCACATCACATGGAACATTCCAATCATTTTTGTAAATTTATCATTATTCATTGAATGTTATTTGTAGCCGAGTCGGACAAATACATGTCCTACTAAATTTTAAGTATAGATAAGTTCCAAAAACATCGAATTGTATCGCTGAAAACCAACTATACGGATTGAAGTGTAGCGCCAAAAAAAAGAAGGGAAAAAAGCAGCAAGGTACGTCGATATGAAGCCTGTGTCTCTTTCAGATATGCAACGTGAGTAGACCCTTCCAATGTGAATTTGTGAAGGAGGAAATTGGGATATATTCGAACACAATAGTTGAGCAATTTGCACCACAAACTCCCTGCTAATCATAACCTTAACCGATCCCTAAACAGAGAAAGTTATCCACCCATATGCACAATCATGGATCTATATGCGATACGCCCCTCTGTATGGAAGCCGTGAAACGCCGAAAATGCTGCAGAATTGGCCGCACAAGATGCAAATATTGAAAGGAAACTGGGTGAGTGAGAGAAGACGGAATTCCTCTAATTAGAAACTTGGGGGAGGAGGAGCCGAGAGATGTAGCGAAGCTCGTATGATCTTGAGTCTGCTGGATCGAAGAAGTACCGAACTTGTTTATCATGGACTTCGGTAACTGTTTACATTTGGTTAGTAATTGTATGAAATAATCAAGGAAGAAAAACTAACAACTAAGTTGAACTTGTTCAAAGAATTCCCTAACAACTTGTTCAGATGTATCGTCAACTGCAAGAACACCATTGTCTTGCCGAACAAAAGTCTTTGGTGGAACTTCTCTCATTCTCAAGATCATTTGAAGAACATTGATGAGGTCATCACCTTGATTAGCAAAATTTTGAGGAGGCTTGTCAAGTGGCCACTGTCCATGGAAATCTTCTCCCTCCCAACACTTAAAAAGCCAGGTGGACTTCTCAACACAGTTAAGAGTAATGACGGCAACCAAAAACAGTTCGAAAGAAGACTTTGAAGCTTTGTTAAGCAAACGTCTCTCCAACTCGTTCAGTATACCCTTGCACATTTGGGATGCTTTGTTCTCGGCTGCGGAATTCAACTGAGTGTGAATTATAGCAAATGATCTTTCAGTTGAAAGAATTGGTTTGGTCTGACCACCCCCTTCATCTGATGAACCTGAGATGGCCTTCGCAGACATTTCCCATCTGATTTCAGAATCAACGAATATGTGCACAATGGTCCAAAATTCCAAAGCACGACTTAGAAAATTATCTTGCTTTTGAATTGAAAGATTGAGAGCAGTTTGGAGAGTAGTTCGAATGAACTGAGAGGGTTCATTATCAATAAATATTGGCATCATACGCTTAGCATATGCCTCGAGCTTGTTCGAAAGATCATCATGGTCCGTGTCGAGAATATAGGAAGTGAGGCCGGTATCAGCATCGTGTGCTTCTAAACACGGGAAGGAAGCGTAAATTGTGGTTTCTGGAAAATGAGAGACCTCAATCTGGTATGGTGAGTTCTGAAAGTTAGCCGAACCCTTCGCGGCGAGGACCTGATGGTGAGCAAGTACTGTGTGGAGTTTCGCTGAGTACAGGCAAAGCTCATGTGCAACCCGAGTTCGAATGCATGGGGTCTTCCACAAACGTGCACTTTCGACACCCTTGCAAGTATCACAAGGATCTCCTGCAGTGCAGGGTTTCTTGAGCATTCTGCAGCGAATACATGAGCCAATCTTCCTTATGTCGGATACCTCCTTTCTGCGACCCTCGTTGAACTTTCCTCGGACTTTGGGTTTGGTGGCTTTTTGGCCATTGCCATATTCAGCGCTAAATTCAGTGGTCATTGGATTCATGGCTATTCGAGCGTGGCTTTTTGGGCTCTGTATTTGGGGTTGGCCGTTGTCGAACGTATTTTCGGCAGGGTTATGCTCGGAATATGTCATTTGACCCATATGAGCCATTTGATCTTGAACCTGCATCGCTGCGGCTTGGCTTGCTGGCATGGAAACCTCCATCATACCCCAAGAATGCTGTTGGTTATCAGAGCTTCCATTGAACAAACCGTCGCTCATGGCATTTGCCTCGACAAGTTGACGGGTAAGCTTGTCCTCAGATATTTTATCCTGTGCTACCGCATCTTCGCTTAGGAGTTGGGGGTCCACCATTGATGGAATGAACCGGGAAGCAGCTGCTGCCGTTGCCGCCATTGAGTTCGGAGAGGCAGATTGAGAGCGGCCGAGACTAAATTCACTACCGTGGCCTTTTTGATTGATACCTGCAAGAATGTTAGGTACCCTGTTAAGGTATTGCTTTATCATTTTCACTTACCCTTCTTGTCGCGCTGAGATCGTGACTCGTAGCTCAGAGGCGGGTTGTCAAGAGTGTATTGCTCCTGTAATTCAAGGTTATCACCTCGGGACATTGGTTGTTGACCGTCGCCTTGCGGGCTTTCATTGCCAGGTCGATGATTTCGATGCTCTGACTCGGCCATGTCTCTTGAAACTTCAGCCAAAGTCTCAAGGGGCGTCATTCCTTGAAACGGTCTCCCACGAACCGCAGTTGTTTGATGATTATTGGCAGTCTGAATATTCATCTGCTGATTATTTGTACGATCAGCAATCTCGGGAAGATTATTAAACTCTAGAACGAGTCGTTGTTTCTGGGCGCGATCCAAGGCGGGGCATTTCTTGCAGATGTGACTTGTCAAAGTGTCGAGTCTCCCTTTGGGGAATTTTTCTGAGCAAGCTCTGCAGGTATGGTGGTAGCGGTTGCTGGAGTCATTTAACTTCGCGCCTCTTTCAAAGTACTTGAGGATCAATGCTGTTCGTATTTATGGTCAGTAAACATTCTTGTTTACAAAGATGAAAGATCGGTGGAGGATGACTCGAGTTTTCAAGAGTGTCAAAATGAAGCTATTGAGATAATTCGAACGGGATGAACGTACGGTTAGGTTTGCGACCCATATTGATGTATTAATCACGTCGATCTTTGGTCTTTGCTACTGAATTCACTCAAGTCAAGAATAGTCAACAAGAGTTGAAGAGTTGAGGATTCGAGTAATGCCAGTTTAATCTCTCACCGACAAGTAAAAGGTTTGGGCGGTGTAAGGGAAGTCGGGTGCGGATCATCATTGTTCCGAGTGGGGTTGATGGAGCTACATGCGGTAACCGGCCATTTGCCACCTTGGCAGTCTTCCTGAATTCTGACGGTGCTTGCGTACTAGTCCTCCGATCCTATGTCCACCAGTGGTCTGTTCTTCTGGACTGTTATCATTCCAATACAATTGCTTTGTACCACTGCTTTCATCTGGGCATCACATTCAGCCCTTTGGCATCAAAAGAATGGGTATTTTACTACATCTAGAGGGCTCGATGAACTATTCGACTGAGAAGTCCTTTAAACTTGCAAATAAGCAGAGCTTGTCTCCGGTTTTGCCACCACCTCATCGATCTTGAGCGCCATCAACTACCACTGTTTCTGCTGCGAATGCCTAGCAACTTATTATCATAATTCATATTCGACTATTTCAGAACTTCGAATACTTATTTTCCCTACTCAACGCAGAATAGCCAGGCAGACGCTCCACCAGCGGTCAAACAAACGACATTAGAATTCTCTCAGAGATATGAACGTTCAGTTGGGTACTATGGGGTCATAGTCATCATCGTCCTGCTTTGCTATACAGCCTCGGGAGTCTATATGGGCATTTCGAGGGTTTTCATGTGAAATCAGTTCGTATCTGCTGATAAAATCGCTTGCACGACCTATTTGCCGTTCATCCGTACTACATGACCTTCTGTCAAACCATTAACATCATTAACACCTCACATATCTGCACAATCTCTATCTCCATTCATCGATGTCAATCTAAAAGTAACTTCTTTTGGGGAAAAATCTGAGACCGAAATTTCCACGGATTTATATGGAGTAGACCTAGGTTCATCCGCCAAGCGAAGGCTTATTTGCATGTGCTAGTGGTAACTGGTGTACCGGTGTGGTCGCTAACACTGAATATCATTTCCTTTCCGGGCTCCTCCATTGAAATGAAATGTACTATGGACCAGGGCAATAACGTTAAAATAAGCTTGACCGGTGTAGGTCCCTTCTATTTAACTACACCGAAGTAGGTTAAAGTATCAACTGATTTGCTAAGATTTTTGTACAAAGTAGTATTTCCTAGTGGAGACACTCTAGATAGGAAGTTCTTTCAACACAAATCCAAGTCAATGTTGCTGCAGCTTTTGGTCTCGTCCACTCATTTACAACCGTGATGATAAGCTTCTGGTTATGTGCAGCCGTCCACAACGGACGTTTCTCTACCGTGGGGTAGGTGGGTCCGCTGACATGTTGAAGAACCTTAAAAGAGCAGTCTGCGTCGGCGCAGATTGTCGATTCCAGGAAGGTAGCTATTGAAGCCTTGTAAGGAAAGTTCTCGTTGCGCTGCTCATTGGCGTTTTAACAATCATACGGAGTATAATAAGGTACCTGGCCAGGCAATGTGGACATCTTTCATCATTCACTTAGTGCCCCTGTCAACCCTGCTGATCCTGTCAGTATGGACCAATACTTAACCAGAGATCATCTCGTGTAGCATCACGTAGACGGTTTCGGTCCCGATGTACAGTTCATTTCTATTCCGATCACGTTGAAATATTTGATTGATACCCACCATCTTATCAGGTTCCACCAGCCTTTTAAGTTAAAAGGTTCTCTCAAGTGCTTGAGAAATGTCCGCTGTGCTCATCTTTACTTCTATTCATTATCCAAGATGAGGTTTCTTTCAATTCTATATCTGTGTTTTGCAGCAATATTCTCATCTTCTTATGCTGCAGAACTGGTCAAAGAAGATACGGGAAGCGATATATGGAAATCTATTGAGTCAGCGACTACTTGTGCCGGATGCAACGTAAGTAGCTTAATACACGTTTAGTTACTGATTTCTCTTCGTTTATTTTCATGATGAATCCTGGGAGCTCATTACTCCAATGTGGAGAGTAGCTTATTATGTCGAGCGGCAGACTAATACAATTGGTGATAGGCGGTACTGTTATTACTAAAAGGTGTCGCGCATCTTGGAAATGACGCTTTCGTTGATACTTTGACTGAAATATGCAAATTGGCTGGAGTGAGTTTCCCCTCTTTTTGTTGAATGTTTGTGTTAACATGATTTTTAAGGTCGAGGATGCAGATGTTTGCGCCGGTGCAATCGGCCTGGAGGGGCCAATAATTGCCCATGACTTGAGACAAATGACAATAGGAACGGAAACTTCCAAGTTGTTTTGCATAACCTTCTTTGGGTTGTGTGATTATCCTGCTGTTACTCCATACACGGTCCCATTTCCAAGTGCTAAGCCTGCTACTCGGCGTCCAGCTGCGAGCGGCAAGACGCCTATCAAGATTGTACACTTCAGCGACATTCACGTAGATCGGGAGTATGAAGTCGGAGCTAATAGCAATTGCTCAAAGCCTATCTGCTGTAGGTCATATACTTCTGCAGATGCACCCGGAAACAACTCATATCCAGCGGGTGAGTGGGGCAACTACAAATGCGATGCTACTCTAAGCTTGGAAGAGAGTATGTACGCGGCTATCAAGGAGGTTGCTCCAGATGCCACAGCAACACTATTCACAGGTGATATCGTTGAAGGCTCTGTCTGGCTCGTCAATTCAACTACCAACATTGCGGATATAAACGATGCTTATAGTCGAATGTCAGGCCTAACTAAAATATTTGCGGCCACTGGAAACCATGAATCGGCGCCAGTCAACTCTTTCCCCCCAGATGCAGTTGGCGTTTCAACTTATCAATGGGTCTACGACACTCTTTCTACAAATTGGAAAGCGTTTATTGATCCCACCGCTGCCTCCTCAGCCGATAGCTTCGGTGCATACTCGACCCTCTTACCCGGATCAAACCTGAGAATTATATCTATTAACACTAATCTCTACTACAGGTCAAACTATTGGCTCTACGAGGCCACCATGGAGAAAGATCCTTCCGGACAACTTGCATGGATGGTCACTGAACTTCAAGCTGCTGAGACTGCTGGCGAAAGAGTTTACATTATTGGACATATGCCAATGGGTTCCAACGATGTATTCCATGACACCTCAAACTACTTCAACCAGATCACCCAGAGATATTCCGCCACTATCGCCGCTCTATTTTTCGGTAAGTTTTTTCGCCCTTCCTACCTATTGCGCACTAACAAAAGTAGGCCATACCCACCGCGATGAATTCCAAATCACATACAGTGACTACACCGCTCAAACCGCAGCCAATGCTCTCGAAGTATCCTACATCATCCCCTCTATGACTCCGACATCCGGCTACCCAACCTTCCGCGTTTACACTGTTGACCCAGTGACCTACGGCGTCCTCGACTTCACAAACTACATTGCAGAGTTTGACCTCACTGCCTCCACACAATCTGCTCCCACATGGAAACCCTACTACTCCGCCAAGGCTGCTTATGGCCCTCTAGTAACCCCGCCTCTTACCTCCGACACTGCAGAGCTAACTCCAGCCTTCTGGCACAATCTCACCACCGTATTTGCCGAAAACCCATCGGTATTCAACCAATACATTTCCAGGAAAACAAGAGGATATAATGTGGAGACTTGTTCCGGTGATTGTGCAACCCAAGAAATCTGTCAAATAAGAGCAGCAGAGAGTCAATATAATTGTGCTACTATTAAGCCGGGAATTCACTTTAGAAAGAGAAGTGAAGGAGATGGAACGCTAGAAAGGAGGATCGGGAATGTGGTGGATAATTTTGGCGGAGAATGTGAGGGCAGTGCGATCAGGCCGATCCTGACAAAGTTGGCGGGGCAGCAAGGTTTGCTCGAGAGTGCATTGGAGCGGGCGAAGGCAAAGGCCAAGGCTAGGAAGTAAGCGGCTTCCCTAGGAAATGAGATGATGTATGTTTATGACGTGAGGTTGAACCTTGAAGTACATGTATATAATTGACGGAACTTGATAATAAGGTTGGTGATACGATATAGTGTTAGTAATACTCAAACCAGAAGTTTTGATGCATGTATGAATTTGCTTGGAGTGGTTTATTATCAAAATTGACTTCGTGAGAAAAAATGCAGGTCAACGATACAAATCTCTTGTTAAAGAACCCGCACATGAGGAATCATGGTCAAAACAGAGCTTTCGATAGACTTCTGTTGATTCATCCATATAATATGAGCAATATCCCCCAGATACCCTGACTGAATACATACATATAATTATGCGCAAATATAGGATAAGACGCAAGCGCATAACTACACGGCTTCTCCGGAACATACTATGATGCGATGTCCTCATCGCAATCTTCCACTTTCCTAGTGCGACTCTGTGCGTAGATGATGTACGAACTTGAATGAGTCAAGATTCATTCTGCCGGTTTTTTGTATCTGGTTTCGAGGTTCCCCGCGGCTTTTGGGCTTGTTTCCTAGAATTGGGAGAGGAATATGGTATTCAAGTCTATATAAACCTACCTATCTCAAAAAGAGCTCCGGCGCGTAGGGGATCCGGTTGATACTTAATTTCTCGGATTCTTTGTCTGTAGTTGTGTTGCTTGGTTTCAGCATAAGATGTATGGAAGAAGTACAATTCAGTTTATCAATCTTGTCCAAGTCTTTGCGGATATTCGCTCTGTCACTATGAAAGTTGCCGCTTGTTTGAGCTTGAACCAGTTTACATCAGAGAATCAATAGGTTATCTTGGATGTGGCGTTCTCTGGTTTCAGAAAGGTTACATAGCAAAAGCAGATGAGCTAGCTAGTGTGATTCTTTTATATTTATTCTGACAAAACATACTTTTTCATCCGTGACTGCAGTTCGAGAATACTCCTGGCTATGATCATACTTAAATTGTGTTTCGTATTATCTGGATGGCATCCATTACCTCCTTCTTGTCTAGTTTTGCGTTGATCGATAGTCAATCTGATGGTTGGCGAAGCGTGCAGATTTGCAGTTTGAGAAAATCCATGCTGTAGAAGTGCCTCTATGTCAATTGACGCAGGAATCAACAACAAAATTTCTAGTTTTTTGTTCTTACTCGTTTTTAGGATCGATTCACTACCATATTCCAAATTCTTGTCGTCTAAAGTGAATTAACGAAGAGGAATACCTCAGTACCTCCATGAGCATTTCCCTCACCATGTTCAAGAGTAATTTTCATTACTCGAAATAGTACTGCAATATTTCTTTTGGTCCTTTCAGCTTCTAGCTGTCTTTGATAACTCTAGATTGCTCTTATATTTCTTGCGGTATTACAGATAGCCTCTTTGGCGTCAAATATCACATTATTATAGCTTTCTACTATTTTATACCTCTGGTTGCTAGCTTTTTTATCCTTCAGACCAACTTCAAGAAACCTCAAGGCGGTTTCAATATTTAATAACAGGATTGCCTGGCGCGAGTGATAGATCTTTGGATCGTTCTTAAGTTCAATCTCTGGTTATTGCTGCTTCTCCGCTTTCCATCCTCCAATTTTAAGAATTTATTTGAGCTCACAAGCTCCTGTCTTACCTCTGTAAGTATTTCTTGAACGAAAAACTCTATTGATCGTCCATTAATAAGAGCTGCTCCTGGCCCTCAATAGTCATATGATACAGGCTAGACATTATCTATACGGTACTAACCTCTTATTCCACAGCTTATATCTTTAAACTTCCAGCTTATACTTAATTTATATGTCTAAAGACGTCTAACTATAGAGAATACTTTGAATCTCATCCAAAAATGGTACTTTCCTCCCGTATCAAGCAATACTTTGCACCTCTAGCACCCAAGCTTGAAACCAAGATCTTTGTACACCTTATGCGACATGGTGAGGCGTACCACAACCTAGGACACTTCGATGGCAAGATAAATCTGGAATCCTACAATATTCTCGATCCTCGTCTCACTGTGGAGGGTTTACGACAAGTTGGATTTGCTCGAAAGGAGATGGCAAAACGCTGCCCGGTCCCTAATATTGTTCTCACATCTCCTCTCATTCGCACGGTCGAGACTGCTCTTCATGTCTTTCCTATCAGCAACAATGGTAGTTTTTCTCATCGACCTCGAATCGTTGCCTATGATGATTTAAGGGAGAGTGGAGCTTATTTTTGCAACGTCCGTCAGGAAATTTTTGACTTAAAAACACAATTTCATCATATGGGAGTCGATTTTACTGCTTTGTCACCTGTCATCCCGCCTTTGAAAGGTGCCATTCGTGCAACACAGCGTGCGGAGATCGTTCGGAAGGAGATCTCGAGAATTGCGAGGATTATACGCAAGGGCGGTGGGTTTTGGAAGGGGGTCTATATAGGAAGTGCTATTGCGCAGACTTTTGGGTGGCGTCTATGGACAAAGGCTAGGGGGGATACACATATTGTGGTGATCTCTCATGGGTCTTTTATGAAGAGTTTATTGCCATGTAAGCTACCTGCTTACCTCATCCATTGCATGACCACAACTAACATCTTCTATGAAGCATCTCACACAACCCGACGAGTCTGGAAGAAATTTAAACCAGGAGAGGTGAGGACATACGTTTTGAATGCAGATGGTCAATTAAACGAAACCGCAGAATCTAAAAGCATTAGAAGTAAGATTACTACCGTTTCACAAAAGGTCAGTAATATAAATTTACTAGTAGGATCTTACTTCCAACCGTCATCTTCCTCCATCGAGAGAGCCATTGGGCTAAATATTAATGTAGGGCAAAGATGTTGAACCTCACAATTGGATGCTGTTTGGAATATTTATGTGGATTTTGGGGTTGCTTCTGTGTGGATTTGGGATTTATCTTAACGGGTTGATGAATACTCCATCGAATAAGATGTTTTTGGATTGCTTAGAGTTTGGAGATTAATGCAGTTGAGCTATCTTTAGATATATCTTTTTTGAATTTTACTAAATGATCAAAATATTTCATACTTCATGAAGTAGTTAGATTAAAGATCACCATGATAAGAAGTTTTGGGATAGAATTTTTCTCAGTTGGGGAAATTCCCTGAGGCCGGAGAAAACCACTGTAAGTAAATGTTGTGTACATATGAACATGTCAATAAGAAAGGTTGTCTTGGTGAAAGTAAACTGAACATTATAATTAGATGATAGTATCTTTCATACTTAAAATTTACAGCACAAAAGATTCAAAGTCATACTCTTATAATCAAACAAAGTTTTATAAATTCAAGCCATAGTTCAACATTCTCGACTACAGTTCAACGTTTATTAAAGGGGCTCTCGCCTAACATGGATGTTTGATATATTACATTCTACTAATCCATTAAATATATCAATGTTTAATTCTTTACTGTAGCGTTGAGACAAAGTACGTACGATAATACAAGAAACTTCAGGAAGACTAAAAGTTTTCGAGATTAATGTTAATCAATGGGTGCAAAAATCTTTATTTCCTGCTCAAGCTTGAGGACTGCGAAATCGATATCATATTGAGAAGGATGAAACTAGAGTCTAATTCCATAATAGGTTTTGTTGCATGTCTGCGAATAACACAGTATTGAACTGTAAGATTGCGATAAATCGCGTCATGATATTCTTAGTGTTCAAGAAAATATTGTTAAAAGTTTGTATCTAGAAAAATAAAATTGGGGAGATAGCTACCAAGATCTTCAATCTAGATGACTTGCAAATAAATCATCTCCTTTTTCTGATCCGACAACACTAATTGAAAGATTTTTGGTGGACGGTAGAAGCTATAATTTACATCAAACTGTGGAAAGCGTCAAGATGTGCAAATTGAGAGCAAGCAACTCCCACATACCAAGCTATTGGTGAACGCTGCACATCGTAATTCAAGTACTGACAGATTCTAGTATATACTTCGAGAATATCCGGAGGTATACAGTCATTTTTCTTATCTCATTTCATCCAGGGCACCAGCTCGGATCGGAAAACGAGTCTTAATATATGCAGACGGCCTTCACTTGTATACATCGCTCTTCCACAAGCTATTAAATCTAAATGTAATCACCTTAGATACCCAAGGCAAGTATAGATATATATTAGCTTGGTTTAGATGATTTGTGCAACTCAAGTCAGTTCTTCTTAGCTACATTAAACAGTGCAACATAACTCTTCTCAACATGACCTACTCGTATTTACGTGGTGGAGGTTCCAGGAATGGTAACTGTTATGAATACAAGGAAATGTGTTTTCTGACACACCCAAAAGTATTTGAATATCTTCATATAGTCCGATAATCATTTACTCTCACTTTCGATTCTATGTTAAGATGGCTGTGAAAGTCGCGGTGTCGACAGCTAGATATAAGAACACTTGAATGAGCATGTCTCCTTTGGTGAAGTAGATAAATTTCATGTTGTGCAGAGCTCTCACTCAATTAGACTATTGTATTATGCATCTTCCAAGCAATATTTACCGACCGAAATTCTATGTAAACCACTCGTGTCGATTTAAGGCTTGTTAGTCATTACTTGATAACTTTGGGCCTGGCAATATTGGATGCGAGTTTGTTGCCAGTAATGATTTTGCTCTGTATATAGAAAGTTAACGGGAAAAAGAAAGAAAAAGACGAGATAGTTTGGATTCAATATTAATCGAAAGTTTTACCTAAATCAAAGGACGAGGGGTCTATGTTGGTTTTGAAGTTTTGCTGCGTAAAGATTGATACACCAGTAATCATCCTCCGAGACCTAGAAAGAGAAATAGAAACCAAGAAGCTCATTGACCTGTAATGCTGAGTATCCGAAATTGTGTTAACTTTGCGTGTGTAGTTGATGTCATGAATTTCAATCAACAAGTTATCGGTACATCTAGACTATTAGAAAAAGTAGAGTTGTTGTTGAATATGATAGATCATGATATTTTATATTTCCTGCTCGTCCTTATTACATTTTATGATTAGATGAAGATATCCAAAATTCCAAGCTCATCTCATAATAGAACATTCAAGGACTTATCCTTCTAAGATTAGGTTAGGACTGCCGGTAATACGCCCTGACACATGTCTTTGAGATCCTTACTTGAATACAAGTATATGGATGGTTTGAGCTCTCTAGGAGAAGATTGGATGTGTGTTGTTGTATATTAGTTGAAAGTGACCATGATCACTCGACTCTGAGTGAAGTACTCCAAACTGAACATATCTCACACTTATGTATCTTCCTGGATATCAAAGATGCAGAACATTACTTCAACGGACTGGAACTAGGTGTAATAAGTTTCGCTTTACCCATGGAAAGAGTTACAATCAAATGAATCTAGAATTTCTATCTCTTCTCCTAGTTTACATCAATGTACTGATATCATATACTCCTGATTCAGAAAATATAAACCCTTCAAGAGTTTCCAACTACAAAACTCCATGATACTTCTATATGGAGATCGTACTCTCCTCTGATTCCGACCTGAGCTGCGATGGATCACTCAAAATCACCAGAATACTTGCTATTATACACAGCAAGATCCTGCTCATGACGAGAGTTATTTTATACTCTACTAAGAACACTTTAACACCAGCTTTCCTTTTTAATCTCTTATCCTATCAACTCAATTTCATTGCCAGTATCTATGCACAAAACATATCAAATCATTCACATAAAGCATGCATTATCAAATTGAGCAACTTTCAACTATCAGGTACTCAAAAACCTAGACGATATATACCATGAGAAACTCCCTAGGACATAGACTATCACTCAATTGAAAGCATATTGTATAAGAAAAGCCAGATGATACCAATCAAAGCAGCGTATACAAGCAAGAGCAAAAATATTCCAGCATCCCAAGTCAAGACTGCACGCAGAATCCAAAAACAAAAAGCAAAATACTCCGTCCATTATATCTTTCCATACCTCCATCCACTTCCTCATCATCACCAAGTAACCCACGGTTTTCCCAATAGCACCCCAAACCATACCCTTAGTATTCCTCTCCTCACCTTCAAATACCGCTCTACCCAGCAACACCAGTTCCTCACCTAATCAACTCCGAATTCTCAAGTAATCACAATCACCACCACCAAATCCATAATTATTCTAAACCTCAAAAATACAATTCCTTACCTCTTACCTCCTATCCCCTATCTCCTACAGCCGCTCTTAACACATCAATTTACCGCATGCATGTCGCACACACCGTCAGCTGCATCGTCATATAAGACCCACTCCGTTCCCGTCATCATTACATAACACCATACTAATAGCAAAACCCATCTTCACATTATTTCCCTAACTTGATCACATAAGCCTTAATTTGCTTTTGTGATCTTATATGTTTAGTCATCTTTTCATATCTCTCACTAATTTAAAACTCCACATCTTAATATCGCCGCCGCCAGTCATCAAAACACCAAAAGCGCATTCATTTCCATTCTCAAATCTCAAGCCTGAATCATCAATCTGACAAGGCTACAAACATCTAGACCCCATCCACACAGCCACATAACACGGAATAAGCACCCCAGTAAACCAATCTCACACCCATCCTACACACAAAAAAGCTATCGGATATGTATTTCCGATTTTTGACGCCTGGAATACATGATTATAGGATTTTGAAAATATTTTACATTATATAATCTATGATAAATAATAAATATCTCAAAATAAACCCTGAGATAAATAATCTAAAAGAAATCACATAAATGAAAAGTTTAGAGATAAATATAAATATAAATATATTATAATAATAATAATAATAAGAATTAAAAATTTAAAAAAAGATCTCGATTATTTAAAGATCGATATTTTATATATAATATAATATAATCTTATATATTTTACTTCTTTATTTTTATTTAATAAAGTAGTTAGAATTAATTATATAAAAATAAAAATAATAAAACCAAACAAATAAATCAAACCATCATACCAAATAAGCCCCGAACTCGGCATCAGAAAGAAATCGAAATGGAAAAAGGAAGGAAATATTCCTATTCAATACACAGTGCACTATTCTATGTGACGCCTCACACCTCCGGGTCACGTGGCATGCCCCGTTTGTATTTAATCACAGGAAAACTCTCTACTCTTGTTTTCCTTCTTCTTTTCTCCTTAGCTTAGTATTTTCTAATACAAGATACTTTACCCAGTATTCTTGAGTGTGACATTCTACTCCCAAACCCGTTGTGACGGAAATCCCTGCTTTCCTCCCACCTTTATTATATAAGAAACCTCAGGTACATTAACCATGTCCACACATGATACGATTACTCGAGATTAGTATGCGATTTAGGTGACCTGAGGATCAGATCCGGACAAGTACTAGGTATCAATGGTTATCGGTAAAGTAAGATCATTGGAGGAATAAATACGACTTCTTTTTGCCTAGCCATTGCGGCTAGGCCATTCATTTGTGTATATATAGAGTAGCTATCCCCATCTACAGGTGCTCTTCACCTGTAGATTCTAAGTTAAATACAATTGCTGGTCTATAAACACCCTTTTGGTCACACCCATGATATCTCTCAATCACATATATACCTTCGACCCCTGTATCCTTTCTCGAATGCAGAACTCCAAAATCAAAGTCCACTTTTGAAAGTACAACTAACCTACAAGTACGTACCCAAGTAACGGTGAGAAAATCTTGGTAATTATGTCCTATGGCTACATACCACAAAATCCGGGTTTTACCGTCGGTATAGAAAAGACACTAAGAGAAAGAATATATATATATATATACAATAACCAAATAAATATTCACTGATGGGTTATAACTTATTTATCTATTGATCTTTCACATTTTCTAGAATTTCAGAACGATGACGGGATCAAAAGGTACTCCTCTGTATGTGAGGATTTTCGATATGTACGTATGTACATGTTTTGAAGCATCAGCCAGTCAGTCTTAACAATTCTGTTCTTCCTCCCTCCTTTGATTATCATCAAACTTGATTCAGATGAAGGGAATCAAGGGATCCTAGACAGGGAGCTAGATAGAAGACACGTAGAATACGAAAAGGCCTGTTTGTAGAAGTTTAGGATTAACGATGAATGAATGGATGGATGGACTGAATCATCCGAATGAGAAAAAATAGATGGGGATCAATAAAAAAAAACGGAGTATTTAGATTAACCAAAGGATTTCCAAAAGGACAAGCAGAGCGCTTCTAGAAACCTTCTAGAAGCTTTCTAGAATAGCTCATACGATTTTGAAACCCCATTTTCTTAAATTTTTTAAATTGGGATTACTTTTCTTTGCTGGTTGACAGCTTGATCTGACACAGAAGAGAAAAGAGAAAATGAAACAGTCATTCGTACCCGCCATCGGAAATTATTATCAACAGGGGGTAAGGTGCGTGTTGTCGATGATTGCTGGGAAGAGGTTGCGAGAGTGATGCAACTATGTCTCGTGTTTACCGAGTAGAAGGTAAAGTTAAGGCAAACTTTCAAAGGGGAGGGAGGGGAGATTGGATTGTCAAGGCTAAATGATTTTTGGTCGGAAGTTTCCACTTCAAAATGTCTGGGAATCTCGTGCTTCCTATACGATAGATTTGACAGTTGACCACTTGATCTATCAAAGACAACTCTCAGACCACTTTTCACATTCGCAAGTTTACCTATTCCTATATACACTACCGGCAAGAAAAGGGGTCCGATAAACTTGGCGATCCCCAATCTTTGATGCGTAATCTCTGTCGATATGATTAAAAACCTTGACCAATTTTGATGATAGTTCGGTAGCGATTCCTCTTTGGGTATTTTGAATTATTGTATCTTTTCCGAGTCTTTTATTCCAGAAGCCTGATAGAAGCATCTTAATTTCTGGGATCATTTCCCATTTTTGGGAAAGGAAAAAGAAAATAAGATGCTGGGGAAAGGACTAGGGTACCTATGTACCAAAAGCGTAATGCCTGCTGCTAAGGAGGGAGGCAGTGCCAGTTTGCAATTTCCAAAGATTGGGTACCGATCCTACGCTTTGTTGAAACTTCATTACGGTTTTGTGCCGAACGTTGCCTGGATGCAGGAAATGGAAAATGGAATGGTTGAGTAAGTGAAGCGCGGAGACTTGCTCCGGCGGGAAAAGACTTGTATAGTTATTAATCTACTATAGAGCATCAGACTATCAACAGCTGAGTAGACAATATAAATATAATCATGGTCGTGTAGGGAGTAGTAGCACTGCAATGTAGATTGAGGTAGCACTGTATTAATAAGGTAGTGATCTCGACTCAACCACGGGCTGATAGCCAAGAGAAAGTCCTCGGTATCTTCGGCCTCAAAGGTTTCATCCTCGGTAACACAACAGACGGCTAATCTTTCACACTTTTCATTGAGGTTGGTTTGATGTTGGTTGATGTTACGTGATCCAATTGCATTTCTGACTGCGTGCGTGATATGCAAAGAGCACAGAATCAAGTACAGAGATGCACGTTTCTCTACTACGTATGCATAACATGATAACATGCCATCATGGCCATGGTTGTTGGGTCGTTAAGTTTTGCACATGGCCTGCTGCAGAAATTGATATTAGTTTGTTGGGGACCGATGGTGCAAGTATCCATGGATATCGAAAAATTGTGGGAAATTCCGTGGATTGTCCGCCTCAGCCCTCCCTCTCCTGTAAGCTGGATCTTAATATCAATAAATCAATACAGACAGGGCAGTCGTATAAAAGCTGCTTTTGGTAGATTATATGAGAGATCTGAAAAGTTAATTAGAAGAGTGGAGTCACAAGAACTCACCTCTGTTTCGTCTAATTTAGCTGGGTAGATTTAGTAGTTAGTAGTTATTAGCAGTAGTATTAGTATTGAAAAAAGAAATATTATTGAAAATCGAACAGAAATAGATTTCACGTCTGATCATATGTCATATTTTCTTTCTTCTTCGACCTTACCATAAAAAGAAAGGTACAAGGCTGAGACATCACTACCTCGTGGTTGAGAGATTCGATGCAATTTTGAATATTTTGCCGTTACATTTCGTACAGGAAATAATTGGTGGCTTTCCGTTACATTAACACATGGCAATTTCAAACATAACGCCCTTTTTCCAACGATGGCTGCATCGAATCATCTAAAGTCTATCAACAAACGGTGGATCTGGAATGGAATCTTTCGTCTGGAGGATATTTGGATGCATATGGGGGTGGATATGTTTGGATAAGATGACTGATTCCCCTCAACAATATTTTCTCTTTCTTTTTTTTCCTCTTAGTCTACCAAGATCCAATTCTTACAAATAGAAATCTGACTGTATTTTTCCCATGCACTCGCCACATCCGCCGATATAATAGATTTATGCACTTTGATCAAGGATTATTACATTCATGTGGATTTCTGACCCGGAAGTATTCAACCATCAGTGTTGTGAGTGGATTTTTCTGCAAACACTCTAAGCGGCACCAGATGAATTTCCTTCCCCACTGGTTAGATGGTTTAGATGATTAGATGATATCACATCGTACTAAATATCGGGACATCCTAGAAAAAACGTGGCAAGAAACGTGGGAGTCCACTATTGATGCCCGTTCAAGGCTTTTTCTTTTTTGGCTTCTCGATAATTCTACAAGCCCATCTCAACTTTCAATCTCTATTCGCTACAATCCTCTGACCAAATCTTTCTCTCTTAAACTATACTATTACAATTTCATAAATCGATTCAACTGGTGCCTCAATAACATCCGGGTTATTCCCCTCTTTCCCTCCCTCCTTCCCTTCCCCTTACTAGCTGTAAACAAACCCACAACACAAGAAAAAAAGTGATTTATGCGCATCGAAAGCGTGTCTTAGGTATCCCTGACGATGGATGCTGTATGCGCGTTAAAGACGGGCTATGGGACTATTGAGTTTGCAGTAAAAGTCTGTGCAACACATCCCTTCGTGCGTATTGGATATTGGAACTTTGCATGCTCGACCTCCTCCGTACATAAATTCCACGAGACCGGGGAACGATGAAAGGGGAGATTATTTCGTACAGTGTGTGAACCAGGGGTTCTCCCATTGCCGTTGACATAATGGGTGTCTTGCATGTCCATATACCCTCCGCTCCCTATAGCATTCCGAGCAGTGGGAAGGTTTTATTAACCAGCAAACGACGGTCGGTCGGTCAGCCCAAATGGGTATTATGCCTTCACCCCATTCCCTTGCCAATTCCACAAACTGTGACAAACACCTTTTGCCAAGCTAGATAGTTTCGGCCAACCTTCCAAGACTCTATACCTGTCTTCCCATTCGGCGGTGATGTGATACATAAGAGAACCTGTCAAAAAATGGGTGACTATTATTGATACCTACAATGAAATATAGGACGATAAAATCACTTGACAAGTTGATATCCATATTAATATCCATACGTGATCTTACCGCCAGCCCACGTCTTTTTCCTTACTTGCGGGCAAAAGCACGATTACTGCATGATCGTCGCACTTTGCCCTTTTCTCAATAGTCCCGAATTTATTTTACTTCACCGCCTCTCGAAACGCTGGTCTGGTTGATAAAGGACAGGGGTTATCAGACAACCATCTTTTTTTTTCCTCACATGGATCACAGGAATCCTTCCCATCATGTCCCCATGTTCATCGAGCGGTGACAAATCGAAAGGAAAAGCGTCAAACGCATTGCCTCATTGCCCTACCCGAGAGGAAATCGGGGCCCGGTCTGCCAGTCAACAGTTTCGACAAGCAAAACCCTCTTTTTTCATGTACCGAAATTTTTGTCTCGTGATAATCCATCCATGTCGTGCTTCACTTACAATGGACCTGACACTGTACGATGATGATGATGATTTGTGATTTAGTGCGACGTACGCATCTACCAGTGTATGAACCGGCGCTCCAATGGTGACATTTTCAGCCATGCAGGCCGTTGACAGAGATTGCATTCATTCCCGCCCTATTGGCGCAAAGAGTTGCGTAGTTGGTTGGGACCGTGTGTTCACTGTTACACATCCCAATCTCGGGATTTGAGGATATTGGGTGGCGGTCTGAGTAAGTTTCGTGCACGCGACCGCGACCTGCGAAATAAGGGAAATTGCCTCTTTATTTGATCCAACCAGAGTATGTGCGACAAGGCACGTTGATGGATTTTTTTTCATGTACGCTGAAGAAGCGTGGCTTTCGGGTATTCGCATCATCGTGCTTGGTACTGAAGGTCAATTTTACACAGGCCTCATCAATGTATAGTATAGTACTCTACAGTCCACCGGCAGCAAATTTTCTCAGTTACATTACACAGCAATTTGGAATAGGTAAACTCGATCATGCTATCAAGGTGACTAGCAGGTAGTGAAGTGGTACGCAGCAAGAAAACAGAAAAACTGAGGTAGGTTTGTAAGGAAAGGAAGATAGATACCGCATGACTGACTTGCACACCACCACCAGTTCGACAATTTAAATGTACTGTATACGCCAGCTGGGATCTATTACCGATGGGTGAATTTCTTAAATCGGGTTTCAGAACAAGTGCCGGAGGGTAAAATGATACGAGCTTCCGAATACGTTTGACATGTGCATCTTTTTAACTTTTTTTGGTCCAAGGGGAGAGACATATTTCATCATAGAGAAGATGATCCTCACACCGAAAGTTAGAAAAGAAAGTCGATTCCACGATTATTCTATATATATGGTCCCACGGAAAAAGTAAGGGACGTAAACACACCCATATGGAAAGAAAAAAGGGAACAAAAAGATCCAATTGAACAGATCAACAAAGTTTGAAGATCTCCTTATCTTAAACCTGTGCGGTTCATAAGGATCATAACCAATTTTGGTCCTTGGTCCCTGTTCCTTGCTCGATAGGTGGATAGCTGCTTGATTTGAAGCGAATGGCGATGGCGATGGTGAGTGAGTGTCTAAGACCTAAAGCGGAAGATTAGAGTAAGAAAATCGTTGAAGTCTCAGAATTTACTGACTGCTTTACGTTATAGAGTAACCAACCTAGCATACTTACCGAAGAATTGTATCTAAAGTACCGGCCTGTACCTAAGTATATGTAAAGTGTACCTAATACTTTTGCATTGCCATTGTATCTATCTTTTTAGCCTGATAATATTGGTGCGACAGGTGTAGGTATAGATTAATTCTAGAATGACAATTATCAGTTGTGTTTTTAGAAATAGGTGTCGTGGTTAGTCATAGATAAGTGCTCCGTACTCCGTACCGTACACCTCCAAATAACCCTGCAATTGCAGGCAAAAGTATTGGTTAGTAAAAGATTTCAAGGGTTCTGCCTATCCATTGAATGACAGACCGAATCCCTGTCTGCCACGAGTAAAAAACGAGAAAACGCGATAGATTCACCTGGCATTAACTTTAAAAGATGATTAGTGTGCTTACCGGTCCCACGAGTTGTGACAACCTTTAGGAAAGAAGATTCGCCTCCTCTGCTCTCATTGGTTCATTTGGCGAATGTCTTTTAAATGGTGTGTGCGGAGAAGTACATGATGAATTTTTAGTACCATCACTAACTACCCAGTCGGGGGCATAATCGTCTTACTGCGTACTCCGCACATGTGAAATCAAAAGAGCCAAGATATTACCCTCCTTTAAATTCTCAGATCAACTTTGGAGCAAAAAGACCGAACTTCGGTGATAGGCGATAGTTAGAAGCGATGTGATAGAGTAATAGTCCGATCCGGATTTGGTTGCGTGAGAACAAGAATCATGATGGATGATATATGTAGGGTTCTAGCATTGACTATGCCTATTTTGAATACTGTTTCCCTTCCTTACCAAAACTACGTATTGTATATCACGAATGAAATTTATGTTGAGTCAAAAATAGGTGGGTAATCGATCTGTACAAATGGGACGAGTGAGGATGAGCTTTCTTCTTTATTTAGTCATCGGCGAGGGCATAGATTCGGAAAGAATGCGATGGTAAAAGGAATGGAAAAGTTCAGGAAACAAATTCCATTCTTGATGGTCAAGAAAGGTCCACTCATTATCTCATGCCATTCAATACAATTTACTACCTAATCTAGATTAGTTGTATCGCCATCTTTTATTCATTCTTCGTTTTCTCTTTCAACCAATTAATGCTGTTTCATTCAAGAGTGTGCCTGGTTGAGGGACACAACATAACTAGGCATAGAACAATTCAATCAATCCCCCTTGTTCTTTTACACTACCGAGAAAACACGCCGGACGCACGCTACTTGTGGGTCCCAGTAGCCCTCGTGCTTAGAACGAGGGTTTCCCGCTTTTTTTCTTGCTGATTTTTTCCCTCGCTGCAATAATTGATGATTGATGCAAATAGATGCATGAATAAATGCTGGTTGACTTATTACCAGGTAACATGATTCCATCCAATCCATCAAGGGTTTTCCGATATTTTTTTTTTAAATAGATATATGTGCTCGAGGGGGTATGGATTAGAAGTGCCAGCCTGAGCCAGATTAGTTGTTAGATTCCAGAACCTGAACTGACAGATTTTACTCACCATTACAAGTAATGCTTAGCAAATCAATCAATGAGTGTCACTCCTCTTGTGTCCTTTACCCAACTTCTCTTCACAGCCAGCTAGCCTTGTTTGGGTTCGTTCTTTCATTGCACAAAATTATCAAGATCGTCTTATATGCAGAATTCACTTCCATCTGTTGATCCAACGTACATTACATCGATCATTCAATCTCTCCTCTCCATTTACCTTTTTTGGTTCGGTTATCTTTCTATCTATACTTACCTACTCTCAGATATCTTTTCTTATTATTCAAGTAATTATTAAAATTGGATCGAAATCAAAATCAGAATCCACAGCCAAATCCAAAATCCAAATCTAAGACCAAATCTCAACTCCAACTACCTGCCTACCTACCTACCAAACTAGTCTGAGCTTTTTTACTCACTTGGATCAAACTGATACAATTACCCCTACTACTAGGTAATTCACTGAAATCCGAAATCCGATTTCTTGGGTTCCCTTGTTTATCTAAATCTCAATCTGAATCTCCATCTCAATCTCCAGCTCTGCTTCCAGCTCTCCAAGTCGCAAGATCTTTTTCCCATCACTCGCTAGCTCCAAATTTACTAGCACATCTACCTACCTACATACCTTCCTACCCGCAGCTATTCCTGTACCCGTATCTAATAAAATTTATCCATCTGCATCCAGAGAATCCACTCAAACAAAACACAATCTAAAGCTTCCCTCCACTGCCGCTCCGCAACCTCGCTCCCTCCACCCAAAACGAGAGAGAGAAGAAGCGAAGAAAAAAGGTAAAACAATTAAGAAGAGGGAAACGAGACTAGACCGGGCCAACAGAATAAATAAATAAATAAATCCATCGTATAGGTCGTAGGTACAGTCAAGTACAGTACAGCACAGTGCAAGCGCGAAATCACGAATTTCAAGACAGATGTGTCAAGGTTCCTTTATTATCCTGGTAAGTACTCCATTAATTGTCTGCCATGCCCTTCCTTGCACATACCGATATAGATTCTTAAATGTATTTTTTTTAATAAATATTATTAGTTGTGGATTTAGGGAAAAAAAAAAACCTTAGATGGCTCTCTCGCCTTCTATTCCACCCCACACATCTACCACGACCACGAGCAATACGACTTCTACAATCTCCAAAACTCCTAATTCCTCTTTCCAATCTGGATATCACCCAAACTCAAATTCGAATTCGGTCTCGAATTTGATTGATACCAATCCCAACAACAATCAAATTCAAATTCAAAATCAAATTCAATTTATACCCTCGTCTCTTACCCATAAAACCAATCCTACGCAGACCTCATCCGCATCCACCACCACTACCACCACAACCGCGAATACCTCAGCCTCAAATTCTCTACCACCACTTTCGGATAGATCCATTCGAGAAGGCGAAACGACTCACAATTTGACAAAAGATTTCTCTGAGATATCTTCTGTGAAACTTTCTATTCGGCCTTTGACTTTTGATTCACAATCTCCATTGATCGTTCGCGAATCGACTTCAAAGGAACTGATCCCTCGTTCTTCTGCTAATAATAATAATACTACCACTTCTAATAAGCAAAATCGACAATCGACTAGCTCATTAAAGCAAAACCGAAGTGGCTTATTTACCTTGGCTGTTTTAGCAAGAGACAAAACTAGCAACGCAATTGCAAGTTTGGCTGAACCCGCATTACGTTCTCGTCTCTCGTCAAGCAATATTTTAGATTCAAATACAGATCATATCACTCCTTTGAAAGGCATCAATAATAGGTCCAAGTCGGCAGAGTCTATTGCGAGTACTAGAGAACATATAGCTTCATCCTCCTCACCTAGTGATAACTCGACACCGGCTACATCGAACACAATTGCAGAGAACACTCCTTCTGTTGATTTCCTCGGTCGTCGTCAGTCGTTACTTGGTACCCATCCTCCCTCGCAGGCGTACTCGAACACTGCCGCGGATACCCCACCGTTGATCCACCCAAATCGCAACACGGCGAACTCAAGCAAGATGCACCAAACATCGTCGCGCTTGTTGCGCATGACGAGCGATGATAGACCGTTCACTAGAGTATGTATTTCGCAAAAATATGGTCATTTCTGAGAGGGCAAGATGGATGCTGACTTTTGAGCAAGGATTTTAAGGATTTATTCGCAACGTTGGTAGTCAGTTTACCACTGGCAGCGCACCGCATACGATTAACTAGAGTGGAACATTCGTTTCTTTCAGAAGAGGCTATCAATAATCTGGGTTCTTTAAAATTCTCACAATCAAATCGTATGCCAGATCCAAAAGACCCCTCACGTATCGTCACCACTACCACGACTACAACATTTTCTATGGCGCGGGAAATGGCTCGTTCAGTGTGCCAACGCTTCTTGGATGCACGATTTATTGAATCTGCGGATGGAAAGCAGGCAAAGGAATTCACCATGAAGGGATCTATATGGCAGTTGACACCAAAGGGTATTCATATTTTGGAAAGATTCTGCTTGAAGAACGGAATACAACAGAGACACGTCGCAGAACTTGTCGCGTCCCCAAGAAATACCATGCAACTGGTTATTTTAGAAAGAGATTCTGCTACGGATAAACTTTCCTCGGATCGAAGCACAATTGAGGTTATTTTCCGCAGATTCGTTGGTCAAAATGGACCCAATATCAAGAACAGTACTACATCAGCTGATTCGGACTCCTTGAGCGAATACAAGGATGGAATTGCTGGTGTAAGAATGGCAGGAGAGCGTAAAGTTGGATCGCCACCTAGAACTGTTTATCAAACATTTACCGGAAAGGCCGCTTGTGACTGGTTAATGGATTGTTGTACTACGGTGGACAGACGGGAAACCACAGAAGTCGCATCGCTATTTTTGGAGCAAGAACTAATCTGGTGTGTTCAGCCCGACAGGCAATACCAACAACAACTTCCTCCTTCTGATGATAAAAAGGATTTCCGGTTTCAGCCTACAAAATATGCCTTCTATCAGTTATCACAAAAAGGCAAAGATGTCATCAATATGACTTCAAGGGATCGTACTTCTGAGAGTGAAGGATCTTCAGCGGCAGTTAGAGCTGGTGTTTCCCGCGATTCGAATACTCAAAAATTGGACAAGATCCTCAATGATGCTGCGCTCCGTTTGCTTTTCCGTGAAAACCTTCGGGATACCCATTGCGAGGAGAACTTGTCTTTCTATTTAGATGTCGAGGAATTCTTAAAGTCTTGCAAAGCAGCGGTAAGAAATGTGGATCCAACCAGGGGTAAATCTGGAGGAAGTCTCGATTCCGTTAAAGAAACCATGGCCTCGGCCTACGGTATCTACAATGCATTCTTAGCTCCAGGCTCACCTTGCGAACTTAATATCGACCATATGCTTAGGAACCAGCTGGCTACCAGGATGACTAAAGCTGTGGGACAAGATGCTGCTATGGTTGAGAGTCTGAAGGAAGTTACCAAATTATTTGAAGAGGCTCAACTGTCAGTCTTCAAGTTGATGGCTAGTGTAAGTACTTCTGATCTACAATCATGAAGGTTTACTAACGATTCACCACAGGACTCGGTACCAAAATTCATGAAGAGCTCGAAATATGAACAAACTCTTAAGAATTATGATTTCGATTCATTAACACATGGGCCACGGTATAATCTACCTGAGCGCTCTGTTAGCAAATCTAACAGGTAGCAGTTAAATGATTACCAACTGGCTCCACGACGAACCCGCTTTGAATACCTCACAACCCTTCATCAGGTTTGGGCACCAGCTGTATTATTACTTCGAGGGCAGGTAATTAGGCCTTAGAAGAGGCCTTGAAACGATCAGTTGTCTTTTAGCGATTGCATAGATTCCTCTCCACGTTACTTTTGGACCAAAATATATCTCAACTGAAAGATCATTTGGAGATGATGAATTGAGATTTCCCTTTACAAAGTCCGGAGGTTACAGTATAACATATCATATGCATAAATCTCGAGTTAGAAAGTTCATCCAGAAATGAATGCATTTGATGGAGTGCTGAGAAGGGTTTTTTTGGAGTGACACTCATTCATCTTGATATGATTGGTCACATTTTTTTTATTAAATTTTTTTGCGCTCTCCTTTTTTGTGTTTCATCGATCGAGATTCTTCGATGAGCGGCTTCCCGGCATTGCATTGCAAAGCATAATCGACGAATGAGATAAATGTACATAGCATTTCTGGCGTTAGGGCTGTAGCTTGATAACATTTTGTGGGAAGGACGAATAAATTCATTGGGTGGGGTGTTGCTATACAAACATTAGAATGGGGTGGGTGGGAGAGAAAGGCATGGAATGGATGGATGGATAGATGGGTAGATGGAAAGTCTATCCATCTTTTACTTTTCTTTTTCGTTTATTATTATTTTAAAATGGGGATGGATGTTGGAACAGTGAGAAGAAAGATGGGGATAGTAGAAGTTTTGTGTGGGGATGGGAGGGTAGATAGGAGATGGAGGGGAAGAGGAAGAGGGTGGGAGGGAAATGGAAAATAGGGGAAGAGGATGAGGGAAGATGGAAGAGGGAGGAGGGGGCAAGAAGAAGATGGGAAGGAGAAATGAGGGAAGGATTGACATAGCGGAAGAGAGATAACGTTTCTTGAGTTATGCAATATCATGAATATGAACATGACTATGAATATGAAATATGAAATATGACTATAATTGAAATTCTTATTTTTTTAAGAGATTTTTGCTCTCTTTCCCTCTTGTCTTTTTTAGTGGAGAATGATTTATTTTTTTTTTTGATATAATCATGTTGTTTATTCAAATCATGGGCTGTATAGATATAGATAAATGAATAAATGAATATTAATATAAGAATATATATATACCTAAGTATTGAGATGAAATAAAATAAAATTATTTGAGGTTATGAATATGAGATAGATATAAATATATTCAAAACATAAATAATCCCACTAATATATACCAGAAGTAAGTAAATCTTACCACTTATCAATTCGTTCATTCATTCATTCATTGATTGATGTATATTTAAAATCTACCTATCTACGTAGTACGTTAACTAACCCGACCCATTCCCATCATATCACAGCACATCATATATTCCCCTCAACAACACAATTCAAAAAACTCTCTAACAAAATCCCCTCCAGATCCCTAATATTTCTCCCTATCAAGACGATTTTTCCTTCTTCTTCTCTTTCTCTTTCCCCTTCACTAGTATTGCTGTTATCATTACCATTACTGAGGAAATTATTTTCCTTTCTGGTTTTTGTGAATCTAGTTTCGGTGTCTGTTTTGGTTTTGGACTCGGGTACAGGAGATGCAAATGGAGGTACATCATCTAAGATCTCGAAGATTTCTCGCACGGCTTGGATTATTTTGACGGTGTGGTTTGTGAGTGGGAGGCGGGCTTTGAGACGGTGGATTTCGGGAGATGGGGAGGGTGAGGTGGTGGAGGTGGAGGTGGAGGAAGGGGTTGGGATGGTGGAATCCCATAGGAGGGAGCGGAGCCAAGCGTCTAGGTGGGGGGTGGATGTTGGGGGGAGCGGAGGTACGGTTAGAGTGAGGGTTGTGATTGTCTTTTTGGTTGGTGGGTTGGTTAGTTGGATTGGGTGGTTTAGTGGTTGGGTGGGGGTTTTGGTTTGGAGGATCGAAATGATGGGTTGGGAGCTGGGGGTTGGAGATGGGGATGGAGATAGAGATAGAAGCAGTAAAAGATATAAACTTACCGGATCTAGATGACTATGTCCTTTTGCCTTTACTTCCTCCAAATTAAAATCAACTCTATCATATGCATGTAAATCTAGCAAGACACCTTCTAACTTTGGAGTTGCGCCGAATTCCGTAACATGTAATTTTGCCAAACCATTTATAGCCGTGATTCTCTCCTTGACAATTTCTAATTCTTCTGGAGTGACCAAATCGGATTTATTGAGAATAAGTACATCAGCGTGTGAGACTTGGAGATGGGCTGTTGTTAGATGTGGTCCTGAATGTTCATGTTTCTCAGTATTGACATTGGAATAGGATTTGCTTTGGTTGGGTGTCTCGGAGGGGATCTCGGAAGGGATGGGTTCATTGAGGGATTTGAGAATGTTTTTCGCGTCGACGAGTGTGACGATTCCGTCGAGGTAGATGGTACTTCCGAGGCCTTCGTCCACCCAGAAGAGAGGGGCGAGGTTACCTGGGTCGGCGAGTCCGGTGGTTTCGAGGAGGATGTAGTCGAATGCGCCACGACGGTCCATGAGGGTTTCGATGGCGTTTACACCGGAGTCCCTGGGAATGTGTTGGTGAGTATGAAGGAGGGAGGGGGAATGTGGAAGGGTAGGGGGTGGCAAATGTGGCAGGGAAAGGGGAAAAATTCAGGAGGAATATGGGTAATTACTTTACGGAACAACATATACAGCCATTGCCAACATCAAGCCATTCTTCCACTTGCTCACTACCGGTATTGACGGTTAAAGATTTCTCTATATCAGCGGCTGCATGGGTGAAGACGTTAGTTTGGATGTCATAAGCCATGGTACTAGTCAGATCATGGTAGAGCAGTGTAGTAAAGTAAGAACCAGGAAGATCACTCGATCTATAGTTTCCAACTTACAATCACCAAATTCTGTACAAATAGTTAGCCTGAGTGTCAATTATGTGATAGGAGACTCAAAGAGTATGCAAGCAAAGAGTAAATACCATTTAATATCACAGCTATCTTTTTTCCATGTTGCTCATTCAAAATGTAGTTCATCAAAGTTGTCTTGCCGGCACCAAGATATCCTTGAAGTTTCATGTTAATTATATCATTCGATTTAGATGTAAGATTATGTATACAACTTACCGGTGACAATTGTAATTGGTACTTTGATAGGTTTTGCTTCATCTCCTATATTTTCTCCTTTCCCTTCCACATCTACCAACATAGGGATATCATCGTCGAGGTCCATAATGAATATCTAGTATATGAAAGAAGATGCAGCTTATTCTCCTTGATGAATACTTCTTTCACAAATATTCGTCCCATAAAATTTCATACCCTACGTACCCACAGCCTTGTGAAGGTTCAGCGCCCTTGCACATCAAATTTAGCGTTCCGACGCTATTTAAAGCACACTATAATTTGATTGGTTAACGCGAATCTGAAGAAATTGTCGCGTACTTGCCGGTTCTGTAATATTGATCGACACCATCATCTTTCAATCTCCAACTATCTTTCTTTAAGGCAACAATAACAACAACAACAACAACAACAACAATTCACCAGATCGCAACCTCGAGCGCATCATTTTCTGCCATATATGAAGATACACAAGGTCAATTCGAGGGCACGATCATGATGTCTACTCTCCCACCAAGTTCTCCAAGGCTTCCAAGCCCACCTCCACCCACGGAAATCCAGATTGGTCCTAAATCTCCATCCCTTGGGAGTGCTCCGTCAAGTCAGGAACAAATGATTGAACAAAGTATTATAGAAACAAATGCTATTCGAAGGATACATCCCGGAACAAAAGCTGCTGATATGGCTGCTGGTCCACCTCTCATACCCTTGAGTGAGGTTTGTGTGCCTCCTGATTTTAAGCTCAAAGGCTACGTCGCATCTACATTATGATAATATGCTAACATATTTTTGGTACCATCTAGCTAGACTCAGCATTTCAACTCCAAGAACATTTAAAAGCGCTTCATTACTTTCATACTAAACCTCCATCCAAAGACCACAGCGTCCCTATAACTCGGGAAACTGCCGTCGAAATAGCCACACCACCAAATGGTCTCGATCAAGCCCTTTGGCTTTATGAACTCTGCCGCTTCCTCATCAACAAATGTAATGATCTAATAATTGGATTCCTCTTTGACGATCCTCCATGTTCCGCACATACATGTCCAGAAATGCGCGCTTCCGAATGGCAATTTCTTTGCGCCGTACATGAATCACCCAAAAGTTGTTGCGCTATCGATTATTGCTGTCATACATTAGACTGGGCTACCAATATCGTAACTAGTCAAAAGATATTTCCAAGTCGTTTGAGTATGGCAGCTGGTGATGCGATGGATGATAGGGGAGCTGGTGTTAAACATTTAATTAATATTTTCAGACGTTTACATCGAATATTTGCGCATGCATGGTTTCAACATCGAGGAGTATTTTGGCAGGTTGAGGGTCAAACGGGTCTTTATGTTTTGTTTAAGACGGTTTGTGATATGCATGAACTATTGCCACCGGAGAATTATAAGCTACCGCCAGAAGCAGAAGGGTTGGAAAATGTTGAGGATAAACCACCGACAGTTACGTCAATTTTGAAGACGCCAGTAGGGGTTGAGGAGGATTTCTTAGGACTCGGGAGACAAAATACAACGAGGAGACATGTTAGACAATCTCCTTCAGTAGGATCGGCGATTACGACAGTTCAAGAAATTGATGAGGAAGAAGGAAATATTACTCAAAGATTAAGGATTGCACGTAATTCAAGGATTGCAGAGGAAGAGGGAGAGGATGGAGGGGCGGAAAGTGATACTGGGACGGAAATACCAGTTATTGTGGAGACTTTCGAGGAGGTGGATCCAGATCATGATATGGAAATCGAGAAGTTGAAGGATGGGATATCAAAAGAAGAAGAGCCAAGTTCGGAAATGATTGAAGAATTGGAACTGGAGCAGGAAGATTCAGAGACGGTTATTCATGATGATGATTCAAAGGCAGATTCCACAGGTTCATGGGATAGTATGTCTGGTGATTCACTCGGAGACAAGACGGAGGTGAAACAAGAGAATGATGATACTGGTGAAGAAAAGGCTGAGCCCGTCGTTAAAGAGCCAGTCACGGAGCTAAAGCCAGGGGCAGAGGCAGTCCCAGTCCCAGAAACTGAGCCAATCCCAGAATCGAAGCTAGAGTCAGAGCCACCTAGTACAGAAACTGGCGGAGAGGCAGATGAGGAGCAAGAAGTACAAGAGCAAAAAGATAACTCAAGTGAAGATGAACATACATCTCCACCCAAAGAAGCACCTCCAAAAAAGTCAAAGAAATCCAAAAAGAAATCCAAAAAATCCGCAGCAGCAAAAGAAGCTTCAAAAATATCAACATCAACCAATCACATAAACGACGATACGAACACCATGGAGAAGGAAAAGGCATCGGATCAAGTTAAAGAGGCAGGGGAAGATCAAAAGGTTTGATTATTTCTCCCAAAAGACATAGCATTGGCATGATGGATAAGGATTCTATGAGCTTATGTCCATTCCTTCTATGGTATTCCATTCATTCACTTCTCTCGTGTTATTATAAATTCATCATCACCGATAGGATCGGGATTTCGGTTTGGGTTTTTCCCTTCGGTTTTCGAGCTTGTGTAAGAGTAAGCTTCATGCATGTCTTAATTTCACCCCTATCTTACCTTCCACTACCTACCTACCTTTTTTTACTCTTTTCTTTTTTATTTTTTTCTCCGGCAGCAGATAGTCGGACAGTGAGATGGGGAACTGGATTCTTGCTTGCTTTTTTGCTTGCTTGGTTGTACTTTTAAGATACCCGAATTAGGAATAGAGTGAAAATTAATGGATGGGTTTGGTTTGTGTTTGTGTTGTGTTATATTGAATTGAATTGAATTGAATTGAATTTTGAAGTGATAGGTTGTGATAGATAAAGATTCAAGTGATGTGATTGAACTGGAGTGAGAATATTAATTGTGGTTGTGTTTGTATTTGTGTGTGTGTGTGATGTAATATGATATGTATATGTATTTGTATATATACATCTATATACATCTACTATGAGATGTGTATATGTGTGATAAAATAGATGGATGTAATTATAGGAAGCCAAATGCTTCTTTTTAGATGTTTTGTAATATCTATTATTAGGATGATATTTTATTAAATAGATTTATTATTATTATTATTTCTTCTCTCCAGTGTTTTATTTGTTTGTTAATTTTTTAAATCACTTCAGTACTCTCCTTTAATACATTTATTTTCCTTTCCTCATTCCTTCTCATTCTAGGTATTTATCCTCTATATATATGTCTACCTACTCTAGCCAAATATCAAACCAACATCCAAATAATACTACTTCTCCCTCTTCCCCCTCCCCCCCTCCCACCTAATCCTAATACAACACCCTCCCCACCAACCCCGCAATCGCCAAACTACTCGTCAACCCAGGACTTTCAATGCCCAACAAATCAACCCACCCCCTATAACCCTCCTCACCCATATCTCTAATAACGAAATCCTGAAACCCCCTCCCACTCCCCACCGCACTCAACCTCCCCAACTTCGGCCTTATCCCCGCATAATCCGGCTGGATCCCCTCAACCTTGACATCTGGGAGAAACTTCCTAATCTGTTCGATGGCCTCTGGTAAACGCGAGCTATTAACCTTCAAATCGTGCGGATCGTCAACCCACTCTACATCTGGACCGAAACGAATACGTCCCGCGATATCGAGCGTGAGATGCGTACCCAGACCACCCAGCCCCGGTTCTGGCGCCGGATATATGAGATGTTTGGTCATTGGGACGCTTGGAGAATAGGAAAAATAATTCCCTTTAGCGTAGTATTGTTTCAGATGTTGTTCTTGGGGTACGATCATATTGTGAATATCGCAGGCTCCCAGGCCGGCGGAATTAATTATCGTCTCGGATGTAAATGTATTTTCTTCCCCGCTGGCTTTATCTCTTACCAGAATTTCCCACCCCGAACTTCCCTTATCACCTAAAGGTGTGATGGCAATCACATTACTATTTAACGCGGCATCCCCTCCTTTCTCCGTAAAATTTCCATGTAGAAACTGCATATAAGAATGAGAATCCACGATTCCAGTAGTAGGACTTTCGAGAATCCCCTTTCGAGCTCGCACATAAGGTTCTTGCTTAGCAGCTTGTTCCAAAGGGATAAAATGGGTAGGGACATCTTCGAGAGTTTTGGTGAAGTTGTGAACTTTGATTAATTCTTCGTATTGCTGGTCTGTTTGGGCGACAATCCATTTTCCCATATTTTTATGAGGGATGTCATATTTGGCACAAAGGGCATAGAGCATTTGGCGACCTTGGATGCAGAGATTGGTTTTTAGGGAATTGGCGCCATAATAGAGACCAGCATGGATAACCTAATTGTAGAATCATGTTAGATTGAAGTAACGATAAGAATTTCGAGGTATAACCTCATGCAACGACATTTAAAAAAGAGATAATAAAGGAGGGAAGGATCACTGACTTCAGAATTCCTCGAACTGGTTTCCATTCCCACAGCACTATTGCGCTCGAGGAGTAATGTGCTTGTTCCATCTCTACCTGCCAACTGTCTAGCAATTGCAAGACCTACTGCACCTCCACCGATGACCTTGATATATTAGCCTTCAATTTGCAAGAACATATCTGACACCATGAAAGGGTATATACAGCATGTGTAAAATCCGCTTGTCGTGAAATGGTAGTTGTGAAACATCGTCGACGAATTGAATTTGAGGTCAATTGACTGCGAATTGAACTTCGAAACATGTTGTACAAACTTTTGAATTAAAAGGCTCGGAAGTTAATTAAGGTGTTGGCCATGGATACTCAATAGCTTGTTGTTGGATTGTAAATGATGCAATGGCACCAAGTGCGGGGAGCTTCCATGCAAATGCAGGGGTTCACAAGGCTTCAACAACAAGGCTGTAAATCACCATCATTTCATCCCATCCATCTTTCGAAATAAATTCAAAGTCCCGAGAGAATAAATTTCACTACGGTCGGAGTTATTGTTGATTCTAGGAATAAGAAATGTCCTCCCCTTACACCTTTGACACCGCATACGCATACAGCTTCCTTGCTGTCAATCCCGCAAACATACCAACGCCAATATTTTACAGAGTTTACAATTTGAATACTCTTGATCTGTGGAACCATTCGTTGCGCCTCTAATCCACAGTCTTTCCCAAACATGAAGAAAATTGTTGAAAGTATTGATGATACTTCAATCTTGTTTTGGCTCATCTGCTGGTGCAGCAATTGGTGCTGTTTCTTCAGAAACAGAAGTGGATGAAACCAGATGAGATGCCGTGGCAGGTTCGTGTGTAATGGAGGAATTTGCATGTAATTCACTAACTTGGCGCTCTAAATATCATTAATTAGTATGCAGAGGCGAGTAGAAGGTTTGATAAAGCTTAATATACCTAATTCCCGTATTCTCTGACGTAACATTTGGTTCTCTCGAATCATCGTCTGCGTTTCCGCTTGATAGTATGCACTCTCATCACGGCCACCCAAATTCCATGATTCTCCACCTTCATTACTTATAGATGAGGATCTCAACCTAGGTGATGCAGTTCGACTAGGGGTTCTGGATCGCCGATGTAGATTTTCTCGTGCAACATCGAAGGAAGTTCGGGAATGCATCGCTGTGATGGGTGATCGAGGAACTGACATTGCTGAGGTCACATTTGGAGGGATGTTTTGTGTTGAGAACGATAGAGATCGCTCAGATGTTGGAGTAGATTCATCTATGGCTGGTGCAGATCCTTGCGCTTGACCACTGGCAGCTTGTAATTGCTGAAGTTGTTGTTGTTGAGTCCGAATCATATGCAAAAGGCGATTCTGCAAAAAAGGAAAAAAATTATTCCATTAGTGAACCTGAATTTCCTCGGCATACTCCTAGATAAAACTGTAGCTTACCACTTGAGCCTCTTGTTCTTGTTCCAATTCTTGATGTATCTCACCAAGACTAGGCGCGCGGAAATGATGGGGATCACCGCTTGCATTGATAGGTGAGCCCGTAAATGACATAGGACTAGCTGTACGATTTTGACTTTCACTAACAATTTCTCCTTGAGGTGGCAAAGTTGGGTCATTCATTTGTAAATTCATTAAAACTGTTGATCGTCTTCTGCCTGAGTGTGATGCTGTCGATGCCTGTCGTTGTCGGCTTGTGGAAGAGCCTGCTTTAGAATTAGCTGACATTCTGGTACTTTGGTTATTAAAAGAGAAAGAAGAAAAATGGGTATACGTCTCGTGTTTTCTTCTTGTTGAAGACCTGCGTTAACTGCAGCGGCAGCTTGAAGAGAGGTAGATGCAGAACGCGGTGATGGAGAAGGACTTTGACCCCGTATATTAGTATGTGCGGGGTGTTCAGTTGGAATTGGAGTGCTGCGAGACATGGAGGGTGAAGTAGTTGATGATCGTGAAGGAGGAAGTGAGTTCAAGTCGGGAGCCATTGATATTTCCTTCGTATTTTATAGCCTAGGAATAAATAGATTTTGGTGGAGGGCGGGTAAGGATGATGGAATGTTGTGGGGTAGCTGTAGCTCGGGTAGGTTATTCTAGTCCTGAGGCTAGATTGTGATGGTGGTATGAAAGAGAAATCGTATGATATAACAGTTAGAGGGCTGCATATCATTCTTTGCTTTAGAAGTAGGGTGATAGCGTTGGGTGTAGGAATGATATGATGTTCTAGTCTAGTGCTATTGTGCTACTCTTGTTAATTTTGATATATGATGTGATGTGTGATGTGCTCTTTCCTCTCACACCAATGTTGTTTGTTATGAGAGAACGTGAACATATGTCACTACCAACCGGTATTTACTGTCAAAGCTCCCGATAGATAGTACACCACCAGTACCTGCCTAGTAGTTCGTTAGAGCCTCGTGACGTTGCCCATGAACTTAGTACAGTACCCGCAGTTTAGCTTTTACCGAACTGCCGGCTACTTTTTAGGAGTGTCTAGCCTGTGATATCGATATAAGGGTATGTATCGTCCAGTCATTTCATCGGCCACAAACTGCTAGGCAATCATGAGTCGAATGAAACCCCACGTAATGGTGACTAGCTAATTGAACATCATCTCGATATCATTCTCATCTTCTGTTTCAAGATCACTGGTGGACAAAAGACTGTGAATCATCATTAGTGTGTTTGTAGGTTAGTAAACCGTCTTCGAATGTATACGACTGAGTGAGAGAAGGTCAAATGCAGATTCCACCCAACAGAACGCAGTAGTCTGTTTCTATTGGGAGTCTTATCTTAGTAGCAATATTATGCGTGACTTCTTTCATCGTCACATCACATCACTGAGTACATCATCTCCTTCTCTGAACTTTGCTATACCGAAATACTCAGAGAATTTTGTAGGCAAAAACAAAACATGCGAGTATTAATTTACCATGTCAGATTTGACCATTTACGGCTATCTTCACGAATCGCAGGCGAATGTCGTTAGCTGGCCAAACGGAGCATACACGGAGCCTTTCTTTCCCTGCAATGACGCCGTTAAGAAGTTGCGAATGATATACAAGTTCATTATCGTACATCTGCAGGGGTTGAATTGCCAAAATCCATAGGCTTGCTGTATGAACCACTGGTGAGCCCTTGGCCTTACCACTTTCCTTGGTGAAAGGCTGTTCATTAGGTATAGGGAATCTGCGGTGTAACTGTGAAGTTCTCGAATACAGGTTCGTTACCGATGAAGGAGAACCCCAACTTACGTTCATTTCGAATCATCGGCCCATGTAAGAATCTTACATATCCACATGATTCTCGCGAGCTTGTTACGTAGTATTGTTGAAGCTGGAGGACGCAATAATCTAACGAATCGCGAGACGAGACCCGGAGCAGTAATGGTTCTAAGTCTAGGGAATTTAGTCATTGCAGAATTCTTCAATTATCGGTATGTGCTCTGATGGAAGTGCCGGTGAGGTTAGGTATGCAGACCTCGCATCTTTGAGGCGGTAGGACTGGAATAACAACATACCTAGTCAGAAGAGAGAAACTTTGATGCATATCTCTTTCATCAGGTGGTAAAGGTTATGCAGATTGCTTCAACTGCAGTCCTGCATCATGAGCTTTGAAAGACTAGCACAATGCAATCGTTTACCCCACGGCTAGATTTTCCTGCAACGGTTCACCTAACTTAAAACTGCAAGATTTTATTGGTTGTTTGAAAACCAGATAGGCGAATTGGATAATTGGATTCTTCCCCCATCGCAAAAAAGTCACATCCCACAATATCCGGGAAAAACAAAATGTACCGGCACGAAAGGCAAACATTCGAACATATAGGTTGCGCAAGTTATGCGCAAATCCTTCAACGCCATACTTGGACCACACCACTGCAGAAACGCTCGAATAACATGAGCGGGCTGTGGCCATCCGTCATCGAAAACCGTCACTGCAATCCAAGAAAATTGCCTCATTGAGCCAGCGGAATGATCACGTCTCATTTCCAAAGTGCATGATAATCTTGGTTGCATTACAATGATATTGCCCAGCACATATCTCGTCAATTTCACAGAAATGGATTGTTCGATATTTCACGCAATGCAAAAATGGTTCATGAAGTATCATCGGAAGCTTGCATTCTAAAGACCGTAGAAGCCTTGGCCACCACATTTTTTCTTGTCATCTTGCCTATCTTTCTGCAGCGTGAATTAAGATCAAGCTTTCTAGGAGACTTCTATTCTGCGGCCGAAAAGATGCCCTAAAATAAAGCTTATCTCCACTGCACTGGAGACCTCGAACTTAAACCTATTGGATGCAACAACGGCTCATCAACCCAAAAACATACTGGCTTTGGCACTGATAGCAACCACATTACAGTTGTTCTCCCAAGGTCTGTCTAAGGGCATATAGGGAAAACATTCGAACACAACCTTTGTCCAGCAAGCTTCGCATTCTCGAATCTGCATCAACATACTGGTGCCGCAGCCAGTAGATGCCAAGTATTTCAGACTCGCAAGCTACGGAAAAATCTCCTTCCATAGAGTCTCTGCATCGAAAACATGTCGTGTATCGAATTATCGCGATGCCCAGGTTCCTAGCAAAGCTTGAGGAACTTCGTCCTTGGCGGGTTGAAGCATATCTTAAGAAGTGCTACTATCCCACACTAAGTCAGCAAGTAACCATGGGGAAGAGGTCAACAGACACCTGTTAAGAGCAAAAGTTATGCAGAATTCATGAGCTTTCATGCCTGGCACGGTTTACAGCTATATTGCTCAAGCAACTAACTGACGATTAATAGAAAGAAATTTACTGTGCACAAGAACGCTCCGCGCACCCGAGACTGACAACATAAAATGGTTCTCAAGAATGGCTGGAAAGTCCATTGCCATCGACGAGCGCCCGCTAAATTTCATAGCCGAGCAAACTTTTCGATGTCTCACGAGAGGTCATCTAGTGCCGGGAAGCCGCGGAAGAACACAATGACTTTCCCATGTACATTTGGACTTGAGTAGTCAGACTTCCGCTTGCGACATGTACAAAGAAATTGAATACATGCATACCCCAGGACACGACCAGGACACGACCAGGACTATGACAATTGGATCGACAATACCGGTGGACATGGATTCACAAATCGATATGAATAAACCTGGGAACAAAGCACAATTACAGCTCTGTCCGTCTGTGACTTTTCAAATAATTGTCGGTGAGAGGTCGGAGCAGAGAAAGTGGTGCGAGCAAGGTCAAAAACTCTGAAATGTTTAAATGTGCTCGGCTTTGAAAGGCTCCACTATATGCAAGGCACCTCGAACCCACTTTCATTCTCCAGTGCATAGGTTAATGGGACGTCCTAAGGAGGGGTTTTGAGAGGACTGGATTTTACTTGGATGCAATTAAATTTTCAGAGAATCTGCGCTGGACTTTGAGGAATGTCCGCGGAAGCTCAAGTTTTCAACCCGTAGAACCCGAACGAGGCCTTTTTATATCCTGCCACAATGGGAGGAAGATCATGGGTCTCTCGGATATTTCCACTTTGTCGTTGAAAGTTGAAGGTTGAAAGTACTTGTCGTACTTGTGCGTCCAGAAAGTATAAAACTACAAACGCAAGCTAATAATCTTGTTAGTCAAACGGCTCATTTTTAAGGCTCCTCTCCATTTCTTAGCACCGATTTAGCCTTCGGGGTTTATAAGTAAGGATTGAAGAAGTAAAATTTATTATATAGATTGTGTTTGTTTTATCATCTGTTGATTGAATTATACATATCTAATAATATCTTCGACGACTATTATATTTTTGTCTTTTAGGAAGTGATCTAATTCAAAGCTTAAACTAAGAACTCTCCCTTAGCGAAGTTCTATTTACAAACTAGACTAGATACCTAGGTACGTAACCTATGTTTAGTGATCGAGCAAAAATCAAAATCATAAAATTGGATTTTTAATTACAGCTCATCTCTTATCCAATCAATTACCCATGGGGTTAAGGTAAAATAACTCTAAATTGGGCAGGCCTAGGCTTGTCCCGCAGATTCCGGCAGCACGTTTGTGGATGTGCCACCCGGCGGTATGTATATAAAGTTACGGGCCGCATGATGTATCCACTAATAGTCGGTGCTCTAGGGATCGACTGCCTACTGTCGGAGTCGGGGAAAGCGGTTTTCCATGAACCTATAAATACAATAATTAATCAATCGAGTCTAAATTAGTATAATATTTTTTTATTAGTAAATTGTTATAATCTTTGGGAATTCAAGAATATAATTATTTTTTTAGATAATATGAAAAGTGATAGTTGTATATTAAAAACAAGAGTTTTCCTAATAGTAATTCTCATTTTGATAGGAATCATACCAAAAATAAGTTCAGGGAAAACCGCTTTCTAGAGAGAACCGCTTTCCGAGAACAGTTTTCCAGAGAAAACCGCTTTCCCCGACTACGACAGTAGGCAGTCGATTCCTAGAGCACCGACTATTACCAAGTAAGTAAGAAGTGAAAAAAGTGGAAAGGCGGAAATGGGCCTTTTTCACGTTTAGAAAAGTTCCTCATTTTATCCAGCACCGTCACGCTTTACCCAATGGAGAAGGCCTGAAGATGGATAATTCCAATTTGAGATAGGAACCTGCCAATATGGTATCGAGAAGATCTTGGCCAATCTTTTGGTGGCAATCAAAATATATCGAAATATGTATATATATATCTCAATGACAATGCTCTAATTCGTTTTCTAACTCACTCTCCATCTCTTGTCTTTTCCCGTTGTCTTGTCTCTTCAGCGGTAGTTCTCGGGCTCACATTTTTGGAAGTTTTCATCCAAAATGCCTTCCCCAAGCAAGACTCTGTCCGTTGTCGTTTCGGTTGCAAGCAGCCTTAGCAGTTTGTCAAGCACAACACATGGACACCGATCCACTTCGACAACCGCTGTTACTACAGCTAGCCATACCGTCGCGGCCTGCGCTGTTGTGAGCAGTCTGTCATCTGTCGCTAGAGTTGCGTCGCCATCAGGTATGTGAAATTGCCGCGACGAGGTTATCTTCAGCGGGAATGAAGAAGCGTATAAAGTAGCTAGGCTACATATACCAATTCCACCCGATATGTCAAACCTATCCAGGACTATGTTCTAGGCTTGTATTTCGATGAAGCATGGTTTTATGATCGAGTCTACTCGCACCGAATCCCGTCGTTCTCGAGACTGACCAGCTTTTGTTTCTAGCGACACCCACAGTTGATGCTAAATTAGCCCATGACTGTCTCAACTCAGTACCATTGAATACAACTGCGGCGCTCCAATATGTTAATGGTCTAGAACCATACATAGAATGGCAGTCTGGTACGTTATCAATAATCATTTTCTCCCACTTTCCGAGTTGTTCAAGATTCACCTCAACGCGAGGGGCTTCTATGTAAATGTCCAATGATATCTTGTTGATGAAATCTCCACCAAATCGAACTTTTCGGCTGACTTTGACAGATCTTGAGTACCTCAAGGATCCACCAGCAGAATACTTCTATCCTCCGCTTGATGTAATGGGCAAACTCGCTTCCGTGAAATCAAACCTTCAGACGGGTGGTGTATACGCAAATGAGTATGAGTTTCAACAGGATTTGTATCAAATTTTTGCACTGGCACATGATGGACACTTTGTGGTCTATCCTGACCTTCTCTCCTCTGCCTTTGATTGGCGCCGTCAGAGATCTTTGGTATCTATCAGCAGTGATGGAGTTGAAATTCCGAAAATCTACATATATGGTAAGTTGAAAGACGAGATCTTATAATGAAGTAAAAGTGCTAACCAATCTTTTAAGAGGACATTATTGCTTCGCCTTCAACGGCATCCGAGGTTACAGAGATAAACGGAGTTGATGCGGTGACGTATGCAGAAGATTGGATCTACCAAGCCTCTTTCAATCAAGACGCGGATGCTGCATACAACAGCATGTTTTTCGAGAAGGCATATGTGGCAGCAGGTAAATTATCTCTTTCATATATGCTAGTGTTAATCTTCTCCAATTATGCTAACACTACTGCTCAGGAGTTTCCAAAGGATACTTCTCATCTGGCGGTCGTATCCGATACATCTATCCGGGCTCAAACACCACCTTTGCGTTCGAAAATGGTACAACTTTGGTTACCGAAAATTACGCTAATGTGAAAGGAGACTTTACCGGTGTTACTGATGGAAAGTCCTTTTACCAAAAGTTCTGCGTTCCAACCACCACCGAGTCCGTCGAAGCAACGGTGGCAGCCCCCGTAGCCGCGATTGTAACTGCTAGTGGATATCCTACCCCTGTTGTTATCACCAATGACACTATTGTCGGAGGATATTATCTCAGTGAGCCGGGTTTCGAGGATGTTGCAGTTTTGACTCTTTTGGCATTTGAGTCTGAGTCAGTTGCAGAATTCCAAGCTGTTAGCCAAACCTTCCTCGCTGGTGCAGTTCGAGATGGAAAGACCAAATTGATCGTTGACTTGCAAGCAAATGCTGGTGGTTACATTTTGCAAGGCTATGATCAATTCCGACAACTGTTCCCTAATATCGTTCAAGATGGAAACAGTAGAATGAGAGAAAGCGATACATTTCTAACGATATCTAAGATATTTTCAGAGGACATTACTGCAGATTGTAAGTGTGGCGTTATTGACCTTTGATTTCCCATATTCAAACTAACATGCTACAAGTTGACCCAAACACGGCATCGGCGGATTTGATACAACAATACGAGACTTGGTTCAACTACCGCCATGATTACAATACCAGTAATCAACCCTTCTTGACATTTGAAGATAAATTCGCCCCGCATGTCTACAGGGATGATAACTACACGAACCTCATGCGCTGGAACCTTAATGACCCACTCACCACAACCAATAGCACATTCGGCTTGGGCATTGAGGTCTCCGGATATGGATCGTTAAGTAACATCACCCAACCTTTCGCTGCGGAAGACATCGTCATGATCTACGATGGTTTCTGTGCCTCAACTTGCACTATCTTCAGCGAGTTCATGCGTCTTCAAGCAGGAGTCAAATCCATCGCCTTTGGAGGACGACCCAACAGCGACCCCATTCAAGGTGTCGGTGGTATCAAAGGAGCACAAGTCACTGAGTTTAGTGACATCTACTCTTATGCACAAACGGCACTTTCATCCTCAAACGCAACACCAGAGGACATTGCCACTCTCAATCGTCTCACAAGGTTTCCAATCGACAGAAGTACAGATTCAGTAATCAATCTGAGAGATGCCATTCTCCCTGGAAATGAGGAGGATGGAATCCCCTCTCAATATGTACTCGAAGAAGCCGATTGCAGATTATATTGGACAGCACCCATGATTACAAACGTAGAGAAAGTATGGGAGGCAGCTGCAACGGCGGCTTGGGGCGGTGGTGCTTGTGTTGCCGGTAGTGGTTTGTCGTATGGAAAGAGAAGTGTGCAGAGTTTGAGCTCGAGCATCAAGGATAAGAGACCGGTTGCTAATCAAAAGATGGAGAGAAATACTTTGGTTATGGAGAGGGAGGAGAATATGGAGAGGGATGCCTTCTGGAGGGCGAGACATGGTCAGAAGGTTACTTTCTAGGATGGATGGATATATTACGTATAATACACATGTATCTAAATGGAAAAGATATTAGGATCCCTAGCTTTATATCATCGGTTTTTGGAAGTAAAATTAAATATACTCTTCAAATACACTAATGGTAATGTATCATTCTTTACGGTGAATCAAAAAAGGATACTAAAAGCTCAAGAGAAGGTATTGGATACAACTCTTTTCTTTCAAACATATTTTTTTTCGATACTAGGGACCAGACATCATGAACTTGAGATGCCCTCAACCTTACATAGGTAATCATACACTAGCCCTATCATAGTATAACCGAAATTGTATCCTTTTCATGATCAATAGCGCAAGTATCAATATCTCTCGACTCTCTTCACTCCACTTCAAAAACATTAGCTTATTATTACAGACTTAAACCGATCAGAAATTTAAAATAAATCAGAGCCGTACTATAAATTCAAAACGAAGATCGACACAAAGTGATATCGATTCCTAGCCTCGTCATGCATTGAGCACAAGTTGTTATTCTGACTTTCAAGATTCTTCGATCTCGGAATTCTTTTGATTTTCTAATATGTCTGGGGATAATGAGAGGGTTGTTGGTTTCTGATAAATCAATCTTTCCCTGTATGTTTTTAAGTATTCTCGGAGATAAAGTCTATTGGTCCTTGTGTTATGAGATATCTCATTCATTGCATGAGACTCTGGGGTATGTTATGCGTAACCAAAGCTTGATGTATGTTGCTTTTTATTAGGACCTCGCTTTAGTGCATGTTGATGAACTTACTGTATGTGATGCTAGAGGTTTGGGTCTCTTTGATTCGCAGTGGATCGAAGCCTTTCGCGGGTCGTTGACGCATTATCAGCTTGAAGACTCTTTTTTGTCATAAATATGCGTTTGCGAGTGTCACAAAATTTTGATATGGGGTTACCTTATATGAAGTGAAGCGCCTGTTACCTACGAAAAGCGTCACAACTTCACCCTCTCTTCCTCGAATAACCTCATATACTGAAGCTAAAGATGATTCTAAAGGATTTCTTGCATATAACATTATTTGATTATTGAAGGAAGTGATTTTCCATCCCAGCCCCAACATTTGAACTGAGATCACTGAAGTCGCAATCCCACTACCTGGACCAGACGAGATAGTGATCGATGTTGTTGTTGCTGGGAGCAATGTCAAAGGTAAGCGCAACTATTTCGCAACATATTCGTGAGGGAGTAGCTCAGCCAGATTCCCTTTCTCCAGAGTGGCTTCATCTCAGGACTTTGAAAATATCTCTCAGCAGTGGAGACGATATCGCTGGCATTGCCCATAGCCTCGAGGAGAATTTGAGGATGAGGACCAATATCAGCTTGGAGATATGCTTTCATCCAATGCTAGCACCCCATGGAACTTACGCAAATATGCTGTTGCACCGATGCATGATGTGATGAGACTGCCAGATGGAATAAGATTCGAAGGTCAGTATGTAATCAATGACGGATGACTGATGACTATTTTTCGATTATCTCTTAGAACCTACAGCTATTCCATTGGCTGCTACGACTGAAATGCTCTATTTCTTTCGCCGACAGTATTTACCGCCTGCATGGTCGCGATGCTCTGATCACAGTCTTCTTCCGCTTATCGTCTACGAAGCATCTTCTCTCTTGGTACGTTCGCAAATATTGGCTCGAGCTTCCAACATTCATCCAATCGTTGCCATCGCAGGCAGTAGCCCCTCACATTTAGAATCTCTTCTTGATCCATCTTCCTATGACAAACTGATTGACTATCGTTCGGGCACCGAACAATGGTCAAAGCTACCAAACTAGCCTTGAAGAACTTGGAATGTCATCATACTCTTGACACTATCAGTTCGGATCATACATGGAGTCCGATCTTCCATATGCTAGCTCTGTCATTTCCATCCCAATCTCCGTCTTATTACTTATCAGTCGTCACAGGTTCTGATAAGTATGATGAAGAGCCAATCCAAGAAGGTATTGAGGTAGTGTATATCATGGTAGGGAAGTAAAGCACACAGGGACGCCTACGAGTCACGCATGGTCAGACAACTCGTGAGGAGTGATCCTGAGTGGGTATCTGTGTCCCTCAAAAATATGCCTCAGATGTTAGCAGATGGCAGACTTACTGGACATACTTTTGATTGATTATCAATAAATGTTTACAAGGAGGAGAAGAAGGACTGGGAAGTTTGCAAAGAAGACAAGCGACTGGTTCTAAATATGTCTACAGGTTTGCAGAAGTCGAATGAGACTTTTATTGGGTATAATCAAGTGCTCCAAACCCTTTGACCTACAAACGATAGGTAGAAACAAGCTTTTTACAATGTCCCATCACAATATATAGTAAATTTCTTGAATCATCAATTGGGTCCTCGTCAACAAAATCGGGATAAATGAATTTTCCGAATTACCTTTTGATCCCGATTAAAAACTTGGCAAAAGTTCGGGTTATGCCAAGGTATGTATGAGTATGAATAAGCTCAATGTCACTTGCGAGGTTTGACAATCGTTAGATTAATTTAGTTCTTGAAGCTTGTACGATATCAATGTATCGATTGTGAGGATTTGATTGGACTGATTTTAGTACTACCAAAGTTTATCGTTTGATTCTTGCAATTCTTTGGTTATCCTTTGGTTAGCATGTTGGCAGACTTGCCATTCAATTGCTCTTCATACAAATCCCGATCAAGTGCCTTCGTTTTCGGAGATATCTCGCCGGTACTAGAGCAGGTTTCGGTATTAAACCATCAGACCCACAACTTTTGTATATTCGCTTCAGTTATCAAAGTCATGACGTCGAAAGATTCATTTTCTAGTTGTGTTGACGAGACAAGCAAGAAATGAAGTGATGTTGTGGTTGTGGTTGTGTTGATTACAATGCATAGCCGCCTGCATAATCTGCGTCGTAAGGTTACAATGGGCTGGAACCAATGGATAGAATCTACACTATCCGTATTTCCTTATCATGTCCCTCCCTCCCTTACCCCTCATTCAGCTTTCTAGATCAAAAAGATTCAGAGCGAGAAATTCAATTGCTTCTTGAAAACCATAAACACAATGGCAGATCCAGAATCGATCATCCACCATGCGGATGGCACGAATGGGCCAACTGGCAGAAGTTATGCCAGACGACCAAGTATCCTACATCCGGATCTTCAAATTCGTTCCAAAGATGAAATGCCAGATCCGCATGAATTGGACTTGGAGGAAGAGTATGAGGGCTGGCACGGATATATCGAATGGGAGAAATATCCCGAGCGAAAGCAAAAGGCAAGGGAATTTTTGAAGAGGTTCAAATTTCCTCCAGTATGAGTCCCATGATAGTTCTCCAGAACATTCAAATGCTGATCAATTACTGCTTAGCCGCCGGAATTCCAATTAGTTCCTTTACCGAAAACAAACCCAATCTTAGAAGGAGTGAGATGGAAACAGTATCATTATGCAATGGGAAGAAAGTTGAAAGATATCCCGGCAGAAAGTTGGCTATTTGTCGAGAAGGAAAAATCTCCAGATATGCTTCATGTGTTACAGTTTCCATACAATGGAGAACCTCCTCGAGTATGTTTCTTTTTGTTTTTCTCAAAATAGGGAGCATAGATTTAACAGAACTGACAGAATCGACTTGTTGAATCGGCCATAACTGCTAATGAAGATCATTTTGTTCGAAACCATGGTGGAATTCCTGAAATCGATGAAGATGCCTACTTCTTCGATGTTGGTGGTTTGGTCAATGAACCAAAACGTATCACCTTGAAAGAATTAAAGGATGAAACCATCTTCCCGAGGCAAAGTAACGTCGTCACAATCCAGTGCTCAGGAACTAGAAGAATTGAGCAAATCAGTCAGTATCCGGGTGATGGAGATGAACTTATCAATGCGCCGGTATGTAAAATCTTTTCTCCCAAAATATTTACATGCTAAGAGAAATATAGTGGGGTGAGGGAGCTATCGGAACCGCACGATGGACCGGTGTATCTCTTAAAAAGGTTATCAAATACTGCGGCGGTCTCAAAAGCCCCTCTGGAGCAAACCATCTCGAGTTTCTTGGAGCAGATACCTACTTCAAAAAAGGCGAGGTATCCAATTATGCCGTATCCGTTCCATGGCGTAAAGTCAAGATCAATGAGGTTCTTCTTGCCTGGGAAATGAATGGGGAACCACTCCCCAAAATTCACGGCTTTCCTTTACGTGCCGTGGTGTTTGGGTATATCGGTGCTCGCTCCTGCAAATGGCTTACGAGGATTAATGTTCTACCTTATGAATCCCCTGGGCCGGTACAGAAGAAAGAGTATTTATATTACAATTCTCAGGTAGGGAAACATAATGCGACTTACAGTTCTGGATTTAGTATTCAAGATATGCCAGTAAGTTCGGCTATCATGAGTCCAATAGATATGGATCAAATAGTGCATGATGGGAAAATCAAAATGAGGGGGTGGGCTTACAGCGGGGGAGGACATTGGCCGGTCAGGGTGGAGGTTAGTGGTGATGGGGGAAACATTTGGTATGAGGTTCCTTATGAGAATTTGAGTGAGAAGTATTACCATGCGTGGAGATTGTGGGAAATTGATCTCCCGGTCGACGCGGAAGGATGGCTAGAGTTGGTGGTGAGGTGTTGGGACAATTCGATGAATACGCAACCTACGTTTGTGAGATCTACTTGGTATGTTTCCTCCTTTTCATTAAGACAATAGCTAATGTCTGCTAGGAATTGGGATCTTCACGTCACATCTTCTTGTCACCGAATCAAAATCTTTAGTATCAACAAGTCGAAACAGAAGACGGCAGCGAGGGTACAAATATATGAGAAAATGGGTATCCCATTCTTACCAATTACACAACCAGGACCCTTTGAATTGGAGGATGATGAGACTTATGATGCAGAGATGGAAGCTAGAGGTGGTCGGGATCCTAAAGAGTGAGAGTGAAGAATGCTAATGTGGAGTCCGGTTAGTTATTGTTTTTAGTGGCTTTGCGGCGATCGAGTTAGTGTCTGTTATTTATAGTATATGAATAGTTAATTATTACCTAGTATCTCTATGATAGCTTAATACGAAAATGTTGGGTCGATGAGATTACTCCCTGATGAACGAAGTCTTTCGCCTTCACAAGCCAACATTCAATTCTAGTTATTTCCATGAGCTCTTGGAGCTTAATTGCTAACCTATCAAATAGGCTCTAAAGCCTGTAATGTAAATCATAGACCTGCAATTCCAACGTCAACCCCACCAAACGACGTCATCCTACACCAGCTACCCCACACTTTTATATCCTGCTTAAGCTCCATCATAACCTTCTTTTCCATGACTTATTTCGCACTACTATAGTACAAACCACTAAAACAACACTATCCAAGGACCGATCCGCTTTTAACTAACTATATATATAGTGTGTGTCCATCAAAACATACACCCACCTCACCATGTTCCAAGCCCTCAAAGAAAGCATGACAGAAAAAGTCCAAACCCAACCCAAAGACGCGGACGGGAAACCCAGCACCCAAGAAAAAGTACTCGCGCAAATCAACGAAAAAATAAAAGCCGCCCAAGAAGCCAGCGAACACGCAACCCAAGCACGAGAAAAAGCAGACTCGCTTCCAGATACTGAAGATGCGCAGGAGCAAAAAGCGAAATTGGTAGAGGAGGCGCAGAAGTTGGAGAAGAGGGCACATTCGGAGTTGAAAATTGCTCAGAGGTTGCAGAGTGGCGTTTGGCAGGGTGGTGCTGGGGGCGCGGGGATAGGTGCGGGTGTGGGGATGGGGCTGGGGACGGTGGTGGGAAGTGTGGTTGGGGGGGTCGTGAGTGTGCCGACTACGGGGTTGGGGTTGTTGGCTGGAGTTGGGGCGGGGGCTGCTCATGGGCCTTGGTTTAAGTTGCCGAGGATTGGGGGGGAGGATGGGGAGGAGGGGGAGGTGAAGGGGGAGGGGAAAGTGGAGGAGGGGGAGCTGGAGAATGTTGAGGCGAAGACTGAGGGGGAGGGGGAGGAGAAAGAAAAGGGGCAAGAGAAGGAGCAAAATCAAGAGAAAAAGTGATAGTGAAGACGGGAATGCAACGAATGAACTTTTGAATTTTACGGCCTTAAAAACGAATCCACAAATCCCACGACCTGTATTCCACGACCTCGAAATAAAACTACGATGTTTCCTTACCACCCATTAAATCACGACACAAAAAAATCGAACATCTAAGATGGAAAGCTGGAGAACACATTATACGAAAATCACGGCTTCATTCATTTGCATCTATTATATATTAGCGTATTTTGGAGTTGTGTTTTTTTTGGAATTATGAACAAATGAACATTTTGTTATTTGGATATCATAAATTAGGATTGATGATGTATATAATACTTTTGTCGGTTTCTTTGTTATATAATTGATTATGTATATTAGCTCGAATGTATCAGATTATAATCTTGAGGGTTTTTTGGATTTTGGAATTTTGTCTTGTGGGAAAATTGTGTGATTAAGTAGGTAAGTACTAGGTAGGTAGGTTAAGTATTTACGAATTTAAGTGTGATGAAGAGAATTAGGATATGGATTTCTCGTCAACTCCTAAAACTTATCTATGTATTGATTGCTCTTGATGCGCGGGTGGAACTTTCCTCTCTTGTATTCATCTCTAACCGCTGATCGTGAATCAAATACGGATACATATTTGCAAGCAATATAATCCACGCTTACTATATCAAACAATAGTAGTAATTCATCAATTTCTTATAATTTAACTTTTTAGTCTTCTTCTAGATTTTATATTCATATGCCTTACTTCGATGGATGATGGTATTGTATTGTATTAAAAAGAACCTGGTAACTATATAGCCAATTTCCCAATGAAAATGACCCAAAAAAATATAGAAATGTTCCTAAAGATATCCTATCGATATCTTATACCCAATGCCCAGCCATACAATCTAATCCTATCCAAGTCCAATCCAGCCAACAAAAATCCATCCAAATCCAAAATCTCTTCCTTAACTCCTACAATAAAAACCCCCGCCCCCTACTACAAAACCAACAATCCCATAACACCCACCACCAAACCCCCCACAATCAGACTTCCTACCTCTCTCCGTCCAGCTGCTCCAAGAAACTGCGCTGGCCCATTTCCTCCAGCATCATTACCATCATCCGTTCCACTTCCACTTCCACTTCCACTTCCACTTCCAAACCCACCACTACCAACTTCACTCGGCGCAGCAGAGTTTCCCACATTATTCAACGGTGTAATAGATGCAGCGGGAATATTAGGAGGAAGAGAACCAGATGGGAGGATAGATGCAGCGAGTATATCAGCATTGTTTGTGGGGAAAGATTGAGGAGGGGGCATAGATGCGGGGAGGGAGGAGAGGGGGAGGAGAGGGGGAGGAGAGGGGGAGGAGGGCTAGATTAGTGGGGTTTGGGCTTGGGTTTGTGAGTGGGGTTGTTTTGGAGGGGGTTTGAGGTTGAGGGAGGATGGCGGGTGTGAGGATGAGACCCGGGAGGGCGCGTGTTTGTGTGCAGGGACTGGGTGGTGGAGGATGTTAGTTTTGGTTTGGTTTGGTTTGTTTTTGATGATTCTTGCTTGGCGGGATAGGGAGTTTTAGGGGAAGGGAAAAGGGAAGAAAGGAAACGAGATAAAGAATCATACCAATCCGTAAAAGTAAGTGTAGAGGCCTCGGTAACCGTATAGGTAACACCATTCTGCTCAATCTCCGTCGCCGAAAGACAATATGTCGTAAGAGCCGCGACAATCTCAGTAGTATACACTACATGAGGAGAGCCACCACGATTTTTACCTTTATCTTTATTGTCATTAGCATTAGCGTTGATATTGTTATCATCATTATCGTTCCAGTTAAAGTTGAAATTGGTATTGTAATTGTTGTTTTGATTGTAATTGTAGTTGTAGTTATCATTTTCGTTTTTATTTTTATTTTTATTTTCGTTCTGGGTTTGATTAGCGTTTGCATTGCCATTGCCATTTGCGTTGGGATTGATATTTCCATTTTGGTTCCCGCTGCCGTTTTGGGAGCCGGAATCGAGGCCGGCGGAAACGAGGGTGGAAAGGGGGAGGAGGAGGAAAGCGACGGTGAGGAGAGAGCTAGGTTGATGCATTTTGAGCTTTGCTTTGAGGTCTGCTAAGACTTATGGTGAAAGATTCACTTTTGGTATGGATTGACTCTGTAACTTGGAATTTTGAATTCAATGTCAAAAGGAGAATGAATGACGAAAGACTCAAAATCAAATTGGCAAGACAGACTGCTTTAAATCATCAACAAAAGGAAGGTCTTGTTGAACGAACAACGGCAAAATTGCTAGAAACTCGAGGGAGATCGTCTCTCTTATGTGTTGACAGGTCAACTCACGCGCTTCGCATCTCTTCGCGCAAAGCAAAATATCTAGGGCTCCATGAGAATCGCGACTTTCGCGTATCTTGCCCCTATTACAATGCATCTATTTGCGACAAAAAGCTTGTCTACCGATATTTATAGATGTGGAATGTGGAGGCATGTCCTTAGATACATCTTAGGCGTTGTGCCCGCAATGTTTGAGCAGGAGGAATGTGTCCGTCGTATGATACACATTCCAATGTTTGGTATGTAGTTTCATGTTTCCCGCTCAACGTCGTAACGATAAGGATATGTGCCACTTGGTCAATTTTCCTTTAGCTCTCGAAAACAGCGAGGTAGTTAGGTTGCTTGCACTCGTCGGGACCGACGCGATGACCATGCATAGTAGCTTGAAATGAGCTGACGACTGATACGAAGATCTGAAAAGTCACTTGATTAATATGTCTGTCCAATACAAGTAATGAGGAGTGGTAATAATGTATTCAGTACAATCGACAATCACGTATACTTGTTCGCTTGGGATTTTCCACTTGGAATCATTCTTGGTTAGGCCCCTACGCACAATAATACATGTTCATTGTAGCTTGAAAATATCAGTAGAATAGCATATCCTTTTCTTGCATAGCTTTAAGCCTATTATCATACCTTATTGTGATACAATGCCTACGCCCAAGCTACTCTCCTGATGCAGCTAATATCAGGCTAATCCACAAATCCATTCACAAGTCTCATGAGGATATTGACTCTCACTCAAAACAAGACCAACTGACACGGATTTCCATAGATAATCGACATGAAATCAGTAGACAATTTCAATCATACCTACCACATCATCAAATCTCTTCATTATGTGGTTCAAAAATTCTAGCGTTAATTATTCTAATGCATTGATACCCATGTGATTCCCAAACTTCCATGCAATCCCTGACAAGCATCAGTATCCGTACAAATAAATAGCTACTTTTGAAATGCCTCTCACATTTCCTGTACTTTTCTTCAATTATTATGTTAGCAATAGATCTCATAGTAACACCAGTACTTGTATTTCTCAATACAACTTAAGTGTGACCAGCAAAAGGGTTATCCAGCACAAACTTCTCGTTTTCAACCACAGAACAAGGAAAGGTCCACGACGAGTCGTGACGCGAGACACGTAGTTCAAGAAAATGCTTATCAACTTAATCGTAACCTTGTCTTTGTTAAATGAGCGGAAGATAGGGGTGATAGGGTATTCATCTTTCTCACCTTCAGACCATAATGATATGCTCGAGGAAGTACAAAACGAGGAACCGCCATTAACCAAATTAAAATAAATAAAAAAAGATAAAAAAAAGAATAAAAAAGATAAAAAATTTAAAAGAAATAAAAAAAATAAAAGACAAAACAATTATGTATAAAAGCCGAAACATATTCACTTTAACGATCCAACAAAACTTCATAAACAGACTTTTCGAGGACATCATACACAAGCCACGTAGCATTCTCATACAGATTCTTCCCTCCTCGCCATATTTTTCTAGTGATACGATCAAAGTCCACTCATCAATCCCACAAACTCCAAGCGGATAGGCAACGTTTCCGCTGCCATTCCTACATCCACACCGGCTCCATTAGCTCCAGCTCCTTCACTCTCACACACTTCCCCAAACCCGGCCTCATAATATCCATCTACTACCTGGAGTCCATTCCTCGGAGGTTGGCTCGTCGACTGCATTGAGAGAATCAACGGGAAATTTCGAATTCTTGCTGCAATATTCGCATTGGCAGGTACTGCGCTACAAGCTAAGCGGGCACTCAAACTGCTGTGTGCACGTGGATAATAGGGGCTCGGGTTGTCACTGAAAATGGGGACAGACGGTCTGATGGCGGGGTTGGCGGTTTGTGAGTACCTTGATATATGAGAGTTCTTGTAAATCTATGAATATCGATGTAAGAATAAAACTAAATATCGGGGAAGTGTCGTCTCTAGTTACCCGTGGAGGGTTCCTCGGTTAGGTTATATATTTAACCTTGTTGCATTTCAGATACCCGCCGCAATCTTTCCTTCCGAAATGCAAGCTCAAGGTAACGCAATTCATGCTTTAATTAGGACTAAATATAAACCGATTGTGACGGAAAAGTCGTAAACGGAGTCAATTCAATCACTTAGAATCTAAAACTAAAGAACTAAGAAGATTCTAAGTAAGAAGGTCTTTATATACAGGGCTAGTGCACGTGAGTGTAACGATACTGTACCGGAGGCAGCGGCTGCCTGAGGTTTCGTCTGATTGGTAGTTGTGGGTTAAGGCTTTATCACTAGTCTTCACTTGGAAGTGAAGTCGTTACTAGATCAAGTAGAATGTAGGTAAACTAATTGATAACTAAGTTGAGCACAAAGCTCCTAAACTATGAAACTACTCTGACTATATACTGAACAATAAAGGGGGCCCCTAGAAGCTTTCTGGCTCCTCAAGACTCCTTATCACGCGATTTCTGATGGTGCGTGCGCATACGATCTTCAGGTGACCAAGATCACATACTAATTCGATGAAATCTGATCGTGTTTGCACACGGCCTAAGCTCTCCTAATTAATCAGTTTGCTACCATCGTAACACCATCAATCCTAATGGTGAATCGTGACATAGATACACTTTAATCACTCTCATTATTTGAACAAAATATATTGAATAATTATTCGAAGAAAATACTATATAAAAGACCAAAAAAATGCCGCAAAAGGACACAAGAGTTTATCTCGTACAGTAAACCCTTAACCTGAATCTCTGTAGGAACTATTGCTTAATACATGTATCTCTCTAGTCTCTCCCAGTATTCTCATCACTTGAGACACCGCTTGAGTAAATTGATTCTCTCCGATCACTCCGGAAACTAGTACTCTCACTAGAATGCCAATCATTTGAATCGAATCGACAAGGAGTTCGAGCCGGGGGTTGACCATCCATAATTTTCATCTCCTTCTCCTTATCCATCCCAGGTCTACTCTTGCCCTCCCCCTTAACTCGTTTCTTCATTCTCCTCATACCCCATGTACAAAATACTATGAGCCAAAACCCCAGAACACCGATAAATAACGCCTTGATCGAGGTCATTACGTCGGGATCAAATAACTCGAAGTTGTTGATTCCTTCTTTGTCGGTATTATGAAATCGTTGGGACCAAGGGAGTCTAGTATAGATAGACAAGATTAGCTTTTTATCAATACGTGGAAAATAAGTGTACTCACTCGGTTAAACTTTTTCCCTGTAAACTATCAATTCCACTTCCCGCCAATCTGCCGATTCCCAGATCGGAAACTGGAAAGATTATAGATAGATTAGTAAAGCCCGTCTGCTGCCAATGCTCGAAAACAGTCAAACACAAGAACATTCAATACTCACCACTTCCACCTGCAGAAGAAGGAATCCAAACCCACCAAACCCTTCCTTCGCAGTGTTCTCCAAAAGTACTCGGATAGCCAAGCGCAGCCTGCACATCTTCGATGATACTTGAACCAGAGCCAGCGCTTTCTGCTTCGCGTAAAGCAAGCCATTCCCCATGCGGTCCTTTCCATGTTCTCTTAGAGGTTTGGGGGTCGATTTCGTAATGTCCTCCGGTTAAACCATAACCACGCCACTATTGGATTGTTAGTAATAAGTCCATAGCGAGTGGGTGCATGCAAAACGAGGGATGTATGCCAGTAGCACATGCCTTTCTAAAATCTTCGCATCTCTCCCAAATGAAATCTGAAAACGAATGTGGGAGATAGTTATCAATATAATAATGACCTAGATTCACGATTGTCTCCGCATTACCTCCTCCGGTTCCATCTCCTCCATAGCCCCCGATTTTCATATCATCGATATCGAATATGGCTCTCCCTTCTCTTATTTGCCCTCCACCTCTTTTCTTTCCTTTCACATCCATATTTATAAATCCCCATCTTTCTCCAAACCCAGGGAAAAAATTAATCCAAAAGCTCTCTCTCCATCCAATGCCTCCCACAACAATCAAAGGCCTGGTTCTTCCAAGTCCATACTCATATTCCCAAAACCAAGGCTTTCTTCCCAATCTCTGTCGCTCTCTTTCGTTCACGTCCATCCATCCATTTAATGTGTATGGTTTTTCACCCTTCCCCCCACGATTCCACCAATCCCCCTGGTTCATGTTCCGACCGGGGAGTCCAGTGCAGTGTTCTTCGTAATTTTGTCGAACGCGTGCATCGATAAGTACGACATGCGCGTCCATGACAAACCTGAGAGCTTTTTCGGCGTGGGTACTCGGGGTTCGGAGCATAGGATTGGTGGGGTCGAATGGACGTCGTGGTTCGAGGGGCGAGAATCTAAGATCAGGAGAATGAGAAGTATTAGATGAAGTGATTCAGATTGATTCGGACAATGGGAAGCTGCGCAAAAGAATTTTGAGGGCTGGGTAATGAATGGAAAGGCAGATATACATACGATTTTGGAGGTGGAGTTTCTCTGGCATATTTCTGAAGTTTATCGGGATGCAGTATTCTTGCAAGTGTTCGATAATGCGATTTTATTAGAGTATAATTTGCTGGTAAATCCCCCGGGAATGCCAGTGGGAGTTCCTCTCGTGAATACTCTGGATATTGAGGAAGAAAAGGAAGCGCGAGATTTTGGAAATGAGATCTGCATTTGTAGCTGCTGCATTCGCGATGTTTGGGGGCGCGAATTAGTTGTTCGGGATCGGGATCGGGCCATGAGTACTTCATGATGGACGGCGAATAGGTATAAAGTCTGGAGAGAGTAGAGAGTAGATTGTAGATTGAGCTTGGTACAATATTATCAATAATCAATTCTTGCAAAATATGTGTGTATTGATCATATCACATCGTTGATATGGCTTATTAGGTATATCTGCTATCTTGCCTCTGCTCTTTCAATCAAGTTTAAGAAGTTCTCAAGATATTGAAAGAGGTGAAAGAGGTGAAAGAGTGAAATTTCACAAATAAAAAAATAGCCAAATGTTTAGAATTGAGTGTCTGTTTTATTTTCTGCTTTCCCTCATTAATTATTCTTTCAATTAGTTTTGAGAAGTTCTCAGAATATTAATAGAAATTGAAAGAGTGAAATTTTATAATAAAGAAAAAAAGTTTAGAATTGAATCTCTGTTTTACTTTTTGATTCTCTTTTCAATTATTTTTTGAATTATTTTCTGCAAAGGTCTCAAGATATTGATAGAGATGAAAGAATTAAATCTAAAATTGAATCTCTGTTTTACTTTTTGCTTTTCTACCCAATCATTTTTTCAATCGGTTTTGAGAAGTGAAACTTCACAATAGAGAAAAACAGTTTTCTTATTCTCTTTAATCTTCCCTAATTCATAATCTTTAAAAGATGTCATATTCAGATACCAATCAAAACCTTCCGAGGAAGCAAGAATATGCAAACGATGGTTATTCAAACATGGCGGCTCCTACGACAGCTCCAGCAACAACTCCAACAACAACTCCAACAACAATCCAAGAACCATTCCCCACCCTTTTCAAGAATCTACTCAAAGCCATCTGGTGTATTCTTGTAGCATTTTTTCCTGTCCTTGGTTTTAACAATTTATCTTATCAAGTCGGTATCACACCCTCGAATTCCAAAACCCCTCGCATCATTTTCGTTTCTGTCGCCATATTAGGTCCTCTTCTACTTTACGCATTTTGGGACATCATATATGGCACATATCTGATATTTCGTGCCTTCATATATACTAGCTCAATCACAATATGGACAGTCAGTAGGGTAGGAACATGTATCTCGAGTCCTTCGGTTTGACTTTGGTCAGCATATATATCACTATCACAATCACAACGAACTCTCGACAACAACAACGACGAACGTCTTCTGATCCCAATTCTCGAGCTTGAAACGACATATAAGAATTGGTCTGATCAATTCAATTCTGACATGCAACACATTTTTGAAGTCACTGATACAGAGACATCCTCCGTTAAAGGCAACAAGATTGTAGCCCCTCCTCCTACCGAACTCATCAAAGTTCTCGCGCGCATTACCAGCGCAATAGAAATCATGTCAGTTCGCAATAGTGATAGCATGCGTGATCAAGCGTTTGCATTTCTGGTCCCGAAACTTCAGGCTCTTCAAACGAGAACCTCTGATCTTCGAAAATTTTATGAATCATATCGAGCCCGCTGGGCCGAAACGTTAACCAAACTGGCAATCGAGTGTCATAAAGTTGCGGGTAGAGTTAGTCGTTTAGAGCACGAATGGGAGCTCATCCTGGATGAGGTGACTAGAATTGGTAATGAAGGCAAGGGGGATGATATGCCTCAACCTGGGTCTGTCTTACGCAGAGATTGCGATGACGAGCACAAACCCTCTCGTTTCGCTTTTGGCAAGGCCAAGCAAAGGAGCAAATATTGCACTTTTGAAGAGTTGGCATCCATGACATATCACTAAATTTTAGCGGAGCACCATGATCATGCCATTGTCCAAAAAGGCATATCAAGGTCTATGCAGAAACGGAGTGAAGAGTTAACTTTATTCTTAGGGAAGATCAAGGCAAGAGTGGACGATATGCAAATGGTAGCTAAAGCTGCAAATGAGGAAAAGACTGGAGTGTTGAATGATAAGAGTGAAAGATGGGTCAGTGAAAGAAAGAAAATTTGGGACTCTCTAGGCTGGGGTGCTTTATATTCAAAGGGGGAAAAAGTGGCAAGGAGTAAAGAGGCTGCTATGTATGTACTAATTTTTTATTTGTCTTTTGCATCTTCTTTTCTCTGTCTTTTTGCGTTATACAGCTCAAAGAGGTACTATACGGTCAATTCTTCCCTTAGTGTTGCTTCTGTGTCATATTTGAGAGATATTCCCTATCTTCAGCCTCCATCGTTCGAGAACTTTTGAGCCATTTCTTTTCACTTTTTATTTTCTTATAGATCTACTTCTTATTTTTATTTTTTGCTTTCTTTCCTTTTATTATTACCTTTATAATTCATTATTTTCTTTCTTTTTAATATTATCATTTACTGTTTTATCTTTTATTAATATTTAATTTCCCGCTTTTCACAAGTATTCGTCTTGCTTCTTTTTATCATCATCTATCCCATCCTTTTTTGTCATCATCTACTCTATTTCTTTTCGTCATTGTTTATTTACCCCCTCTTCCATTCTCTAATATCTATAAATAATATCATCTTTTCCCCTGCCAACTCGCAATCACTATTATTCATACACTAACTCCATTTCTACTTCATAGTATCGATTCTCATGTTTTGGACGTCGGGAATTTAGATAAACTCGAAATTTTCTCGGATGATGTCATGCGCATGATAGCATCAGACACCGAATTGTGGAATATGATAATCGATCATAGCGAAAAGTTTCTGCATAAGCAAAGTATTGCTCGCTTTAATATGGATGACTGAGGAGGAACAGGTAAGATTTTTGGCAATGGGGTTAAGGCGGAGAAGAGGGAGCCGGATGAAGTTTGGATAAATTGGTTTGGGGCCGGGGAGTGGAAGGCCAAAAAGGTATATTCATCATACTCCCTATCTAATATCTTCATAGTAACAATGTATTGATACTGTCTAGGGAGATGAGAAGAGTAATACAGAATCGAAAGGCCAAGGTAGCGCAGCCTCGCACGAAAGAATCGCGGAGTTGAGGCAATGGGGGAAGGATGTTTCCAAATGGGCTAAGATGACAGCTAATTTTGCAAGACTTTTGAATGAGTTGGCTCAGGATAGGGCTTAATGTTAGGCGAGTGAGCGAGTGAGCGAGTGCTTGTTTTCTTTTGATTTGTTTATGGTAAACATACATCCTATAGAAAGAAGGTTGAAAGATGCTGAAAGATTGTTCTTAATCGTTTAAAGAATTGTATTTAGGATTTTACACAACTGTATTCCCCGATCTGAAATAGTATTGTTTGGTAGATTATACAGGGTATTATAGAATACTTTGAATGGAAAGCATATTGGATTATCAATCGATGGAAGGAAACATTCTGGTGATTATGGTAGATCCGAAAGTAGTTGCTCTTGGTATTCTGATGTACATATACTTTAAATTTAATAGATATAATTATACAGAGTAGTATCTTCTTTCGTTTCCTTTGAAAAACTAGAAAGTGGAGAGCTATAAAAATAAGTCAACCAACCAACCAACCAATCAAAATCAAACATTTACCTAATTAACCAGTTACGTGATAGTCATTGCCCGGTGGATTTTAGTTTCCCACTAGCGTGAGCGGATAAGCTATCTTAGTGTTATGGATCTTTCGGTGTGCCGCAGATGAGAAAAAAAAAAGTTATCGAGCATCTTTTCTTCAAAAACGTCTTCTAAAATCTCTTCAAAACATCGGAAGATTTTTATTCACTGTTTACTTTTGAACACCAATTTTTTCCCTTCTTTTCGCAGAGCATACCGAGTCAATTGGATCACTAGTTCGAATTCTTTATAAAATGCCTCTTCTTCCAGGTGTGTAGAATGTGAATGTCGGCTTGTTTGTCGTGTTGTGGTATTGCGAAATCATTTATCTAACTTGCGCCGCAGTCGCTATGTATGGCCTTGAGGTCCCAGCAGGAGATGTTATTGTTCCTGCTGTTCCAGATTTCCCAGCTACCGTATGTTTTATCCTGCTTCTACTATTTTGATGTTGCTGTCGCTCTCGCTGTTCCACCTATTTAGCAGGCTTCGCTGGAGACTACAGATGTTAATGATTCAATCTTTAGTTCCGCATTACCATGGCAGCAATCGACCCAACTGAACCTGCTCGTGATGTCGAAGGTGGTGTCAAACCTCGCGCGACCTTGAAGATCATTCGTCAATCAAGTGGCGGAGATGAGGAGGACAGTGAAGATGAAGGTTCGGATGATTTATTACGTGCTTTGTTGGCAGATGATGACTCTGGATCAGATGAAGACAGTGAAGATGATGACGAAGAAGCCAACGGTGGACCAAGCGACTCTTCCAAGTCCAAGAAGGCCCAAAAGCAAGCCGCACTCAAGGAGCTCCTTGCTTCCATCGGCAAAGATGATTCCGACGAAGAAATGGAGGACGCTTCCGCCAAAAAGGTCGCTAAGAAAGGAAAGGCCAAGGCCGCCAGCGATGATGAAGAGGAGAGTGAAGATGAGAGCGACGATGGTGAAGACATTGAGATTGAGGAATATGTTCTCTGTACTCTCGACCCTGAAAGCGTATGTTTCCAAGACTGCCTATTCAATAAGTCATGCTAATCGAAAACAGCACTACCAACAACCTCTCGACATCACCATTGGTGAAGATGAGACCGTTTTCTTCAAGGTTACTGGTACCCACACAATCTACCTTACTGGTAACTACGTGATTCCAGATGATAATGGACATAACCATCACCACGAAGTTTACGACTCCGATGAGGAAGATGATGAGGACTATGACCTCTCTCCAGACGAGGATGAGCTCGAACTCGAGATGGACTCGGATGAGAGCGATGAGCTTGATGCAGCCCGCATTACCGAGGTCGACTCCGATGAAGAGGAAGCCCCAAAGCTTGTCAAGGCTGAGAAGAAGGGCAAGAACAAGCGCTCCGCCGACGAACTCGAGGAGGCTGCATCCCTCGATGCTATTATAGCTAAGGAATCCGCTGCTGAAGAGCCAAAGCTTAGCAAGAAGCAACAAAAGAAGTTGAAGAAGAACAATGGCGATGCTGCCCCTGTCAAGGCAGAGGAGACAAAGAAGGATGCAGCTAAGGACGAGAAGGCTGATAAGAAAGTTCAGTTCGCCAAGAACCTCGAGCAAGGACCTACCGGATCAGCCGCGCCTAAGGTTGACGCGAAAAAGCCTGCTTTGGGTGTCAGAACTGTTGATGGAGTAAAGATCGATGACAAGAAGCTTGGTACCGGTCCAGTCGCCAAGAAGGGTAACAGAGTTGGCATGCGCTACATTGGAAAATTCGCAGATGGCAAGGTCTTTGACTGTAAGTTTATATCCACTCGGGTATTTACCATCTTCTAACGTTTGAAATTTAGCAAATAAGAAAGGCAAGCCTTTCTCCTTTAAGCTTGGTGCCGGTGAGGTCATCAAAGGTTGGGACATTGGTGTTGCCGGCATGGCAGCTGGCGGAGAACGAAGATTGACTATCCCAGCACACCTTGCATACGGCAGCAAAGGCGTTCCCGGTATTCCAGGTAACTCTACTTTGACCTTCGATGTCAAGCTTCTTGAGATCAAGTAAACATCATTGTCGTTTGAATAGGCAAGCTTTGATCGTCTCATTGTACTGACTCTATGTTGTTGCGATGTTTCGAGGCTGGTGGTGACTTCACTTCTCACATCTATTGTACAACTTTCTCTTTACTTTCATGTATTTCTTTGGCGCTTGTGATTTCATGATGTTTACATGAAATACGAAGTGGAAATGTAATGTTTTTGCATAAGTCTCCGACCTGAGCAGTTCTCTGTTTAACACGGCAGACTACGCAAAATGAGATGAGGAGATTTGCATAGCCCTACAGGCGTATTTCTATAAAAAAAAGTTCAATCAGGTCTTTACACAGGAGAACTTGCTTTAATCGGTTAGCTCATAATAAACAAGAACTACTATATCTAAATTCAATGCCGTCCTTTCCAATTATATCAGACAGTGACTCCTTCCATTAGGAGCAATGAGAATCTTGGCTAGGCAAGAGTGCTCATCTTGGAAAACAAACAGCAGTATTTCTTACTTCTCATTCTTTGCCTGCTCTTGATCAGTATCAACATTCTTTGTCAATCATTTGTATGCTATTTAGCAGCAGCTTCATTCTTACTCTTTAGTATCGATAATTATTGTCTAGGCTTCGAAAGGATCCTCGACAATGAAAAGAACGCGCAATGGTCCTGCGCCCGATCCAAATGCAGATTACAGAAGTCCGCATCAGTTGATGAAGCCTTTCTTTCTCGAATCCATTACTCCATTGGAATCGATCTCCCCTCCACAGTCTCCCACAAATCAAATTCACAGGCCATCAAAGTTTCGACGCCAAGGATCAAAAATCCTGTCGGTTTTGCGTTCATTAACCAACAGTAGTAGGTACCTTCTTTCCTGTGTATCTCCAATCAAAATCTTACATGTTCTCATTATTGTTTCTAATCTTTTAGGCTCAAGTATAGCTTTAGAGGAAGATTATGCTCCACTATCTCCTCCTCCCGAGTCTGTCGCTCTGGGCAAGAAAATCTCTATGGCTTTAGTCAAAGCTCCACCCACTATCGTTCATCGTACACAATTTAAGAGCAGACCCAGTCTGATATCACTGGATAAAGGCGTTTTGGAATTCATGCCAGATGCTCCTACCCCTCCATCAAGTGCCGAATCCACGAGCAACAGTGGAAAATCATCTGGTCCTGATGCTAAACAATCGACACAGAAGACTTCTCTTGAGTCTAAGTTCTCTCAAAAATCCGCGGGTATATCTCAACATTCGTCTGAGAATAAAAAAGCTCTTCCAAAGGCCTTGAATCAAGCAGAGGGTAGTTCTGCCGATGGTGTTCTCGCGTCCATCACTGAGTCTGATAATATTGAATGTCCACAACCAGTCCCAAGTAAGTTCCTCGTGCCATTGATGTTGTAGCTAACTGACAGCTTGCAGCTGTAATTACTGTTGAGAAAGCAGCATCTGCTAAAGTTTTCTTCGAAACCTATTACAATGAGATTACTGCCAAACCAGTAACACCTCGATCTCTTCGTCGCTTGAACTTAGAGAATGAGCTCTTGAATGATATGGTCTCTTCCCCAACAGACAAAGCCGAAAGACGTCAAGCGTTGGCAACAGCGGAGACCAACCACCTTAGACAGACGAGAAATATGAAGGTACGTAGTACTAATGCGTTGAAGGGTAGAGACCTTAAGCCTTCAAATTATGAGGTGGTGAAGGTTCTTGGAAAGGGTAGTTTTGGTGTTGTTAGACTTGTTAGGGAGAAGCGGGCACCAGGTACTAGCGAGTGAGTTATTGCTATACCCGGTTCTGTATGACTGAGAACAATGACTGATGATGGGTAGGTCGGAGCCAAGCAAAAGTATCTACGCCATGAAGGTTATCAGGAAGTCAGATATGCTCCGGAATAGTCAAGAAGGTCATTTGAGAGCGGAGCGTGACTTTCTTGTTGCCGCCGAGGGATCTAGGTGGTGAGTGATGGTGTTCATGGCTCAGGAATTTGATAACTGACTTGAACAGGGTTGTTCCTTTGATTGCTAGCTTCCAAGATCTTAACAATTTGTATCTTGTCATGGATTACATGCCTGGAGGAGACTTTCTCGGCCTACTCATCCGTGATAATGTTCTCTCTGAGTCCGTCACCAAATGGTATATTGCCGAGATGATCCTATGTATCGAGGAAGCCCATGCTTTACGCTGGATTCATCGTGATATCAAACCAGACAACTTCTTAATATCTGCTTCCGGTCATCTCAAAATCTCTGACTTCGGATTAGCTTTTGATGGTCATTGGTCTCATGATCAAGCTTACTTTCACAATCACAGATATTCGCTTCTCAATAAACTTGGTATTACCGTTGAGGGAGATTCTCTTGATAAAAAAGAAGGAAGGAGTGTTGCTGCAGCTATGAAAATTGCTCATGTCATGATGGGTGGAAAAGAACGCCATGAAAAGAATTCGGATAATGCTTCGGATTCAGAGAGTATTCTCAATTGGCGTAATCGCTTTGGTAATAGGACGCTTGCACGCTCGGTTGTAGGTACTAGTCAGTATATGGCACCGGAGGTCGTGAGAGGAGAGATGTATGATGCTAGATGTGATTGGTGGAGTGTTGCTGTGATTCTTTATGAAGTGAGTTGCGATTCTGAGATGAGGGAAGCTGCTGCTAACATATCATAGTGTCTCTATGGTCATACGCCTTTCCTTGCCGAAGAGGGCGGAAGACAACAAACAAAGATGAACATCTTGAACCACAAGACAACTTTCCAATTCCCTTCCCGTCCATCTGTCAGCAGAAGATGCCAGGATCTCATCCGTAGTATGATTCAAGAAAAAGATCATCGCTTATGCAGCCGACGATACAAAGCCAGAGATACAACACTTGGCTCCATGTCATCACGCCGAAACCAAGACTACGCTGGTCGTTACGTATATCCCAACGATGGAGAAGATATCAAAGCGCACAAATGGTTCCGTGATGTTCAATGGGATCGTATTCACCTAATGCCTCCTCCTTTCATCCCCAACATCAAGTCGATGGACGATACCCATTATTTCGACGAAGAGGAACCGATTTCTGATTTTTCGGAGTCAGTAACCGCGGTTACTCCAACGGTTCAGCAGATTGCTGATGCGCTTAAACCTTTTAATCGCGAGATTCAAATTATAGCTACGGGTTTTATTGAGCGTCCTCATGATACGGTGAGGCTTAAGAGGGTGGAGAAGGAAATTGATCAGTTTAATATGAGGGATGAAGAAAAGGAATATCTCAAGAGGTTTGTCAAGACATTTGGGAAGAAGGAGAGGAAGAGGCCCAGAGATCGTTTGTTGAGGGATAAGGATATCGCGCCGAAGATCTTGGAGTTGAGGAAGAAGGGGGCGTTTTTGGGGTATACATATAGGAGGATTGATGCGGGGGTTGGCTGTGCGAGGTATGGGAATGGGGGAGGGGTGGTGGCGCAGGGAAGTTGGAGGGCAAATGTTTGGCACCGGGCGAGGTTGAGTGTTCATTAGATTGTGTAGATTGGGATTTGAGTATGGGTGGATCTTAAGAGATGAGTTTGGGAGATTGACTGAAGATGGAGTGGATATTGGTGGGAAGCGGATCAATGGATAGGACGTGTGAATGTGTGGATGCTACCATACTGGGTTTGAACAGCCTGGACTGAGCTATTATGACTTATGAGAGGGGATTATTGGCTTTTGTATTGATTGTTTCGTAGATACTAAATTATTACACATTCGTTTTTGGTACTTTTCAGATTTCGGTTGTTGGTTTTAATATTTTTGATTTGATTGGTGTCTTTCTTTCTTTCTTTCTTTTTTGTATGTGGGTTAGATGGATGGGTGAGAAGTGATGGATGGATGTATGGATGGATGGATATATGGACGAGTGAATGAATGGATGATTGAAAGAGGGTGGTTGAGAATGGATAAGGGAATAAGCTATAGTTAAGGAGTATGGAAGAATTGATTGGATAGGTGAGAGGGGATGATATAGTGTAGAATGATGCGGTGGGGGATGGTTTTATTTTAAGTAGAGTATACTGTAGTAGAGTATAGTTCATTGTATGATATATTTATATTATATGTATGTGGATGTAATGGAGGGATTAGAGTATGTATGTGTGGTGGGCGTTTGGGTAGGTAGGTAGGTAGGTAGATAGATGTTGCAATGGATGTTAAGTGGGTAATAGGTGGAGGGCGCGTGAAGATGGAATGGGATGGAAGTGGTTTCGTGTCTACATTATAATTAATTGTATTGATATTATATTCACCTAAAGTCTAAACGTCGAAAATCTATATCAGTCTATCAAACAGTGCGTTTTGACCTAGGTAATCCAGCAACTCTTCCCCAGACTCTTCTGACTTTCTTCCAGAGAGTGAGGGATCCTTTACTTTTACTCTTACTCTCGTTCTTGGTGCTGGTTTTCTCCCGTCTCTTTTCTCTTCCTTTGTTTCGCGATGAATCATTTCTATTGGATCTTTTTGAGTGGCTTGATGATATTTGAGATGAGTGATTGGAAAGTCGAAGTACGTACCTTTTCTCCTCTTCTTCTTTTCAGTGAAGGATGATGACGGGTGTGCTTTGGTTGGTAGCATGTGCTTTCGTAACCAGGGTTATATCATGCATATGGAATATTGTAGATAGATGAGTTACGCGATGATCCATGTATATATCAGTTTAATTGGCCTATTCTTTTTTTGTGTTTTTGTATTTTTATTCTATGCATGGATGTAAATGCCTTATGATTAACAACTCTGTGCTGTCTTGTTTCCCTGCATTTAGAGATTTCGGAGCAGGGGTTGAAGTTGATCTTCTGCTATGGCATGATGATGAGGATTTGTATGTGGATGATGAGGTGTGGGTGGAAATTGTGCTACTTGACATCTTTCACTTTTTGTCCTCCGTACGTATAATTTCTCTTTTCTGGTCTTTGGGAAGGTGGGAAGGCAGAGAGGACATGTGTGAATAAGAGATAAAAATAGAGCGCAGGAGACATAGTTGAAAACGAATATAGCCTGTATAACATTTTGACTGGATAATATTAAATGGTCGTCTATGGTCATGATTGGGGCCGGTGACGCTAGTTGTTGGTGAAAGTGATATGGTCAGTATAGGTGGGTCATTTTTCTGGCCAAGGAGATAATATTTTCTTCTCTCATCTTGTGGGATGCGTTGTAGCCTTTAATTCTGTTTGGTTTTGAAAATAGGAAATGGGATTTGATTCTGGAAAGGTCATATCTTGTGTGAAGAGTGCCGTTGTGGGTGATCATATTTTGAGAATATGCTTCTGCATCAAAATCAGGAAAGATAAAGTTCTCGGGATTTATACAGATATACTGAAAAAGGATTTATGATGTAGGAAACTGACGATGAATAATCGACGGAAAGGAAAATGAAATCCTATATTCCAGCTAGCTTGAATCTTTGACAATGGATAGACAATCCCTTACTTAGAGATTGGACTTTGTATATAGACGCATTAATGCATAGAGCTGTAAAGAGTGCAGTAATTTCGATTATTAGCGACGTGAATTGATCATGAGGCTATATGTTAATGAAACAACCCAAAGCCCTTGAGATATCATAAAAGTTGCCCACTGTTCCGAGCCAAATCTCCTTCAGAGCCCATGAGATATGCATTTATCGCGCTACGATTGCATCTGTTTGATATACACCATATACCAACTATTTATAGACAAGTTGAAAGCTAAAAGGCAATGCTACCGAGCTACTTGTAATATGATCGATGAAACCATCAAATTAAACCATTATATATTTGGATGCTAAGACAGTATAAGTGAGTGATTAAAACGGGTAGGATCGAGATAGATTGTGAATGTACCGGAAAATATATCAGAGTTGACGTCCTCATACCCAACGACCAAGAGTCGTGGAATAAGTGGCTTTTTGATAAATGGTGCTTTCGGAACACCAGATTTGTTTTCTGTTCCACTAAGATGCTTCTCCATGAAGTTTCTGCAGTATTTTTCAATATCAGGAGGAAATGGCCGTTAAAGTAGTACTAAATCCTCGAAATCTAGGACCAGCTGTGGCCTCCAACAAATCGGTTCTATGTTAACGAAGAAGAGCTTCTTTAAAGATGTCAAACCATGTGACTGCAAGTACTTGTGATTCACCATAGTGGCTTTAGTAAAGGATTGGTTTTGAAATTAACACCTTGATAGACGAGGGGGAGGGCATCGAGTTCTATTAATAGTAAGCTATGGGGAAGTTGAACCATTACATAGGGGCATATAGAGACCAGTGTGCTTTGATATACAGCACCATTAGCCACATGATTGTACCAACTATGGGTTAAACGACTTGGCTGTTCGAGAGATCATAGATATATGGTATCGTGACTAGAGGATTTCATTGAGTGGAACTCATTGAAATTCAGCCACTACCATTCTATCCAGCCAAAGCTCCGATGAAAGCATTGAGGAGATATATATGAGCACTGCCTATATCTTCCTTAGCCTAAAATTAGATCGAGATACGGTTGGTATGATTTCCTCGTCTGTTCAAAGAACTTATATAGTCTAATAGCATAATCATCTAGACACAGAAGAAAAGGCCGCAAGCTTCCACGAGCAGCGCCTGTTGATTCCTGGGAAATTAGCCTTCTCATATACTCATGGTATCTACTGATAGCATTCCAGAAACACTTGTCTGTGTAGCATTCCAATAAATTCCATAGGATAGAAAGCACAACTGTTCTCAAATACCTCTATCCCAACGTAGACGGCCCCAGAATCTGATTAGCTGAGGCTTTACTGTTTTAGTCCGTTACTAATCATAGGAAGGGAGCAGATTGTCATACTGCTTGTACTTACAGTACTAGATCATAGCTATTTGCTAGGTAGAGCTATTATACCAAGACTTATTGATGTTAATAAATTATTAAAACTTTTCTTAATAGTATATTATTATTCTAACTTAAGATATCAAATATATCAATTTAAAATAGGAATTAATATTTTAACTTTTTTTTTCAAATTTCCAAATTAACTATATATAATCTTTATGTAAAACTAATTAATAATATAATAAGAATCAATTATTAATCTATTATTATAGAAAACTACATAATTTGATTATTTCTGGTGTGAAATAAGATCTCGTCTAATATAAGTGGAGGGGTGCTGTAACCATCAAATCTTGAATACTAGTAGGGTTAATAAGTGGCACTGATAAATGTTACTAGTACATTCTACATTATTGAAATGACCTTGTTTTCGTGGGCTTGGAATTTTCAGAACTGCGGAAAGATACTGAGAGCACTCAGAAGGTCGATTTGAGAACCATCTACTTGGGGCCAGACAAACAGGTTGAATTTGGAGATTATAATATTGCGATCAAACTGTATGGAAGGAAATTCTCAGTTTTAAAGCATAGGATGATTTCTAGAGGTCAATTAATAAGACGGGTGAACTGTTACGAGGTTTGCCGTCTAGATCACGTGGAAGTGCTCTAGGCTCTCGAGGTGGTTTATAACTAGGCGTCAAGCAGGGACTTAAGTAATGACAATAATGATATGCAATTCGTAAATAATAGTAGAGTATACTAAATGATTGATCTTGAGCACGAAGCTCTATACAAAGGAAATTCGTCCTGACTATATAGACCTTCATGCTATGGACCTTCAGGACCCCGAAAGGTCCTGGACCTAAGAATATGTTGGACCTTTATTTTTCGTGCATATTATGTAGGGTCCGTCACGTGATTGAATCACGTGGTAATGGGCTTGTGGAGTCCGACGTAACACTTTCAAAGTTTATTTTATAAATTTAATATTATTTATTTTTTGATTTAATATTATTTTTTTAATTTTCATTTTGATAATTCAATAAAAATTGACAAATTGATATTATAAAGATAAAAATTGATTATTATTAAAATCATAATTCCTAGATTGAATACATCCACAATTGTACTTTAGTCTAACAACGCTAGGATTGAATTAATCATCATCATTCTAGAACACTCTGTACATATCCTTAGCGGGATACTTATTAGAACTAGAAGGATTAACGAGCCAACTGGACGCACCAGCCAGCTGAACGTCTACCTAGTAAGCCTAATTCACCGATACATCAGCAGAATTTCATTATTAGGGCACTTTCGAATTGAATATAGGCTCGTAAGCCCCGAATATGTGAGACGGTGACCTAATTAGGTTAGGCAGTGTAGTTGGCCGATGCGCTGATGAGCCCTTCTCTAGTGTTCCTTTCGTTCCCTCCTCGTTCTTGTCAAGTACTTCCTACACACTTGGTGAACTGATTCAAGTGAAATAAATCACATCAATCGAGACATATACCCTTTTGAGCCATTGAGAAATGATCCACCAAGAATTTTAGGTTTTTTAAGGGCATGCACAGCGCTTAACATACTTCAAATACATGGGAGACAAGGATATATCTCGCCCATGATGATGTTGCAATGCAAGAACAGCAACAATGAAGCCTTTTCGCCTTTCAAAGTTTATGACCATTCAACCATCAGATGAGAGAAAGCTTTTAAAAGATTTAGAGGCGATCAACGCTACCTTGGAGGATTCCAGGAAATCCCGGGTGAAACATCAAAAGGTTAAGACGGGATGCTACACATGCAAGTATGCGAGGCTTATCCCATATTACAATATCGTACATCGAAAATACTAAAATAACTTGAGCTGATTACCGAATTTCTAGAGCACGCCGAGTCAAATGCGATGTATGTAATCCCTTGTCGGCTGATCAGTCGAAGCATCTAACGGCAATTCCACCACTCCCTGAGAAGGCGAATGTTAACGAATATTAGGAAACAAAGCCTTCTTGCAAACGGTGTAAGAAGACTGGAATACAATGTGAAGGGTACCCATCATACATTGTACAACGATCCTCCCGAGAGTACACCAATCCAATGGACTTGGTAGAATTCCCTTCACAGTCACGACCAACGATTTTTTATATATCAAGCGGCCCTATACTAGGAAGCGAACAAGATTCTCAATATTTTCGTTATTTCTGCGAAACATTCGCAGGCGATATCGGTAGATTGTTCAACCGATCAGTTTGGGAACGATTAATTCCCCAGGCAAGCGAATCCGAGGCGTTCGTCGGGCAAGCTCTGGTTGCCCTTGGAGCCTTTAGTAAAGGGCGCACAACAAATGGTATAGAGGCATCTTTACACCGTCAACATGGCCTTGACCAGTACGGTAAAGCTCTCGTCGGAATGAGACAAGCTCTAAATGGAAGCCGTTACAATGCTCGTAAAGCACTCATTGCTTGTCTACTGGTATATTCGATCGAAAGTATACAGGGTCATCTTTCCACAGCCGCTTCTCATGCTGCCAGTGGAGAGAATCTCCTTCATGAAATTATGCTAGACCGAAAAACCAGGAATCATCATCCTTTCAGCTGCCAGCAAGATAGTACAATCGACGATGACCTCTGCAGGGCCTTCTCAGATCTTGACCTTCAGGCCCTCTGCGTGATTGATCGTCGATCATCACAGCTGCATAAGCGACGAACTCGTGATTTAGATCATTTGCTGCTATCGATGCCTTCATCATTTTCGAACATCAAAGAATGCCACGATTGGTGGCAGATTATTTTGCGAAGAAATTTTCACTGGATAGCAACGGCACGAAAAACTATACTTGAGGAAAGGTCGAAGGATGGCGAAAGCCCGATAGTCGATTTGCCGGATGATGAAGGGCTAGATCTGAGAGATGAGAACTGCTCATGGACTTCTGTTGCAGTTATACCCAGTACTAACCCGACCCTGAGAAAGGACTGTGCGACATATCTTGATGACATTGCGCGCTGGGAAAGTATTGCAGCACCGTTGATAGGCAAAGGATTACGCGCTCCCGAGGATTCCCGTGAATTTTTGGCAGCATGCCTTGCGAAAATACAGGTGGCTATGATGATGATACAAGTATCAAGTGTGTTCATTGTCAATGCCATTGAATGGGATGCATACTTTCCGGAGTTTAATACAATCATGACATATGTGATGAAACTCCGGCAGCGTATAGTTCAAGGAGAGGGGAAGTACCATTTTGACTTTGGGATAATACTTCCGATGTTTATGGTTGGATCTCATTGTCGGAATAGACTACTAAGGAGTCAAGCGATTGATATTCTCAAGGAAGCGAAAGGATACCGAGAAGGCATCTGGGATTCAGATGCCTGCTCACGAGTAACCGGCTTCGCGAGAGATGTAGAAGAGGAATGGGCTGATGAGAATGGATGGGTTCCTGGAGAGAGACGATTTACTATAACAGGGACAAAAGTCATAATTGATAAGGAAAAATCATTGCACATAAGTGGATATCAAAAGAATGGGACGTTGGAAGGGCAAGGAGATTTCAAAGAGGTATATATAACGTGGTAATTGCACATAGAAATAACAATTGATCCTCTTCGAGGCGCTGTCGTTTTCATGTGACCTGAGCCTGAAGTGGTGGTGTTTGCTTGACATGGCCTGTCGCTTTCTGCATGAGAATCATGTTGTGACTTTCCTTTGCATCCGCTGTATACAAATTCGAGCGTACGGCCCAGCCTAGAATCTCCACATATAAAGGCAAATTAATATCATGTGGACGAAATGGGGATCCTTGACACGGGGCGACAACGCATGTGGCAACTTAATTTGTGATTGCCGCGAGCCATGCCGTTATCAATACGTTCTTTAGTAAATGTTCAAAATCCGTGGACGTTACCTACTAGGTAGATATACAAGAAAGAGATGAAGAGATCACAGTCGTAACACAGAGACATTGTTGTGGTTACTAGCATGAAGGCTGTGAATGATTATGGTGTTCCATCAATCCCATTTAAGAGCAAATCAAGCAACGTGGCGGGCGGATAGTCTGAATATTAGGTAGCTATAGGAAGAAATAATCTGAAGGCCGTAGGCATAGCCACCGAAAATAAGAATGAATCCTTTCTCCTTATCTTACGAAAATAAATAGTAAGTCTTAAGAACAAAGAACAATTCCAATTTTTGAAATTCCACTTTCTGATTTTCAAATCATCATCACATCAAAAAGATCTAATCTTATCAAGATCTCATCGGATACTAAAAATTTCAAAGGCAGTCGTGACGCTAACCTCAATATAAGCTAGCTCGGATCCCGCACCTTCAACGAACAAAAGAAGGCTTGCTTCCTTCCATCTGTGCGCCCCCTCCGATTACATACACCATACCACGACACTTTTTTCACATCAACTTATCACTACCTAATAATCGAATAATATAGAACCCGATAAAGTGGAAATCATTACAGGAAGAGAATTTTTAGCCAAGCTATGAATCGAGGTGGTAAACTTGCTCCTGAGGTTAATCGGTATGCACCACCATTTCTTACTCATTGTACCTGCTTTTGATCGCGTGAGATGGCTCTTGGCTGTCGGAAGTGAGAATTACTAGCTAACATATGCGCTGAATGTAGAGCTTTGTTCGTCAAGAATCTAAGGTATGTGGATTGATGCAGGAAAGAGCAAATGTTGGGACTTGGACACGGGTTGTGGATCTGGTGTTCATGGAAATGGGATGAAGGCGCATAAGGCTGATGGATTCTGGAATAACAGCTACAACGTAACGCCGGAAGAACTCTTCGATTTGTTTGGCAAATTCGGCGCCATTCGGTATGTACTTTCTGAGGGAGGGAGCAAACACTGGCGAGACTTGCGTCAGATATTTCCGTGGAGATGGGCTGCTCGATCGTGGAGGGTGCATCTGTGCTAACAGAATTTCAGACAAATTCGTCAAGGTATCGCGACCAACACCAAGGGTACGGCATTTGTTGTCTACGAAGACGTAACGGATTCTAAGACTGCCTGTGACAAGTTGAATGGGTTCAACTTTCAAAATCGGTATCTAGTCGGTATGTCCTTCTAATCTATCTCAATCTTCGTCGAGGTCACTAATAATATTTACACAAATAGTTCTCTATCATCAACCGGAGAAGATGGAAAAGATGCGCGCCAACTCAAATCAATCGGATTCATACGCTGCTCGCAAGGCGAGTTTAGAACAGCTCAAAACCGCGAACAATATCGAATAACATTCTGACGGGCCCCTAGTCTGCCCAAACGCCGTGTCAAGTACGAAGTCTACAGCGTCTATGGGCCCGTCATGCAGGGTTGGAAATGTCTCACCATCGGAGGATGTTAGGAATAAGAAAACACAACGAACACAATCTGCACCAGTCACGACCAGGAAATCTTCTACTGCGACTGCTATGCATAGAAAGGGAGGAAATTATCTACATTTGGAACATCATCGTGAGATTGGAGGTGCAGCGGTGGCAGGTGGTAGGCGTAATACATCTTTCCTTGCTCTTGTGCGGGGATTGGTTTCTAGGCGTTAAGCGGTGTTGTTACTTTACTGAAGGGGACGGCCCTGGCTTTTTACATGGATTTATTTCCTTTTCAACTTAACTTGCTACTCTCCTCTTCTTCTACGTCTTTGTGGAGAGAGTGCAAATATTTCGATATGCAATGTGGAGAGCTTCTGCTAAGGGGGATATGATTCTTTCCTTTTACTCAAAAGGATGATTCTAACTCGCAAAGTTGGTTCTCCTTTTTCTTCGATGCTTACTTACAGTTGCATATGGATATGCTCTGCTTTGAATGCAAAATTGCCACATTAGATCCTTATTGATTCACACTCTACTCACTTATCTTGCTCATCTTACTCACTCACATACACTGTCTCAAGTCACTCCCGAAGAACGCTTGCCCAGTCTTCCTGCCTTGTCTATCACCTTCTCTTTCTGCCTTGTCAGCATGACATCCTATATAGTGTATTAAGCAGGTAACATTTTGCCTAGTTCCATGTATCGTAATATTATATTGTTAAACGGCGTACAAAGAAAGATGCAACATTTCCTGCCGAAACGAAGTATCCGTTCATCCGCTATGACTCGTGCTCGGGCGGGCGATGGGACGGGGAAATTTGGCTTACATAAAGTGTATTACCTAGCAGGTAGGTAGGTAGGTATGCATCACGAGGGCATAATTATGCATGCATTAAAGATATAGATTGGATTAAAAAGTGAATAAAATGGATAAATGCTAGGTACGTGCAGTGCTGTGATTGGCTGGTTTGGTGGTGCATATCATGGCGTAAGATTGGATTGGATTGGATTGGATTGGATTCTTATCACAAGATTATGGTTACTAGGTTTGTATGTACGGAGTAGGTAGGTACTTCCCTGCGACCTTATGCGGGACTGTGTGCTGTGCTGTGATGTGATGTGCTGTGAGCTGTGTGTTGTGAGACTGGAATAAATGTGAGACTGCGTGTGTCGATTGTAGATTTCGATGGGGTTTGCTGGTTCCTGTTTGGGGTTTTGGTGTGAGGGGTGAGTGATCAGTGGGTTGATTGGTTGAGAGGGAGGGGAGATTTGTCGTACTCCATATTGTTTCCTGTAGGGATTCGAGTCACTCGACCACTTCGATCTGGTGGATTAATCGTACGTGTCTATGAGGGTGAGGGGGAAGTGAACTGCAACTGGAATGGGGGAAAGGTGGGTACTAGGTATGTATGTAGGTATGTAGGTATATCATTACCCCTCTTCTTTCTGAGCTGCTGAGCTGTATTATTATTTATTGTTGTTAAGTATATATTCAAACTCAAAGTTAAAGTTAAACTCAAACTCAAAATTGGAAATTGAAAACTATAAGACGTTGAAACTTTTCTATATCTCTACAATCTATAAACTGCGAATATCTCATCCGGACTTTTGAGGAAGATTTATATATATGCAAACGCAAACGCAAACGCAAAACGCGAATTAAGATTACGAAAAGCAAATATCAAAATGCAATCACTTCTCATTCTTGTGAATTATGGTGGCACGGCTTGTACTTGTGGTGAGGCGTATCCTGAGGGCGCGAATAAGGATACTTATGTTTGCAAGTGTGGTGCTGTGAGTTCTCTTTGATTTTGTTTTCTTTTGAGGGGGAGTTTGATGAGTTTGGAGTTTTGGGGGGTTGGTTCGAGGGAAGGGGAAGGGGAAGGGGAAGGGGAAGGGGATTGGGAAGGGATTTTGTGGTTGAGTTGAGGGTTTGAGGGGGTGGGACGTATGGATGAGGGAAATGAGTTGAGAACTTGGAGAGATGGGATGAGGAGGTTGACTTGACGTGTAATGGATGTGTGCTAATCATTTGTTTGTTTTGTGTAGAAATGTCCTAGTGCTAAGTAAATTGTCATACGGAGATGGGGATGGATAAGGACGGATATGGAGATTTGGTTTGGTTGTATCTTGGGGTTTGCTTTTGTGGGAGGATTTGGGTTGGGGGAATGAGAAGAGGAATGAAGTTGATGGATGCGATGGAGTGAGGCTGGTTGGCCTTGATTTCTTTGATATGCGGCGACTTTCTGCGTGAATGGTTGATTGGTTTGTGACTCGTTTACTTATATTGGACTGTGGGTGTATGGAGGGGGGTAAATGGGGGTCTGTCTGGGATGGAGATTGATGATGATGATTATGATGAATTTCATACTTTGCTTTCAGTTACCTATAAGGATTGATGAATAGGAACTTGCGCCCATACTAAGAAGCTCTCTATGCCAAGTACTTCCACACAAATCGCAAGATACACCTTTATCACAATGCTATTATGCAGCGCTGTGTGATCGCAACATCATTAATCCATTGAGACATAGTCACATCCATCAACTTGACATCCTCAAAGTCACATATTTCGTTTCTCTATAAGCGACATCTTCAAAAATCGGATGAATTCGTTTCAGTGAAGAACTCCTGGTGTTTTAAGACAACGAACGATGCAGCAGTTCATGTTTCATATTGCTTCATCCAAGCTTAAGCCAACAGGTATGGTATAACTGACTTGTGTATTTCATTGTTAGGTCAAATGTAAAAGGGGTATTTTGCATCGGATGTCAAAACCATTTTCTTCCATGACACAAGCGATCAACCGAGTAAAATAGCAATTGATAAACTACCTAGGTACCAAGCTATCATTTGTCATGTGGAGAAAAATTAAGATATATGAAACCTTAATTTATGGTTACGAGCCATGGTAAATGCTTAAATTGATGATAACAAATCAAGTTATGTTCACAGGATGAAAATCTTCAATTAGCCTAGAATGCACAAGGCACAAGCCTCAATCCTCAAATTTAGGTCATCAACATACAGACTAGGTAGCCATAGCCGCCACTTTGATTCAGCTTGAAATATTCCTGATTTCAGATATTCATCTCATTGATATATACTTACTTTCATACCAAATTACACTATTTTCATACTGTCAATATATCATCCTTTATCAACTATTGATTGTTCCAATTGTTTCATAAATAGAACAATTATTACTATTATTCCACTGTTGATCAGGATCGCTTATTCTTCTTTGAGGTCACTGCGTCATTAAAGATCACTAAAGATAACCTTAAGAGTCCCTGTTTGCGGGTATTTCAAAACACCGCAACAATCCAACTCTCGATATTAAATATTATCATCACATTTTCGCAGATGATCACGTAACAATATTTACATTTCACCACGAATCTTCTATCCTCCTACACACCTTCAAGAATATCGACTTTCGTCGTACAAGACAGCTAATGCTACCGCCACCGGGCTTGGAGCCCACATCAACCTCTTCAACTTTCCTCGATGCCTCTCCCACATCCATTGTAACATCTGCGATAGCAACTTCGACGACATTGTTACTCGATCTTGTGAATCCTACCTCTACAAAAACTTCGATATCTGCGGCGGCAACAAATGATAATATACACTCGAAACCAGACAATGGAGAATGCCAACTTCTTGGTAATTTTGCCATATTAGTTCAGGGCGCGCTGGGTCTATTGGCTGTGATGGCATTAGTATATAAAAGATGGAGAGAAAGACCTCAACGACCTATGAAGATTTGGTTCTTCGATGTCTCGAAACAAGTGTTTGGAAGTGTGTTGGTACATATCGCAAACTTGTTAATGAGCATGTTATCAAGTGGACAATTCAGTATTAAGCTAGATGCGAGTAGTATCTCTACAAGAATGGTTGATGATGCTGAAAAGTATACACCAAATCCTTGCAGTTTTTATCTGCTAAATCTGGCTATTGATGTAAGTATATTTACCCATGGCCTTCCAATACATACTAAATTTTTCATTCTAGACAACGATTGGTATTCCCATACTCATATTCCTCCTTCGAATACTTACCGCGCTGTTTCTTATGACACCATTTGGTAATCCTCCCGAATCGATCGAATCAGGAAATTATGGTCACCCACCAAAAGCATTCTGGTGGTTCAAACAATCGATCATTTATTTCATCGGGTTGATGGGTATGAAAATATGCGTGCTCATCATCTTCCTCGTCCTACCTTGGATCTCTCGAATTGGAGATTGGGCTTTGAGATGGACGGAAGGTGATACGGCACTACAAGTCATATTCGTCATGCTAATCTTCCCGGTCATTATGAATGCAACTCAATATTACATCATCGATTCATTCATCAAAAATCAAAAACCTAATCATGAGCTCATACCAAGCGAAGACAGTGATAGTGATGTGGAAGGAAGAGAAGAACGTTATGCCGACCCAAGCGAAAGCAATGATCAGATTGATTCTGTGGAGGAAGATGATGAAGTTTTAGCAAAGGTCCATACGAAGACTAGACCAGAAACACCAAGAAATAAAAGAATTGGTTTAAGGTCAGGAAATAGAAACTATGACCCATTATACGATGGAGAAAGTAGTCCAACAGTAGTAGGGAGCACAAGTTCAAGACCAGAGGATGACAGTGATGACACTACAAAGAAATAAATATTTTCTCGATTCTGGGGTTGAAGGAAGTAGATCCATTTGTTAATACGAGGAATTGGTATATGACTTTTGAGTACATAACTTAAGCAGAGTACGTTCATGCAAGGTGTTTGGGCAAATAGGGTTTTAGTCGTCGGTCATACATAGACAAACGCTTTTTACATTGGTTTAGGGGTTCTGGTACGGTAGGATGGATGGATGGATGGATGGATTGGCGTTTTTAATGGCATGGCATGGCATACTTGAAATGGCGCATTGAATTGGATTTGGTTTTGTCGTATGAAGATGTAAATGAGAATAAATTTTCCACTTTGACGGATGTGAATATTGGCTGTTGTGATTCTGAATTACTTTGATGTTATGTGATGTTATGTGATTTATTTTTATTTATCCTTACCAAGTGCTACCTATACGAGCGAGCACTAATTAGTGTAATAATGATTTGATATTTTATAAGTCCTTGATATAAAGATCATTCATTCTATGGGATTTTATATAAGAATCTTGTAAGTTTGGAATTTTGATAAAACTAACTATTCGAGATGAATATTTTTGTATTTTGTATTTTGTGTATGTATACAACGGTGTTATTGTACATGGAGGAGGGGGATAAGAGGAGGAAAGGGGAGGAGAGGAAATGAGAGAGAGGAAATGGGAAGTATATATATGTTATTTTATTGAGAGGTTTATTTAGAGTATTGTTTTATTTGGGGGAAGGATGCGGATTTAGAGGGGGGAGGGAGAGAGAAATGGAAATGGAAATGGATGTCTCCGAGCTTGGAGATCTTAAATTTGGGGTTTAAATTGGGATTTGAGATCTGGAATTTAGGATTTGGAAGATATAGAGTGAGATATATACAGAGTTCCAATATCTCCACAACCCACAACTCATGATTCGATAGAAAATGGTTTTATGGAAATTTTGGGGGAAACGGATGCTGAGGCGTCCACTTGATGGTAGGATGGGTATCCTAGTGTATTATTTATTAGTGGGCGGTTGGTAGTGGGCGGTTATGAAAATTTATAAGATTTTTGGGGGATTTTTGGGCTTTGAAGGGGAGTGTTCCTGGCGTTTAGATGGATGGGGGAGGGAAGGGAGTGGTGGGATGGTGGTGGGATGGTGGTGGTTGGAGAGAGAGGTGGAGGGGAGTGGGGAGGATGAGGAAAAGAAGGAAAGAGAGGATGAGGAGTGGGATGAGGCGGGGGAGAGATTTGGAGAAAGGAATCGGATGAGGATGAGAACAAAATGGGGGAGGGGGGATTTGTTTATATATGTATGTTTATATATGTATGTATGTATATGTATGTATGTAGTTTTCCCTCTTTTTTTCCCTTTCTTTTTTCTGGGCTTGTTCTTTTTCGGTTTTTATCTCGGATTGGTCAAATTGATTGATTGATCTTCTAATACTTAATATTTGGGACTATTTTCGAGATTTAATTGAGGTTTAACGAAAGATTTTGAACTTTTTTTTCTCCCCTTTTTTCTTAAGGGAAAGGTGTTTTCACAGGGAAAAGAATTTGAGTTAAGGAAGGAAGGAAGGGAAGAGAAGGGAAGGAAAGAAAAGAAAAGAGGGAGAGAAGAAGAAATGGCTTCAATTCAGCTTCCGCAGTTACCGATGCCGTGTCATCACTCTGTGAGATTAGATGGATTTAATTTGAGATTTGAGGGTATTGGGAATTTCGAGGAGAGTGTGTGTGAGCAACCTGTTAGTTTATTTCAACTTCTTTTCCTATTCCTATTCTCATTTATACTTTGTCTCTTCATCGCTGTTTCATGTTTTTCCTCTACTTCTTCAAAAGAGCAAAATTAACAAAACTAGCGTCCTATTTCTTCACCTATGACTATGCAATTTCTTGCTACCCAGTCCTCTTTTGTTGTCAATCATACTTCAGATGGCAAGATGGAAAGGGAAGTGAGTGGAAGGAAGATGGAAGACGATGGAGTAGAGCAAAATGAGGGGGGTGGAGCAGAGAAAGAGAAAGTGGAAGAAGTGGAAATACACATGAGAGGTGGAGGAACAATTTGTGATTTATGTGTGGGGATTTGTGCGGGCTTGTGTGTTTTCGAGTGTTTGGATTGTTGTTGTTGTTGTTTGTGAAAGTTGGAGGCGAGGGGTAGAAATGATAGAGGATCTTCTGAGGGCAGGACCGTTTGATGGTGAATAGACGCTTCACATAGACAGAGTGTTTTGATGATGAAGGGTGGGAGGTGAGAGGTAGAGATTACAGGGGATGTCCTGAAAGGAGACATCAGAGACTAGGACTGTTTAATAATGGATGAACTCTTGATATACACAAGTGTTTTGAAAGTTGAGGGACGAAAGATCGAGACAGACTAGAGAATTGAGTTATAAGAGGGAAACGATGGAATATCACCAAAGTCTGGAGAACACAAAAAGAAGAGAGAAAACAATAGTCAATGAAAACAGAAGAGACTTCATGTACTCCGTAATGGAAGCGCAAGAAAAGTCTTTATGATGAAAAGGGGGTGGGGCTCTTAATGGTGAATACTTAACCTTAACGAGTATTTAAGGTTTCGGCTATAAATTTTGACGAGGAATTTTAGAGTGATAAAGTTTTAGGACTTGAGAAGGAGATACATAGGGTTTGGTGCTTTTTGGGCTTTTCTGGGGTTCAGCGGGGGATTTTTCATTCCATTGTTGCTATTGGAATTTGGAATTTTGCGGGTGAATATATATATATACATAACTGAATAGCATGAGAAATTTGAGGATAAATCCCATTCTTTATTTATGTCACACTCAAGAATACTGGGTAAAGTATCTTGTATTAGAAAATACTAAGCTAAGGAGAAAAGAAGAAGGAAAACAAGAGTAGAGAGTTTTCCTATGATTAAATACAAACGGGGCATGCCACGTGACCCGGAGGTGTGAGGCGTCACAATTTAGCTGGAACAAAATTATACCATAGTCTTACGTATGATTCGTACGATCTTGTCTTCATCTCCTATCGATTTCTATATGCACCAGTATTAGGCTTGAGAACACCTACCTGATAAACGACCATTCATCAAGTAAACTATACTAAACATCAATATTCAATATCCTAGAATCTCCTGGTGAATTATTGCAATTGATAATTCACCAGATTCTGAAAAAATTTTGTTACATAATTATCTCATGTGGATTATTTTTTGCTAGTATATTGAACTACTTAGTTGTTAATTAAATATCCACTATTAGTGATTAATAGTTAGTTTATTAGTGATCTGTTACGAGGTTTGCCGTCTAGATCACGTGGAAGTGCTCTAGGCTCTCGAGGTAGTTTATAACTAGGCGTCAAGCAGGGACTTAAAGTAATGACAATAATGCAATTCGTAACTAATAGTAGAGTATACTAAATGATTGATCTTGAGCACGAAGCTCTATACAAAAGAAATCCATCTTGATTATATAGTCCTTGTGCCTATGGTTAACTAGGAATCGTCGTTCCTAGGAACGTTCGTTCCTCACCGTTCCATCACATGTTTTATGGTCATGTGACATAATAATCGTTTTGGACGTAACACTAGTTTAATTTATAATCTTATAAATAATCATCGGCTTTTTTTATAAACTAATTATTAGAATTCTAGACACTGGTTATTTATTAAATTAAATAACTGTATCCCAATCTTAAGCTTAAACTTGCTAGTGATTATATTTCTAATTTAATTTCTATTTCTGATATCTCATCTTATATATATTAGTAAGAACTAAAAACAAAAATCGAGGAATAAAAGCCGAAAATTGAGTCATCACGCCCTCATTAAATGTAGCGCATGAAAGTATAGAAAGAGGCCTAAGGAAAAAATTGAGACGAACTGAAAATTAATGAACGATAAAATACAAAATTTAGAAGTGAAGAAATTTTCATTTAGAGAATGTTGTATTATCTAGAGAATAGAGATGTAATTGCTAAATCGACTTTGTCTAAAGTTATCTAAATATGATATGTACCATCTAATTCGAATTTCCATTATCTATTCGAATCCCAAACCACAAACAAATGATTACCCCCAAAGAAGAAAAAGTAGCCGGTCCCGCATTCCCCCTCCCCGAAAAAGAAAATCTATCCAAACGCCCTCCATTCACCAAAATACTCCTCTCCCCCACCCATCCCTATGACATCCCCTCATAAACCTCCAATCCCCATCCCTCAATTACCATTCGCCAAGGCCGTCTTCTCCTGAACCAACTCAAGAATATGTTTCTCAAAAATATCCATCGGATCCAAACTATCCATCTCAGCCTTAATCTCCATAACCTTATTCTTATACTTCTGATCTGCTAGCACCTTCTCGACCGAGTCTCTCAAAAGCTGCACGCTGGGTTTGCCCGTGCGCATATTAACACCTGCGCCCGCCCACTCGCATCTTGCGGCCGTTTCCGGTTTCTCCTGCGTATCACCTCCAATGACCATTGGAACCCCGTTGATCAATCCGTGACGGAAGGATCCATATCCTCCATTTGTCACCAGCACGTCGCAGTAGGGAAGGATATCGTCGTAGGGGATGAAATCTTCCACATGCACGTTGCTTGGGATTTTTACCGAAGCAGGTAATGATGCATTTTTGATACCGAGCGCGACGATAACGAGGGTGTCTTCTCGGTCGGCAAATGCTTGGATGGTTGGAATGATTAATTCCTCATACTTTACCGCCACGGTTCCTTGGCTCACGAATATAATGCGCTTTTTGGATGGATTTGTAGTGACTTCTTCCCACCAGCTAGGACGTGCAACCACTCCCTCTGTAGGATTTCTTGGGAAATTGCCCGCGAAAACTATATTCTTGGGCAAGTCACTTCGAGGAAACTCGGCACTCTGAGTACAGAGTTGGAGAAACCTGTCTGGAATGACATACATGGAATCAATCGTATCGGTATCCGGGCGTCGGGCGCCCAAGTTGTCGAATTCTTCGTAAAATCGTTCAGTGGCGCTTCGGAATATTCCGTTTCGTGCCTCTTCATACAAAGCGATATTGCGTTTGCGACCTTCGGGTGTCATATCTGGAAGTCCTCCATTTCCCATGGGAGGAATATCCTGACTTGAAAGCATCACAGCTGTATGTCCAATACCGATAACACCAGTCGGTTTGATACCTTCGGCACCCAATAAAAGCGGCAGAGCACCACAGAAAGTAAGATCTTGAAGAATAATAATCGGTCTTCCTGGATCTTTCTCCTTCATCATTTTTAAAGCGCGTTGGATAGTTTCGAATTGTGAGGGGATGGGTTTAATAAAAAGATGATCCATGTCGAAAGCCAATTCTGCAATGCCATTAAGCTGTTTTCGCTCAGGCCATCTCGCTTCCCATTCTTCGGGATCAAAGATGAAATTTGAATAGCCTTGCAGAGGAACAAATGTGACGCCCATTTCCTCGACCATGGGTGCGTATGCTGACGCGGCTAGAAATGTTACTTCATAACCGCGTTTCTTGAGAGATTTGGTTAAGAATTTGCACGGGGCCATATGCCCGGCTGCGCCAAGGGCACATATCAGTATGAATGGTTTGGCGAGTTCCGTCATGTTTAGCAGGATGAAATTGAAGGAAGATGAGGAATAGACTGATGAATAGTATTGTTGAAATGTTTCCTATGAGTAAAGCGAAGAGTGTAAACTAAAGCGACAATGGTTGACTAGTGAAGCTACAATCTGATTGAGAAATCATCAAGCTATATAAAGTATTTCTACGGACTAAATTTTTGTATCAAGTCCGTACGAATGTTACGTCGCCCATGTGGTTGACGAGTATATTGATCGTAGGCCCACAAGCCTACTGGACGCATGGATATGAGTACATTAACGATCGACTCACAAGCTTACTAAATGTTGAAGGAGGCTTTATTAATCAATAGGGCCCACAAGCTTGCTAGACGTTGGAGGAGAGTTTACTAGCCGCAGTGAAGGTTGGACGTATGCGGCTGTTGTGGGCCTCCGGTTAGGACGGACAAACGATTGACTGCCGAATGCCGCATCCTCAAACCTCAAACATAAACTAAACGAAGGCCAATTTCAGCCACTCGCAGAAGGTAAGGGGGACTTTTGGTTTATTGGTAGGACAGCTTGCGTAGATTCGTAATCTCTTTCCTTGGTGTCGAAATATGCATAGAGACCACGGTACTACGACGAATGGCAATGTCTTTCATTATCATCGCACCCCATATTTGCCCGTTGAATATTGTATCTTGCTTGCATGGACCCCAGGTTTGAACTTTATCTTAAAAACATTGACTCAAATTTGTCAGATCACTGAACATGCCTTTGCCAAGGTTACAAAGCTGTGGAAAATCGGACTTGATGCATGTGGCACGGAAGAATTATATTTTTTTAACTTATTGTGTGCACTTTATCTTGATTGTGTTAGGGTCAAATGGCGAAGTAACCTTATATCAACCCCTCTCCAATGAGATATTTACACCACCATTCCAGATTAACAATAATCCATCTTAAAACTGCTTTACCATTTATTTTTAGACCGACCTTGAATATTGGCAACTTGATGCACCCTGCAACACTCATATCAATGATGGTGAATGTATAAATGTTACAAAATTGAAAATTTGCCTAATCAGCTATCTTAGACATGCAGGATATTCTCGTTTCTGCTGTGTCTTTTGGTCTTTCACGGTTCCTGCTGGATCATCGCCTTCACATATATATGAACCAGCCAGTAGGTTTCCCACCACCACTCGGTGATCATACCGTGAGGGCACACTAGTACATTTTTGCAGTGTTCCAAAAACGATGAACCCAGAGTCTCAAAGTACAGTGAATCGAGAAATGAAACTGCCATGTAAACTTCATGCCAAGATTGACCATTTGCAGAGCATTACGCACTCCAAAGAAAAAGATGCATGGCATCCACGCCAACGGTTCCCACACTCGGTTTAGTTTACCAGCGTTAAAGGGTTTAGAACCACAGCTTCTGGGAAGGAAGGATTTATCCACCTGCTGAACATTCCAGTGGGATTGTATACTCCGTATCTAGTGAAGTAGCCTGAAAAATGTGACAATGTGAACAGTGATTCATCTAAAATGTGACAACATTGCGAGAATTTGATAATAGGAACTTCTATGAGACAGACAATCCCATCCATATGAGCGGTCTACAGACGTATGTGCGCGATATCAAGGATTGAATGATTCAATTCGGGAGTGCTAAATACTAAGAGGCTAAAAAATAGAATTGTATAAATTGAGCCAATGAGCAGCTGCCAGGAAGTGTGTTTCCGAGACTCCACTTAATAATTCTTCGTGTAATACTGTGTGCGTATCTAGGTAATTGACCATTTTGTGGTATGTGCTCAACCAGTGGAGCCGTGATTATATACTATACTTTCTGACCACCCAAGTACCGCAAAAGCTCAACTCAAAATTCAAAAGTTTAAACAGAGGTGGATGCCCTGATTTTGCTACACCTCCTTACATTTCAAGGGTTGAGTTAGGCGGGCAGAATAATATGGCTGGCGGCAAAACAAAGGCGGTGTAACAAAAATCAGGGCATTCACCTCCGAAAGTGCTGCGTCGTACTACATTTTTCCTATTATGGAATAAGGTTTCTTACAAATATAAACAAGAGATATAAGTGGATGATTTACGAAGATGGGATTGACAAATTGAATGAGATGACACGACAAGTTAAGATTTTCAGATAAACTTTACAGATGGGAGTACTGGATTCTTCTACTCGGAAATAGGGAAATAGGAAACAGGAAATAGGGAATAAGAAATAACCTTATTTTAAAAGAATTTATTAGTACGATATAAGCATTTGCCTAATACGGGTAGATTTAACCGCAGAAACTTAAAAAAAGAAGGGATGTCGAGAGACCGTGCACCCGGAACGATACTCCTGACTAATCCGATATCTCTGGTTTTATGATGGGAACTTTTGTGTGTTTTGAAAACTGAATTCTATTACGAGTAGCTATATAACGGGAAATACCTTCTCCCGCCTAGTAATCATCGAAACACTCGGACGATAGATGTCCCGTCCAGCACACACAGCTCCATAAAAGTTCCTGATTGAGCCTCAGGACCGCTCCACTTTAAAATGGGCTATTTAGTAGGTAATGGGCGCTAAAATTAAGCATCAATGATCTCTCACTGCCTCCGTATCTTGATCATATGAATATACTGGGCGGTGGGTATCTTTTACATTACTGTAAGGATACTTTGTAAGTAATGTTACATGCCCACGAAGACCCGTTGCAATGTTGCATGGCCGAATAAACTGTGAAGTATATACGATATATGACGAGTCTTTTCCTCGGATAATACCCGGCACCGAAATGCAACAAGCAAGCATGAAAACGATTGGAGGAATTGAAGGGTAAAAACGAAAGATGTACCGAAGTAGATCATAAGTTGTTCGCACATTCTTTTTTTACCGAGATCTCCGTTGGAAACCTGGCTCTAGTCTATGCTGTAGGGAGAATCTGCAATCAGATGCATGGGCCGAGGTCAGAGCCTTAAATATTGCGACATCCCTTGTTCGAATCGTCAGGGGTACAACGGGAGGTAATCGTAAAATCATCCACTCTCAACTCAATAATACACATCTAGCCCACTGCTGATATCTCAACACTTTGGAGCAAGAGCTCGATACATCGCGGACTGCCACACTCCTAAAATCCAACATTTTACCGATGAGCATACCATCGTACCATCATACCGAATATCCTCATATCATCATCGTGTCCAAACAATACATTATCTAAAAATTTGAGAAGCGACGAAAAAGAAAAGGACATCGTCATATCATATCATATCCATCCGTTCAGCTCATTATCAACTTTCTCTCTCAACGCCTCAGATCTACTCCCATTCCATCTTTTCCTTTCCCAGCCGGCACTTCTCAATTTCTCGATCCTTTCTCGAATTTCCTTTCGTCTCATCTCCTCTTTATCCTCCTTACTGAGATCACCAGTGGAATTAAATAGAGAAGGGGATAATGAAGCTTGATTGCTGCGTCGAGATTTACGTACACTTTGTATGGTATCGATGAGGCTGTTGATGTGTATTATATGATAGGTAAGTTGCGTGGTTATAGATGAGAGATTGAGATTATAGCTAGTGAGATGTATGCTGAGAGAGGGATGAATCGGCGATGGTGATTGACATTTGGAGGAGATTATAGGTCGAGGAAGTGTATTTTGGGATTGAATAGAGCGGGGAATAGTTTCCATACTGCTTGAATTCTCAAGATCCTGTGCTGATATCAATGTGGGTAATGCTGGAGAAAAAGAAACCTTCTTTTTTATACGCAGTGGTGCGGGTCTATCCGCGATAATAGTGGTGTCTGTCGATTGTGTGGATTGTGTCGATGCGACTGATGACACGGAAAGGGTGCGTATGCGTGTAGGAGTTTTTTCGTCGTTGCCATCCTCGAAAGAGCAGGATGAGAAAGCGGGCGAGAGCCCATCTGCAGTAGAAGGAAATGATGTTGATGAAAACACGGAATCCACAGAAGAACGAGCACTCGACGTAGATGACATCGAAGATGATCGATTACCTGATATCGGTGCATCGCTTTCCATGGGTATATCTGCGTATGTGAGATATTCTTCTGTTTTTTGAAAGTACAATAAAGAATCTCGAAGCAACGAAAGCTTTTGAGGAGAGTTGTTGTGAAGATTCGATGCCGTTATCTCTAAGCAAGTGGCACAATAGAAGGACAAGAAAAGTGAATAAAGAGGATGAACTCGATACTGAGTATTATGTTAGTATGACACAAATACATATCGCTGAACTTGACATACTGGATCTGTGATGCTATCGAGAATATTGATGCATCGTGCAGTGCACTGTTTGTATTGCCGTCCTAAGTACAGCTTCTTGACTTCATCCATGATGATCCTCCAATCTTCCAAAGTGTAAGGAAATATGAGTCTGTCCCAGATTGGCCTTATTGGTTTTGGCCTTTTTTTCTGGGGTGAGAGTGTCGTTGATGCAGGTATTGGGGTCGTAGGAGAATTTGAGGATGTTGAATTCCCCTCCACTGGTTGCAATTTAAGGGGTATCATCCCTCCTATACTTTTGAGAGTCCTGTGCCGTATTATCCTTACTGTAACGAAGGTTTATCGAATTTCTCGATTCCGTTTGTAGGGACGATATCGATTTCGGACGGAAAACCCTTGGTATCCGTGATGCAAGCTCCCGGATTATGACCCAGAAAAGTCGTTAGCCACTGGGATAGTGCAGACCAGTACACTCGAGATCAACCCAAGAATCTAGTGGTAATACGAATTATGAGGGTATATAAATCAAAATCTAAATTCATATGGTCGCCACCTGAGGTAGTTTGTTGATATTCATACGGCGTGTGAAAAGGATTGTTTACATCAAGAACATGAGATGAGAATTAATACATGAAACAAAAGAAACAACACGTAGGGCAATAAAATCGATTATAGAATCATAGTACAAATGAAAGAGAAAATAATATAGAGATTGACGTGAAAGTGTCGAATTCTCTTTCATTGGTATAATAGCAGAGAAGAGAAGTAATGTTTGTGACCAAGACTGTGCGGGCAACCATCATTTCAGCTTCACTACTCACAGGCTTCACTGGTTCGAGCATAAGTATCATCATAATGCAATGCATACTTGAGAGGCTTTTCACAAGTGTGATAAGATGAATTCAGGGAAAGAAACGTTCATCCAAATATAATTTATGATGATCTTTCACATCTGAAGTCTGTGAATAAGTGAAGTGTGACGATTTCGAAACAAAAAATGCACAGATGTTTACTTGGCATCTGGCTAGCACGGACTTCGCTCTATGGGAAAGACATCTTAAGTTGGCTACACCATTATTATTTCTTATACATTTTTTGACTACGAATTATATAAGGCTGGGTACGTACTGGCAGTAGATACGTTAAGATCCTAGATGGTCTAATCTGATATACGGTACTATCATCCATGCTTCACAGATAGTTGTTATTCAATCTACTAGATTTTTTTTTTCAAGTCATTTTTCAAGCCACAAGTTCTCCGTTCATAAAATGTCAAACACCCACGTCGTTTCGAGATATCTAAACAGTCATCCCACCTCAAGCCATCATTAAACTAGTGCGTATCAAATCAGATCTGGAAACATCTTACCTAGGGATAGTGGGAAACAAAAACTGGGGAAGCAAATAATGGCGCCATCTTAGATGGTATTATGATCTCATGGATAGATCATCAATGCATTAGGTCTCATACACTCTATGATATTGCATTGCAAATATGTACATGTGAATTGCTTAAAATCATTTAATTCTTCAAGAAGCGGAGACCGCTCCTATAGCTTCTTGAGATAGGGGAGTTTCTTCTGCAGGCTTCTCCGCCTCAGAGACAGGCTCGGCACTCTCTGTCAATTTTCCAGACTCTGTAGGGTTCGTTGCAGGAGCCTCAGAAGTTTGTTCTTGTGCAAGAATTTCATCTTCCTTAGCTTTATCATCTTTAATGCCTCCTACAACTCTCAGACCATCGGCTTTTCGAGTCATGTTATCGATATCAGCTTTTCTCTTTAGTCGTTGCTTGACTTCGGAGACTAAAGCGTCAAGATTGACCATTACACCATCTTTCTCCGGGTGTCCATCCCTCAGACCATTCTCCTTAATCTTAACTTTGCCTTGAGTGATTTCGTCTTCGCCTAGGATGACACTGAAAGGTACACCATTCACCTCTGCAGCCTTAAACTGGTTTGGTAGTTTTGGTTTGACTTTGTATAGGAACTCCGCCTAAGATAATTGTTAGTAAATGACATCCTCAGGGAACAAAACCTTTTACTAACCTTGATACCAGCCTCCCAAAGCGTTGAGCATATTGACATTCGTTCTTTCAGGAGCCCTGTGAAACCCTTTCCTCCAAAAGCCATGACGAAGCAATCCACATCATTGTTTCGCACTTGCTCTGTCGTCTGCTCCTCCTCCATTCTAGCCTTTGTGATTGAGAAAATTCGATCAACACCGAACGAAATACCAACGCAGGGAATTTGCTTTCCCTTGCCAGCAAACATGCCGACAAGATTATCGTAGCGTCCACCAGCTGCGACACTTCCGACACCAACACTAGGATCTGATGAGCGATCCTCATCGGCATCAGCTACTTTCTTGGGCTTCTTGGAGGATTTTGGTGGGGCAGCAGGAGCGGCTGATGTGCTCACGAGAGGTGCAGACCCTTCCGTAACGACTTCGTAGATGATTCCTGTGTAGTAATCGAGACCTCGTGCTAAACTCAGATCGAAAGAAACGTTCTCTAAGCATTTGAATGCATCTAGATAACCGAACAATAGATCCATATCTTCCAAACCGGCCTTCATGGAAGCATTGGCCATCAATTTCTCATCGGCCTGCAATTTACTGAGGAGGTCTTTCTGGCCTTTTTGTACGACGTACTCTCCAATCTTGTCCGCAACATCTTCTGCCAAACCCTTTTCTTCTGTCATTTCCTTGCGCACATCTTCCCATGGGAGTTTATCCAATTTATCTACCGCAGAAGAGATTGTGCGAATTTTGTCCTCTGGAACTCCACAAACTTCGAAGATTCCGTCTAATATTTTTCTGTGGTTGAGTTTGATAGTATATCGTCCCTTCCAGCCAAGACCTTCAAATACTTCTGTCGCAACCCTGATTACTTCTGCATCGGGTAACATAGGATCGTAGACACCTGCAATATCGAAATCGCATTGATAGAATTCCCTCATGCGACCTTTGGTCATTGCTGGCTGATCCCGTCTATAGACTTTGGCAATGTGATATCTCTTGATACTTTGTACACTCCCGTTCATGGCCAACCATCTTGCGAATGGTACTGTTAGATCATATCTGAGCGAGCAAATCTCCCCACCTTGGTCTGCCAGGTCGTAAATGAGTTTGCTGTCTTCGCCATATTTTCCTGCAAGAATATCCTTCAATTCGAAAACCGGGGTATCAATAGTGACTGCTCCATGGCGCTTGAAGGCTTCAGTAATAGTAGAAAAGATTTTGTCCCGAATGACCATATCCTTTCCTTGCCCTATTGAGGTATAAGTATCATGTCACATGTTTGTTGATAATCATAGATAGAAATTGGAATTGTGTAGAGCAATTTGACGGAGGTATGGAGTTGCCTACAATCTTTCGTCCCCTTTGGAGTCTTCAACTCAAACTTTGATCCTTTCGCCATGTTTAACTCTTCGTAGTATTGTTTTCGTTCTGCTTTTGTGAGAGCGGGGGTCGCGGGGGCCCAAGCAGAACGTGTGTTGGGAATTTGTAAAAGCCGTGGAAGTTGTGGAAGTTGTGGGAGTTGTGGGAGTCGTGAAATTCGTGAAAGTCGTGATGATCTCGCAGATCTGAGTAATTGAGCTTGGAAGACCTTCATTCACTTTCTCATATCGATATGGAGTTTTAATAAGGTTGGGGATTTCAATATCCAAGATACTGAGTCATTGGGTAGGCTTGATATTTTTTATTCATGCACAATCGCGAGGCTGAGTACTTCTATGGCACGGTAGAAAACTCGCTTGTCTTTGTGGTGCGGGGAGTTTCCTTCATTTGATCGGTGAAATCTTCAATTTACATCCGATGAGCTCGGAACTAAAACATGGAAAGCTTGAAGTACTCACTACTGACTGTGCTTGGGACCTTGAGAAATTCACAGCTTGTCCTGGCATTCCCCTCATCCTTTTCCATCAAATCTGTGATCATTATTCAGCCCGCATGTAGAGCTCATCATGGCTCCTCATGCTGGGTTTGATACAGATCAGATCAAAGATAAAGCGAGAAAGGATTTATTATACTTATTAGAGGGCGTAAGTAAGGCCTCACCGTCCTCCAAACCGCTCCAGGCCACAGCTGACACGTTACTCCCCGCAGGTTCGCGGAAAGAAGAATCTGGTACTTGATAAGAGTTTGGCTGGCCCACTCGGCATAATCGTCAAGTTTTCCACTCTTCAAGACTATGGCGTCGATAAGGTTTTCTTTTTAGAGAATGGCAATGCAGATGTTAGCCAGCAGAATGTCGTGTTCATTGCTAGGGGTGAGAGTGCGAAGCATGCTCAGTCGATAGCTGGTAAGCGCTTGTTTATTTTGGCGACTCTCCTTCTTTCCTCAAACCTCTAATGGGATTTCGAAAGTAGACCTTATGGAAGTATCTCTCCCACTCTATTTGGTCATCTCGATCCCTTACATGAATAATATCTATATATTTAGACAACACGAACATAAGCGTATCCTCGATTTCACCTTGTGTTTAATGCTATCAGAACGTGCTGACAACCCCAGATCATATCAAGCGCATGCAGCGAGAGAGCCAGACTGGACATGAATTTTCCATATTTTGGGTTCCACGGAGAACATTGGTATCAGAAAAGATTCTTGAAGAAGCCGGAGTACTGGGTGATACCAGTATTGCCGAATTTCCTCTCTATTTTCTCCCACTCGAGAAAGACCTCTTGTCATTAGAATTGGACGAATCATTCGAAGATTTGTACTTGCGAAAAGATCCAACACCGACATTTCTCCTCGCACGTGCTTTGATGCTCATACAACAAAAACATGGCCTGTTCCCCCGAATGACCGGGCAAGGTGACAATGCGAAAAGACTTTCAGATCTCCTCTTACGAATGCGACAAGAATTGATTGCGGGCGAAGATACCAATGAAAGCAACAAGCTTGGGCTCTCTCCAAGTAACACGATCGAAAGCCTCATTATTATCGATCGCGAAATTGATTACGCGACCCCCTTACTAACGCAATTGACATATGAAGGGTTAATTGACGAAGCGGTAGGTATTCAACATAATCAAGCCGATGTGGACTCATCCATTGTGGGGTCAGCTCCTCAAGGGTCCTCGAAAACTGTCGGAGCAGCACCCGTCCAGGCCAAAAAGCGAAAAATAATTCTGGATTCGTCCGATAAGCTTTATACTCAACTGAGGGATACCAATTTTGCAATTGTTGGGCCGCTATTGAATAAGGTCGCACGACGTCTCAAAGATGATTATGAAAGTAGACATGGAACAAAAAGTACAGCAGAACTGCGAGATTTCGTGAACAAGCTTCCAGGCTACCAAGCCGAACAACAGAGTCTGAAAATACATACTGGCTTAGCAGAGGAGATAATGAAACACACCCGTAAAGAACAGTTCAGCCGCTTGCTAGAAGTTCAACAGAATTTAGTTGCAGGTGCCGATCCTTCTTCGCAGCACGATGCCATCGAAGAGCTCATTGCTCGAGATGCTCCCCTTCCAGAAGTTCTGCGACTTTTGTGCCTGGAATCATGCATCTCTGGCGGTGTTAAACCCCGGGATTTGGATAACTTTAAGAAAACGATTCTACAGGCCTATGGTTATCAGCATCTGCTTACTTTGGATGCTCTAGAAAAGTTACAGTTACTGCTTTCAAGAACATCTCCCATGGCATCTATGATCCCTATGACCGGGGGTGGAACTCAAATTGGCACCAATACCGACTATACTTATCTGCGAAAACAACTTCGCCTAATTGTTGATGAAGTTAACGAGCACGATCCAAATGACATCGCTTATGTCTACAGTGGCTACGCGCCGCTCTCAATACGCCTTGTTCAATGCATATTACAAAAGCAATATTTGATCTCGATGACCAGAGGAGGAAATGCGAATAATACTGCGAGTGTCGCTACTGGTGGCGCCTCTCAAGGCTGGCGAGGATTTGATGAACTATTGAAGCATGTGCGAGGCCAGACTTTTGACGAGGTACAAGCAGGGGAAGATAAAGCTGTTAAAGCAAGAGCGCTTCTGGCGGGCAGTGGCGAGAAGAAGACTGTTTTCGTTGTATTCTTAGGTGGAGTAACATTTACGGAAATTGCAGCTTTGAGGTTTATCGCGAAGCAAGAAGAAGGTATGCAATCTTGGTATTACTCTTTAAACACTTTAGCATTGACTAACAAACATACAGCGCGGAAGCAGATCATCATATGCACAACCTCAATCATAAGTGGAAATCGAATGATGGATGTAGCCATAGAGAAGGACTCGTTGGGCAGGAGTAGTGTGCCAGACGTAACACCACAAGAACAATGAGAATTATCATGAACAAAAGATAAAAGGGGCAGAGTGCCTACTTCAATAATAGTAATCCTAAATGAAAATATTTGCCAACAATGAAACTATGTGCAACAACATCATCTTGACCTTCCCCTTCTTGACGTCTGGAATGCATCGCTACAATAAGTTCGAAAGTATTGCAATTTTGGGGTTCCTTGTCAACTTCGTTCTAAAACTAAATAAACATTACACGTGATCGCTATCCGCATCTTTTGCCCAGCCGAGATCCCATAAGACATGATATATTCATATCGTACGACACAACGATCAACAGTTTCCCTCGAGTCCTAAAAACACTTCCCAAAGTTTCGCTTGCGAATACTGATGATATACGGACATTTTTATATCTGAGACTCGGTGCGGTGTGCGACATCCATCGCAACATGTTCAATGACAGAGGTGAGACTAATCCACGTGTAAGACGTATATCTCTATATGTTAGTTATATGAAGGTCCTGACGTTATCAAAGCAGAAATTTGAATGCATATCCTATCGAATTGGTCAATAATAAGGGGTTAATTCGGCTTGAGGCCTGTCAATGGGCACTTCGTCATCTCGCAATTTTGAGCCCTGCCAACGCACTTTTATATCGAAACATTCCAGAGAAGTCACAGGGTTTAGACCTCCCGACATGGCAACCACGATGGATGCCCAGATAAGTCAACAAGATGACTTAGGTCACGATACATTGATGGGATTTCAAGAATTAGATTCCCATCTTGCTATATTTGAGTCTACGGAGAACGCAAGAGATTCATCCACCCTTGGTACTATTTCTACTCCCGGCTTCGACCCAGCCATCGACACCATTGAATCACAATCAGCTTTTGAAACCTTTGAGCATACTATCATCGTTGACAGCTCTACTGATCTTTTTCAATCTGATGTCAAATCCCGTGCAAGGGTCATCAAGGATCCCAAACCTAGTACAGACGTCAACAAAAAGTACGTATTAATAGACCATCCGCTTTTGGCTTGTGGGGTTCCGAGTGACCCGTCGATTCTTTTATTGACCTCTTTTATTGACCTTTTCTAGAGCTGCAGGTCAATCTAAATACGCCTCTGATGGCAACATAGTCCTGAAGCCCGAAAGCGCTCGAGATTCTTTAGCCTCTTCAATGACTACAGATCACGACGACGGTACCTCATCACTGTCCTCACTGTCAAGCAACCCTAATTCTCCAACATATGTCGATAAACATTTTGGAGAGGTTACAAAAATATCATCCTTGGATGAAAATAGACAGAAATATAATGTACGTCCGAAAGAATCGATACCCACGGATATTCATCCAGCGGAGTATGCCAGACAGTGCATCGCAGCAGCAGAATCATCACGGCTCAGCCCATACACTTTGCATCCAGAGGAGTATCATATGCTACGTAGGCATATAAGCCATCAGCAGGTCACGACGTATCTCAATATCAGAAATGGAATCCTCCGGCTTTGGACCCGCAATCCGTCGATACATGTAATGAGAGATGAAGCTATTGGATGTGCAAGAGATGTCCGTTGGTTTGAGGCTGCTCGAGTATGCCACGAATGGTTGGCTCGGCGCGGTTATATCAACTACGGTTGCCTCGAAAACCCGGAGTCCAAAATAGATAAAAGCGAGATGCGAAATACCGTACGAAACAGGCGAACTGTTGCCGTCATTGGAGCTGGCATGTCTGGCTTAGGCTGTGCTAGACAATTAGAAAGCCTCTTTGCCCAATTCGAAGATCGGTTTCATGATATGGGGGAGGAATTACCCCATGTAGTCATAATAGAAGGCAGAGATCGAGTTGGTGGGAGAGTATATTCTCGGCAATACGAATCGCGACCAGAATATCCAACCTTAATTCCTGGCAGTCGATATACTGCAGAAATGGGCGGTATGATTATCACAGGGTTTGATCGTGGCAACCCGCTGAACGTTATTGTAAGAGGACAACTGGCACTGCCTTATCATCCATTAAAGCCAGATACCACGATATATGATGATGGTCGCCCGGTTGACCTCGAACGTGATCAGCATGCCGAAAAGCTTTTCAATTATATCCTCGACCGCGTTGGCGAGTACAAATTTAAAATTCCACCACCGCCTCTCATTGATGGTGATAGGGACCATCTAGATGCAGGACGCGATGGCAATGGGGATGGATCTAGAACAATTAGCGAGGTTGAGAATAGAGCCAGTTTTGCCACGCAGTCTGTTGCAAGTGAGAAATCATCTGCTCTCGAACAAATGGTGCCAGTGGCATCAGACAGGCTCACTGGAAGAGCCCATTTGGAGCCCGGGATTCCAGCTGTGCATACTGCTGCTTACAAAGCCCGCGAGATTGGTTGGAAGCTTAGAGATGGTGTTGGCATTGAATTTGATCTAGACCTTGAGCGACCGACGAGCAAAGGGAATGCTACACTTGGATCAGTATTTGATGACGCTATTCGGCAGTATATGAGAATGATTGATTTTACTCCGCTTGATCTCAGGCTAATTAATTGGCACGTCGCAAATCTCGAGTACAGTAATGCGATCACCTGCAATAAGTTGAGCTTGGGAGGTTGGGATCTCGACGCCGGTAACGAATGGGAAGGCAAGCACACAATGGTCACAGGAGGTTACCAACAAGTCCCTCGAGGTCTACTTAATTTCCCACGACTACTGGATGTGAAGAAAAGAAGTGCAGTGAAACGTATTGTCTACAATCCTCATCATACCGTTGCCTCATCTAGGATTGACTGTGAGAACGGCGAGTCAATCGAGGCAAACTACATCGTTTCCACTATTCCCCTGGGTGTTTTGAAGCAAAACAACATTGAATTCGAACCAGAGTTACCTTCATGGAAGACTGGTGCAATTCAGCGGATTGGTTATGGGATCCTCAATAAAATTATCCTGGTGTACAAAGAGCCTTTTTGGGACGAAGGTCGAGATATCTTCGGGACTCTACGTAATCCACCCAACAAATTCAGTCTAGACCAAGGAGAATATTTCACACATAGGGGGAGATTTTTCCAGTGGTTTAACTGCACAAAAACATCCGGCATGCCAACTTTACTAGCTCTCATGGCGGGCGACGCAGCGTTCCACACGGAGAAGACCTCAAACGAAGAATTGATATATGAGGCTACGACAGTTCTAAGAGGCGTTTTCGGTGATCACATTCCTATGCCTGTAGAGTCGATTGTTACTCGTTGGGGCAAAGACCAGTTCTCCCGTGGCAGTTATTCTTACACTGGCCCAAATTTCCAAAGTGATGATTACGGGGTCATGGCAAAGCCTATCGGTAACCTATTCTTTGGTGGAGAGCATACTTGTGGTACACATCCAGCCACCGTTCATGGAGCTTACATCTCGGGTCTCAGGGCAGCCTCGGAGGTATTGGAATCTATCATCGGACCAATAGAAGTTCCGGATAATCTCATTCCACCCAAGGAATCGGCATCAAAGAGAAAGGCTGAGGCCATTGAAGTTCCTAAGGATCCAAAACAGGCGCGTCTCGAGGCATATGAAATCGAGATATGGAATGCGATATACGCAAAGCTCGGTGATCGACCTTGGAAGCCTGCAAAGAACCACTCCAATTCCTACCAAATGTACAGTAAGGATACATGGGAGGAAGCTAAAAGAAAATGCGAGGAAGGTCGAAGGCCGGGGAAAGGTAAACCAATTACCAACGAAGTTAAGAAAATGATCACGAAAATGTGGAGTGAAGCTCCAGAGGATGTGAAGAAACCTTATATTGACAGGGCTTTGGAACGAAAAAGAATCTATCAAGAAGCTGTTGCGGATTATAACGTGAAATCGGCGAAATGGGATAAAGACGCTTGGGATTTCAGAGTACAATATGAAAAGGATCACCCTAGTCTACCAGGTCCAGACGAGGACATTGGTAGCCCTTGGAGACGTGATAGAAAAGCAAAGAGGAACGCAAGTGGTTATGCTGAAGATTCCGGTTCTGAACTGGATTTGTAAGATGGATTCCTGGTTTTGCATTGCATTTGCATTGTACAATAAGTAGGGGTGATGATTCATTACAATGGAGTTATTATATTGGCTTGGAGCACTTTCAAAGGGGTGGATGGCTAACTTCTGGCGTATGGATGGAGGGGACTTGAACCAAACCTGAGGATGGTAAATGAATTGGTTGCATATAGCTGGTTTCCCTTGCTTGAGTCTTGTCGGGCTCAATGTTGTATCTACGCCAGAAATAGCATATACATAACTATACAACTCAAAACACAACTATAGTCATAATTACTTGAGTGAATTCGTATCGATTTTCCCCCAAATTTTCCAGTAAGCTTTCAATACGTGGAAATTGATAAAAGAACCCCTCGTTGTCGTCCAGACCCTGGCTGCTCGCTAAAGCGTACCTCGAACGTCAACCCCTCCATCTTCAACTTTGACAACGCAAGCTCCATAGTTCATACAACCACCTTCAAAATGGCAGAAGTTGATCAATTTGATAGCGCGCTGTAAGCTTTTGATATCATTTCTATCATCAAAAATACTTATATCTGCGAATAAAAACCCGTATACGATAACTCACTAACTCATTAATCTCCACAGGGATCTTCTCCGCCGTCTCAACCCCAAACACACCACCACCCACCTAAACTCCCTCATTGATCTCGTCCCCTCCTTAACAGAAGATCTCCTCAGCTCCGTCGACCAACCTCTTACTATTTCTCGCTGCCGAAAAACCGGTCGCGATTACCTTCTCTGCGATTACAACCGTGATGGCGATAGCTATCGTTCGCCATGGAGTGGTGAATTTGAGACACCTATAGGTGGTACAACGCCCGGTGGTATTGATGATCAGGGAAATAATGATGGGGCGGGTGAAGGTGCTGTGCCTAGTGAAAGGGTTAGAAAGATGGAAATTCGAGCGAATGAGGCTTTTGATGTTTACAGGGAGTTGTATTATGAGGGAGGTGTCAGTAGTGTTTATTTTTGGAACTTGGATGATGGGTTTGCGGGTGTGGTTCTCTTGAAGAAAGGTGAGGATTATTTCTTTTGATTCTTTTTCGATACGGGAATATTTGGCATATTGAACGATGGGTAATTATGATGGATGCTAATTTGTATTAATAGTCGCACCTACATCATCCAGTTCCGCCGGTTCTTGGGACAGCATCCACGTATTCGAAGCTGTTGACCGTGCCCGCACCGCTCATTATAAACTCACATCTACTGTGATCCTCTCACTCTCCACCAACGGAAACGAACTTGGCGAGATGGATCTCAGTGGAAATATGACACGACAAATCGAGGCGGATTTACCAATTCTAGATGATGCGGAACATATAGCTAATATTGGAAGATTGGTTGAGGATATGGAGTTGAAGATGAGAAATTTGTTACAGGAGGTTTATTTTGGGAAAGCAAAGGATGTGGTTGGGGATTTGAGGAGTTTGGGAAGTTTGAGTGAGGGGGCTAAGGAGAGGAAGGTTAGAGGGGAGATGTTGGATGCTATGAAGAGGTAGATAGTAAGGTGAAGATGTGGTATGTGATAAAGAAAGATAAGATAGATGTGCTGGGATATGCGTTATGTTTGCATGAGATATGAAAATAAAAGAGCATTGATTGTTTACTATTGAGAGGGATTATTTAAAATCATTAACTATCTATCCTTCATTTCTCTATTATATATATCAATCTCTTTCAGGTGATGTTTATAAATTGTATAAGATTCGACATAAAAAAGCCTTCCATTCGTTCAAAAGCCCAATTTATTCAATAATTATATTCTCTCTCCTCAACCCTACATTCCTACAATCTCACCACTTTATACCTTATACTTTATCTCTATTTGTGACGGAAACCCCTGCTTTCCTCCCACCCTTATTATATAAGAAACCTCAGGTACATTAACCACGTCCACACATGATACGATTACTCGGGATTAGTATACGATTTAGGTGGTCTGAGGATCAGATCCGGGCAAGTACTAGGTATCAATGGTTATCAGTAAAGTAAGATCATTGGAGGGATAAATATAACTTCTTTTTGCCTAGCCATTGCGGCTAGACCATTCATTTATGTATATATAAGAGTAGCTATCCCCATCTACAGGTGCTCTTCACTTGTAGATTCTAAGTTAAATACAATTGCTGGTCTATAAACACCCTTTTGGTCACACTATTCTTGTTTTTATTTTTATTCTTATTCTCATCCTTATTTCTTTCTTTAATATATTATCTCTATCTCGTTTTTATTTAACTTCTTTAAAATCATTATTTATTTTATATATTTATGTCACGAACCACGACTAATATTATACAATAAAACCAGGTATCGGGGTTTGGGCCGCTGTTCCCCGCGGTTCCCTTATCGATAGGGAATCCTAGGACAAGTGTCCTAGGATAATAACGATTTTAGGATAAACAGTTGGGCAACTACATAGGTATAAGGACAAGTGTCCTAGGATAATAATTGTCCCAGGACAATTATCCTAGGAACTATATTATTCTAGGAGCTATATTATCCTAGAAGCTATATTATCCTAGGTTGCGAATCGCCCCAGGATTAGTGTCTTGAGGCAAGTAGGGATCACATAATGGAGCATCCAGAAGTATAGGCTCCTCAGAGCTCCAGGAAAGGATTCATTATATAGTCAGAATAGTTTCATAGTATAAGAGCTTTGTGCTTAATTTAGTTATCAATTAATTTACCTACATTCTACTTGATTGTTACGACGGCTATCTTCCACACCGCGTCACATGACTAAACCAAGGTAACGTGATTAAGTCACGTTATGGACCGCTGAGGAACGCTGGCTGTCCAGGACCGCGCAGCGGTCCTGACTAGCCATAGGCATGAAGGTCTATATAATCAAGATGGATTTCCTTTGTATAGAGCTTCGTGCTCAAGATCAATCATTTAGTATACTCTACTATTAGTTACGAGTTGTATATCATTATTGTCATTACTTTAAGTCCCTGCTTGACGCCTAGTTATAAACCACCTCGAGAGCCTAGAGCACTTCCACTTGATCTAGACGGCAAACCTCGTAACATTGATCTAGTAACGAATTCACTTCCAAGTGAATATCAGTGATAGAGCCTTAACCCACAACTACCAACCAGACGAAACCTTAGGTAGTCGCTGTCACACTCAAGAATACTGGGTAAAGTATCTTGTATTAGAAAATACTAAGCTAAGGAGAAAAGAAGAAGGAAAACAAGAGTAGCGAGTTTTCCTGTGATTAAATACAAACGGGGCATGCTGTAACGATACTGTACTGGAGGCAGCGGCTGCCTAAGGTTTCGTCTGGTTGGTAGTTGTGGGTTAAGGCTTTATCACTGGTCTTCACTTGGAAGTGAAGTCGTTACTAGATCAAGTAGAATGTAGGTAAACTAATTGACAACTAAGTTGAGCACGAAGCTCCTTAATTACGAGACTAAATGAATGTTTATATACCCTATATCATCTTTTGAGGACCTCTGGGACCCTAAGGTCCAAAAGGTCCTTGAGGTCACGTGAATTAATGGATCGTGACACATGCCACGTGACCCGAAGGTGTGAGGCGTCACAGTCGCTGCCTCCAGTACAGTATCGTTACAATTTATAAAGATTAAAAGAATGAATAATTTAAAATATTAATAATTATTTTTTTCTTTCATTAATTTAAAGATTTAAAAAGATGTTAAATGTTACGAGGTTTGCCGTCTAGATCACGTGGAAGTGCTCTAGGCTCTCGAGGTGGTTTATAACTAGGCGTCAAGCAGGGACTTAAAGTAATGACAATAATGCAATTCGTAACTAATAGTAGAGTATACTAAATGATTGATCTTGAGCACGAAGCTCTATACAAAGGAAATTCATCTTGATTATATAGACCTTCATGCTTCTATTGTCACACTCAAGAATACTGGGTAAAGTATCTTGTATTAGAAAATACTAAGCTAAGGAGAAAAGAAGAAGGAAAACAAGAGTAGAGAGTTTTCCTATGATTAAATACAAACGGGGCATGCCACGTGACCCGGAGGTGTGAGGCGTCACATCTATGATCACTGGTGATCCTTCATGATCACTACTGATCACTTGTAATCACGTGCCTTGGTCATGTAATGGTAGTTGTGTAGCCCGTCGTAACACATTAATAGATTTTAAACTTATATAATTTATAATAAAAATTCTAATTAAAATATCAAAATAATTTCTTTTAATTAATAAATTAAAAACCTAAACTCGAGTAATTTTTTTAAAAATCTAAATTTCTTTATAATAATTTCAATTTAAAAATAATTGAATATAATGATTTAAACCCTCTATTTAAAAAACGTGCAATAATTTAATATAATACCCCCCCATGATTCCTCGCTACAATATATCCCCCAAACCCAACAAGTGACCAATCACAAACACAGGGCTTCTGGCGCAATGGCAACGCGTTTGACTTCGACTTCTGTTAGAAATAACAGCTGATTCCGGCATCAAAAGATTGCAGGTTCGATCCCTGCGGGGCTCAAGGTGTCTCGTTTTTGTGTTTTTGGGGGTTTGTGTGGTTTTTGAGGGAGAAGGGAGAGTTGGTTGGCTTTTTGTTGGTGGTGGGTGGGGTGGAATTGCTGGTTTTTTGGTGGGTTGAAGTGGAGTTATTTATGAGTGGATGATGGTATTGAGTTGTGATGTTTGTATTATATTTATTTAACATTTTGATGGTTTATTTGATGGATGGATGGATGGGTCGAGAGGTGAGCTGAGATGTAAATAAATGTGAAAAATCATTCTTTTGAATATATCTGTCACGATTCACCATTAGGATTAGTGTCCTGGGATAAAAATGAATCACGTGATAAGGAACCCTGAGGAGCCAGAAAGCTCCTGGAGGCTCCCTTTATCGTTCATTATATAGTTAGAATAGTTTCATAGTTTAGGAGCTTCGTTCTCAACTTAGTTATCAATTAGTTTACCTAAATTCTACTTGATCTAGTGACGACTTCACTTCCAAGTGAATTGTTACGACGGGCTACACAACTACCATCACATGACCAAGGCACGTGACTACAAGTGATCAGTAGTGATCATGAAGGATCACCAGTGATCATAGAAGCATGAAGGTCTATATAATCAAGATGGATTTCCTTTGTATAGAGCTTCGTGCTCAAGATCAATCATTTAGTATACTCTACTATTAGTTACGAATTGCATATCATTATGGTCATTACTTAAGTCCCTGCTTGACGCCTAGTTATAAACCACCTCGAGAGCCTAGAGTACTTCCACTTGATCTAGACGGCAAACCTCGTAACACATATCCCTCTGCTGGATTTGTATATGGGTTAGATACACATCCGTGTCTTGTATATCCGAAGACGGGAAGCGCGTGATATAGATGTGTTGAGTTGTGGCTCATAGTATCGTGAAAGAGATCACCAGGATCTTAAGATAACAGAGCATGGATATTCGTGAGTATTTATACACTGCAACCCCGCCGCAATATCAAAGAATAAACGGATGTGTGATGGATGGGTTGTGTTTTGTCGTGTTGATAGGACGACGTATCGGCCAAATTGTTTGGATGAAAGAATTTGAGCTCGGTTAAGTATAATATTGGGTAAGATGGAGTCGGCAAAGTCGTATTGATTGAATAGCCAGTTGAAATTCTCGCTATTAAGAATCCAGTATTTTGACCCTCCCCCTTTCCGGGGAAATTGATCGATAGATTGCCAACAATGTTATAACATACTATAATAACAGGAAAATAGCCCCCGCGAATGAAATTCAATCCATGAATATTCTCTCTTCCCTGCTCATTCAGAATACGAATATTGAAAGTCAAAGCCTAGCATTTGATGATACCCTCCGAAACCTGATCCTTCCATCCAACATTCACACTTGTGTTAAGATTTAAGAAATTTAAAAGCAAGCAACCCCTCAAAATAACATCAAACCTCGTATTGCCAAATTTATTCATGCAAAAATGACCGATACAAACTCATCGCAAACGAAACATTGGTTGGTATACGTATTCCCCCAGAAGAAACATTCCTCATTTGCCGTGTGCATCTCCTGCAGCAAAAGAAATTCTTTCGGAAATTCTCGAATCCTTCTAGAAAGACGGTTCTTATCTATCACGAACTATGCATGTGACTCCATAAAAGAAAAGTCCTTGGTAAGCAAAAACACGACCGAATGAAATTCGCAATTATGCGATGGAACACTGATATGCAGGTGTTCGGAACAATCAACACAACAAGATGGGATCGCCACTTCACAATTTCCGTTTCAAAAATTCCTATGCAGGAGATGGAAGGTCAAAGAAGGAGGTTTAAATGAATTTGATATGACTTGCAGACTACTTGTATGCAGGTGAGTGAGTTTAGAGAACTTCCTCTCTCTTTTCCTTGATTGTTCCTGCATGAACCCGATGACCCGGCGGAACAATATCCAATGAAAAGCACAAGCCGTAGCCCTCCTGCCTTATGAATCTTGCCAAGCTACGGAGGCTCGAATTGATGTTTGAATAGTAAATAGTGAAAAGGTTATCGTCGGCGGTCCACCAGTCGAGGTATTCTGGATCGCTTTGCCAAGTCTCTCCGTCTCAGCATGTGCTCGGCATTTGCGGATGTCAAGTATCTAGGTACCTATGTTGCTCACTTTGAGTTTGAACCTTGGATCATAAGCAAAAAACCATTATAGTTCGCCCCTCTTGATCTATCGAATCTCAGAATTGAGAGGTTAATTGCCTGTGCGTGCGCGATAAATGGGGGAATGAGGCCTGTGCTGGTAAAGTCATGATGTATGCCTCGAACTACGGGCCCCCTATCTGTACGTAGTATGTAGGACTTGAAGCTGGCCACTTGCTGACCTGGTAGACACACCAGCATAGGAGATTAATGCGAAAACATTCTGCATGTATGTATCAGATCTGCCTGTACTAGATAGAGGCCTGTACTGGCTTTTCATCCGAAGTACTAGGTGCTCGGTAGGAAAAAGGGAAGAAGATACAAACAAGGATGAGGAAAATTGTCAAAGTACCGAAACAGAAACTCGTTCGACATATGGAGTACCCTAAGTGCGCTAATGAAACTCCAGTGCTGCTTAGAAGTTATTAAGCATGATTGGTGTACTCTTCTCCTTTGGATCCATCGTGGTAAAGGTGAATGTTAAAGTGGCAGGCAGTATCCTCGGTAGATAAAATGGAGCTAAGATAATAAAAAATCCCTCGATTGATTCGATTCCAACCCACCTGACTAGGATTGATGGATCTTGGAATTTTTATAAGGTGTGCTCCATCAGATGTAGACCGTGTAGTCTATATCGCATATCATATAGCATATGGTAGGTATATGGCACAAGGTCCACCCACTGGCACCCAGTATCTACGTATACTACCTACTACCCACCACTCGAGTACCGTGTATCCTTGAAGTTTGAAGTTTGAAGTTTGGTAAACTAGAAGTGGTAACATCCGCAGGAAGCGGCAGCTAAAGTCGAAATTGACAAGCACAGAGACAAGGGCTGAAGTGAACCTACGGAGTACAAGGAAGAGGAGATATAAACTTTGGGACCCCACTGGATTACTGAATTCCTGGATTACCGATTACTACTCTGTACTAGTCTGTAGATTACTGGACTACTGCATTTTCTTCTTTTCTTATTTCCTCAGAATTTAACCAGAATTTCTTCTAATCTTCTAGAAGCACCTGCAATGGAACTCTGGAAGCATGTCGGCTTGAAATCCTAGAATGTAAAAGGTGGTGTGCAAACTATCATATAATATCAACCAAGTAAGAAATCAAAAGTATCAAGTCGAAAGTCTCATGTATCAAATATCAAAAATCACATACCAACCGCGAGATTCAAGATTCAGTAATTGTGATACCCAATGCACAGTGACTGAAAACCCCCTGAAAACATCAATCAAAATGACTTGATCCTTTCGACCCTTTTTTAAACCATGTTGCGAAATGTTTTGCTTGATGTATATACAAATATATATGGGGATAGAAATGAGGATCATCAAGTCGTAGTCAATTAATCTGGGAGAATCCACCTTTTAACAATTTGACGTCTGGCTCTCTCCCACAGAAGACGATAGGTAACCACCAAGTATCAGGTGTGGTGCTGCAATTGTATCGTAATATGCAAGCAAGCAAGCAAACCTTTGCATCATCGTCATCATGTCACATCGAGGAGCTGTTGCAGCAGAACCTAGAAAGTGCCCCCAAGTCAATATTGCAAGACTTTCCGAGAGCAAGGCTGCTTGTACCACATCGTACAGGTACTACACTACCGCTCACATTGATTCTACTTCATACTCTCTATTCTGTTGCAGATGCCAGTCGATCATTCATGCCACCTGACAGCACTTGACACTGACAAGAAGGAAAACGCTCAAAACCCTTTGAACCTGCCAAATCTGCGGTAACTGGCTTGCGCTGCGCCACAACATTTTTGTGTATCTCCAATCTCCAATCTTCAATCTATTTTCTTTTTCATTCCTTTTCCTGTGGCGTAACATGCATGCATGTGTCTTGGATTATATTATGTACGGCGTTAGATACAGTTTCCTCCTCAAAGCATTTCTCCTTCCTGATTCGTAGATTTTCACCTGGTTCCTGCTCTGCCGCTTTGCCCGCATCTATCTCCATTTCATAGTTGATGATCCTTTAAGAATAATATAATGAGATAGAAATACTCCGCCTGCTATGTTTGTCCACAATAAAAGCTGCCCTAGAATATATTATTATGTATTACCTGATGAACTAGACAGATGGATATCGATTGAAACATGGATAATATCAAAGTAGATAGGTAGAAATGAAAATCCAAAAATCAACCCCCTTTCATAGACACCTTGTAATTAGATACTCGTGTGTTTCTTCACCAGAAAAGGCAAAAAAAGGGTCTGAGAAACCTTCATCCGGAATTCGCAGATTAGACATAGTGAAGATGTTAGCTTCACTGCACCATTAATCGATATTAATGATTACTTTTAATGTCCTGGAAGAGGAAAGGGATATTTATTACTCTACATATTACTCTACAAATCTCGTCTCCAGATTCTTGCATATAAAATACTACTCCAGCTACGACTCCATACGCAAAAAGAGGATACAGGAAGCACCGAGACCAACCAAGACCATCAACACCACCAAGATCACCCAAGACCAACCCAAGACAACCCAACAAGACAAGGGAAAATATCCCCTCGCCGCACACATACAGATTAGATTAAACTTTCTTAAAGCCCTACCGCAGACCGCAGACCGCATACGCATACCGACTTTCCATATTAGATTTCGACGAAAACTACAGAGTCCTCCGTACACACTTCCAGAGGGTGCATCGACAAGCATAGTTTAGTAGTATTTCCTTAATTTAAGAACACGGGAAAACCATCCTCTTGGGTTTCCTCTTCTCTCAGCATCTCCATATTAAATACTTTGAAGGGATAACCACAGACCACAAGAAGACCATAATACCTCTTCTTCAATCTTCAACTTTCACCCACAAATCCACACTTCATCCTTTCTGCGCGACACATCTTTTCATTGTCCCAAGAGCTCCCAAGAACTCCCCAAGTGTCAAACACCCAACACCAGCCGAAATACACACAAACATGGCGGAGAAGCCAGCAGTTCTCATCATTGGAGGTCTCGGGTACATAGGTCGATTTCTTGCATTATACATTCATAAAAACAATCTAGCATCTGAGGTCCGGATTGTGGATAAAGTGCTACCACAATTAGCATGGCTGGCACCGGAGTTTGCAGATGCTTGTTCGAATGATAAATTCATGCAAGCAGATGCTAGTAAAGAGCGTATGTTAATACACCCCGTCTCCCCCTTCATGTCGTGTCTTCACTCGTCTAATATCTCACCTGCGGCTTTTCAGAATCACTACCGAGAATATTCGATCGCGTGAATGGGAAACAATGGGATTATGTCTTCAACTGTGGAGGAGAGACACGATACTCACAGGAGGATGAAGTTTACAAGGTGCGCTCATTGGCATTGAGTATTGCCGTGGGCAAAGAGGCTGCAAAGAGAGGCGTCAAAGCTTTCGTAGAGCTGAGTACGGGAATGGTATACAAATCTGATTCAACACCCAGTAAAGAAGGGGATAAGTTGAAGCCTTGGAGTAAAATTGCGACTTTTAAATTACAAGCTGAGGAGGAATTGGCTAAGATGGAGGGGTAAGTTTGAATTCCTTATCTGCATCTTCCGCCTGCCTGCGAAGGGTACATGAAGGGGTGTTTGGAGAGACTCATATTGTTCTTTGTTCTTTTCACTAACATCTAATCTTACTTAGACTAAACCTCATCATTGTTCGTTTGGCACATGTATACGGCGAATATGCTTCACAATTCGTTCCTACCGCCCTCACCATGGCACGTATTTATCAACATCTCGACGAAGAGATGAAATGGCTATGGACGAAGGATTTGCGCGTAAACACAGTCAACATAAATGATACTTGCAAAGCGCTTTGGGCCGTTGCCGAATGGTATGCCTCTGGAAAACCAAACTGGGACGTCAAATCTATGGGCAAGATTCCTACTTTCAATGTTGTGGACAAAGGGGAAACATCTCAAGGGTCTATCGCCGAACTCATTGGCCAGATTTTTGGCATCAAAACTGGATTTCAAGGACAATTGATTAGCACTTTCGCAAAGTTGAATATTGATAGTGTTGTGGATGATGTCAACGAAGAGGTCCTTGGGCCCTGGGCGGATCTTCTCGAGGAAGCGGGTATTACACGACCAGGCCCTCTCACACCATTCATGGAGAAGGAATTATTGAAGGATACCGATTTGAGCATGGACGGGAGCAGAATTGAGAAAGTGGTTGGGTTCAAATATGATTACCCAAGACTTACAAAGGACTTGTTGCAGGGTATGATTGATAGTTATATCAGGATAGGCTGGTGGCCTGTTGCAAAATAGACAGTCTATCTTTTCCTCCTCATCCTCATCTCTTTCCTTCTTTTCCGTCTTTCTATTCCATCTCGTCACAGGAAATATAAGATATAAGAGAAAGGAAAGGGAATAAACACATCACACCACTGTGTCGAAATACGAATCATATACCCGGAAACCTCCCTGCTACCTACCACATAGCACTCCTCTCACCAAAAATCCTTGAAACGAAGTAACGATGAACGAGCAACGGACGCATGCGAAAACATACCCACGAAAAGTCACAGTCACCAGATTGCTTCATACCCACTGTTCTATGCATTCTTGCTCTATTGTTTCCTGCGCCCGTTTGCCTTGCATTCCTTTGCCGTCATTTGATAGCGAATGGAAAAAGATTATTCTTCATTGATACCATCTTTTGCATTTACTTGCGTATTTTCTTCTTAAGCCTTACACATTGTTTTTCATTTCAATTTATTTCATTTTCTTTTTTTCTGACTTGGTTTTGAAATTATTTATTCTATTCTAGAAGAAGAAGAAGAGGAAGAAAAAAGAAGAAGAGGGAAAAGAGAAAGAGAAAGAGAATGATCTAAACTTAACTTAACTTGTATCTGTACGTACTTATTATTCAACCATGTATATGTATACCAAAATATTTTTGTTGGCATCTCATTTAGCAGGTTGTCATTTCTTCTGGCTAGGTACTTCGTATCCGTTTGTAAGGGTATGAAGAGGGAAGGTAGGTAGGTGTTTACCTATTTTTTATAATTGTTACCTTTCTCTTCGTATTTTATCATATCTTTCTTACTTTTTAGCTTTGCTTCTGTTCCCTTCCCTTCCTTTACCGTCTCTTAGAATATATTATTCCCGTCTATAGTTCTTTGCAATAACGACTGAATATATATTATACTATAGTACATCATTTAGTACTTGTATAATCAAAACTGAGAAGAAATTATTAGATACTGTGCTCTGCTCTGCTCTGTAATCTTTGTATGTGTTTTTTTATTTATTGCTTATATCTCGTGCTTGGTTTTGTGCCTGCAGTGTTGCGCTGCTGTACTGTATTCTATTGTATTGTTCTCACTTTGGGGATTAAAAATATTATAGTATATTATATTATATTATGAAGAACGCCTATGGATCTTGGAGTGGAGGGGAGGGAAAGGTAGGGGAGGGATAGAAAAGAAAAGAAGAGAGAAGAAGGGAGGAGGGAAAAGGAAAAGGAAAGGAAAGGGGTGGAGACGTGGTAGTGATTGGGATTTGGGGGTGTGTTAATAGGAAATGAATGGATGATTGAATGAATAAAGTAGAGGGGAAGAGGAAGATTTAGATTCTAGAAAAAAGAGATATTTATTAAATCTTTTATATTTATATAATATAATATAATCATATACAATCAATAATATATCTTCCAGCCCCTTTGAAGTTATTATTTTCTTTAGAAAAACTCTTAAAAATCTTTTGATTTATTTGAATTATATATCAAAACTATTAAGACTTTAGATTATATTAATTATTAAATTATTAAATTGTTAAATTATTAAATTATTAAGTTATTATTTACTTGCAAATATTTAAAATTTCTATTTTATTCTATCAAAACTATCAATACAATCCAGCCTAGTCCAGTTTATTTTATAGTTTAAATTTGATTGATTCCCTATATTTAATATATTCCCAATAACCGTATCCAATTCATGCAATTCATTCATTCTGATGTAAACGCCACGTCATGTCGGTTCCGTTCGGACCTGACCAAACCTTCCTTCTCTTCTTCCTGATCCAGAACCACTAATCCCAACTACTTATACTAAATATACCAAATGTCATGCTGATATTGTGAATTATCCTATACAATCGAAATCCCTTTGCAGTGTACTTTCCCGCTAAACACCAAATTGAATCGCTAAGTAATCGCCAAATCATCGCTTAAAATCAAGTCATATATCATTTCTCCCTCTTCCTGCATTTTCCCCAACTCGAGGATAAATAAGTCCTTCATTCTGCCCACTCTCATGATCAATGCTCGATCCTCTACTTCCTTCGCCCGCACTCTCCGCATCTTTGATCTTAAATCCCTCAATAATCTCCGCCAACTTTGCACCTTCTTTCTTACCCCTCTCCACATTAACGAAATATATTAACGGAGCAGGCAATCCGACTAGAACTGCCAGAAACCAAAACGCTGGTCTAATTTCTCCAGTTCGATCGACGATCGCCCCTACAATGGCAGGTCCAAATACACTAGATCCCTTGTCTGTAATGGCATATAAAGCATAAAATGCTGCTTCGGATCCGGGAGGTATGAGTTCACCAAATAGGGAACGACAATAACTACTTAAGCCTCCGAGGACGAAACCATAAACAAAACCGAGAGGATACATTTCCCAAGGCTGTTGGAGACCGACGACGTTCCATCGTTTGACGATGGGGAGAAATCCGAGAAGACCGTAAAGTGGGATCATTTCGAAAATGCATATACAAGCGAGAATCGTCTGATGGGGCTTTAAATTTAGAGTGCGGGAAATGGCTGCCCATGAGAATGCACCTAGAACACCGGCCGTAGTAGCAATCACATTAATGAGACCGAGTGCTTCGGGTGCCATACGAAGCTGGGTTTTGGCATATAGAACTGCAGTGCCCGAGACCGTAGCGATAGCATCGGAGAGGAGGAACCAAGCTGCGAGAAAGAAAGTAATATCTTTTAATCTTCGGGCAAGTTTTACAGTGCGAAATAGTGATGACCATGCGTAGATAGTGTAAGCCAACCAACTTCGTGAACCTTTTGAATTTTCACCGCCCGTGTGTGGTAATGGTGGTCCTGGTCTAGGACGGAGCCATAATGCTGCAGGAATTGTGAAGAGGAACCACCATAATCCTATGAAGAATAATACCAATCGTAGGGAAAAGGTTGTGCCGTTGAGCAACCAAATAATAACAATGGATACGCATTGTAGAAAAAGGCCAGCGCTATAACCAATTCCTATACCAGTCGAAGATATCTGAGTAGATAATTGAAGCTCAATTGATGTGGAATCCTTGGATAATGGAAACGGTTCAGCTACATCGGAAGCTTGCGAGGAGATTCTGTTATGTGCTAGGAGTGCACTTCTTTCATCATACACCGCAACTTCTGGCTCGTTTAGTGAGTGTTCCGGAGGGCTTTCATCAACGGAACTAGGACGAAACTCGGGCGAAAAATCTGGCGTGCCATATTGAGCTTTAGGATGATGTCGAACGAGGAGGGGAAGAAATGAATTTAACAGCACAAAACTGGCCCCAAAGCATGTATTCGAGATAATTGCCCAGAGAGCACCTAGCAAATAAACCTTCGGGACAACCGTCAAAAATAGCATAGTCGTTATAGATCCGGCGAATGCGAAGAATAATAATAATCGTTTGCGGTAATTCCCATGATCTGCGGCACAGCTGATTGAAACCACCAATATTGCCTGGAAGAGAACACTCAGGGAGAAACTATACATAGCAAAACTAGCCGTATTTATCTGTAGGCCACCAAGATAAATTACACATTGTGAATCTTTTGCGCTTCCTGGATGTAAACCTGGAGGAAGGTGCGTGGAGCTCGAACCGCATGGTTGTGTTGGATCTGAAAGTAAGACTCCATTCTCTCTTGCCAATTGTTCCAGAGTAATCGGGATGAAGGAGCCTGAAACATATCCGTTAGCCCAAGTAGAGAAAACAAATTCCAACAAGCTTAAAACCTAAACTTTTGTAATGAAACTCGCATATTTGGAGGTACAATGCCGTCATTGATGAAGTTGCTCAGGACGAGGCTGACAATGCTACCCCTTTACGCCTCGAGGGATTGATCTCATCGAACTGCAACAACTCAACTCGACCATTTCGACTCCAATAACCCAGATATAAGATCAAAGAAAATACCTCAAAGACGTACCAATACCACAAATGACGAAAACCTCTGCAGCAAATCCGTAGGCGTACCATCCCGACAACTCTTTCCGACTCGTCAATCGTGTATCCTCACCTGCATACTGAGCAGGAACATCTCTATGAGCAGAACCAATATCGGGCCCCATACTATCGTGATCGGCAGAGCTAGATCTCTCGTCATCCGCTTCAAAAGATGAAGAATGAGATCTGTAAGATATTTTGGTACTATTTGAAGGAGCGCGTTCTGGTTCGGGGCGAAGCTGGGATTCGCTGAAGTTGCGAGGGACCATTGCGCGCAGGATAAGGTAATTTCGGGGACCAGTGAATAGCGATAGGCGTTTAGAACATCATGCTAAGCGGACTTTATTAATAGTGACGATGATTCTGATCATCTTCTTTCCAATCAGTAGCTACAAAATCCGAAAATCAATTAATAAAAATAAGAGTTAACGTTATGTATGTATGGTATGAGAGAAAAGAAAGGACAAAGACTTTTTCTTTTTTTCTTCTTCCGAAAATGGGTATTTTTTTTTTTACATACCTGTTGTACATTTGAATAAGTGATAATAATGGAGGTGAGTGTGAAAGGTAGCGTGAGGGTGGGTTTAGCTATTCATAGAAGACACCCGTAAGCCGTAGTTGTAGTCCGTACTTCATTCAGAAACAAGCACAAGTGACGAGATAGACGCTTTAACCTGGGTGGAAATAAAACAGGGGCATTCGGCATTCAGCAGCACCACTTTTCAACATCTTTGTATCAAATGGGCTCATATGAATGGAGGGAAGAAGGAGGAGGTGAGGAGAGAAGTAGGGGAGGAGCAAAGAGAGGGAAGAAAAGGAAGAGGAGAGGAGGAGAAAGGAAGAAGAGGAGGATGAGAGAAGAATATAAGTATAATGATATAAAAATAACTTCAATACGTATATAAAGATATAATAGAGGGATTTGTTGTTGAAAAAGGATGGAATAATAGCAGATACATAAATACCGAAAGGTACGAGGTACCGTGTATAGGTAGGTAGGTACCTCAACATGGATACCTTTCTAAGAAACATATTTGTTATTTGCTATTTGCTATACTATCTAGTAAGTGCAATGTTCTGATAGGACTTCTACCTATCTCGTCTCGTACCTATTTTCTGATTGTCATTGAACCATGATGATTGTTCTTTGTGAAGCTACAAACAATAAAGGCAAAGAAGATTCCAAATACTAGGTAGACATGTTTCAATACCTGGGGATGGTGGTATCGGCATCGGCATCGGTATCGAACAAATGATAAATGATAAATGATTCAGACCTGGTCTGATATTGACATATTATTGTGTATATTGTGTAGAGGAACAACAGAAAAGATTGTGAATCATTTCAGCCTTTTTCCTTGCCTAGACAATTTTCATATTTCCTATGTTTCTCAAAGCTTTTCTACGCCCTGTGCTTTCCTTCCTCTCTTTGTTTCTTCCTTCCTTCCTTCCCTTCTCTCCCAATCATCGTACTCTTTATCTTTTATCTTCTCTTCTGACCACGGTACCGGTACCAGGATGAGCCAATTAGAACCGTAGAATACATCCACTCGAGATCACATGACTAACCAGCTCCGATTTGCTCAAGACTAAATTTAATTTAGCCTAGTACGTCCATCCGCATTTCAATTCCAGGAAAGCAGCAAGCCCAGTTGTGTTGATTGTTTCTTTGATTTCCCTACAGCCTCAGTAGATTGGAGAACCGTCCTCCCCATCATAGAAATTCAAAATCTTTCTTAACAACCACAAATCACATCATCCTCAAAACTGCCGTTCACCATCAGGCGCATATTAAAACCTTACAGATCTGACCTGTCCAAAGTATCAAGGTTCCAACAAATCTCGAGTCGTACCCCATAAAAGAGACCCAGCCATCCTTTCATGCAAGGTCGCGCTGTGCGTTTTTAACCCTACAAAGAGCTTTTGATAATTGTCACCACACCCAAGATATTGAGATTGAGCTTCGACAACTGAGAAGGGCTTTTGAGCTTTATTGCGCACATGTTCCTGGATTCTCCGAGGTAGCGCATGCGACTTTGCTCCTGGAGCCCCTCTCGAAAGGTTCGAATATCCAAATACGATATCGACAGCCAAGATAGAGTCGATAGGCCATAAAAAAGTTGAAGAGGGGGCTGCTGCGGGTGTGTCGCAAGGAGGAGGTGGTTTGGTAGGTGAGCGAGGACGAGATACTATGCCCGGCATCATCATGGATAGCGGGAGTAGGAACGGGTCGCATACCAACCACGACAGAGATCGACACTCCAATGGTACCAATGGTGAAGTAAAAGCTTCCGAGAAGGGACGGGACAAAAATCAGGCACTATCGGAGCCTCAGCAGAATATGACACCGATTAGTCCAGCTGTTCCCAATGGAATGAACGGGAATCTCACAGATGGCCCAGCGCGACAGCAGAACGCTGGGGAAGACCCAATTCCAAAGGATATTCTGGATCGTATACATGACCTTCCACCCGAAGTCGAACATATCACATTCAACTTCCTATCCTTAACGGAGCTTTTGAACCGATTGGCACAATCAAGTCATAATGAACTAAGGCAGGAGATCACAAAATTGGCAAGTATGCCAACACCGCAATCAGCGATCAACGGGAGCTCATCTCATATCACCAAAGAAGATGATACTTCTAACGATAACGTGAACAAGAAGGTGAGCTTGCTAGACTTTGCCCAAACTCAGCATAGTCGTTGGGTTAAGCAACTGGTTTTACTGGACTGGAGTCGAAAAGCCGATCAAGTTAGTAAAATTATTGACTTGAATGTCCATCTGATTCACAAACGAGGGCTATATAATATTATTCTGGCACATATTGGTGACGTAAAGAAGAAACTATGCGACATAGATTCACCGAGTCCTGATCTAAAAACTGCAGTAGAGGTTTTGTCAACTGGAAAAGCCAATTGGATGCCAGACGTGAGTCTTCTGCTCAAATCCTGTAGCGACGCTAACATGTACTACTAGCTTGGCTATATTCCTCCACCCCCAATGACTTCCAAGGAGATACTCAAATCCTTAGAAAAATTGAATACTCTCCTATCTATTCGCCTGAACCTTCACGAGTACGACAAGCTTCCCTTGCAATTCAAAGATTATACAATAAAATCTGGTCGTGTGACCTTCAAAGTGGCCGGGGAGTTTGAAATTGACCTGACTATCGCGGATGAGGATCAGGAGTCGCAATTTTGGTTCATTGACTTTCGCTTTCTTTTCTCCCCCTCTCTTAGAGAATTGCCACCTCGGCACCAATTTCACATAGAGAGTAAAGTGAATGCGGCATTGGAGAAAGATGGCCTATCTGGTTGCTACAATTACCTGCATGAGATGGTCTTAACCCATAAGATTAGCGAGTTTAGGAGACAAGCAGTTGAACTCTCTAGAAGTACTTGGATTGATGGTGTGAAGGTTGAACCACTTCACCGGGCACTATGTATTCAGTATTGGTTGGATAGATACAAGAAAAATGGACCACGAAGTTGGATAATCATAGGAGTACACAGTGGACGGAGAAAGGATGGATACCATGATCCTAGAACGACGAGCCGACTCTTCATAAGATGGTTTCGGGATTCAAAAGAAGTCAAAGACATGGATATTCTATTTGATACAGTCAACATCTCCGCCGAACAACTCTTAAAGACTGTTATTGCAATGCATGTCAATCACATCTTGAGATCGACACATAGCAAATTGGCTGCTGAACCTATATTTGCCAATCGCGAGGCGTCCTTGTCATTACACACATCCAAGACTGAGCCAAAGGAATCTGTACTTGGAGTACAATTGACAGAGAAACAGCATTTATCAATAACCATAGAACCGGTCACAGGAATTTTTATTTTCAGCCCGGCATCTCGGATAATTACCTCATCACAGAATAAGCTTAATAGTCTGGACAGAGATCCTGCTACGGATGCCCATTACAATATCGAAAATCTCCGATGTCTAGCTATATCCGAAGAGCTCACGATCCTCGGCACTAGTGTTGGATGGAGAAGGGCTGATAATCCTGGAATATCACGAGAAGATCTGAAGCGGAAAATTCCTAAAGACACAAAACAAATCACTTGGTTCAGAAGACCTGGATGGCAGGAGGATTGGCTTGTTGCCGTTACATTGGGTATGACTGGGGAGAGTTGGTGGCTGTTCCAAACGTATGTATCGTCAACCACATCATATTCTCATGCTAACAAATGTAGATCGAAACAACCGACAGGCGTCAAAGTTTTAACCTCTATCCACATACCCATTAAAGCCGTCTCACCAACACCCTCTTACGTATTCATGTCTACTCTTCATATATTCGCTGGGGGGCTCATCTCGCAGTACACTAATCTCAAAGCTCTTCATGATAGACGCATCCATCATACTATTCGACAAACTGGCCTACCTTCACCGGTGAAGCTCCCTTCAATATGGATACATATTTCTGAACTCTTCTCGGCCAGGGCGAAACCCGCAGCACAGAAAACCTGGGCGAAAGATTTCCTAAAACTTAGTTTTCAAGGGCTGGAGCCGTTCTCCGCACTGTCATCTCTACCACCCCAGTCACCAACTGATGATCCACAAGCCACTAGCCATAAGCTGGAGCAGAAGGCTGTACTAGTCACGGTAGCGCGCATGGCAGTACCCATCCCAGCTCTTTCGGTCTTGAACGAAAAGATAGATAAAGATATTGCTTTTAAGGCCCAAACAGGAGAAATCGCTTTCAGATTGCGATCTCAAGTTGGCAAATCGATAATTCCATCTCTGACTGAGCGTTTATTTCAGGTTGAGCGGCTTATTTCTTGCACTGCGGTCCTCCGCAAGCATGAAAAGTTCATCAAATGCGACACTATTTCACTACAAGAAATCACATTTTCTTATGGGATGCCGCCACCAGCTGAGACGGGATCGGACATGGGTGCAGATAAGGCAAAAGCTCGTTCATATAAAGCGGTGGTCAGTTTAGGCTTGGTTGAAGGCAAAATGAAACTTACTTTAGAGACGGGTAACCCACATATACGTGTTTTGGATGCCTTGGACAAAGTTTTGAACATCCCAAAAGGGGGATTCGATGCAGTCACAACTTTACTTCCACAAACCCTTTCTTGTTTGCGGGCTTTCGAAACCATAGAAGATGCCTGGGCCCCCCTTTATGATAAAGGTGAAGTGTTCATATTCGTCAGAGCTTTCGAGTGGTTCAACCTTCGTTACATCCTCAAATCAAGCACTCCAGATACGCCTCCACGAAAAGTGTCATTTGAGATTAAAATGTGTCATCGAAAGCAAAAACCATGGTGGCTTGTACGTCGTACCGAAAAGACTGAGAGGGCTGGAAAAGAAGAAGTACTACCAGATGATGGAATTGATGCGTGTTTGAAATCTGTGTGGGACTCGCCGGGAGATGATGACTGGAAAGGCATGCGTACCAGCGCTGTTGGTCGTAATCGTGGTATTGAAACCTGTCTGGAAAAAGTCGATGCAGTAATCCGGAATCTCTCCCCAGAGGACCTTAGTTTGCAGCCCTCGCAACAATCTCAATCCAGAATGCAGGCACAAGCTATAGGATCACAAGGACAACAATCTTCACATCTCCAACAACAGAGACAATCACAATTACCTACGCCAGCAAATTCCCAGAACCATTCTCAAAGTCACGGAAGTAGCCAAGGACATCAGCGCATGCCAGCTCCAAACATGAACATGAACTTGAATATAAATCAGAATATGTTGAAGAGAAAACCTTCCAGTCAAGGCATTAACCCAAGGACGGCGAAGAGAGAAGTGGTGGAGATCGATTAATATATTTTGCTTATGACGAATTGGAGGGGACTACGACATAAACGGTTTCAAGCATGCATGCATAGGCGCACGAACTCGGATAAGAGATAATTACGTTATGGGGAGATACGAATATGCCTTTTTTTTCTTTCTCTTTTTGAGATTTTTTCTTCATCTCTGTTACAATACCTACATTATATGAGGGTGGTGGGCTGGAGGTGACATTCATTTTGCACGGCGTTGAATTTTTTTATTCCGATATTTTCATAATTTGGGGCTAGTGGAAGCCGAAAGAGAGAAGATGATGAGGCGTGGAAGGCGACGCAAACTGTAAAAAGAGAATTTTATTGATGAAGCGGGCTGGCGTGGCGTTGAGTCGAGGGTCGACTTTTGATTTTGTTTTTTGAGAACTTTTGCGATATTCCTCTAGGGGCGGGATAGCGGTGCATTGGATTGGGGTTAGTGGTTTTAATGCGAGCCTTTTTCTCTTTTTCGTCGGTTCATGAACGTGTCTTTATTATAGGGGCGGAGGCGAGGAGAGTGGACGGGGAAAGTGGAAATGGAGAAGGCGGTAAAAGAAAATGAGAGAGTTTGATGTGTGTGTACAGGAATGGGCTACAAAAGCGGAGAGAGGGGAATGATGGATACGATAGCAGCACAGAGCGAGAAATGAACGAGAGGGGATGTGTTAAGCGGTGTCTTTTAGGAGATGAAAAAAAAGGATGGGATGGATGTGAAATGATAGACAGATGATGCATGCATGTATGTATGTATGCCAGACTTCACTAGCAGTAGTGCGTAGTGCATTTTAACGGTTCCATTGATTGATTGATTGATGTTGGCTTGAAGCTATCTAGCTTGAGGTTATGAATTCTTAAAATTAAAATTAAAATTAAAATAACAATACTTACCTATAGTATGTTCACTGAAAAAGACTTATTAAACCTCTTTCAAATTATGTTAATTTTATTTATTTATTTATTTTTTATTCATTTTTTTTTCCATCTGGATTTTATATATATTTATAATAAAATTATAAAATCTTAAAATAAATATAATAATCGATTAAATAATATTCAAATCTATATAGTGAACCCGAACCCAAACCCAAACCCAAACCCGATGGTTTGGTTCTGTTCTTCTTTAGGTAAGTGAGAAGTATATGTTTCTAAAGGGGAAGGTAGGTAGGTAGGTAGGTAGGTAGGTAGATATATGGGTGTATGAGGTATTTCTTTTTCTGCCGGATAATTTGTTTATTTATTTGGGAATTGGAATTTGGAATTTGGAATTTGGAATTAGGGGTGTGTGGTGTGTGGTGTGTGGTGTGATGTCAAGTTTACTTGGTGTTGGATGGAGTTGGATTGAAGTTGGAGATGCATGGTTTTTTGAGATGAGAGAGTAGGAGTGTGTGAGTGAGGATTGGGATTATCTATCTATCTCGTCTTATGTATATTTATTTTATTCGGTTTATAAAATTATAAATTATAATTGTTTATTAGATAAGAGAAGTAATTACTTGGTAGAGTAGAATAGATTAATAGAATATCTAAGGATCGAATAGATATTAATGAATACATAGCTATAGATATCTACTCATTCCTTACAGAGTATATTATATTCGAGTATCTATCCTCAGAGTACTTAATCCTCACTACTTAAAAGCGGGAGTAGGACCGAAGCGATGAATCTTTACCGTACGTACAGAGTATATAACAAACCAAACAGCGAAATACTACAGAGTATATCCATAAATTGAATTGATGTCGTGGATCTTGTATAGATCAAGTTAGAAGTATATGCAAGCAAAGTGATAGTTTTACTTGATGTGCAGCGGTACAGCGGCAGGAAACCGTTGATAGACACTGCATATCACCTTTCTAGAAAGATTGACCCCTCGTTCTAGCTAGTGAGGTTTCGAGGTTGCATTATTTGGAGGCGGAGGGATATGATGTTGTTAGGTAGGTAGGTAGGTATTATGATTATGGTTATTATTATTGTCATGATCATGATCATTATGATATTTTTAATAGATTGGATTATTAAAGGGTTGATTGAATGAATGAACAAACAAACAAACACGCAAGCCAAAATACGACGAGTAAGAAAAAGAAAAGGTAAGGACGGAGTAAGTTCTTATCCGGTCGAAAAGATCCGCTTGGATATTAATTGAATATTCCAACAGTTGGATTATTATCGTCATCATCTTTTTTATCCCATTCTACGAGGGATCAGATGCCACTTGTATATATCCGGATCCGTGGAGGGTTGGATGGCAATGAGATTGGATGTTTGTTTCGGTCGAAAGACTCCGTTCTGCATGTATTGCTTCGTCATTGTGGATACGTGGTATGGAGTACTGACTGCACTGTACTGTACTGCGGAGGAATAATTCATTGTTTCATTGAATGATGTGATGTGTAAGTACGGAGGGAGTACTTTTGTAAAATCAAATCGTGCATACATGCTTCGTACTCTACATACCTTCTTGATTGAATTAGCATCATATTATTCGATTCGAAATAAACATCAAACCCTTGTCTAAATATACCAACATAACACCTTCTAACAAACACGAAACTTCGGCTCCCGATATCATAGAGTAACATCGGTCTATTCCGAATGCACACACATCCTTTTTTATATCAAACCGTTTTAGTGCCGCCTCTGCAGCGAAAAACTAGGAGAGGAAATCCGGAGTCGATATTTTGATTGGTTGGTTGTGGAGGGTAAACCTGGATGTCTATTGACCCCACAGTCTGATCCCAAATGGAACCATAGGAACCTCGAAATAACGTGGTGGGAAAGGATGTTGACGGGTGCATGACCCTGATCCTTGACATGTTACGAGAGAGGTGTGGTACTTTTCTGGTAATAATCGCTGGGGAGGGAGGCTGGAAGGTTGGGATATGGATAGATGTGGTAAGATTAGGAGAATATGATGAGTTTGGGAAATATGGTGAGTGGGTGGAAGGATAGAGAAGAGCAATGAATATTGTATTTATTTTTGGATTATCTGAGGAGGATGATAAAGAAGCTTTGAGAAGTAAGCCATTCATATAAATAAAGTATATGAATATGCAAGTATGCGAAGGCGTGTACCGTATCGACGTTTGAATTCAGATCCTGCAGATGCAAAGAAAGGATGCAGAATGAATATGGTTGATTGGATACATATCGTTCTTTGGTAGGACGAAGCATAGAGGCTGTTTCTCGTAGACGGTGGCTTTTTCTTGCATCGGGGAGTGCAGCTTTCTTCGACCTTCCTCCTTCCTCTACTTGGTTTCCAAGCCAAAGGATGCTTGGCTCGTGGTACAGCTTGGACGTAGCGAAATTGACACTTGGGGATACTTTTCTTTTAATTTAAGGGTGCAGATACAAGGAGATGTCAAGACTTGATTAGAAGGAATTCGAAGGTCTAGAAAAGTCCAAGCCTTCATCCTTTATTGGGATATGACAATACAAGATGTAACTTGTCGAGAATGATATAGCATAATTCAAGCGTTGATTGATAGCCATACTTTCTCCATACAAGATCACACCCGATGGGTTGCTGGCTTTGATCTTTATAATAAGAAGTTGGCTTTGATCTTTATTAATAAGAAGTTGCTTTGAAATACTAGATAAACTCGCTTGGATAGGTTTTATAGTTTTAGCTGTTGTATTGAAATGTTTTTGAGATACATAAATACATAACCTACCCCGTATTGTATGTACTTCATCCGAATGCCGAACATGAACATGAACAATTTCTATTTCTTTGTACTCTGTAGATTCATTCAACAATACAATTATTCAAGAATTCTACTTTAACTTCTCCCAACACATCTAAATCTTCTCTTCTTCTCTCAATCAAGTTCATAGCTCACTCGGAGAACGGTAAACTGGACTGGAAGTGGAATCAAAGCAAAAGAAGCTTAGGTCATTCGATGGTCTCTCCTCCCCATCCTTCCCAAGCCATGACCAAGGCTCGATCATAAGTCTTACTCCGTACATTCATAACATCCATCCTGCTACTTGCACCTACGCCTTTCTCTCTACCCCATTGTAATAAATTCACTCAGTTACCTACTTACTTATTACTTCTTACTATATGATCATCTCCACTTCCACTGCATTATTCAATCTCTTTTTCAGACGAAACACTTTTCCATTCACATACATTTATTTATCCTGATCTTGTGATCTCAATCACATATCATCACAGTCATTTGTAAATTATCAAATCAATTGCTACAGTACAAGTCTGACCTCCTGAAGACAAGCCTTCCTTCCACCCCACGTTTTACGCCTCATATGTGCAGCATTGGTGCAAATACTCTATGGAATCAGCGAACCATCTCACTTTCCTTCTTTAACCTTGCTTTTTGCAGATGAAGAGCACTCCTGCTAAAATATCTTTCAATTTCGATCAACCCGTTTTGCGCATGAGCACAACTTAAAATAATTACTTAATACTTTTGGGATCGTCAGTCGCGCCGCGCGAACTGTGAAAGAGAAAGGGCAAACTCGATCAACCACCGACGAGGCTCGGAATACCTGAAATATGGCTTCAATCATTCGAATGCTGTCGCCTGCTGTTAGTTAATTCTTTCCTCCCATATTTACGGTGTGGAGAAAGGTTCGGCATCTGCTATCACAGCGGGGGAAGGGCCGGCGCAGTTAAGTAAAGAGAGAGGTTCTGAATAGTATCATTTACTGACAATTGGTTCCTGTATAGACGGATAGAAATGGAAATACAAGTCGGAAAGGTCAAGATGTAGAGCCTGAACCAGAGATCACTCCACTGGTGAAGATGCTACAGAATGCAGGACCTATACGGCCGGACGGAAGTGATAAATTCTTTGGTTTAGAAAATGTACCTCTTCCCCAAATTTACTGCCCATTGCTTTATGCTGACTTTTTGAAATTAGTTCGGGAATACATGGTTCGTTCCTTGTAGTTGGTTTCGTCTCAATAATGCTAACAAATTTCAGTTATGCCAATTCCATTTTACAGGCGTTATACTATTCAGTTCCTTTTAGAGAAAATGTTGTCAAATACCCACCGCATTCTCCTTCTGATACCCCGAATGGTGAATTACCCAAATTAATCGTTCCAACAAGAGCTCCGCAACCCAATGGAGCGGCATTATCAACAGCCAAACCCAAAGGCATATCAGCTGCTGAAGCCCTGAAAAGGAGACAAGCTATGAATTCCGGTCAGCCTGGACCCGGTGTACCAGGAACTCGACCTGAAGATAAACCCGATTCACCCGAATATAAGAAGAAACATGCAATGATGGCAGGCCCGATATTAGAAATTACTACGGAACATGCGAGCTCATATGGCATGGAAGAAACGACTTTTACAGCCTTGAAGGATATCTTTACGGCCATGATATCGCATCCCTCTCGGACAGGTGTTGTCAGCCCACAAAGGTTCTTGGAAGTTTTCAGGAGAGATAATGAGATGTTCCGGACATCGATGCATCAAGATGCTCACGAATTTTATGGATTGATGCTCAACGCAGTTATCAATAATGTTGAGGATAATGCTCGGCACCTGCGGGACTCGGTAGCGCCTCAAGACAAGGGAGGCATTAATGATTCAATGACAGCTGCTGTACGATCAGTTGCGGATTCAATGGGCTTGGCAAGCGGGGTGCAATCTCCAGGGACCAAATGGGTTCATGACATATTTGAGGGGAAAATGGTCTCGGAAACGAAGTGCCTGACATGCGAAACTACGTCGCAGCGCGATGAGACATTCTTGGACCTTTCCATTGATTTAGAGAAAAATTCTTCTGTCACATCCTGTCTGCAGAAGTTTTCAGCGGAAGAAATGCTATGCGAGAAGAATAAATTCCCATTGCGATACCTGCGGTGGTTTACAGGAAGCGGAAAAACGTATGAAGATCAAGACGTTACTTAAAGTATTAGTGCTTCACCTGAAAAGGTTCAAGTGGACTGATGACTTGACCTCGGTTACAGAAGTTATTCTATACTGTCAACTACCCCTATCATTTACGCATGTTCAATACAACTGATGATGCGGAGGGATCCCTGATCCGACTGGATGAAACTTTATGCCCGTGGTTGTACATATTTGGCACAAAATGCCTTTCACGGACATTACGTTGCGGTAATCAAGACTGAAGATAGAGGTTGGTTACTTTTTGATGATGAGATGGTAGAGCCGGTAGATAAAAGTTTTGTCCGACAATTCTTTGGGGATAAACCAGGACAGGCCTGCGCCTATGTGTTGTTTTACCGAGAAACTACAGTGGAGGCAATGCGAAAAGATCAAGAAGCGGAAGGTCTCGATCTAGTAGCTGCCGCTTCAGAAGTAGCAGATATTTCATCGGGACATCTACAACAAAATGGCACATATCTCTCTTCCAACTCGAAACAGGTTTTGGCAACGCCTAGCACACCAATTGAGAGCGACACCAATGGATTTGGATCTCTCGACCACGCACTAACCGCACCTCCCTTGACTTCCTCTACTGCAGGTAATCCAGCACCTAGTCGAACCCCTACTTCACCTCTCGACGCATTTAAACCCAAAACTAAGGAAGAAAAGGGACGGGAAAAGAAACTTGAGAAGGAAGCGGAAAAGACTCGGAAGGCAGCTGACAAGGCCGCTGAGAAGACTGCTGCGAAAGAGAGAAAGGCACAAGTAGCGGAATTGAAAAAGACCAATGCTTTTAGTAAACAAACGGCAACGGGGGAAATGAGAAGACGACAATCAATAGCTACTACTAGTCAAAAGGAAAATAATGGGAATGGGAATGAGAAGAGTGATAGTAAAGGCTTTGGCGGTTTAAGTCTGAGCAGGGGTCACAAAGGAAGTAAGAGTATGAGTAGAAAGAGCTTAGCATTTTTAAGTGGAAAAAACGGGGAGAAGGAAAAGGAAAAAGAGAAAGAGAAGAGTGGAGAGAAGAGTGGAGAGAATACCAATATACCCGACTCAGGCAGTAGTACGAATCTGAATACGGCAGTTGAAGGAACATCGGGACCTCAAACACCGGAGAAACATGAGAGGGTTAAGAAGGAAAGATTTTCGTTTGGAGGCTTGGGACGAAAGAAGAGTAGTTTGTGGAGTCCGGGTGGTGGATAATAAGATGTATCTATCTGACATTTTTGCAGGAGAGCATGGGGAAAATGAGAAGAGTAAGAGGAGTAAGGGATCAGGATCGGGGTCGGGGATGTCATGCTTTTCTTGATGCTGATCGAGAAATGTCGAGGAATTCTGGATGTGGTGCGAATGCCATTGAGGCTGGGGTATGGTCTGGTATGGCTATTAGTGTGTGTGAACATGTCAATATATTGGGATGCATGGTTGATATCGAGTTTGTTTTATTTATACTTTATATGCTTTGCTTGTCTGCTTGCTTGTATGCATATGTCATGGAAAGGAAAGCAAGCATAGGGACGGAAGGGGTTAGGTTCTTATTATATGAAATAGGGATGGATGGATGGATGGGCGGGCGGACTGGCGCGGAAAAGAAAGCTTGATTTTTTTACTTGATTTCGATTGATTGATTGATTACTTGTGTATTCTTATACTTCTTATACTTGGTATATGATTATATTATATTATGTTATATTATGTTATGTTATATAGGTACTGTAATATAAAAATTGTTTGAGATTATATGAAATTATATAATGTATTTGTAAGATTATATGTTTTACTCTTTGGTGTGTGTGTTTATTGTTGTGTTTTGAGGAGGAGTGTGGCTGTTTGTATGTGTATTTTTTTGTGTAGGAAGGATGGGATAGGAGAAGGGAAGCGAAGGAATGGTGGAAAGTTCTTAGATATGAGGATAAAAATTCATAGGTAATAAATATCATAAGTATTAAGAGGGTGCTTAATTGATCGGTATTATGATGTATATATTTCATTTAATCTTCTATATTTTGTATTGTTTTTTCTTCACTTCCCAGTTGATCTTCAACTCCTTCGTATAGCTTTGGCTATATAGATGGGTAGGTGGATGATACGTAGGTAGATGAGGTATACATAGTTACATAAACGCCGGCCCTTCTCCTGTTCTGTGGTATATGCGCTTTTGAAAATTCTCTTCCCATAAAGATGAAGCGCGTTATTCGCATCTGAAGCCCGTCAGGAAAACTCGTTCAGTATTACATTTTCCTCCCTGTGCTAGATGGTTTATTATGCTTGAAATTTTCCTGGCTCCAAATTGTGCATATCTTGGTTTTTGGCCTTGCTTCGGGAGATGCTTTCTGGATATGCATACATGCCGTCTTGAGTAGAATGCGGTTTCTGGTTTGTGATATCGAAATTGAAATTGAAACTGGAATCATCCGAGTGCGATTTCGTAGATGATTATTACCGAGTTGATGCCTATTAGGGGAACTGTGCTGTTGTGTTAGCTTATTCTTGTATTGGTTGATTCTCCAATAATAGTCTCTTCTCAAATCACACTTCTTGATTCTACCTCGCGGCTCTCTCCACTTTAGATCCTCCTCGCAACCTGATCCTCTCACGCTCTCCTTTCTTTCCCTTCCATATCCTACCTGCTTCGCCTATTCCGCTCCAACATCTCCAACTTCCTAGATATACCAAAAATACAAACAAGGAAAAGAAATAAAACTCACTTCTCATAAGTGTCCTGACACTCGTCATCAAATTTACGAGTTTCGATTTAATACTCGTGTCTGCGTTGTTTCCGCCAAAAGCAGGTTCGGCGACTGAGTTGGACCAGCCGACTGTTTGTTTGTTAGTTGGGGTTCTCTGAGTAGGATCTTAAGAGGCTTCGGGTTTCGGAGCTTTGAGTGGATGAGAGGAGTGGAATGGAGAAGAAGTTAGGACGGGGAAGGGGAGAGAAGGGGAGAGAAGGGGAGAGAAGGGGAGAGAAGGGGAGAGAAGGGGAGAGAAGGGGAGAGAAGGGGAGAGAAGGGGAGAGAAGGGGAGAGAAGGGGAGAGAAGGGGAGTTAAATGGGGAAACAAACTGCGTGCGAGGAAACGATCTTCAGATAAAATTGCGACGGCGTTGGTGAGAAGGACGATGACTGAAAGAATTAGTATACAGATTTATATTTAACGCGCCATGCGCTAAATATCATGCACTTCAAGCACACATATCTAGACAAAGAGTATATAGATATGGCGCATCAAGAAGTATGAGATGTGGAAGCAGAAAAGTTTTGAAAGACATACTATAAATTAAATTTCCAAATATGAAAAACATTTTGAGAGATCCTGCGGGGTGTTTTGGGGTGGTAGTTGTGTGATTTGAACTGATATTAACTGAGAAGGAGGTTGAAATATAGACAAGGCTGTGGATAAATGAAGAGGTGAAGTTGTCCACAGATGTTGGGTTCGTGCACGGACTAGACGAGGCTGAGGCTGCGTGTTCCTTGAGTTGTGGTTTTAATGATATTTTAGAATTTTTCATTTATTTATTTATATCTTGGTTCCCTCATGTGAATTTGTGAATATTGACAAATTTTTGGAATATTTTGCTATAATGTTTTTGCTTTTGTAGATTCAGTTCCATTGTTCAATTCCTTAGGAAATTTATCTCGTGGAAGGAAGTAGAGAGTGAAGCTTCCTCGTCTGGAGCTTTTATAGCTCTTGAGACACAGCCTCGTTCATTACTTGCATATTCCCTTGCAAGATATTAAAAATGAATGGAATAGGTAATTTCATCTTCCTACCTCTACACGTCAATCTAATATGCTAAATTGTCTCAGATATCTTCCTAACCCTCGCCCTCCCCACCGTAATCCTCATCCACCTCCTCCTAGCACCCTACACCAAAGTCGAGGAATCCTTCAACATTCAAGCCACTCACGATATCCTAACCTACGGTCTTCCTACGTCAAACCTCTCTTCCACCTTAAACACTTATGATCATACCGCCTTTCCCGGCGCAGTACCGAGGACTTTCTTTGGAGCACTTTCTCTAGCCACAGTTTCTAAACCTATTTTACTACTTACGCGGGGAAGATATGCTCAGGTGATTGTGAGAGGTGTATTGGCGTTATTCAATGCAGCATGTTTGCTTAGGTATAGAAATGGATTGACGGGGGCCTTTGGGGTGGATGTTGGGAGATGGTATATGGTTTTGCAAGTCACGCAATTTCATGTGGTTTATTATGCTTCCAGAACATTGCCAAATATGTTTGCTTTTGGTCTTAGTGAGTCCCGTGTTCCCATCTTTGATGAAGGGATGAAAATACTGATTTAATGCAGCAACTTTGGCATTTACCGAATTTCTTCCAGCAAGAGGGGGAAGTAGACCCAAAGTTGGGATATTCCTCTTTGTATTTGCAGGTGTGGTATTTAGATCTGAGATTGCTATTTTGCTCTTTACGCAATTGGTATATTTGCTTGTATTATCGAGGATTTCCTTGAAGATGGTCATTCCAGCTGGTCTACAGAGTGCTATCTTAGCTCTCGCTATTTCAGTACCTATTGATTCATATTTTTGGCAAGAGCCATTGTGGCCAGAATTGGCCGGATTTCATTATAATGCTATTCAGGGGAAGTCTTCTGAGTGGGGTACTTCTCCAATTTTCCATTACTTTATCTCGCTATTGCCTCGTTTATTGATGAATCCTTTGATTCTTCTGTTATTACATCCTCTGGCTTTGACTATCCCGGCGACGAAACATACCTCGAAAGATCTGATTATCCCGTCGCTTCTATTTGTTGCAATATATAGTCTACAACCTCACAAAGAGTCAAGATTCATCATCTACGTTGTGCCACCTCTTACTGCTGCAGCTTCTCTCTCTGCTTCATATATCTGGACACGACGTTCCAAGAGTTGGCTTTATACCTTTGGGTCTTTGGTTTTAATTGGATCGGTTGCATTGAGTTTCGTGGCATCATCAGCTATGCTGATGATTTCCTCCCTGAACTATCCAGGAGGAGATGCCCTTTCCCAACTTCATAATCATATCCTCAAAGATCTTTCGAGATCTCCGCGCACGCAACGCACGCAAGATCGAAATATCTCGATTCATATGGACGTTCTTTCTTGCATGACAGGCATAACTCGTTTTCAACAATATCCTTCTCTCCCTCTTCGTTTTCCCTACAATCAAAATGTCACGCTAAACTACGATAAAACCGAAGACTCCCCTGAATTGGGGAGAAGCGGCTTTTTGGATGAAGTTCGATTATGCATTGATGGAAAGAACCTGGTTTGGCGGTTGGCAAGTGCGAGGTTTTAGACACGGTATTTGCGTATGCCGGTATTGAAGGTGTTGAGGCCTGGGAGATGGAAGTAGTTTTTTCGGAAAGATTGGGATGGTGTTTTATAGGGCGAATAATATCAGTGTTGAGGGAGGCGATGCACCTAGTTCGGAGGAGGTCAAGAGAATAGAAGAGCAGGGCGTTGGAACTGTGGAAGGAAATAAGGAGGGGAATGGATTCCTTGATTTGAAAACGAAATTAATGTTTGAAGAGATGAACAAATTTGGAACGTACAATTTGCTCAGAGATGCGGGCAGGTTGGTGACTGGGGGCTGGTGGATAGGCCCAAAAATGGAAGGGAGGATTAGGATATTGAAAAGGATAGGAGATGAGAGGGATTGGAGGGAGGAGCAGCAGGAGGAGAAAGAAAAGGAGAGATTGAGGGAGAGGGAGAGGGAGAGGGGAAGTGAGGAGGAAGTGGCGATTGAGATGAGATAAAATTTGGCGTGATGCGGCGTGATGGGAACTTTTATCCACACTACTGTATTATAGAAATAAATTCATGAAAATCTTTGCGCTGAAGAAGCAATGGTCTATGATTTTCATTCCTGGCTGTTTCTTTGGGGTCAACAATGATACCAGCTGCTAGTGAAAGGTCTCCTCTCTTAGATACGCCATTTCTTCTATAAAGACTTCAAGCCCTTCCTCTTCCTTTGCTTGTAACTAAACCTGGAAGATAAAAAAATGTTGGCTGACGGTTCTGCCAGATTTCTGATATTTCTATTGAATAAAGAAGTTGTGATTTCGTTAGCAAAGATCCGAAAGAGGATATCGCTTCTGAAGGTGGCTTTCTTTCTCATTGTTGTTGTTGCTGTTGGTATATCTTCGTCTACTAATTTGAAGTGTCGATTACTGTCGAGATTTTTTTTTTTTTACTGCGGTTAAGTTGAAGTAGTTCACTCCCTTCGTCTGGGAATGGAAAAATGTGGTTAGAGGGAAAATATTTGGGGGAGGGGGGAGGAGGATTGGGATGTGGTCCACCGGATAGATATATTTGACTCGTTTTAGAAAGACCCTATCTGCCGGCCTTTTGAGTCGGGAATCTGAATGTTAGAGAGAGTGTATTTTATGCTGAGAGGGAGGGAAGTCTTGATTTATAGTGTAGATTGAGGTGTGGTGGGCGAGATTAGATGGGGGAATTATTTTAGGAAGAGAGTGGAGGATGGATGGCATGGGAACATGTGATGAGGCTGAACGATGTGGTCGATATTTCCTATATAGGATGTTCAGATATGTATGCGGTGGTTATCCTTAGCTACTAGTTAGCATCTCGAGCATTTCTTGACTCTTTTCATCGTGGTTTTATCAAGTTATAGTCATCTGTTTGTTTCCGTTTGTAGTACAAAAATGGACAAATCTCTGGCGGAAGAACACATCACGGAAAACACGGAAGCTAATTTAAGCTCTAAAAGCCGTCGTAGATAGTGTTGCTTTCTTTGCATGTGAGATGTTGTCGGATAACAGACTTGTGATGGCCATGATGAGTACATTTTTCAATATCGATCTATCTTGATTACTATTACCAACTCCATACTGCTTTTCATGGGAGTCGTGCTTGATATCATTGTCAGATCTAGAGTTTTATTACTTGGAACACCAATTCTGATCCACTACTTTGTTGTGGTGTAATATAACATAATCGGTTGTACTGGAATTTCGTGCATTTAATATTCTTCATGTTCTATCTACACATATGCCTAAGCTTGAACTTCGCGTCAAATCTTGGAAAGTTTGGAGATTAGATAGGAGGGCCAGAAGTGGCTTTTATAGAATTTGTGGGCATATCCTGTGTAACGAGACGTGGGATATACGGAGGAGAGGAGTAGAAGGATTGAATGTATAACCTTTAGTTCGCAGGTGATAGATGTATGCTAGCTACTATACAAGATTGGGCTTGATTCTTTTCCCTTACCTATATCTACATTGGATGTATTCTAGGCTAAGACTTCAATTCATGATATCGACATATATAAGCTTGGAGTCTAGAAGGACAACTTGGAGGCTAAGAAATCAACAATACTTCCAAAAGTATATTGGAATCGCGGAATTATATTATCGTCATTCATATTTCTTGCTACCGTTTCCTTTCCTTATCATGTCTTCGCCATTATCATCATTTCAATCTCTCTACTCTCACATTAACCCTATCCCCATGGCGTATGAAAGGGTCAACTGCATGCCGCTACTCTCCCTGTCATCATTGCAATTCACATGTGTGACCGCACATAAATAATCCAACAAGCCCCCTTGTACAGACATAATTGATCCATAAGAGAACATATCTTTAGAAAACAAAGATGGTTCATTTCGACCTTCTTTGACATTTATAGTGATTCACTGACTCTGTGGATATTTGGAAATGAGCGAGATACCGTGATGGTATCAATACCTACCTAGTACGTTTTTATTCTGCTATCCTGAGATGTTGCAGGAAGAAAATGGGTACTAAGGTGTATCAGGAGCGAAAAGAGCAAAGCTGGGTATAAGGGAGTGGAGATTCAATTTATAGGAGAGTAAATGACGACAAGAAGTTTGATGAGAATGCTAACAATGAAACACCTATAAAGAAGTCTATGCCTCCATGTTCTTCCATGTATCCTTGTTGAATAGACTGCAAGAGTTTACTGGCATGGTAATCACCTCCAGACCCCAATATCCCAATAATCTGATGTTGTGATCGTAACTGCATATTATCTCAAATTCCGAGAAGTGAATACCAAAATAGTGTTGTGAGATGTGGAAGGTGAATTGATGCCATGTGTATGATTGCTGCTTAATCTTTTCCACCGCTGTTTATCATGTCTTGGGTTTATATATCCCTAACATTCTGTCACTACGAAACACATCCATCATTGGAATACCATCCTCCGCCATTACGCCTTCACACTCTCCATAGTTCAATGGTATTTCTGCCCACAGTCTACGACCTCAAACACCATGTTTTGATATATTGAGGACCATGTACAGCCCTCGGTCTAGAAAATATAAAAGTTAACGACATATATACTACAACAAACAATTCCGTAACACCCAGTATAAAAATCACATCTAATCTATGCTAGAAATGATCATTGCATATACTCATAGTGAAAAGACCCAAATGCAAAGTCCACAAAGCCAACTATAAAATATAGATGGCTTCAAATTTGTCTCAGTATCCCATGGATCACTAAAGAAAATGGATAGAATATGCAGACTGGCTGGCTCGACAGATTAACCACTCGATAGCCTCGTTTCCCCTTTCAGTTTGAGAAAGAGAGTGTGTGATACTGTAGCATGTGCAAAAAGGCGGGAATCACTAGTCACTAATAAATATTCACCATCATCTCATTCCTTGACCCATCATCTTATCTTCATTGCCATTTTTACATTGTCTTAACAGAGTACTTTTCCTGCTGTTAACCAAGAATGACGGGAGTATACCGTTCTTTTTAACTTTTAAGTCCACGACAAATTTCCCAGGATCTAAGGTACTGTCCATATATGCGAGCAACTGTTGGAGAGAAGTATTTGCCAACTAAAAACAAACCCACTGCATAAATACGCCAGCGTTTGGAATTATCTTGGAGATGATTCGAACACTTGAGAGGTCAGAAGGTTGATTTATATCTCCTCCTTTCCTGCGTTGAGACGAAAAGGGAGACTTCAGGAAAAGAGGATCTTTGATTCCGTCCTGTGAATACTCCTTTGATAATCTCAGCCAGCAGATAAGTTTTATATCTCTATTACATAGAATGATGTTATTCAAAATATTGCAATGCTAACCCTAAAACCACGGGTGATGCAGAGAGAACGAAAAGATACAAATATGGACTATACGAACGCCCATAGGCGCTTTCTCGGGAGACGCATATACGAATACATGAAAGCTGGGAAGTGGACGATGGTACGGATACGGTGGGAAGAATTTTGTGACTCAGTACTCAGTATACATGTTGATCTTGACGCTAATACCGCATAGGGAGCCATCGCCCTCTTATCACTGTCAAGTACAGAAAGATTTCACATGCATATTATTGTTGTCACTACACTCCCCAAGCACCGACTATAACATATATTAACCTGTAATTTACCCCCTAAGTCAAGTCTCCTTCTCGACTCTTTGGGGTAGGAAAACAAAGATAGAATTTGAGTTGTGAGATTGCTCCATAGAGAGCAATATAAAGTCGGTAGTGCTTTGTGGTATTAAAAACGGGAGAGGGGAGAGGAGGTTTATATGCTGTTCCGAGCCGTGTAGTGGGGAAAAAGGAGAAGCGAGAATATACTACACGCATGTCAGAAACGAGAATAATTGAGCTCTTCCGCTTGAAGGAGAATCGATTTATGAAGTCCTTGGAGTAGATGAAGACGCATCCAATTGTCATATAGAACCTAGGTCACAAGATAGTAAAGCAGTTGGAACATCTGAATGTCATGACCGCACCTGCGGATCTAAATTGGCAGACCTGAGACACTAAAAATCCGCTTTTCAACTTTTAATGCACTGGTATTGATGCATTGGCACAAAAGGGAATCTCATTTGACTCGGCCACCAAAGAAACCTTGAGTCGTTCGACTAGTCTACATATTCACAAACCCTCTATTCTTCTGAAGCAGCAGCACCGGTAATAATTTCAACCAATTCACCGGTAATGACGGCTTGACGGGTTCTGTTGAAGAGAATTTGGTACTTGGTGATCATGTCACCGGCGTTCTTGGAAGCGTTCTGATATAATTTAGTAATTTGTTTGTCAGAATCAAATGTTAGAGAAACTTACGTCCATAGCGTTACGACGGGCAGATTGTTCACAGGCATGACCCTCAGCAAGGGCCCAGAAAAGGGAGTTGGCGAGAGCGTATTCACGGAGGTTACCAAGGGTCTCGTCTTCAATCTCGAATGCGGAGAAGTTTGCTATATCATTATATCAGTGATATTCCACACATCAACCAGGATATAAACAAAACTTACGGGAGTTAGCGATAGCCTCCTCAGAGAAAGCCTCGATTGGGGTGGCCTCGTAACTTGTAGCGTTGATGAACTTGTTGTAGACTATTTGAACGGAAGCGTAATCGGTTGGCAAAAGAACGATTTGGTCCGCAATAGCCTGAGCATCTGCAAATGTAGGAACATCCTTTCCGACACCAGCAAAGCTCATAACAATGTTCTTTCCGTTGGAACGACCGAGCTGGGCCTTGCACTTCTCACCCAAAACAACGATATCGGCATTCGAGTTCTCTGCCAACATCTTGCGGACACGCTTGGACAAACCGGAATGAATACCACCGCAGAGACCCTTGTCTGAACTGGCAACCACAATCAATGTCTTCTTGTCACCCTCCAAGGCCTTGGTCTCGGCATGCTCGAAAACGCTGTTGGAGCTTTGTCCGTAAGATCGGGACTCTCGCATGGCCTTTTGTGCTCGGGTAAGCTTGGTGGATGCAACAATCTTCATGGTGTTTGTAATTTTCTCGATATTGCGAATGGATTTTAATCTGTCCTCGATTTCACGGAGGGTGGCGTAGGTCGCAGCTTGGGGGGCAACCGGTCTGCAGATCCAATATAATCAGCCTCCAAGTCTTGCATCATTTTTTTTCATATCCCCAGACCCCGCCATAGTTGTCCCATTTCCATCACTTCATCCGGAAGAAGTCTTACCTGGCGGAAGCCGCGACGGCTGCTCGCAGCGCCGGTCTGGCAGTTCTCGAAAGCATCTTGAAAAATTAAAAGAACGGTATCAAATAATTCAATATCGAGGCTCAATCGACCACGATTAGGTTAGGAATCAATTGATTGTTGCAGTTCGAAATCGGTATTTCGGCTGGATTTCGTCGTTCAACGGGAAAAGCTTCCATGAAGCTAGTGAGTCACGTGTACATGGGAAACGTGATTGTCGGGCAGATTCGGATAGGAACTTCATTTTTGTCAATTTCCATATATCTATTTACAACGTGAAGTTGTTGGAAACTGACCATTGCGTACAGGAAACTTCAAGGAGGATTGAACTCGTGCATATGAAGGCGGCAGAAGTCTAGCTGATTCCTTTGCTAGCCTGGAGGATTGGTCTTCACACCACAAACTACCATCTTATTGATTGAACGAGTACGGCATCCTGGTCACAGTCCTGACACGACGTTTTTGTCCTGTCGTTCTCAGTTTCTTTCTCAAGGCTAACTGTCATGTCATGATTTGCTGTAAGGACGGAAGTGGTGTGGCACATGACAGGAATATAAGGAATACAGCTTGTTGTTTTTGTCCTTCTCCGGGTACCATCGTTCTGTTAACCCTTCACCACCACAAGTATATACGAAGTCACAAAGTGTGCCACAATCAGTTGTTTCGCTCGTACTTAGTGGCGGTGTTTAACCTCTGGATTCAGCCTCATCATGCAAGCAATCTGATTGGTATTCTCGAACTATTTTTAGAATGAACGATTCAGGTTGCTCATCCAGTATCTGACATCGAAAGGGTTGCATCATCGATGCATTATACGATATTTGGTTAAATTGCCAATGGTAGGAACGAAGAATTTCTTATGCTCGGTACTCGGGTCCACGTTAGCGTGAAGGGAAAATACCGCTATCACTTTGCAGAACTGAGATACTTGCTAGCTGGAGACTTTATGTGTTCTTACACATTTCACCCTCTCGGCATTGGAGGTGTATCGGCTCTTCAGATATTGGAGACATTTACCGAGGAGAGAAGATTTGAAATCTGTTTCTTCGGCACTATTGAGCACATACTGTAGGAATAGTGAATGAGCATACGAAGATATAAATTGATGTACTCGTTGTCCGTTTTAAGTCAACAGTTGCTGGAAGCTAAGCAATTTGTATGTTCACATTTTAGGTAGTGTATGAGTTGGCCCGACTTTTTCATCTGTGTTTTGTCAAACTCATCGGAATCGCAAGGTTATTAACTATTCAAGGTCAGATATCCGCAAGGAAGTTCGATATTCACACTCTGGACAGTAGCTGCCCCGACCTTGTCTAACATGTACCCAGTAGGTTGTCAAAGTTCTATCAACGCGGACATTGAATATCAAAAACAATTCTTTGCAGGAAAGTTAGCCTTGAAATACCTAGTATGATGTCAAAAAGAAGAAAAGCTCAAAGCAGAACTTGTAGAATACTCGACTCCAGCTTACAACGAACCATGCGGACCGGTTATTGGGTTATGAAGAGCCAGTCAGCCATAAGAAGTGTACGTTAATGTCACTGGAGTTGAGAGAGGTTGAGAGAGGATACTTCTGGGAAGATAATAGAGTATTGGTAGATGGTTAGTAGCTAGAGCAGGTAAAGTATATATATAGGTTGTAGGTAAATAAAATAAGCTTTATATGAATGTCTTTTGCGGATCTTTATTATCGTTCTAGTGTAATCATAAATTGGAAAGGTTTTCTTTTTCTTACCTTACCTACGATACTCAAATTACGATCATAATATAACCAGCCGTATCTACCAGGTCCTACTAAAATTAAACATCTCAAAAAACCAAAATCAAAATTGCTACTCATTGATATATATACCTATGTATATTCACTAATAAATTATAAATTACTCCATAAAAAACTGATCTGGTACCAGTACATGCACCATTCCGCACCAAAATCACAAGTGTCCCGGTCCGGTACCTACCTACTTCTACCCTTGCTTTCTCGGTTTTATAACTGGGGGATCGTGGCAACCAATCAGAATTCGCATAAGCAGCTCGGCATACTAATAAAAAGCTGACCTCGTTTTGAAGCAGTCCAGTCCGTCAATATAATCCGATTGACCACCGAAGACGCCTACCTTTTTTACACTTTCTTGCATGTTCGCAAAGCGCCTCATTCTCCAATCTGTCTTTAGGATAATAGACTTTCCCTTTGGCACAACAAGACATATAGCCCATCATACATTAACACGCGCTCAGAGGTATATTTCTTTGGTTGGATTCTGATTTAAATTCACTCTCGATCGCGGTTTTGAATCGCCAATAAGCCTAAAAAAAGAGCAGAAATTATTGACAACGTTCAGCTCTCACTACTCTCAATCAACAACCTCCCCAACTTTAAATCTATTTCGACAGTACACTTTTCCTTTCAAAATGTCTTCTGATGATGATATGCCTTTGGCAAGAACAAATGGAACCAATGGCAATGGTAAGCAACAAACACTTTTTCTCTCCTTCCGTTACAGCCTAAACGGCCGTTTTCTGCTCGACCTTCCCGACCTTCCAACCCTTCAGCTTTACAACTTTGTCAGATTGGTATTATCTCAGCTTTACATGTTCTGATTTCTACTCACAGTTTCGCAAGCTCGTATATCGAAAACTGTCGACAAGGCCATGGACAAGGCCGTCGCAAATGCGAAGGTTGCCCCCGTAGGAATTTCTATTCGCAATGGACCTGTTTTGGACGATCCTATGGATGTGGATGGACCTGCAACAAATGGCGCTTCCAAGCGAAAGTCACGATCAAGCATTGCTAATGGGAAGCCCATAAATTACAAGGTGGATGGAAGCGGCAGTGAAAGCGACGAGGTGCCATTGGTATGTCGATTTTTAGTTTGAGCATTCAAGCATATGATATCTTTCATGATGCACGATCTTACCACTAGGCGGTATACTGATGATGCATTAGGCGAAACGACAAAGAACAACCAAGAAGAAAGCCGTGGATTCCGATTCAGATGATGACATGCCTTTGGCTGGCAGGCGCAATTCAAAGTTACCCCCCAAAGCTTCTGCGACTGCGATCGGAGAATCATCTTCAGATGATGAGCCGCTCACCGTTAAACTTTCCAAGGAGAAGGCTTCCATCGAAAAGCACGCTGAGAAGGAAGCTAAAGCCATACGAGCGAAGAAGGCAGCCCCAAAGAAGACCGTCAAGAAAGAGGATTCCGATAGCGGTGAGGATGTCGCACCTAAAAGGCGAAAGCCCAATGGTGTGGCTCCTGTGAAATCATCGGCGAAGAAGACTAATGGTGTAAAGAAAGAGGAATCTGATTCAGATGTACCTCTTGCGAAGAGGCCAGCTCCAAAAAAGACAAATGGCAAAGTCAAGCCTGAACCAGACACAAAGAAAGCCAAGGCCAAGAAGGAAGAGAGTGAAGAAGCAGATGAGGTTTATCGTTGGTGGGATGCACCCAAGAAAGAAGACGACAGCATCAAATGGGAGACATTGCAACACAATGGCGTTGTTTTCCCTCCAGAATACGAGCCACTTCCGAAGAACGTCAAATTGGGATATGATGGGATTCCGCTCACTTTGTCTCTCGAGTCAGAAGAAATCGCAGGCTTTTTCGGTGCTATGTTGAATTCAACCCATAATGTCGAGAATCCCACTTTTCAGAAGAACTTCTTCAAGGATTTCACCGATTCGGTCAAGAAGACTGGAGGTGCAAAGGATAAGGACGGAAACAAGGTTGCCATCAAGGACTTTAGTAAGCTCGACTTTAAGCCAATTTTCGAGTATTATGATGGCAAGAGTACCGAGAGGAAGGCTCGGTCTGCCGCGGAGAAGAAGGCCGAGAAAGCCGCTAAGGATGAGGCCGAAGCTCCATATAAAACTTGCATCTGGGATGGACGCAAGGAGGATGTTGGCAATTTTCGTGTTGAACCTCCTGGACTATTCCGTGGTCGTGGCGAGCACCCAAAGACTGGTAAAGTCAAGCTCAGAGTCACTCCTGAGCAAATCACGATCAACATAGGCAAAGAAGCTACTGTTCCTTCTCCTCCTGAAGGTCATAAATGGAAAGCCATTCAACATGACAACAAGGCTACTTGGCTTGCTATGTGGCAAGAAAATATCAATGGTGCTTACAAGTATGTTATGCTTGCAGCTAAGAGTAGCATCAAGGGCCAGAGCGATTACAAAAAGTTTGAAAAGGCTCGTGAGTTGAAAGAGCACATTGACCGAATTCGAAAGGATTATACTCAAGATCTTCATGCTGAACTCATGGCTGATCGGCAAAGAGCCACCGCAGTTTACCTCATTGATAAGTTCGCGTTGCGTGCCGGTAATGAAAAGGATGCGGAGAATGAAGCCGAAACAGTTGGATGTTGTTCTTTGAAATATGAGCACGTCACTTTGAAACCCCCTAACACCGTCATTTTTGACTTCCTGGGAAAGGACAGTATCCGATTTTACGATGAGGTAACAGTTGATCCTCAAGTTTTCAAGAATCTGAAGATCTTCAAAAAGGCCCCAAAGAAGAATGGTGATGACATTTTTGATCGACTCAATGTAAGTACAGTACTATGCTTCATTTGGAAAAGTACTGACAATTGCAGACCACACAATTGAACAAACACTTGACGAACTATATGCCAGGTTTGAGTGCCAAGGTATTCCGTACTTACAACGCCTCTTGGACTATGTCGGATCTCCTAAAGAAGCTCAAGAACAGTGACATTTCTATGCAAGAGAAAATCAAGCTGTACAACGATTGCAATCGCAAAGTTGCCATTCTTTGTAACCACAAGCGCACCGTTGGTGCTAGTCATGAGGCTGCAATTGAGAAAATGGATGATGCAGTCAAGGGTCTCAAATATCAGAAGTGGCGCCTCAAGCAAATGATTCTCGATCTCGATCCAAAGCAGAAGAAGAAGAAGGGTGCTGATTGGTTCGCCTTGGATGAAGAGCTTGATGAAGCTTGGATTCAAGAGCATCAAGCCTTTCTCGTTGCCCAGGAGCGTATCAAGATCGAAAAGAAATTTGCAAAGGAGAATGAGAAACTCGTATCCGAAGGTCAAAAAGAAATGAAGACAAAAGAGCTTAACGAGCGACTCCAAGCTGCCACAGATCTTGAGAAGAAATTCAAAAAAGAAAACAAGTCAAAGAAAGTTGAGGCTGAAGGCAAAGGATCTAGCGTCGAAAAGTTCGAGGCCAACATCACGAAGATTGACGAAAGAATCGCCAACATGCTTCTCAAGCGTGAAGACCGAGAGGGTAACAAGGAGGTTGCGCTCGGTACTAGTAAGATCGTGAGCTTTTTTCTCCATGGATGAGTGTGAAATTGACAGCTAACAATATTTCAGAATTATATCGATCCACGTCTCACTGTCGTCTTCTCCCAGAAGTTTGACGTACCTATCGAAAAGTTCTTCTCCAAGACTCTCCGTGAAAAGTTCGCTTGGGCTATCGATTCTATCAAAGACGAGGATGATTGGGAATTCTAAATCAGAGATTTTCCCAAAATTTCCAGCAGCTTCTCCAATATAAATTCGGACTTCGCACTTTTAATTGCTTGTGCTTCAATAGAACAATTATCAATTATTGCATTTACGAATCGCGGCATTGCATGGTTTAACTTTTTCTTGCATACCTTAAAGGCTGGCTTGGGGTAAGTGGGAACTCTTAGGGAATGATAAGGATAGGATCTCCCAGAATCAAACTGCAAAAGATCTAATTCCTCTTGCATTGATTGCTGCTGCTTATCTGGCGTTCACTGGGCTTGTCGCAAACTCCCTTTTTTACCATTGCACATCAACAGCGACAGCATATATTATCAGAAATATTCAGGCTCACTGCCATCTTATCATAGCCACAGTTGTACATAATCTTTACACACTTTTGCAGTAAAGTAGAGCGGATTAAAAAGATAACATCCATGAACCCATCCTGACATTGATGATGTGCAATGTAATATGAGTGACTTCCACTTTTTATCGCCTAATGTCCATACCTTGGTGAGAAGACATAACAACAAGAGGTAGCCATTCCATTCTATGGAGGGCGTCTTAAATAACCTACAACGTCACTTCATTTGGGTACGTTTCCATCTCAAATGCATTTCATCTCGAAATTTTCTGGTAATAATGATACATTCATTGTATATACACGTGACTCTCAATCAAGCTTTTGGATTACTGGAGTACAAGGGTAGCTCTCACTTTCACATCGCCTCATTTCTCTTCCCCTCACTCCAACCCGGTCATATTACAACCCTTCACATTCAGAATGAGACCACCAAATTCTTCACTGAGAAGGCTTAAGCCTTATATATGTCAAGCTTGTACGAGGCGTATAAGAGGTTTCGCCACGACTTCTTCGTATTATAGCAACACTTCCCCTTCGACTTCGAATTCAACTACAAACGCACGTCCAGATGTTTATGATGTGGTATGTGTGGGTGGTGGCCCTGCTGGCTTAAGTCTAGTTGCTGCTTTGCGTATGTTTTTCTCTTTTCTTTCTGTCAATCCTTCGTTCTTAAATATGTACATTCATTAAATGGATGAAAACTCATTGAAATCCAGGCGCAAACCCCCTCACTCGCAATCTCCGTCTCGCCCTAATCGAACCACAATCCCTTTCCAAATCGCTCAATTGGAAACTTAAGGAGGGGGAATATTCAAATAGATGTAGTAGTTTGACGCCGAAGAGTGTGAGGTTTCTTCAGGAGATTGGGACTTGGGAACTGGTCGAGCGGCAGAGGGTACAGGGGTATGGGGGCATGCAGGTTTGGGATGGGGTTAGTGGGGGGAGGATTGAGTTTGATGTTGAGGAAGGGCAGGGGGCAGTGCAGGATAATACTGCTGAGGGGAAGGTAGTGGCTTATATGAATGAGAATGCGAATTTGGTGAGGGGGTTACTGCGGAGGATAGAGGGGTTAGGAGGGGTTGATGTTTTGGAGGGGAAGGTTGCGAATATTGAGTTGGGACAAGAAACAGAAGAGGGTGATTTTTCTGGCTGGCCAATTGTGAAGGTTGAAGGACAAGAGAAAAGTCTCGCCGCGAGATTACTGGTCGGTGCAGATGGGCAAAATTCCCCCGTGAGGAAATTCGCGGGAATAGAGAGTCGAGGGTGGGATTATGGTCGCGTGGGTGTAGTAGCGACATTGGAATTGGAAGCACGGCATGAAGTGGGCAAGATCGCATATCAAAGATTCTTACCTACAGGTCCCGTAGCCATGCTACCTCTCCCAGGAAACTACGCAACATTAGTTTGGAGCACCACACCGGAGAATGCCTCTGTTCTGAAAACATTGAGTCTGAGAGATTTCATCGCTATGGTTAATGCAGCGTTCCGATTAAGCACTGTGGATTTAAAATATATGCATACTCAACCCTCAGGCCAAGCAGAAGAAGTATCATGGCGTCTCGGACATACACCCATCTCCGACTCCGTCCCCGCTCCAGTAACCGGCGTCCAGGAAAATAGCATCGCTTCCTTCCCCTTGAAAATGCGCCACGCAGATACATACATCGGGGAACGCATCGCCCTCGTCGGAGATGCCGCACATACTATTCATCCGCTAGCAGGCCAGGGACTTAATCAAGGACAAGGAGATGTCGAGAGTTTAGTGAAGAGTATCGGTTATGCGGTAGAACATGGTATGGATATTGGGGTGCGCATGAGTTTGGAGGGGTATAATTCCGAGAGGTATATGCAGAATCATGTGTTACTGGGAGTGGTGGATAAATTGCATAAGCTGTATAGTGTGGAGAGCGGGCCGGTGGTTTGGGGGAGGACGCTGGGTTTGAGGGCTGTGGATGCGATGGGGCCGTTGAAGAAATTCTTGATGGGTCAGGCGGCGGGGACTGGGGCGAAGATTTTGTAGGATAGTGTTAGAGATGGGATTATTGTATGAATACAGCTAGAGGGTTCAGATGATGATGATGCAATGGATGTATGAGTAATGAGAACAGACAAATCTTGATAATATAATAATCACTCTGGATATTCTATTTATGAACCTCAGCATTCTTGTCTTATAAATATAAATGATCTCTCTGCAAAAAAAAAAAAATCCCCACCACTTAAACGCCTTGCTATAATGCCGGAGATCACAATATCCCTTCCTAAACTTTGCGCTTATACACTCTTGATTCGTCCATACATTTCTTCATTTTTCATGTCTCCAGTTCACAATGAATTCACTATTCCTCTTCCATCGCAGTTGGGAAAAACTTCACTCCTCCTTCTCCTCCACCCCACCCCGCCCGCCACTCAACACTCAAAAAACCTTCCTCCTCTACCCCAATCATTCTCCCAACTCCTCCCACCATCCTCCCCTCCTTCTCAGCAACCAATTTAAACCCCATCATCATGATAATAAAAATTAATATCCCTGGGGCGCTTGGTATTATACTTCACAAATTCGCGATCGCCCTCGGGACGCTCATTCTTTGTATTGCCGGTTAACATGGATTGTAAAGACATGCATATGCTTTCGACATTTTGCACGGGTGACCAGCCTTGTGTTCCGAGGAGATCGAGGCAGATTATCCCGTTGGAGTAGATGTGTGGGTGCATGGGGATTGGTCGGGGGGGTGTGCTGAGCGGGAGGAAGGTTACTTCGGGGGGTTCTGTGGAGGTGTGTTAGTTGAGTTGAGGTTTAGGGTTTGGAGTTTGAGGTGAGGGAGAGTGGAGAGGAATAGGTTTTGAAAAGACGAGGCAGGGGAAGGTGGCAAAAAAAGAAGAAAAGACATACCGATGGGATAGTTGGGTGTGAATTTAAACTTTAGCCGGTACGTTTGATCTTGGTAGATGGGATTCGCATCCAAGACGCGGATATCGAGAAGCCATTCTGTGAAATCGTCGGCGGACACGAGGGTTATTCCTGGTGGAAGACTTTGTTGGATCTATATAGAAGGAAAGACAGAGTTAGTTTTCGAATCTGCGAGTGGGAAGAGTAGTTCTAGAAGCTGTGATATAGACTATGTATATACATACCTTCGCAAGCTCTTTAGCTAAACGTTTACTCGCAATAGCCATGGCCATCGCTCGAGTCAGGTATCTGTTGTATATCGTATATCGTATACCGTGTATCCTCAATATCCCTCGATAGCCTTGAGGTGACCTCGAAAAAGAATCCTCCACTGCTTGTTTGTATTTGAGTACCGAAATCGTCAGCTACAGGACGGATTTCGATTAATGGTAATGGTTGATCTCTCGGTATGTTCGTGGTGATGATGTATTGGGTTCTCTTGAGAATGGGAACCTGCATATGATAAGGCGTAGGGGTAGGTAGACAGGTAGCTGTCCGGCTTGGGAGGGGCGGATGAATAAGGCTAGACTAGTGCTTGGGTAAGGTTTTTAGTTGGCGTGGGAAAAGCTTATCGATTGATTGACATACCTTGTAGGGATTTTTGGGTAGTGGTTACTAGGGGTCCTGTGGTGGGGTTTGATGCTGTATTAATAATAGTATTCGAGTCTCTTTTAGTTGTTTTGCGTATTTACCTGCTTCATTAGTACAGACTGACTGTGTTTGTACTGTACAATCAGTAAGGGAGGGAGGTAACGAATATGATGAATATGAAGCTATTTAATACTTCCTCGTAACTGTTGTTTTAATTCACTATATTTATATTTATCTCTTCTTTATTTACTTTGTATCTGACGTCAATAAAAAGGGGAAGGTCTACCACTATCTAGTATCTACCTCCCTCGAACCAAACTTTTATTCTCTTATTAATAAGTTATTAATTACTCTTTCATGGAAATACTGGTGTTGCTTCCAAGGTTGTAACCTACCTACCCTACCTAAGACTTTATTATTACTTTAGACTCAGTCGTATTTCGTATCCAATTATTAAAGTATTCCATCTAGATATCTAAACATCTGAGCCACACTCTGAAATGAACCCTGTTGCTGACCACTGCCACTGCCCCGCCGTTCACTATTCTTGTGCTGCGTAAACTTGATTGAAACTGGGTGTATGTATTTGCTGCGGCTGCTGAAAGAAAAAGAAGGAGGGGAACAGATAAATCGACAAGCTTCCGGGATAGAAATTATATTAAGATCTATTCCTTTTTCATTGACTTCTTCCTTCTTCCTTCTCATCCTTCTTCTTTCTTATAAATAGTGTGAATATTTATTAATTCCTCTCTTGATATCATCCTTCGTATGATCTAAGATATTCGATTACATTTCAACAAATATCAAATTCAAAAAGAACCTTAAAAGTTCCAAAACATCGTTCTTTGATCGCTTTTTGAATCTCTTGCCAGCCTGTTCAGCCCACCAGCCCCACTAAGACATCTCCGCTACAACATTTGAACTTCTTACTTGAAAGGAGAATCTCTACACATCTTCCCCCCAAATTTCTCATATTCAACTTTGCGCAAACAGTAATCGCATATCTTAAATTATTTAACAGCATATTTAAGAGAGAAGCAGATAATTTACGTCGTCATAGCTATCCAAATAAAGTAGGCACGATGAGTTGTGAGTTTGACTTGCCCATTTACTTTCCCCGCGAGGTGATAAGGAGGAAGTATAATCAAGAACATCTGTATTGGCAGATGAAGATGAGTACTTTCTACATACCTAGAAATCTCTAAATAACTGTTTCTTCTTTTCTTACCTCCTCAATATTCTTTTTGTTTCCTCTATTGTTATTATAATGACACGCGCTCACTATTATCGTTCTCATCCTCCAGTCGCTGGTATGCTCAATAAGCTGCATGGTCAGCCAGAAAGTTATGATAAGAAGTGAGTTGATGAGTATGAATCTGCGAGATTATATTTGCTAATGAGATGGTAGAGCCAAATATAAGTTCGGTCGAACACTCGGTGCTGGGACCTATGGAATCGTCAGAGAGGCAGATGGCCCTACAGGAAAGGTCGCCGTCAAGATTATTCTCAAGAAAAATGTCAAGGGAAATGAACAGATGGTTTATGATGAACTTGAAATGTTGCAAAGAATGAAGCATAAGCATATCGTCAAGTTTGTGGATTGGTTTGAGTCGAGAGTAAGGAGAGGACTTGCATTTGTTAAAGGGGATCGACTAATTCGTCGCAGGACAAATATTATATCGTTACACAGTTGGCTATCGGTGGAGAGTTATTTGATCGAATCTGTGAACAAGGAAGGTTTACGGAAAAAGATGCTTCGCAAACTATTCTACAAGTCCTCGAGGCTGTGGATTACCTTCACGACAACAATGTTGTTCACAGAGGTAGGATTCTCATCACCGGACTGTAGCTCTCACTAACAATAACCAGATCTGAAACCTGAGAACTTACTTTACCTTACAAAAGATCCTCATTCCGACCTCGTACTCGCAGATTTCGGTATTGCCAAGATGCTCGATACAAAAGATGAAGTTCTTACAACAATGGCTGGGTCATTTGGTTACGCTGCTCCTGAAGTTATGTTAAAGAAGGGACATGGAAAGCCGGTAGATATGTGGTCTATGGGTGTCATCACCTATACACTTCTCTGTGGTTATTCTCCTTTCCGAAGTGAGAATCTTCAAGATCTTATCGATGAGTGCAGCAATGCAAGAGTTATTTTCCATGAAAGATATTGGAAAGATGTCAGTGCTGATGCAAAGGATTTCATTGGACATCTCTTGCAACCAGTTCCAGAAGATAGATCTACAAGCAAGGTATGTTCTTACGAAAAATGATCTTATATTTTGCATTCTAAATATTTTACAGGAAGCGCTGGCGCACCCATGGTTAAGCGGAGAAAATGCCACCGATCACAACTTGCTTCCAGAAATCAAAGCTTACATGGCCAAAGCACGTCTCCGTCGTGGTATCGAAATGGTCAAACTCGCTAATCGTATCGAAATGCTCAAAATGCAAGAAGACGATAGTGAAGAATCAGATGTCCCCGGAAATTCTCACGCTGCAGCTAGCGACGCTATTCCTGGTAGCCCGGAAAGGAAAAATACTGGTTCATCTTCAGCTTCTGGATCTACATCCCCTGGAGAAAGGAGAAGTTTGAGTAAAGTAGCCAAGGGGGCAATTTTCAGGGAAGTGGTATTGGCGAAGGTTAGAGAAGTTAAGGCGGAAGAAGCAGCAGCACAAATCGAAAGACAAGCAACAGAAGCGGCTAAGAAGAAGAATCATACTCATTAAGTTGAGTTTTGCTTTGGGGTTGTTTATACTGATTGATGGATGAAAAAAAAAGGTTGCGTGGTGATTCTTTCGAGCTTGGGGTAACATCAATACGCTTTGATGGCATTGTGGATATCGGATATCGACCGTTCTGCTTTCTTCTTTTGTGGTCATGGTTTTAAGTTCCTGATATGGAATGATTAAATGGCATGGAAGGCATGGATGGATGGATGGATGGATGGATGGATTATTATATGGTTAGTTGGACTTGGGACTTGAGTACCTACCTTTACCTATTTTTGCAGAAGATGGCGAATTCGAATTCGATTGTGAATTGAATGAATGGATGATGAGTTACTGCGTGAGATTTTTTTGGGTTCGTTGTTTGAGTGAAGTGAAGTGAGTGAATAATATTTGGATAGGATTTGAATGGAAGTATTTAGTTATACGACCATGGAGATATATGATATGTGTGGGGTGACGAACTGAATGTGAGGTATATCATGAAGTTTAAAGTTTGAACTTTGGACTTTGAAGAGGTAGGTAATGTTTTCATTTCATGTTACCTAGATAGGTATGTATCTACTACCCAAGATGAGATGAGATAGAACGAGGGGTGTTATATTGTTTTATGTTTATCTGAGGAAACGAATTTTCGGGATTGGTAAATAATGTTATAGGTACAACTGCTGGTACTTAAGGTTAGGTGATGAGTTGATGGTTTTATGATGATAATGATAGGGAATGGGATGGTTGTATATAATGAGAGAAAAAGGGGTATATCGATAGGATATAATTAAGAGCCAATTATTAGGTAGTAGGTAGGTAGTTTCTCTTGAAATATTTATTTGCAGTTATACGTGCGAGAAAGAAAATGATCAAGGGATTTGGTTTGAGGAATGTGATGAGTGGTTCGATGTATTTGTGGGTGGGTTGGTATGAGGTAATTATATGGTTGTTTTCTTGGTCATTGATGGTTAAGGAGTTATTATAGTTTGGTTCTCCCTCTTTGAATTGTTGATTTTTATTTTAGCAATATCATTTTTTATATACGGTAAGATTTCATATATATTGTCGTTGGGTGTTATATTTGTAATCTTTATCTTTTTTTTTTTCGCCGTCTAGACAATCAATGTCTATCATCTGAGTTTTTGTACGTTGTTGAAGTAAGGTTAATCCGTTCTACTAATAATATGTTGCCATTCTTTTTCTTCACCAAGCTGCAGATTACCTATGTACCTATCACATTTACTACAAAACATTCTCGCGCAAGATGTCGTGCTTCTGTTCAATTATAATCACAAAGTAGAAATGATTTATCAACTTGCTCTTCCTAATTATATCTTACTTGAATACCCAAATAGATATTAGAATCTCCCTTATACTCAACTCATTCTATCATTTCTATCCATCTACTGGCAAAATATTATATTATATCCACTCCTACAGCAACTTCATTTTACATCAAGAAATTCACTCGATCTGATAAATTAGATTGAGTAGGTACCTATAAAAACCTCACTTCTCTCTAGTTTATCATCCTATATTATACCAAGAAAAGCAATTTTCTGTCCCAGAAATTATGGGCAATGTCTTCAGAGTGTCACACTCAAGAATACTGGGTAAAGTATCTTGTATTAGAAAATACTAAGCTAAGGAGAAAAGAAGAAGGAAAACAAGAGTAGAGATTGATTGATTGATTGATTGATTGTGTTTATCGTCATAGGCCGTAGGCCCACGCGCCTTGGCGCGTGATAACCTTAGCCATCTATTCCAGTTTTGGACAAATGACGCTCAGAGGAGAAGCCTCTGAGTGGTTTACTAGCTAGCTAGGGGGAGTATTTATATACAATTTAAAGGGGGCTAGGGCAGGGTTTACATGATTGCCTTCGCAGGGGGGGTTTGAGCCGGTAGGCCTTTTGGGGTTGTAATTGTGGTCATCCTCGTCCACTAGATCACTGGCTCTTGATCTCTCTCCCTTCCCCTCATACTATTAAAACATTGTACTCGAAAACCCTTCATCCCTGATCCCCTTCCCGATACCATCAATCCAATTACTCCTTATATACCAGAACGTACTGTAATCGCCCACCGTCAGGATTGCCTCGTCCTCATTCTGATCATCCTGCCAATAGAAAGCTTATGAAGGAGCACCAATCCTCATATAGCGTAACTATAGCATGCACAGGTAGTGGCTTGTACGGGTGTCCCGATTCCGTAAGTAGCATACCTCCGCTGAATGAGAGCAGAGTAAGTTTCGTCATCAGCTCAGGTCCTTCAACAGTACTCCTCCGGTGTTCCCGTATGGAAGGTATATAAATTGTTGTCGTTTCAGTCGTGTCGATCATGGGAGGTATACAGTATATAACATATACGCGTCAAAGATGTCGAGTTGTACTATATGTTCCAGAGGAGTCTCACTTTTAAGAAGTGAGATGATTTCGTGGCGTATTGTCGTAGATGATGGTGTTGTCCTCTGTTTCGTAATAAAGGTAGTGTTGTAGAGAGCGCATTTCGATAATGCAACTGTCAAAAAACCGCAAACGGGTAAAAACGTCGTGATCGGGCGCCTCTTCCTCTTCCAATTACCACGACTCCATCAAATAACTCAAACTTAGCTCTGCAGACTCTCATAAGAGAGCTGGAGGTTCGTAGGATGCACCGCGTACAGGTGTTGAGTCTTCGCATCCCAACAAGAGTAGAGAGTTTTCCTATGATTAAATACAAACGGGGCATGCCACGTGACCCGGAGGTGTGAGGCGTCACACAGAGTTATGCACACACGGATGATGTGGAATACACTTCTCTCATTCATGATTTATGTATATTCATAGATTTTGACGTCTTATCGATAAATTGTTTGTCGAGTTTATTGTCGTACCTATGTAGAACTTACTAATATATGATTTATCTACTCACTGCCTCTCACTACCTGTCACTGTTGCAATAATATCTATCTTCTCATTGTTAGGATGTGAGGTTATTTTTGATCTTCATATAATAGTTCATTTATTCTTTGGAATATCTTAAAATTCTAGAATATATTGTTTGTAACTATGTATATCTATTCTGCCGTCGAGTGCTGTTTACCTGCCTGTCTCATTGAATTGACTTTTATATACTCCAATGGGGTTGTTGCAGGAATAGAGACAGGAGCATGATAATTCACAGATACTTAAGTGCATTGATATACAACTATATATCCAAGTAGAATGTTCACCGGTGAAATAAACAAAACTCAAGTCCATATAAGAGTCATCGACTCTATCTTCGTAAAACTAACATCGAAATGTACGAGACAGCAAGTAAAAACCTGATGGCCACCCCTGAGACCCATCAAGTAAAAGATATTCTGTTCCCAACCACATGATAACACCCGTTCTCTTTATGTACTCGTACTAGAACCGCTTGCTTTTGATCGAAAATGACAAATCAAGGAGGAGTCTATTTGTTGTCATTAATAACGATTGTGTATGTATATTTGTCCATCTTTACAGCGTAAAGAACGATAATGGTTTTTATCCCGCTGTCGATATTCGCAGACATTTGTATTTTATACATGTAGCTAGATGTGTGTGTATATAGATGAGGTGAACATTGATCAAAAAACTCCCTGCAGACAAAATAACCGCAGAGTAAGTCTAGTACCTGTAACGATACTGTACTGGAGGCAGCGGCTGCCTAAGGTTTCGTCTGGTTGGTAGTTGTGGGTTAAGGCTTTATCACTGGTATTCACTTGGAAGTGAATTCGTTACTAGATCAAGTAAAATGTAGGTAAACTAATTGATAACTAAATTGAGCACGAAGCTCCTAAACTATGAAACTATTCTGATTATATAATGAATCTTTTCCTGGAGCCTTGAGGAGCCTATGTTTCTAGAGGCTTCATCATATGATCCCTACTTGCCTCAGGACACTAATCCTGGGACAATTATTATCCTAGGACACTTGTCCTCATACCTATGTGGTTGCCTAATCGTTTATCCTAGGGTTGTTATTATCCTAGGATACATTTTATCCTAGGACACTTGTCCTAGGATTCCTTATCGATAAGGGGACCGCGGGAAACAGCGGCCCAAACCCTAATACTTGGTTTTATTGTATAATAATAGTCGTGGTTCGTGACAGTACCCTACTTCTGGGCCACCCCCTAATATGGGCCACTTTCCTCACCAAAAATAACAAAATGTTACGAGGTTTGCCGTCTAGATCACGTGGAAGTGCTCTAGGCTCTCGAGGTAGTTTATAACTAGGTGTCAAGCAGGGACTTAAGTAATGATAATAATGCAATTCGTAACTAATAGTAAAGTATACTAAATGATTGATCTTGATCTTGAGCACGAAGCTCTATACAAAGGGAATCCATCTTGATTATATAGATCTTCGTATTCCAACATTGGAGCGATGGAGCTGGGGAGCGAGATTCGAATCTCGCTCCTTCGCTCCCTCGCTCCCTCACTCCCTCACAAGACTATTCTTGTGATCCTATAACACGTGATAATAGTTTATAATGTTACAACGTAACAGTACTAGACTTAACATATATATATGTGATGAGCACTCAGTCCTATATCCCACAACTAAAGCAATGAGTATTCATATATATAATGATGATGGGTAGCAACTTTGCTGAACCCTACATAGAGAATATATCCCTCACGAGCTTAATTAAGCTGGAAAAGTTCTTGTAGAATTCCGAATCGATTGAGAACTATCATCAACGCAACATCCATTTCCTATAGCTACACAGCGCCTGCTACCTGTTACGAACGGTATTCAGCTACGACTAAAACCCGTATCACATGACTAAACAAGAGGTCACGTGGTACCACTCGTCCCACCGATTTAAATCGAGGGGAACGGTGGGACATACGGCATGAAGGTCTATATAATCAAGATGGATTTCCTTTGTATAGAGCTTCGTGCTCAAGATCAAGATCAATCATTTAGTATACTCTACTATTAGTTACGAATTGCATTATTATCATTACTTAAGTCCCTGCTTGACGCCTAGTTATAAACCACCTCGAGAGCCTAGAGCACTTCCACATGATCTAGACGGCAAACCTCGTAACACTACCCCCAAAAAAGACAGACCACATATAAAAAGAGGAATTCCGAAAAATGGTAATTAACTGAGTCTAACTCTTCAAGCCAGGGCTATTCATAAAATACTTACTTACTTACAGTAAGTAAGTAGATCTTCCCATTCCCTCAAAAATCAAACTCACACCTCCGCTCCAAGCATCGTCGCCGCCATCACCTTCATCTCTCGAAACCAGACAGACCACATCAAAAATACACTTCAGAAAACAAACCACATCCAAAACCACACCCCCGCAAAAATCCCATCAAAAAAACCATCTAAATCCCTCCCAACTCACCCCCATAAAAAATAAAAAATAAAACTCACGAAAAAACCATCCAAAAGCAAAAATTCAATGAAGGGAATTGAGCCCAACGCGGGGGTCGAACCCGCAACCTTGTGATAGACCATCAGATTTTACAATCATAAGAGTCACACGCTCTACCGATTGAGCTAGCCGGGCAGGCTATTATATTTCACATAGAAAGAGCTGTTTGCTCTATTTGTTGTGGAGGAGTGCTTATTTTGTTTCATTAATTACTAAAGATAAGGTGGGGGGTAAGAGAAAAATTTTCATGGTGGGTTGTGGGTCTGGGTGTCAATGGAGTACATACTAGGTTGTACGGACTTGGAGTTGGCTGGTGGTGCTGACTGGCTGGTTAGGTTAGGAGAGTCATGCAGATATCCGAATTCCGAAGTTGACCCTGCCACTGGGTGCACTTCACTGGAAGTACTACCGACGATGAGCTAGAGACTTTCCTATGCTCTGGGGCGTCAGTGGTACTCGAGTAGTTTAGTCTGGTGGCATATTTGGCATGAATTTTGAAATTGATGCTTTAAATAGGTATGTATATATGTATATTGTACTCTGTACTGGTATAGCGCACAAGCTAAATGCTACCGTATGCTCTTTTCTTCATCTTCCTCACTCCATCAATAAATCCAAGCCAAATGTATCTCCCATAGCAGTACCAATACAACTCATCTTTCTACAATGATATGATCAACACATCATGGAAAGTAGATAGTCAACTCGAGTGGTTATACAATTCCATAAGCTCTGCAAGCAAGTGGTAGCCAAAATCGGCGCGATATTGTAGCAGCTAAAAGTTAAAATCATCGTCGTCATCATCATCACTGTCGTTAATATACCTCTTCTCCTTAGGCTTTAGCTTTACAACATCTTTGATCTCCTCATTGACCAGATCTCCTATCTCGCAACTCTCCTTTAGAATTTCCCTGGCTTCTTCCTCATCAACTTTCATATCTTCCTTGATCAATAAAACTGTAAGTTCGGGTACGATAACCGATTCCACAAATGCCGTCGGACCTCTTGCTGAAATAAGACGGTCGATAGGTGCTCTCTCCTTTAATTTTGGCGTGAACTTGTGCATAATATTTTCCGACATGAGGCGTAAACCTCGAGAACCATAATAACCTGGCGTGAGATTCGTAGTGGTTTTCATTAAATTTCGATCTTTCCCAGTTCTGATCTTCTCATCCAATTTGTCTCGAGAATGACAAGATGCACCACTAATTAACCTCTTGATGAATGCATGATGGTTGGCAATTCGAGAATCTAAAGTTGTCCAATCAATATCGGGGTAACCCTTAACCTTCCAATTTGATCGCGCGCTCTTTCGTTGATGAGATAAACAGAATTTCTCTTGCTTTCGAGTATTCATCTCGCCAAAGGCTTCCAAATCTTCAGCAGCCACAGCTTCGTTACACATGGGACAACGAGGTCCTGTGTGATCGTCAAGGTCTGAACTATCTTCCCTCCCAAGATTAGTGATGCCAAATAAGGCGTCCGGGTTTACTTTCTTCGCCAGTTCTTCCGCTCCATCCAATATAGCATCATCGTATAGTTGAAGTTTTTTTGATTTTCTTGATGGAAGTGTGGAATTTGACGGCTTTGACTTGCTGGATAAATCTAGATCAGAGAAATCATCATCACTGAAATCCGGGACAACAAGACCACCTCTGGCTGGACTTTGTATTTTCGTGGGGGAATCTATTGTATAGTCTTGTAGTTTTCGCTTCCCATCATCGCTGGCCAGACTTGGAGAACTACTTCCATAATTTTTGAAAACTTTTACCGGTGATGCCTTCCTCCCATACTTGGTGGCCTTCTTAGGTCCGGCCCTTTTCCCCGTAAAATTGTTGGCACCAGCTATTTACCGTTAGTTTATGCAATTCAATGGTGTAATTGACATACGTTTGGGAGGTTTGTGCTCTTTGTGCGTTTGTATATATGATTTACGCTTTTTACTGCTACTCTGCATGTTGCCGAATATATCCACATCTTTATTATGCGAGAAGTCGTTTTCTCCCTTCTTCCTCTTGACACCCTTAGTGGAATTTGACTCGGACGGCTTTGTGCTTGTGGATTTTCCATCGAGAACAGGGGATGCAGTGGTGACTTGACTTGATTTTTGATTTTTTGATCCAAATGATGTCTTTGTCATATCTGCGCTGATTTTCGATGGGGAATCCTCATCGGAAGAGTCGACGATATACCTCGCACCATCATCCGAATCATCTGGAAGTCTAGAAATGCCCTCATCCTCAATCTCAATTGGATCTGTATTCTTCATGGTAGAAGAAGCCGGTAGCCCTGGTTCATTCTCCTTGTTCGACCCTTTATGTTCTCGCTTCCGCAATTTGTCGTTGACGTCGCCAGAAGTTCCAGCATTGTTTTCACGGTTCTTGCTTCCTGCCTCAGTTGGCATTTCGAGGCGTTCTTCCTTCCTTGGTGGATTGATTGATTGCAAGAGACTATGACGATAATTTCTAGTAAGCCCAGCACGCCGCGGTTGTGCTTTCCTACTGTCATCAAGATCCAATTTTGTGGGCTGCATCTCGAAGATCGCGTCCACCAGTCGTGGTATGGTATCGTATGGTAAAGTAAAGTAAGGGTCTTTGAGATGAGATGGATAACGTGGATTTAGGGGAAAGACATTCGCTATCCAGATGCAACAAGTGAAAGTAAAAGTAAAAGTTGTATTTCCATTTTGCTTTAGTTCTTCAAAACATAAATTCAATTGATTGTATATTGTAGGAAATAATTGAAATTATCTATAATAAATAACCTTTGTGCCATATATTTCTACAGCTAAACATGATGCTATGATACGCTCGATAAGGTTGTGCGGGCGCTATCACAGGAGTCTTTACAAGCTCTAATGTAGAAATGGCCCAAGCTTGATATCCCTGTTTACCCTGTTTACCCTGTTTATGCGGGACTTGTTGTCAGCCCGGTCAATTGATAAGTGGTCCTAACCTTATTATTGATTGCACCAAATGTTTGGGACTTGCCTCAATACTCCGTCGAAAATATACAGACAAAAATTTCAAAGATGGCTGCCCTCAATAAAAAATATGCGGAGTTGCCAGATTTGGTATGTTTCCTGTGCCAAGGTCCTTATAAGAGTTTCAACATCTGACCAAAATATTCAAGGATTCAGCACCAGATATTTACGAAACCCCTGAGTTAACAGAGGACAATTCAACAGCTCCTGTAAGTTACTTCAAATTAAACCCTGCCCCTGATTCACCCTAACATTTTTTAGACTGGCAGAGCTCGTTCCCAATCAACGTCTTCTTCGTATGACGACTTCGATGAGGATGACGAGGAGTTGGGAGGGATTTCCCGTTCGCGATTACACCCCGACGAAGCCCGTTCGCATTTCTCCCCTGCACAGATAGATGCACGCGATGTAGACTTTTCAGACAGAGTCGCAGCAAAAAGGAAATCATATAAAGCTTCTTCGAGAAGACAGAGGAAAAGACAAGACGGAACCGAAGAATTTGGCGACTTTAGTGATGATGAGGATGGGGAAAGCTTGGAAAGAAAGCTTGCAAGGTTAAGACGTGAAATTGAGGAAGTCAAAGAAGAATATGAAAAGAGAAATCTAGAGAAGAAGGACACGGAAGAATACGGAGAGTCAATTGATGGAGATGATATTGCTTCGTTAAGTAAATTATTGGATGGAATATCCGCAAATCAAGGGGACCAATTTACAAGTGCTGGAGCAAGATTGGCGAAAGATTTAGGAACGGGTATCAAGGCAAATGGGCCACCACAAACTTCACAGGGGACGGGAGAACCCTCTACATATACTGTTACGTATGCACCTACATACCAACAGAGTCATGCTTTGGCTAAAGCGGCAGATTTCGATGCACGATTGGCACTTCTAGAGAAGGTTCTTGGACTCAACTCGACTATGGACTCTACTAGTAACTCAATAGCCGTTCTACCAACTCTCGATATTCTCGAAAGACAGGTCTCAATCCTTACCGAGTCTACGCCATCATCTCTTGACAGCATAAGCCGAAGAGTACGAACATTGACACAAGAAGCAGAAAAGCTCGAGGAATCTCGAAAGTCGGCCAAAGCTGCACAAGAATCGTTAAGATCAGCTGGAGGGGAAGTTGCACCTGAGGACGGAGAAGACGCGGAACAAATTTCGAAGATAAATGCGCTTTATGGGACTTTGCCTACCATCGAAAACATCGCGCCTCTTCTACCATCCTTACTGGACAGACTGCGATCATTACGAGTTATCCATGCAGATGCGGCTACAGCCAGTGAGAACTTGGACAGAGTGGAGCAAAAACAAGCCGAAATGACAAACGATATCAAGAAATGGCAAGAGGGCTTAGAGAAAGTTGAGGAAGCAATCAAACGAGGAGAGACAGCCATTGGAGGAAATATGAAAGTTGTAGAAGGCTGGGTGAAAGATCTTGAAGATAAGATGTCTAAGTTATAAATTTATAAATAGTTAGAAGTGTAAAAGTGTCAGCCTTGTTCATTGCTGCTAGCTCACGTAGGTTAGGCTCTAGCTTCGTCCGCAAGATACCCAATCAAAAATATGCATCAATTCCCACTATCTACCCCGGATGTAGCCTTCTACACTCTCCATACCTGAGTAGGTACTCATGATTGGAATATTGGAACGGAACATTGGCGCATAGCAACATTGAAATCCACTGTTGATGAAACTCATGTTGCTCAAAGATGTTCCGAGCGGTTATTACATGTACTTGCGTATTCATCGTTTATGGAAATTACCCTTGTAGAGAAGGCTGAGTACGCGGAACCTTATGTGTAAGATATAATTGGTATTAAAATTAACTTCTATTTACCCCCTTTGCACCTTCCATTTCTGTTACAACTTACACTGCACATTTTCACTCTGTTTTCTATCCGAATGTTACGATTGAAGTATCTCAGAAAAAGCAAATACGGAAGTGGTATGTGAGACCTTTCCAATTCCAAAATCGCTCAGTAAGTTCATTGAATTCCTCATCCCTTTCCTCATGAAAAGCAATTCTATATACGTGTACGAAGGAAACATATACAAGTGTACTTTACCAACTGGTATACGAGACGAATTTCTTATTCTGTACTCGATCCGTATGCGCACCTGCATATAAACAAAAATGACAATCACAAATATTGATGATGATGCGGCAGATTCGCATTCGCATTTCGACAAGAAAGAGGTAGAAGAGAAGCAGAAGCGCATCTACTTCAAGAGAGGGGACACAGCTACCAAAACTTTTACCGGTATCTTTGACGAGAGACAACATCATACTGAAGAATTCGAATTCGAGGAACGACGAGGACGCTCGAAAAATAGGGTTCGTACTCGTGTGGTAGAGGTTCTGGGTGAGAGTGGTGAAGGGGTTCTTAGAGGAGGGGATCTTGATTTCGAGGGGTACTTTGAAAGTAAAGCGGATATGGCTTCATGGAGTGGGCAACCAGCAATTAAGGGGAGTACGGAGCAGATGCGCATGGCATTGTTGACGTTTTCTTTGGTTGGATTGCAGTAGGTTTTCTCTGAAAGGAATGGAGAACAATTGCATTGACTAATTAATTATGCAGATTTACTTGGGGCATTGAAATGACCTGTAAGTCGAATGCTGCTACAGCTGATGGGGAATGCTGACAGATTGACCTGATAGATTGCACACCATATTTACTTTCACTGGGTCTTACGAAATCGAAGACTTCTTTAGTATGGGTTGCGGGACCTTTATCTGGATTGATTATGGCACCGCTTGTGGGGGCAATGGCAGATCGATCGCGCTCAAAATGGGGTAGAAGGAGGCCATATATGGTGGGGGCTTCTATCCTTGTCGCATTATGCTTGTTGGTTCTAGGATGGACAAAGGAAATCGTATCGCATTTTGTTGAAGAAGGGGATTTTAATAAGAGCTGTACCATACTTTTGGCCGTGTTGGCGATTTATGCCGTTGACTTCGCTATCAATGCTGGTGAGTTGATATTTTAATTTGGTTGTGGTGCAAATGTTAACGAAGAATAGTTCAATGGAGTTGCCGAAGTCTAATCGTAGATACATTACCTATACAGAAACAACAAGCGGGATCATCATGGGGTGAGTTTGTTCTTATTTTTAGCTATCCAAACATTGACACTTTTCAGCCAGCAGAATGGCTGCCCTGGGACACTTGGTCGGGTATGCTATTGGTACAGTTGATCTTGTCGCTTGGTTTGGTCCTTCGATGGGTGATACTCAATTCAAGAAACTCATTCTTATTGCGGCATTTGCACTTATATTTTGCGTGGGTGTCACATCCTGGGCCGTGACGGAACGTGTCTTAATATCTAGCAAAGACTCTGACAGTCAAGCTGGACTATTCAAGATCACCCGACAAATATATAGAACAACAATGTCAGTTCCGCCCAAAATACAGGCTATCTTATGGTGTCAATTTTGGAGTTGGATTGGATGGTTTCCGTTCCTATTTTATGGTACCACATTTGTTGGCGAAACATACTTCAGATATGATGCTCCACATGAGATCAAAGAGTCTAAAGATGCTTTGGGTGATATTGGAAGAATTGGAAGCATGTCTCTTGTTGTATTCTCTTTCGTTTCATCTTTCGGATCATTCCTTTTACCTCTTTTGATAAAGTCGCCGGATGAAGATAATTTCACTCAGCGACCACCAGCAAGCATTGCTCGATTTGTTCAGGCTTACAACAAACATAAGCCAGATCTTCTTGGAGCTTGGTTTGTTGGACATTTGATGTTCTCATCAGCTATGTTCTTAGCACCTTTTGCGTCCTCGTTTCGATTTGCGACGTCATTAATTGCGTTTTGTGGATTGTAAGTTTTTTGCGTTCTTGACATTTACTTCCTTTCATCAACTAATAGCTCCTAGACCATGGTCTGTCGCATCTTGGGCACCGTATGCATTTCTTGGTGTCGAAGTAAACAAAATGAGTGGATTACCCTCCTATAGTCGTCTCTCCACCACCGAACGTGATATCGAGCTTGAGTCACCCACCTCTCTCCCATCACCATCTTTACTCCGTCTCGAACATGGCGCCTCCGGAGAAAAGGAAGATGTTGCATCCACTGGCGAACTTTCCGGAATCTACTTTGGGATTCTAAATATTTACACTACAATTCCGCAATTTATAGGAACTTTCATTAGTATGATTGTTTTCAGTATATTGGAACCAGGGAAAAGTCCAGAATTAGCTCAAAACGCAAAGGAAGGGGAACATCACGGAACGGAGGGTCCAAATGCTATCAGTGTTTGTTTGTTCATCGGGGCAATCAGTACTATTGGAGCGGCTTATGCGACAAAGAAGTTGAGGGATTTGCAGTAAGAAAGTTAATGGTACGTGTGAATGGTGATTGTAAGATAATGGTGAAAGTCATTGGATTGAGATGATATTCGAATTTGCGGGTAGCATTGCATGGCGTTTTTGGAGAAGATTGGGTGTATGGACGAGGGTAGCCCAAATTTTCTTGTGTCTTTCTTTTGCAAGGCGTTGGGGTTAGATGGATGGATATTTGAAGGACTGTTGTAAAATAAATCTCTTTCCTTTGTTGCTTGTTGAAATGCTGTAAGAGTGGTAGAGTTAAATAGATAGTCTGACGAAATTCCATATATGACTGGTAATCTTACTTTTATTCCTGCGTAGTGAGTTATCGATTGTATATTGAGTTTGGGCGTCAAGGGGTGATATGGCTGGTATTTTGAAAAGTGCGAGATGTTTAATGTGACGCCTCACACCTCCGGGTCACGTGGCATGCCCCGTTTGTATTTAATCATAGGAAAACTCTCTACTCTTGTTTTCCTTCTTCTTTTCTCCTTAGCTTAGTATTTTCTAATACAAGATACTTTACCCAGTATTCTTGAGTGTGACATTTAATGCTGATGGTGTATGATGGAACGCTGGAATGGTATTATCTGAAGCCTTCTTAGTAGGTAATCGTATCTCCAGGTTGTACGTAAGATAACTCTTTGCAAGATTATAAATTTCTAATGGGAATATTGACTGCTATTGAGAGCTTAGATGGGTGTTTATAAGATCTTACATTTTCTCCAGAATCTGAATTGACAAAGAAGATGGTAATTAATGCATTATTACTGAAATTCATCGGGGAAGCGGAGTGCCGTTGAAAGCGAGATATCTTTTAAATCTTTTAAATCTTTTTGACCTCTAAAAACTATAAATGATTTATAAATCTAGTAATCTTTTTTTAGATTATTTTTAATCCAGACTACTTTTTCTTATCAAAAATAATAAAAATTAATATTTATAACTTGTTAATTGTTACTACGGCTATCATCAAACGCCGCATCACATGACTAATTTATGGTAACGTGACCTTAAGTCACGTTACAGACCGCTGAGGAGCGCTGGCGGTCCTGACTAGCTATAGGCACGAAGGTCTATATAATCAAGATGGATTTCCTTTGTGTAGAGATTCGTGCTCAAGATCAATTATTTAGTATACTCTACTATTAGTTACGAATTGCATATCATTATTGTCATTACTTAAGTGTTACGTCCAAAACGATTAGTATGTCACATGACCATAAAACATGTGATGGAACGGTGAGGAACGAACGTTCCTAGGAACAACCAGGAACGCTCGTTCCCAGGAACGACGATTCCTAGTTAACCATAGGCACGAAGGACTATATAATCAAGATGGATTTCTTTTGTATAGAGCTTCGTGCTCAAGATCAATCATTTAGTATACTCTACTATTAGTTACGAATTGCATATCATTATTGTCATTACTTCAAGTCCCTGCTTGACGCCTAGTGTGACGGAAATCCCTGCTTTCCTCCCACCTTTATTATATAAGAAACCTCAGGTACATTAACCATGTCCACACATGATACGATTACTCGAGATTAGTATGTGATTTAGGTGACCTGAGGATCAGATCCGGACAAGTACTAGGTATCAATGGTTATCGGTAAAGTAAGATCATTGGAGGAATAAATATGACTTCTTTTTGCCTAGCTATTGCGGCTAGGCTATTCATTTGTGTATATATAGAGTAGCTATCCCCATCTACAGGTGCTCTTCACCTGTAGATTCTAAGTTAAATACAATTGCTGGTCTATAAACACCCTTTTGGTCACACCTAGTTATAAACCTACTTCGAGAGCCTAGAGCACTTCCACGTGATCTAGACGGCAAACCTCGTAACATTAAGTCCCTGCTTGACGCCTAGTTATAAACCACCTCGAGATCCTAGAGCACTTCCACGTGATCTAGACGGCAAACCTCGTAACATTAATTTATAGATATAATCTTTTGAAAATCTCAATCAATAAAATCATTAAAAATCCAAAATTTATAAAATCTGTTAATAATTATACAATAAATCTATAATTGAAATTTCATTAAGTTGTATTTATTTTATTACAAAGTTATTAATTAATAGTGAAACTGATGGTTTTCGATGTAAAAGGGTGATCCAGAAAGGAGATGACCGAAAAAGGGGGTGTAACGATACTCTACTGGAGGCAGCGGCTGCCTTAGGTTCGTCGGTTGGTAGTTATGGGTTAAGGCTTTATCACTGGTATTCACTTGGAAGTGAAGTCGTTACTAGATCAAGTAGAATGTAGGTAAACTAATTGATAACTAAGTTGAGCACGAAGCTCCTATTCTTTATGAAACTTATTCTAACTATATACTGAACAAATAAAGGGAGCCTCTAGGAGCTTCCTGGCTCCTCAGGGCTCCATCACGTGATCCCTACTTGCCTCAGGATACTAATCCTAGGACTCAGGATGGGCTAGGATAATTGTCCTGGGACAATTATCATCCTAGGACATTCTATTCTAGGACAAATATTATCCTAGCCCATCCTGAGTCCTAGGACACTTGTCCTAGGATTCCTAGGTTCCTTATCGATAAGGAACCCTCCCGTAAACCGCGGTTGAATCACATTCCCCCTGTATTCGGCAGCTAAATCACCGACATCTATAATACTACCATAACCTAAACCGTGATTCGTGACAGGGGGATGGTATAAAAGTAGGATACTAGACTTACAATATACATGCACAACCCAAAAGTCTATCAATCCTACATCCAAAATTTAACGCTGAGGACAAATAACCATCAACCAAAAGCAAAAATGGAATCATGGAGAAATTGAAGCTCCCTAGCCGGTTCGAACGACTGACCTGACGATAGTAGCTAAGAAACTACTGCAATCGTCCGCTCTACCACTGAGCTAAGGAAGCGATTCTAATGAAGTAAGGAAGCTATGATTGTTCTTGTTATGTTGTCCGAAAGCAAATTTGGCATTATATACTAGACTTACTTGATGAGGTGGGAGATGACTCAGGTGAGGAGTGGGGAGTGGAGCGGAGTGGAGTTTGGAGCTTTGAGATTTGAGGTTTGTGTTGATAATGGAAATTGATGTGGAGTTGGATGTAAGAGAGCAAGGAAAGGAAATAAGTCTGATGATAATAGGTGTACCTCATATATCATGTGATGAAGGACCGCTGGCGCAACGGTAGCGCGTTCGACTCCAGATCGAAAGGTTATCCGTTCAAATCGGGTGTGGTTCAATACCTCCGTTAATCATTAGTTTACACTTTTGTAGGTTTGGAAGTCTGGAGGGCTGCTCTCGGAGGACAGTGTGAATTGTGTTTTGGGGGTTTGAGGAATGAGGGATGAGGGTTTCTTCTTGGTGGGTTGGTGGGTATGGTACTTGGTGGTCTAATTAGGTGCTGCACACATATACGAGGCTACCTTTTGGTTTATCGTTATAGTTTCTCCTGGCTAATTCACTAAAAATTCTAAAGTACCCGTGTCTACTCGAGTATAACAGTATAATAATTCAAAATCACCATCAAACTGTAGAAAGTCAGAAAGATTACTGTCAACTTGTCGAATTGTCCATTTAGATTTACGGAGTAGAACCATCACAACTAAGTGGGTGAATGAAGGGGTTAGCCGAGACGAGCTGGGGTTAAACGACCCTTAACCCCACAATTGAAACTTTTCCTAGAATGCCAGCCAATGTGTCATCTTGGATCGTATTGTCCCCCACCATTTTTTGCATTTAATCAAGTAAATTCGAGGAATGGATTAGAAGGTTGAGAATATAATTTCGAATTCAAGCTGATATAACCATCAAATATCCCTCGTGGCGCAATTGGCTAGCGCGTTCGACTGTTACTTGAAGAAATTCAAACTCGGACTTATCGAGAGGTTGGTGGTTCGAGCCCACCCGAGGGAGATCTGATTTTTGTTTTTGTTGTGTTGAATTTTGGTTCATTTTTGCAAGTGTCGAGGAAGTGAAACTCGACCAATAAGGTTAGATAGATGGAACGTCCATACATAGTATTTTGACCCCCACGTAATAGGGGATTCCTGCATTTGCATTCTCAGATTCTGCGAACCTCGAGGGCTAGAAAATAGTTAGGTAGGTAGTAAGAGGCATCCGAATGGAAATAAAAATGTCATGTTAGGTGGCTTGACGTGACGGGAAGTACTTTGCACATTCGAAAAAGATAAGAGGTGAATATATTAAACGATTTGATGGGAGATGATTGAATCGAGGATGTCATGATCATGGGAAGACGGGATATGAACTTCTTCGTGTCTATGTTGTTGCCGGTAGACTAATAGCGTCTGGCTTTTACACATCATTCAAACGCCTAGTCGGCGGATAGCGGGTAAATATAGGGATCAAGTCACATTTCGGATCAAGTGAATCAGATCAAGTGGAAGACCACGTATTTGATGTTATTTTCTGTTGGTGCCCAAAGACTTAGGGCCGTTTCGTTATCTCGTAAGAGCCCTGAAGGGAAAAAGTCATCAATATAGTGAGAATCACAATTGAAGTGGATGAAGACATCTGTTATTGCCCAAAGGGTTGCGGAATTAAAGCATTTCAAAATTTTAAGCATTAGTATTAAACAAAGAATTTCAAAGGCAATAAATATACCAATTGATAATTCGTGGTTGACGAGTTCAGAACCAAGTAGGTATGAATTCCAGGAAGAGCTAATCAATAATTATGGGTTTCATCTGATGAGACTTCAAGAATTTGAGTAAGGCTCGTCTTTGATATAGTCATGATATACCAGTGGTAACATTTGCTCATTTTGCTTTTAATACTGTTGTGATATAGTCATATCTTCACTGCAAAGAAATTCACATCAATCTGTGCTGAAACACAATTTAGGAACCGGTATATTAAAGTAGCTATGCTATAAATATCACCATATGTCTGCATGCGTTTTTGAATGATCTCGGAATAATAGGCTGTCAGAGCATCGTTTTCTAACAGGGACTCGATCGTCTATTGACAATAATAACAGATATTCCTAAATAATTTAAATCCATTCAACAATATTTTAGCAGATAATTGAGGTGTTTCAAACCTGTTGAGCAATGAATCTGTAGAAGAAAACATATTTATTTTCAGGAGGGATGCCCAAGATATCTTCCAAGTTCAATCAGAGTGAAACGCGGTCAAATTCAAGACCAACCTCTTGATTTCAATCAATTTATTTGAAGACCCTCAGGTTGGCCTCTCGGATGTAGTTCTGGCTTGGTCCCTGAGATCTGGTGTAGGAACTCTTCATGCCTATAGCTCAGTGAGAGATATTGCAGTTCGGGAGAAAGCTCTTTGAATGTCCATATTTGTTCTGTAAATATTTCAAAATATACTTATCCCCATAATTACAGATTAATAAGAACGAATGTCGGTATCGGGTCAGAAAATATCCCAAAATATGCTTAATTATACCAACAAAAATTCTTTCTTCGTCAAAAATCACTCGATCCTATTCAATCAAGTTGTACTCTCATGCGTGAAACTTATTTACCTTGTTCTTCATATAAAATCGAATGTCCCAGTCTACTTCGAATTTATAGCTAGTGGCCATCCGGAAAGAAACGAAGTCATCTAATTAAAAAGCTTCTCACAGATCTGTACATCTCTCCCACTCAAAGAACGACCTTACGTCGAGTTTCTGAGTCGACCCAAATCTGAGGTTCTGCAATATCGCTCTTTAACTTTCTTTCTAAAAGGCATTCGTTCATACATACATATATACTAATTACCCCTACCTACCACCAGTTTTGTAAAATTAAGTTATCATTTGAGAAATTGAAGCACTCAGATTCCGAGCTGGGCTGATCTACAACTTAACATGATACAAAAATTCGTTATTGATGAGTGTACAGACCTTGGAATGATGTCCGAGCATTGAAGTATGATAATTGTCGCCAAACACCATTACTGTGGTCGCTACAGAAATCATAATATCATTAGATAATTAAATATTCAAAAGTGCTTCAATAATATATGAATGAATGAGTATCTGACACCCATCTCAGATAATGGCATGAGTAATGAATATATCTCGGGATTTGACACAAAAAGAAAACACATGAGCCACGCTCCCAATTCCCTTCAGCCAGAGATACGCATTTATCATGTTATTCTCCATTCTCCATTCAAACTTTCAGTAATGGACCTCATACAATTCGCGCATATATACCCATTGCCCTACTGTTTCTCATCCACATTCCATCTCCTGATTTGTCTAATGATGCTTAAAAATAAAAAGGTCCAATACACGAGGATTAACGTGCAGATAGACGTATGCCCCAAAGGGAAAAAGAGACTCTACATATATTCAACCCTTATGATTGGTCCAGCTTAGGTTTGTGCCTTCCATATATGGTGACGCAGGGTAAGTCGTTTCTTATGAAACTGACAGAGCTCTATACTTATGAGTTTATATTAGCCTCGATATCATCGCTGGTTCAAGCGTATGCCTTCTCAAACCTCAGTGGATTCAATGCTCAGAGGACAAGCTCTCCGCCGAGCTCATAGAACTAGCCAAAAGAAGAATTTTACTACACACAATAAGATACTTGATCCGAGATCCCTTCGAAAAGGTAATTTCACACATCGAACCCCGTGTGTGCTCATTTCTCACTCCGGATTGCTCCGGATTGCTCCTGAACTTCCGTATGCTTACAGATGACGGCAAATTTGAGGGCCCAGAAACAAAAGGAAATGCCAGCACACGCCTCATTTGCTTCAAGTCCATTGTCAGATGCTATCATTGATGTAAGTGTCTTGTAGGTATTATGTCCTGCAAGTAGACTTCAGATCAATGATCGTCCTGATGTTACTTCGTATTTCTGTCCACCATGTCTTTCGCCTAGGGATGTCGTGGATCTAATTATTGAAACACCGAATGGTACTGATTAAAGAGTGTTTCAACTGAACAAGATTGATCCGCTTTGAACCTGATACCGGCCTTATAAGAATGCTTGGAGTCATTCCCATTACGGGCTCGGTGGTCATAGCAAGCTGTATTTCCGTATCGTTAGTTGGACACGTAGGTGGAAGTAGCTGCATCCAGTTCTCTTGTTCTCCGACATCAGAACTTCAAAAGATGAATGAACTCAAAAGTGTTAGGGAGGACCACCAGATTTCACAGAGAGGTAGCATCAAGAATTAAGAAATAGCACCTTTCCAAACATTCACATCTCACATAATTTCTACATAACTAAAACCCATTTCATCTACAGCTATTGGGTTTCTTGAGACCAGAAAGAGCATCAGATTGAATTGATTGATTTTCTAGCTAAGCAGTTAAGCTGCGAGTATATATTCAAAAATGAGGGAATAAGGTTAGGTATTCAGCCTTCGGAATTAAAGTGCTTTGAAATCAAAATATTGAAAGCAAACAAACAGTATACCAAAAAGGAAAGAATGAATTAAAAGTTGAGTTTTGTTTGCTCCTTATATGCATCATGCAATATATATGCATATGCTGCCAAGATCCCAGGAGGTCAACAACAGCTGACTGCGCAGGGATAATTCTCCATACCTCGATCCATCCACCTTACTTGCCCCAACCCAGTTTCTCCTTACCCAAGGTCTGCAAAAATTGCAAAAGGAAACTGAATGGGCGTTGCCCGGGATTGAACCGGGGACCTCTTACATGAGAGAATCAATTGACGGCAACTGATAGATCCCTAAGCAAGAATTATACCACTAAACCACAACACCCGTTTAGTGTGTTGAGTCTGATGCACGTTTCATTATATATTCTCATCCACAAATGTGTCAGAAATCCATACAACTAGAGAGTTAATCAAATCTTTGAACGTGATTTGAAGGACGAAGGTGTCATTGACGTACCCAAGGCAAACTCTGTTGGTGTACTCTAGGATATCTTTGGTCCATGATGTAATCGTCTGATGCCATAAATCATCTGCAAATCTAGACTTTAGCATCTACCATAGATTGATACTTTTAACTTCCTCACATCCTGCATGAACACTCTCTTCCTATATCCAAGGGCTTCCAGGTGACATGTACATAGAAGAAGGATGCGGTAGAGATATAAGTAGGGGATAATCAACGTGAAAATTGAACTCTGCACTAGAAGGTTAGACTTGTTTCAAGCTATGACTTCAAAGTTCTCACGAAATAGTCTCCACTCCATGCAAATACTTTCATTGAAGGCCGGAATTATATACCCAAAGATTTATGGAGGCAGTATAAAACAGGCCTGATAGTTCAGTGGTAGAATTCTTGCTTTGGGTTGTCCAGTCCAAATTGTAAGAGGTCTCCGGTTCAATCCCGGATTAGGCCCTGATCAAAATTCTTCTTTTTGCATGCGAGATACGCTATGGCCGTCACTCACCCACCCCACTTGTGTACGAGCATATTTTGCGCCATAACTCTCGCCTGGAAAACTTTTCCGTCATGGAAACTTGGCAAGTGGACAAAAACTGGGAGCAAATCTTTCTACTTCGAAAGGAATCAGGATCTAGTAGATAGAAACTGTACTTTTACAATTTCTTTGGAGGCCTCAAAAAATAGCAAAACTCATACATCGAAATGACAAAATGATATTTCCGGTACGGGGAATTGAACCCCGGTCTCCCGCGACTTGATCGAAACTGTGAGGCTTCGCATGAGAGGCGGAAATGCTAGCCACTACACCATGCCGGATATGTTATTGTATTCGATAAATGAGAGGCTCTTTTGGATGTATAAGTAGCTTAAAGACGACGCTATGATCACTTCCAGAAGTTCCTGTTCAAACAGTTGTGGGTTCCATCCATCTTTTTAGAGCTGTGGGTCTCCGAACTAATGTAATAATCAATCTTTGCAAGGATGGTAAGTAAGTAAAGTAAGTATATCCGTAAATCATCCCGAGCATTTCAGATGTTAAAAGTCAAGTATAGTAAAATAAATTAGCAATGTCTTGTGCAATCACTGATTTATCAAGGCATCTTAAAAAAACTTGTATAGATTTATTTTTTAACAATCAATGGCTCGCATCTAGCTTCAAGTGATAAAGGTATCAAAAATGACGAAGTGATTATTGATCAAGGAGTAAGTAATTGACATAAAACATAAAACAAATACTCCAAAGAAAAGGAGACAAACAAGGCTTCTATTCCAAATCACAAGCTGAGTGAGATATGTATGTGTGGATGTATATATATATGTATCCTATTGAAAGTAGGCCAAAAAAAAAAAAAGCAAAAGAATTAAGTGAATGAAGGGAATTGAGCCCAACGCGGGGGTCGAACCCGCAACCTTGTGATATCAGAAGAACTCATAGATTTAGAATCGTAAGAGTCACACGCTCTACCGATTGAGCTAGCCGGGCAGGCTGTTGTAGAGCTATTTGCTCTATTTGTTGGAGGGAATCGGACTGTTTAAAGATTTATTTAATTTAAACTTTTGTTTGGTGGGGAACTAAAAAAATTTCTGACTAGCGCCGGAAACAACTTTTTCGCAAGCACCTCCGTCTTCCACTTAAACAAAACCTAACTAACCACCCAAAAGCTATCATTTTGGAGTGGAGTCCCTTGGAGATGTTTGCTATGATTTGTGGTTTGCCAGCATTGGGTAAATTTAGTTCCTTTGAGGATCTTCACTTGAAATTCTGAAGTACAAGTCCATTAACTATCCAGAATAAAAAGAAAACATCCAAACCATACGGTAAGTATTTGGGATTTTGGCAGCAGATGTATATTCAGTATGTCTTTCACTAAAGTCATCCGGCTCCACAAGCGGTTATGTGATAAGATGTTCACAGTGAAGTTACCAACGCTTCAGACACTTGATGGTGGCATGAAGGGCGAGACTTCGCCAATGTAGATATTCGAGATAGGTATTCGAGATAAAAAAATAATAACTATTTTGGCCTGCTCAATTTAAAATCTACTTTGTATTCACCCAACTATACGTTGTAACCGCGGAAAATTTAGGGCTTCTCCATGGCGAGTATAGGGTAATCTTTTAATGCGACATTCCTTCCACTTGTGTGAAGACTAGACCCCGGATTTACTTGCAAAAGATGGTGGTTATTCCAGATGTGTATCCTTATTGCTCCAATTAAGCCCCTTCCTTTTGGCGAAAAGCAACAAAACTACAAAACTGTAACAAATGTGCAAAAGGTGATTTCATGATTGGATTCGAACCAATAATACTCAGGGTAACTCCCTACGTAGGGCTCGAACCTACAGCCTCAAGATATATTCATGTGTAGATATAAATACTACTTAGAAGTCTTGCGCGCTACCATTGCGCCAGCAGGGAAATCTTATAAATTTCTTGTGGGACGAGCTCAAATATTTTATTTTATAGCCATTCTCGATCATTGTCACCCCCATGGGACATAAAAGCATTCATTCGATGGCTTCAACTCGAAGAACTCATTACTGAAATTCATAAATTTGTAGTGCTCTGATCCTTTAGTGATAGGATCGCAATGTGGTTTGGAATTGTCCTGTGTATATTTATCAAGTTATATTCTTAGGCGACAATATTCCCAAAATCTTGATATGAAGCACACATCGGAGGATATCCCTTGGATAATTCACGAGTGACCCACTATCAGTTGCAATCTTCGAAAATTGACACAAAAAATGCATCCCCTCTCACTCCCTGACCACCGACCTTGAAATAGCGGAAAAAACAACAAAAATGCAAAACATATGACCAGACTGGGGCACGATCCCAGGACCTTGTCCGTATTTTAACAACTGTTGATTGTTAAGGACACGTGATAACCAACTACACCATCCGGCCTATTTTGATGTTGACAGAAGTGTTAATCAAAAATTATAATCGAACTTGCTAAAGCGTGGGGATGGAAAGTGGAAATTTCATGGTTTATGTGGACCATCCGAGTTCCACAAGTTGCCAGTAATATACGTTTGCATGTGGCAGGACGAGAAAAAAGGACGACTATGAATTGTGAGAAACATCCAGTGTGATCTTGTGAGTATTGGAACCAACTTCCCCCTCAAAATTGATCCCTTTTTATTCAGTATGCTTCCAGTTGGTTTTGGCATTCTTGTGGATAAGATATGGACAGGGACCCACCAAAGTGCTTGATGTGGGGTTATCGCCATCATTAAGGAGCAACTGAACAGATAGATCATGATGAAGTGGTAAGCTTCGAGAAACGGCATGACACTTGTATACCTCTCTCCTCCCTCAATCAAGAAGCTTGTATCAAAGTACAATGCCGCTATTCCATGCGCTTTGAAATGAGCTCAATCCCGGAAACATCCATCCGCCTGTTGTTGACGACCGCATTGTAGTAGTACAGCTTGCTAATCGAACGAAAATTGGAAGCCATGATGAAGTACCATACAATTAAGTTATGTATCTTGTTGCGGAGGTCTATCATCCCAATCTTCCTGTAACATGAGTAGATTCGACGTGTTGGTTGTTGTCACCTAGAATATTAATACCGACAAACGATAATGCCACGTCTTAAGATCATTAATGCCCAGTGCACCTATACAAGCATGCAGGTAATGATGACAAGAATACGATAATAAGAAGTTTGGGCATAATGAATCAATAAAAGTGAGGAAGTCAATTGAAATATGATGTTTCAATGTCCAGGTGTTTATTATTATAATATATCAATGATGAAATGAGTCGAGATGTCAATGTGTCATGTTGGTCCGTGCTCAAACCTATTTGGCAGGGCAACATCTGGCCAGCGAGGTCGAGGAAAGAAGTGGGATGCTACCAAATGTAACCATCCAAAATATATACATATTTATATTTTGAAAGTGACAATCAATCTGAAAGTTCACAATAGAAGCATATAGCCAACAGAACCTTAATTATCATATATCGCTGTGCTATTCCTCCAAAATTTAGAACAGGTTTCATGATCAATAGCTGTCATTGTTCAGATTTTACGTCCCATCTCGTGAGAGTGTGAATCTAGCATCTAACTCACAATCGTTTAACCTTCAGAGCCCCAAGCAGAATATTCCAGTGCCGAGGCGCCATCATAGAAGAGTTGTGCCATGTAGGAACTTGCAACCGTATTACTGTCCAAAATGGTAGTTCCGTCAGGTGTGCTAACTGGGAGAGCAAAGAGTCCAGGTCAGTCACGCTTCGCGCATAAGAATTCCACTGACTAGGTAGTATTCTCTTTCACCATATGAATTGTGGACATTGCGTGATGGACAAGTCGATTTTGCAATCAAATTGGCATTAGTACATGTCCAACCAGAGTAGGCATTAGTGCCAACGCAAAGAAAGAAGACATCATCGGCAGATGTTGTGGTGAGCTGTAAGTACTAGTCATCTGGGCGAAAAGGTTACCACCGTTATCGATGATGAGCTAAAAGTCATTGAGTACTGCCGTAAAGAGATACAGAGAGATTTGTAATATTATTCACTCCAAAAGTTTAAACAATAATTAATGTAAACTTTTTATTGTTAGGTAATCTAATCCGGACTTTCAATAAGTCTAGTACCCCACTTCTCGGCCACCTTTTCATACCAAAAACAGCGAAAATCAATCTCTATAACTTTCTTATTTGTGAATCTAATATCTTGAAAATTTAAATATAAAAGTATTACTTATATAATAGTAAATGCTGAAAATTTCAGATTTTTTACGATTTTATTGATTGAGATATTAATGGTTTAAATTTTGATTTTCAATTTGTATAGGATTGTTATGATGGCGTAACATAGCCCGCATCATGTGACCAATTAGTTAACATGAACATGTGACTAGTGTCACCTAATCCGAAAGCCGACCGACTTCGTAGGAATCGATCGGCCCTGAGAATCGATCGGCCCTTCAAGAGTCGATCGACTTTCGGAACACGAAGGTCTATATAATCAAGATGGATTTCCTTTGTGTAGAGATTCATGCTCAAGATCAATCATTTAGTATACTCTACTATTAGTTACGAATTGTATATCATTATTGTCATTACTTAAGTCCCTGCTTAACGCCTACTTATAAATTACCTCGAGAGTCTAGAGCACTTCCACATGATCTAGACGGCAAACCTCATAACATCTAAATAGTAAACCTTGTAACAAAAAGTTATTTAAGATTTTAATAATTTTTTAAATTTATATATAAATCCGATAAAAATTAAAAACTCAATAGTTTTGTGACGGAAATCCCTGCTTTCCTCCCACCTTTATTATATAAGAAACCTCAGGTACATTAACCATGTCCACACATGATACGATTACTCGAGATTAGTATGCGATTTAGGTGACCTGAGGATCAGATCCGGACAAGTACTAGGTATCAATGGTTATCGGTAAAGTAAGATCATTGGAGGAATAAATATGACTTCTTTTTGCCTAGCTATTGCGGCTAGGCTATTCATTTGTGTATATATAGAGTAGCTATCCCCATCTACAGGTGCTCTTCACCTGTAGATTCTAAGTTAAATACAATTGCTGGTCTATAAACACCCTTTTGGTCACAAGTTTAAACTTTTAGATTTCAATGAAATCAAGTACTAAAAATCTGAAATTTTCAGAATTTATTAATAATTATATAATTGTTACGAGGTTTGCCGTCTAGATCACGTGGAAGTGCTCTAGGCTCTCGAGGTAATTTATAAGTAGGCGTCAAGCAGGAACTTAAGTAATGACAATAATGATATACAATTCGTAACTAATAGTAGAGTATACTAAATGATTGATCTTGATCTTGAACACAAAGCCTTATACAAAGGGAATCCATCTTGATTATATAAACCTTCGTATTCCAACATTGAAGCGATGGAAACTGGGGAGCGAGATTCGAATCTCGCTCCTTCGCTCCCTCGCTCCCTCACAAGACTATTCATATGATCCTATAACACGTGATAATAGTTTATAATGTTACAATGTAACAATAATCAATCTATACTTCAAATTTATCAAAAAATATTCATTAATTATAAAGTTATTAATAGTTGAAAATGACGATTTTTGGTGTAAAAAGGTGGCCGGGAAGTGGGGTACTAGACTTATCAGTAATTCCTCAATAGTTTATTTATTTAATTAAATAGAATCACAGACTAACTGTCTAAACGGTCATCCAGATGGAGTACGGGAAGATTATGGGACACATTGGCGGCAACGAGCTTTAATAGTTGTAACTGTTCCCTCTAAATGTCTAATGCCAAGCCTAAAACTCCTCGAGTTAGCAACCCAGTTGCTGATGATTCTTTCTAGAGGGCTTCTTAATCCGACACCGACATTACAATAGTCAAGGTAGGACCTTTCACTATCGACGAAACGTGGATATAGAGTGCAACTGCAGAGCATAAATGCAGGCAATGGGTAAGACTCCTGGATGACTGTCTGTACCTGTCATGGGATACTTGGGGCTTTTGAGACAAGTTTGTGCTTGACTGATGCCGTAGATTCCAGGTTTAGCACAGGTCAAAGTACCACTAATCGACATCGTGGCGGCTGAGTAAGTGACGACTACAGGAAGAATTAAGAATGATAAATAGTTAGGAATTATTAAAATCTTACTTTTGTGCTTGCTGTGATAGCTTTTGCTCCATAATATCCCGAACGACACTTAAGAAGCTTTAAGCCTGAGCAGCACAGGAGGGGCCGTGGAGACAGACAGTGTGAGAGCAAAAGCTGTTAGGTAACAGTGCTAATTCTGCACTGTGACAATATCATACTTACCGAATGTATATATCAGGACGATGTGCTCCTTTTAACCTCCATGGGAGTCCAGTAAATAAGAGAATGTGATGGCTGCTGCTGAAATCTACATAATAGACATCATAGGCTGCCCACTTGTACTTGATAACTCCACTCGCAAATGAGTTATTCCAATAAGTCACAGTGCCACTAGATCTCTAGAGTGACCTGCAGAAAAATCTAGGTCGACACCCTGTCTGCCGATGTATTCAGATTCGAAAAAGTTCATCGCAGAAGTCTCGGCACAATATTACATGTGAAGATATAAAACTTTTGAGATGATATAGAGATAGCTAATGACTGTTGCTCATGCTGTCAAAAAATTGAGGGCTCAAGCTTTAAGGTTGTGGTCCCAAGGGCCATTCGTGGCCACCCGTGGCCACTACTTAGAAGGAAGTACCTTTGGAGGAACTAGCATTGTTCAAGGGAATCTAAGTGCTCAGTACATCAATTTTCTAGAATGAAACTTCCGCGTACTTCGAACAAAGTAGGGACTGTGCGTTGGTAGAGTGATAGTTGCATGGGTGCAGTGACCCCAGAAGGGAATGAATAGGATACACAAGACGCCCCACAAAACACGGCATTGTTAGGCCTGCTCAAACCCTTAGTACATATTAAATAAAACTGAGCAGAGCTAGTCAGGAACAAAAGATGAAAAAGGTACAAACACGGAAAAAAGGGTAATAACTGATAATGATTGGCTCAGTGCGCGGCATTTACTGCAGCGGTTGCATCGATGAGACGCGGGAGAGGCCAACATGATTGGATTTCGAGCCATCAAGAAGATCTAGATTGTCCAACATGGGCAGAGAGAAAGACATGAAGTATGCATTGCTTTATCGGAAATTTTATGATTTACTTTCCCATTCATATAGCGGTCGCCGACCGCCGCAAGGTAGTTTCACAGGATTGCTCTGTGCTGATCGTCAACACTATTTGAAAGATCAAAGGTTTAAGGACCCAATAATCATTAGTTTTAGGGTTATCATCCATTTCATCTCATCATCAGATAGAAGCAAAGAACATTGACCTTTGAAGCATGAGAGCATCGAAGACATTAAGAAGATTTTTGAAGAGCAAGATCTAAGAAAAACCCCGTATCGAAAATTCAATGTCCGTGCATTAAACCCTCAGTGTAGCGAAAAAGGTGACCGGAATTATGATATCAACCTAAAATTGGAATTTCGCTCGAAAACAATTTAATTATAAATATCTAGATTATGGATTCACAGGAATTAAATTCGACATTTCTTTGATTGGCTATTTCACTTTTATATATCTATTAGAAGGTTTGGAGTGTAAAATAGGATAGTAGAATGGGCTCGCTTACGGATAGCGAGGAGTCCCATAAACGCACCAAGTAGAATTTTTTGTGTGGTAATATATTGTTGAACAAGGTAGCCTCCACAACAAATAGAGCAAACAGCCCTATAACAGCCTGCCCGGCTAGCTCAATCGGTAGAGCGTGTGACTCTTATCCATTGAAAAATGTTCTAGATCAATCACAAGGTTGCGGGTTCGACCCCCGCGTTGGGCTCAATTCCCTTCAGCAGGTTCTTTTTTGCACTGTTTTGTCAATTATGTCACCTGATCAATAATGTGTTCCCTCCTCCCCTCATAGGATGAAAATCTAGCTCAGGTTTTCAGGATAGTTTTGCTGTTTTTAGCCATATGCATCAAGAATAGTCATCTTTCTTGAACTAACATCAACAACATACATACATATATGATCAACATTGACAATCTAAATGGACCTTCTTTCTGATGGACGGACCTAGCCATGTTGTGTTTTCTACAATTTCCTTTTCTTTGCTGTAATACAAGAATAGTTGGAAACATTGTGCGCCAATCCGAGTACCGTATGTAGTATAACCTCAAGAACTATCTACTCGCGTTACATAGAATTAGATTCCGATTCTACCAAGACTTTTCAATGTATATGTGAAGCATTTCCCTTTTACCGGGCAGCCGGTTAACGAATCACTGAGCATTTGTGAAGCCAAGATCCCATTATTGGCCAATCCAATATACGCAACAATAACATTCACTATCTTGGTGATACCCTCGATCCCTTTCTTGTTTCGTTCCACAATGGAATTGAACCGCGTAAGCTAATCCAATAAGGGGAAGGACGTGTCGCTTATCTACGGCTTCTATCGTGATAAACATCTTTTCCCCCAAAATTTAACCTTCATTAAATACCAAGCGATACCGGCATTTTTGGTTTCCCCTCTACAACATCCTGAATCTCTGACATCGCGAAAGATGGACCATTACCTTTCTGACCTTACGATTACATGATAATTTCGATGATCTTCAGGTACATATGGTAATATCTGGTGCCATATGATAGTCACATAGTCACATTGTTATCTCTCTTATTTAACTCTACGTCGTCTTCCGTCTTCCGTCTCCACATCCTTTTCTTGTAAGTCATTTCTTACCAGTACTTACGAAGGAGGGCACGCCCTTCGAGATTGACATTGGTTGAACAACTGTCTCAACCCTTGTATACTACATATCAACAACGGGAAGTCGCATCAAGTATAAGCTCACCGTATTTCTCAGCCTTTTTCTGAAAGGTCCTGTCTTTATCACTTCTATCTTTCTTTCTATTTACTTCTCATCCTTCTTCTACAAGTCATCAAGGTCAGATAGGAGAAAATGGCCCCTCCAACAGCAATTGATGTCGAGGGTGTCGTCGACACCGAATCCGTAGTCATTCCCGATCCACTTACTGTCAATGGGGTTTCTGCAAGACGTGCAAAGGCTGGGAAATTTACGGCTGGCGTAGCAGCATTTACAACTAGTGATCACTTCAAAAGCCCTGTTGGTATACCCTATCCGAAGGAGCTGGTCATGTCTAATGAGTCATAGTCAACATGGAAACCAAAAGCAAAACGATTTGATCGTAAGTCGTTCTTCCACAATGGTTGTCTACTTTTACTGACTACTTGCAGACCGCATCTCTCTTGAGAGTAGATCAAGAAAGCCATCGAACTTGAAAAGTGCTGCCAGATATTTGGGCCCTGGAATGATTTCTCTTGGTGGAGGTCTACCATGCCCTGAATATTTCCCAATCGAAGAAATATCCATCAAGGTTCCTACAATACCTCACTTCTCGGAAAAACAAACAAAAGAATCTGGAACTATCATAACTGCTGGAAAGTATGATGTGTCAGAAGGCAAGGGAGCATACGATTTGTCTATCGCACTCAACTATGGACAAGGTACAGGATCTGCACAGATGCTTCGATGGGTGACAGAGCATACCGAAATTGTTTGCAATCCACCTTATGCAGATTGGGGTTGTACTCTTACTGTAGGAAGTACATCAGCTTTGGAGCAGGCATATCGCATCTTCTGTGAAAGGGGTGACTACGTGTTATCCGAAGAATATACTTTTGCTTCTGCTGTAGAGACTGCAGCCCCTCTGGGTATAAAATTCTTGGGTGTCAAAATGGATGCTGAAGGTCTTTTGCCAGAAGTCTTGGATGAGATTTTGAGCAACTGGGATGAAAAGGCAAGAGGTGCTAGAAAGCCATTCGTTCTTTACACCGTACCTTCCGGACAAAACCCTACAGGCGCAACACAAAGCACCAAAAGACGACATGCAATTTACAAGGTTGCCCAAAAGCACGATGTATACATTTTAGAAGATGAACCTTACTATTTTCTTCAAATGCAACCGTACACCGGTCCAGATGCTCCTGATGTTCCACCACCGGCTAACAATGAGGAATTTTTAAAGGCTCTCATACCAACTTATTTAAGCATCGATACTGATGGAAGAGTTATGCGAATGGATTCTTTCTCTAAAGTCATTGCACCTGGGACAAGAGTTGGGTGGATCACCGCTTCCGAACAAATTGTCGAGAGATTCATCAGGTCCAACGAGAACTCTAACCAAAACCCAAGTGGAATCTCCCAAATGGTTCTTTTCAAACTTCTAGAAGAAAACTGGGGACATGGTGGTTACCTTCAATGGCTCATCAATCTTCGATTGGAATATACTAAGCGTCGAAACGTTATTCTTGCCGCTTGTGAAAAATACTTGCCCAAGGAGATTGTAAGCTGGAATCCGCCAACTGCTGGCATGTTCGTAAGTATCTCATGGATTCAGTAGAGATATGACTTCACTAACAAAATCTAGCTGTGGCTCCAAGTAGATTGGCATAAACACCCATCTGCCAAAACCAAGTCAATTGGAGATATCGAACAAGAAATTTTCCTCGCTGGTATCGGTCAAGGTGTTCTCATTTGTCCAGGTAGTTGGTTCACAGCTGAGAAGAGTGGCTTTGTACCAGTAGATATGTTTTTCCGCGCCACATTCGCTGCTGCATCGGAAGAGAAGATGACAGAGGCGATTGAGAGATTTGGCGTGGCTGTTAGAAATAGCTTCGGCGTTGAGTAAGGGTGGCATTTTGATTGCATAGTTGCGAGGCGTTGAAACAGGATATCAGATTGGGTTAGACAACTGTTGCAAGATAAACATTATGATCTCATGCCAGATTTTTTGAACTCTTGAAAGTTCTAACGAATTGTGATGCTTTTACCGTATTTTGGCACTTAGTTGTTCCAGATGATCTGGCTATCAAGCGCAACGTAATATGCCGCGGCGGTGATGCTCAGAGGAAGTCAATCTGGAACTTCCACCTCTCCCCCCCACTATACAGTAGTCTATCTCCGCTGTCCAGTATTTATTAAATAGATAGAACTCCCAGTATTGATGGTTCATGGAGTGTGGCTTCGCATATACCATTTCTACCTTGGGACGAACCATCCTTTAAGGAGATAAGTCGTGCACGATGTATCCTCAAAATGGGTATTCAAGGTGTGTAACCGGCAAGGCACCAAATAATGGCAAGGGCCTTTCAGAAGCGATGATGATATAATTCTAGCCACTGCTGTCAGCCATTTGATTGTGCAATTTTCGTCGATATTTCTTTTTCTTTTCTTTTGTTCCGGCACATTTCTTATGCTTGATTCTGATTCTTGAATGTTGAATTTGGACCTGGTGGGAATATGAGTATCATGAAGGTTGGGGAATCTTGTTTTAATGATTTTTAGGGCTGGAGGCGGTAGAAGCGGGTATAACAGGCCTGAGTGCTAGAGGTATCATAATTCCACTTCAAACCATACCATATGATGGCAAGAAAGATGTATCTTTTCAACAAGCATGAGTGATTTCTGGCTAGTCCACCTCAGATATCTCTAAATATTACTAGCGATTCAACTGGATATCATACCAAAGTAGAAGTAGATAAATTTGGCTGTGGAGAAATCATATGCATAGATTCCGAAATGCTTTCGTACTTGCCGGATATTCCTTTGCAAAAAGTCACTGATTTTGCAATGGGATATTCCATATCGAATCATCCCCATTCGGTCTCTTTACTTTTATTCCTTTGGTGGATGATGAATTTTTACCTGAGCGATACTTAAAAATGATGAGTGAGGCGGTTTTGGGAATGGCGATTTGCAATTCGCTCAACAAATGCCAGACAACTAAAAGTCTTCCTATGATGTTTGAATGGACAAAAGATGACGGTGCAATGAATGTTAACCCTAGACATCTCATCCAGGCCGAGGAAGATATGGTTTCCTCCATTAAATCGTGTGCATGGTATAACTACAGAAAAATACTTTGATCTATTTTACCTATACCTAGCTTCAGATTTTGATGAAGAACTTAGCAATTATATGTCACAACACCCCCGCCCCCCAAAAAGGATCCTAATATTTCAATTCATTACTTCCGAATTCCACGCATTTTAAGAAACATACATACTTTTCACCTGTTCATCAATCGACTCTGGATACCATATGGTTAAACATACACAAAAGAGGATAGACTGTAGTCTCAGGGAAATCAGGCTTTGCGATCCTAACCAGAGCGCTTTAAATAACTCTACTATTCAAAGATGTCAATGTCAGCCAGCGGCCAAGTACTCCTTACTACAATGATGAGTACGGGATAGTGCATGAAGATTTTTTTCGCGAAACCTTCAAACGGAGGTCATCTGTATTTCCAGGTGCGAATATCTCATTTGAGATTACTCGACTTCTTCCTTATTCTTGAGATCGGAATTATGGTTCTTTCGACTCGGTGAGTATGAGGGGGGAGCTGCAATGTAGATTCTCGATAAGTGGATCAATAAACAAATCAAGTAAATGATGCTTCATTATAAAGGTACTCCTACACAAATATGCTAAAAGCCATGATAACCACGTGGACCTTTCCATTCGGATAATGAAAGAGTCTTTCCGCTAGAAACAGTCATTATGATCTTGGAAAGCTGGAAAACCATTCGGTGAACTGACCCCTCCATCATCCACGAATTTACACCAAAATAAACATCAAGTTCCTCAAGCTCCAGATAATAAACATAATGTGATATCTCAGCACAACTATTGAAACGAGAGATGAAGACGAATTCAGCTTCGCTTTGGATATTTGTAGCAGATGGTAGAATAATTACAGCGAGACACTTGGCAATTTTAATTTCTGTTTCGTTAATATTTGTAGAGTGAGGAAATTTCAGTTGTAAAAGTATGGAACCGAGTCTTGGTGTATATCATGAGATAGCTGAGATGAGATGAGCGCTTCCATCAACCAGTTAACATCCATGCCTCATGAACGTATCCCGAAGTAACAATAAAAGCATGTAGATGCCATACCATCGTAACCATAACCATAACCATAATAACAGCCATCAGTATCCTAACCCTCCATCTTCCAAGTTCCACTTTGCTTGTCCAAAAATCCCACGTGCACGCCCTGCCCAGGCTGCAATACAATGTCTGCTTTCAGTCTCGGGTTTCCTCCATCAACTGCATGCATAAACCCCTGTAAACCATCAAAGTTCTGTAGGATTCTAACAATCGTATACCCCATTTCCGTGAGCGCAAATTGTTGACCAATACAGATTCGAGGACCACCATTGAAAGGAATGTACTGCCAAGGTTTTGGCTGCCATGTTAACCAACGATCGGGGTTGAAAGACATGACATCTGGAGTAAGATCTTCGCGGCGTTGCATAATGAGAGTAGAGTAGCCAATTGGGGTGTCTTTGAGAATCCCCACGGGAGAAAGGCCATCGGGACCGCCACCGACAGGTAGGGTGGTATCTTTCAGGGCGAGACGGACGTTAAAGGGAACAACAGGATAAAGGCGAAGAGTCTCGTGCATGACATTCTACGGTGGTAAGTAAGAGATTTATGACAAACGAATGGAAACTTACCTGAAGATATTTCATATCTTTCAAATGTTCATAAGTTGGAGCTTCCTCGAGACCAACTTTTGAAATAATTTCCTCACGCAGTTTCTTGAAAACTTCAGGATGACGAGCTAACTCGTAGAAAGTCCACGATAGAGTGGAAGCTGTTGTGTCGCGACCGGCAAGTAAGACTGCTACAAGTTGATCTCGAAGGACATTTCTATCGCGGGTGTAGGAGGCTAACGCATGTAGAAATGTATAACCTTCCTCTGTTTTCGTTTTAGTTGCTAATTCCTCAGGAGGAAGTCGAAGGGCGTCCTCAATGAAGGGCGTAACAAATTCGTTGATAACCTTGAGACCTTTGTAGAATGACTTCCTTGGAATCAATGCATTCGTAGGCCTAGTTGGCGGATTAGCGCTCGTCTTTTAATAAAAGAGGAAGATGAGATATCATACCCAGCCCTGGCAATCATACTTTGTACTCTCTGAACTTCCGCAAAAGCATCTGCAAATTCCCCTGGTCTCTCTAAACTTTCTACACTGCGTCCCAACAAAAAATCCGTCGCAGCATCTAGAGTATATCTGAAGAACAAATCACTAACATCAATCTCCTCACCCTGAGTACCATCCCATTTTTTACCTTCCACTTTGATCTTCTGGATTAAGATTTGTATGTGTCTCTCGAAAGTGTTCAAATCACTAACGCGATCCTTTATGAACTGTGGACGTATCAACTGACGAGAATCATGCCACTGATCAAGATCAGTGGTGAAGATGCTATCACCAAGGAAGTCTTTCCAATCCTTATGAAATGGTTCTCCTTTCCCATAATCGGTGAATTGAGTCGCAAGTATAGCTTTAATATTTTCCGGCTCCGCCGTGAAAAGAGTGCGTTGTCCTCCCGGATATGCCTCGACTGTATAACGTTTATCCTTGTGGCCGTCGAAGAAGGCTAGCCATGCGTCGAGATTTCTGTCGTTTAAACTATAGTTGATTGAGCGCACGATGAGGTCAAGATCTGGATATCGTCAGCAAGCTTTTCAGCCAAAGGAAAATCATGGTCTTGATATGTACCAAATGGAACCCATGCTTTCACTCTTCTCGTATGACCCCCAAGCGATCTAATCTTCAGCTCTTTCTGAATCAACCGAGTAACCTTGATCAAGGTAAATATCACGACAAACGCGGCGATGAGAAACTTTGTTGATATGCCTTCCAACATGATTGAGTCGTTGATATTATGTTATGTGACCATAAGATTGAATTGATGAATGGAGAACAAGACGAACGTGAGTTAAAGCTCGAAAGCGCAAGTTGTTCTCACCCTCTTATACTTATCATGACTTCCTCGGACTGTGATCACGGTCATGTTAGTCTTTGTTGTACTTTATTATTGCGGAAGAATGCATGAGCGCTCGGATGAAAAGTGCTTAACCTACCCAGTTACCTAGGCGTTTGTTGTAACGTCCAATGTCCAATGTCCAGTGTCCAGTGTCCAGTGTCGCATCGCATCGCAAACAGTAACCTCCGATCAAAGGTGGGGTTAAAATTCTGGATATGATGAATATGATGAGGAGGAATTCCCTTGTTTTCCCCTCATCTTCCCTTGTGATCCTTCGCCTGTGCTCGAATTGGAAACGCTGGCGTAAGAGATTCCTTGGATAAATTCATGCATTTGTGTAATATTTTCATATGTAATCTGGTTAAGAATGACGACCGAGGATTCACATGTAAAATGGGAAAATAATAGGAATTATTGGGAAAACAAAAAGAACAAAGAGACAAGAGAGCAAATCCGGGGTAAAGTTAAAAGATGCATTCCCGAGACCCCGTCCTCGTCTACTAGTCCCCTACATGGTATCACGTTATCGTGCAAACCAGTGGGAGCCAATGGAAAGATAGCGGGGCTGAAAGTACCAACCTAGTATTTTATTTAGTCTGATGATGCTATGTCCAAAGCTGCATCGCAAATTAAAACTATTATTCAACCTTCTATTTATCAATTCATATAAACAAACAATAATCAATAAATAATAACATTTTTGATAATGATCTACACATTTACATTCTTAGACCCTCATTCGCTATATAAGACAGCTTAATCCAAGTCCATCGAAACCTTTGAAGCGGTATAGAAATACCTACAGTCTAATCTGTATACACATCTACCTGCTTAGAGATCTTGATTTTAATTCGGTCCTGGTGTACAACTTGTAAAGGTACTATCTACTACTGATTATCGTTCCGACGTTTCACCCACTAATCCATGCACACACACGATAAATCTTCAATAAAATACGATGAATCATTGCTGTGTGACCTCCATCACAATCTATGTATGTACCTACAAAGGAGATTTCAAGTAGATATCAACCTACACATTAATATCCAATGCCTAAACTCCATGCTAATGCAACGGTACCTCGCCCATCTCTACAGCCTCAAATCAATTATCCCATCTTGCCCATATTAAATTACAATGAACACTCGGTTGAGTCCGATTGCGTGCAGAAAATCATTTGTACAGGTCCCGATCGGATTCCCATGGTTCTCAAGTGCTCATTGAATTCTGGCAATCTACTGCCTGCGTCGATTTGACTTCTATTCTGTCCAGTTACTGGATCCTTGGCTCCTGACCACAAGACTTCCGCGGCCGCAGCTCCTCGTGGCCATACCATATCGTCAATGTTGATGGCGTCGGTTTGCTCGGACCAGATGTGGAATTCTCCGCCAACAACCAAGTGAGTTGAGTTTTCCGGGACTCCGGCGAGAGGATCATAAGAGTAGACTAGACGCCAATTCTTGGTAGGAGAACAGTAATCGAGGTAGGGGTAGTAAGCTTGGGAGGATGCTCCTGGTTGGAAGTTGAGCCATTGTCCTTTGCCGCAATCGAGATACTGAGTTTGTTAGCAGGTGAGCTGAAAGATGCGTCAGAAATTGTACATACCCAAAAGTTATAGTTGCCAGCAATAGCTTTATGTCCAGCACCGACGATCTGAGCGACTGAGGCATCACTGAGCCATGATTGAATGAGAACATCTGGTCCCAAGGTGAGGTTCCATGTTGTGAGCATTTCTTCCCAAACCATTGGTGTAAGTCCAGCAGCTCTGACTTGTTGGTGGTTTCTGTCCACGAATGCCTGGATTAATGGTCGAAGAACCTCTGTATCATTTGACTGAACCGTAGGATCCAGCAAATAAGTATTAACATTGACTTCGTCTCCACCAGTGTGGAAGTACGATGAATATGGGGAGACTCGAGGAAGAAGATCATTTAACAGTGTCTCCAGGAATGCTGGTACGGCGGAGTCATTAAGTCTCAACGATCCACAAGGAGGTTCAGCACAGTAGGTATCCCAGGGTTCGGCGTTGAAAGCGGCCAAGAGCTCAGGATGAGAAAATCCAATTGAGCTTGTATGACCAGGCATGTCAATTTCTAAAATGACCTCGAGGCCAAGATTAGTTCCATATTCTTGGATCTCCTTTAAGTCTTGGGGGGTATATGACAATCCGGTTTGGTAAGCACCCAACTTGGACAACTCAGGAAGTGCTGGAATATCCAAAGGCCATGACTGAGCATCAGTGATGTGAAGATGAATAACATTGCATTTGCTGTAATGCAAGGCCAACATCGTTCTCTTGATATCTTCCACGGGATACCAATTTCTAGATATATCCATGTTCATCCCACGATGGGCAAACTTTGGTGCATCATAAATTGTCACAGGAGCTAGTTTCGTGTAGACGCCGGCCTTAGCAACGGAATGTGTGTAGAAAAGTTGTGTGAACGTTGTCAGTGCATGAAGTATGCCGATAGACGAGGGGGCGCTGATGGTGGCCTTTCCGTCAGTAGTGATGGTGAGGTTATAAGATTCGTCTACTTGGCCATCCGTAGGTTTAAAGGTGGAGGAATTATCGTGTCCGGTCTGGGCGATGTAGAGTTCGGTAATGTAGGTCTTGTTTGAAGTGGCCGAGGGCTCAACTTGGGACAAGGTATTTCGTGCATAGAATTTCCATGGTGTCAAACCCTGGTAGAAGATCTTGGTCATGGCACGAGTTACAGCACTGGAAACAATAGTTTTGCTATTTGTAACATTCCCAGCCCCATCAACAGAATATCCTGTAGACTGTACCGCCAAAACTTTCTCAGCATTCATATCAAACTAAAATTTGGGGGGAATAATCGTACAAGGCCGCCATCATATGTAACCTTAACATTCCGATCCAACCACAAAACACCAGTACCATTCGTGTACGAGACGGGTTGAGGCCAAATAGCCAGGGCAGAGGAAACCAAAGCAGATATTAGAAATGTCGAAGACAGCATATTGAGAAGTGCCAGTCTAGGATTGTAGATGTAGATTTAGATGTAACGAGAACAGAGACAATGAAAAAAACAGATGGGGAGAATAGTTTATATAGCTTCGTGAAAAAGAGCGTGCAAAGTGCTTCAACCAATCACTTAATTGGTGTACAGCAGTGTGGCTCAGAATAAACGAATATTCTGCAGTATTAGTTATGGTAGACTCACCAGGATTCCGGCGTGCCGCAGGAATATGAACCCAGGGATGGCACTGCGCAAAGCTCAGAATAGAGTTCAGCGCAATCAAATTGATTTTTCCCAAGACTTAGTTATGACGATAAATAAATTATGCAGGTAGCCCAATCCAATGTCCCAACTGGTCGTCCTGTTGTAGTAATAATTGACACTAGGTGCGGAGAACTCGACGCGAGACTACCAATCCAGCTGCCGTAACGTTACCATTAACAGCTTGAGAAGCCGGGGAGGAAAAGTACGACGTGATGGAGTAGTTCTCCCGTATGCAGCAGTACGCAGATAGTAGTGGGTGGCAGTATGAGAGTAGTAGAGACATGCCCCCATTAGTTTGTTATCTGATAATGTCGCTTTCAGTCGGATTGATGCATCTGCGCGAGACAACGTACGCAGTATAAGGATAGATATGAGTGGATATGAGTGGATATGGATGGATATGGATGGATTTGAATGGATTCTGGTTGTGGATTAGGGTATGGATAAGGGTCAAGGGTTGAGATTTGGGGTCGAAATTGTGATGTGCATTTGAGCGAAAGGGAAGTCCAGTTTGCTTACCTCAGAATCCGAATTACACACATTAGATATGCAGTACTCAGCAGATTATTGGTAGGTCAAGACCGTCAAGGTCTAGTATCTACTAGGTGCTCTGTACTCTCTGTATAGAGGAACTAGAAATTTACAACATAATCACAACCGTTTGAATTACTAAAAGTGGATTCGAGATCAATCCTGATTTTCTAGGATTGGTCGTAATCTCTCTGATGCGGCGCCATTGGAGCTTTATGGAACCGATGGTTAAAAATGGTATCTAAGCATGAAAAAGGGATGGATTGATCATGAATTACGAAATAACATGTCAGCATTTGGAAAGCAGTGAGATTTGTTGGAGCTGATGCAACATGTATGAAATTCAGTGCTGTTTATATTCCCCACAAAACAGTAAGACAATATAAATGTGTCTTAAGTTTTGATATATTAATTGAAATATCGAAAGAATAATATCTATCTGTGTAAACTCATATAAGAGCTCGCGCTAAACCATTTTAAGAAGTCGACACTGGACAGATGAGGGCTCGGAATCTTCTAATACTTTTTCAATCTCTTTTCTTATTAATTTTTACAAATTTGTTATAAATCGAATCACATTTACTTTTCACAATTGTATAAAAATCTAATACTTTATAATATCGTTTGTATATATAGAAATAAGGATTACTATTCAAGAGATATTGCTACTTCTCATTTACGAACTTTTTGACATTCAACGATCTTATAATAAATACATCCTCGGTAGTTTCGTGATTACTTTGCTCTAAAAGGGGCTCAGTGTGACTTCTGATATGTGAGTTTCACTTTATACGGTATTCGATGGTGGCTTTGGCTGGTGAGTGCAAAGTTAAGTCAAGTTTCCATCGATGGTTAGAATGCAAGTCGCCTCCCCCGCTTTCAGGAGCTTCGCCAAGGTGCAAATCTATGAGACCAGATGACTGACCAATATGTAAAGGAGTTTTAAATCCCCTTTTGACTCATAGAGAACAATATATAAAGTAAATGTGAAATAGGTTGGTGGCATTTTTGTTGGCATTTTTGTTACTATGCTGTACTCGAGTATATGACAAGGACTGACAATCCTAGCTATGAATGAATCCTTCGCTGAAGTGAGGGCACGTTATCACGTGATTGTGATCCACCGGTACAGCACGTGAATGCTTAGCACATCACAATTTATAACTAACTTCATGCGGCTCAGAAAATGTGTCATCCTTAGGCAAATATTGTGTTCGCCAGGGCTCTTTAAGCTTCTTGGTCTTTCGAGATCTTTATTCTATCAAACTCATACCATCTTTTTTTCACGGTTACAACAATACCAAAGGAATATAAACAGTCGCACAGACATCATAAGCAGCGTCTCAATCAATCACTTATTGCGACCCATCAAGATTACCGTAGCTCACTGTCGTTCTCATTCCAGTCGTGAGCTTCAGCAGCTCAAGTATTTGCAGGCCTGACCTTTGATAAACAAAGAAATCAACACAATCCAATATGTCGGTCGAAGTTGTCTTAGATTCGCCTCTGGCACATGCACTCAATGCTTCCATCCAGCCAAAACTTGTAGAAGTAGGATGGAGTACTGGTGGAGCTGATGACTCTGCGCTTTCCGAATATATTATCCTCATGTTGGTGAACGGGAAAACTCAAGAGCAAATCGCTGCGGAATTATCGGGCGATCTTTTGAATCTTGGGGATGATGACCCTGGTGCGAGAGATTTTTCTCAATGGCTGTTTGACCAGGTTGGATCATTAAATTCACAAAATGGCGGTGGAGGATTTCCTGATACTGGGGCAGAGACTGGGCAAGCTCAGTTTGGAGACTCAAATGTGTCTCAGGATGCGGATATGAATGATGCTTCAGAGGCGGGCGATGTAAACGTGTATGTAATCACTCTTTTGATCAGTTTAAAATTCAGAAATATACTCTCGAGACCAAAAACTAACTTGCTACAGACCAACTGGCCCTAAGTCAATGCGAAATGGAAGTGGTGGTATCACTCGTCCACGGGATAAACGCATGCTGAATCATTTGACGAAGGCGATGGATCGCACGCATGATGCCGCGCTCCACCGAGTACGACCTCAGTCGGGAAATGAACGAATAAACACACATGCGCGAGTACCCCCGACAGGGCCAAGAGGACCCGTAAATATTCGAGGCGCTGCCCGTATGCAAAACGGGCGTGGGCATGGCGGCATGGGAGGTATGCCCGTGCAACATGGTGCGGCGCAAAATGTTATGAGCATGTCTCCACACCAACAACTCGAACTTTATGCTATGCTTGAGCAGCAATCAAGAATGATGGCGCAAATGTTCACTCCACAACAACAGCAGATGATGTCACGAGGAGGTAATGGTATGGGCTCAGGATTTCCCGGACAAGGCAGGCCTCTACATGAACGAATGCAACATCCTAACCGATCCCAAAACAATGGATTCCAGAAACGTCACGACCAACAACCACAATCTCAAAATGACAGCTCGATGGATGTCGAGATGTCTTCTATTGATAAGGTCGATAGTCTTCCTGCAGATACTATATGCAGGTACAACTTGTCTTGCACAAACAAAGATTGCAAGTTTGCACATCAGTCTCCGGCAGCTCCTCCAGGAACGGCTATTGATGTTGCGGATGTTTGTAGTTTCGGTGCCGCTTGCAAGAATCGAAAATGCGTTGGGCGACATCCATCCCCGGCCCAAAAGACTGCGCACCAAACCACCCAAGACTGCATATACTTTCCAAATTGTAAAAATGCCAACTGCCCCTTCCGGCATCCAACAATGCCGTTATGTCGAAACGGTGCAGATTGCACAACACCGGACTGTAAATTTACACACGTCAAGACTATGTGCAAGTTTAACCCTTGCTTAAATCCGACATGTCCATTCAAGCATGAGCCAGGTCAGAAGAGAGGAAAGTTTGATGACAAGGTATGGGTGGCGGATGGCACGAAAGAGCACGTTAGTGAGCGGAAGTTTGTGGATGAGGACGGGAATGAGGAATTGATTGTACCCGGAGGAGCAGCATCGACAGACACAGGAGCTGAAAAAAATGGTGATGCAGAGGTTGTGGAGTAGAGGGGGTAAAAGATTTTTTATGGATTTCAGGCGGAGGAAATTGATTTCAAGAAAAAAATTGTACAACACGGGTGTATATGGAGTGGGAGGGAGACTATAGTCTGGCGTTTTATGGATAAGAGGATCGTGACTGGATTCTCGGATATATCATGATTGGGGGCCATCATAATGAATAGCTGGTCACAGCCAAAGCAATTTTTAGGTAGAATGGATTGTTGTATCTCTCGGCACCCCCAGAGCTGAAAAGGCTTTTGGGGCTTAAGCCAAACCCGAAAGTTCCCTTGCGTCTACACTAACTTGTGATGGTGAATTTGTGATGTGTCTTTCCAATCAATTTGAGTCTCTTTCAAAAGCCTACCGGTACTTTGTAACTGGTGTTGATCATGCTCCCCATAGCATAAATGGAAAACCAAATTTTCTC